TTCCATTTTGTGTTACTTAACTATAACTTACTGGTGATATATGAACCTGTAACTATATACATGTATAGTTTGATGTATTTTAATTAATCTTGTACCTGTGGAGAGGGTTGCTGCTTAATCCATTGATGTATTCGTTTTATTACAAAATGAATATGTTCAAATTAGACTTATTTGTATAATCATATGAAGCAGAATTTATTCAAAAACTTCTACATGGGAAAAAAACACTTTCCATGGCCATCAACTTAACATTATGTAGATACATGTGTATATTGACGATAAATTATCAATTACGGTTTATAAATAGTTACTACCTGTCATGACAAGGAGTACACGGCGGGTGTGACCGGTCGGCAAGGGATGTTCACTCTTGTATGGCACCTGATCCCAGCTCTGATGTTTTGGATGTCCGTGTTTGCTCTGCTCCCATTTTGTATTGTTTTATGGGCTTTTGATCTTGAATACTGTTTGTTATCTCCATTTGTTTCATTCCATTCATACATCGTCGCAAACCACGGCCAAAATGTACGATCCTCTCCCATTCTGGAGAGAGCTATATGCGGACTCCTGACCGTGGCTTGAGACAATATCATTCATAATGACTCCAACTTTTCAATCGCCATCTATCTTTCTTAATACATGTATACGGCAATATATTTTTATCATCTGTTTATGTCTCTCAGTAGATCCGATACAAAAGGGCATGTTGTACACTTCTCAAAAGAGGTAAGCTATTGACAAACAAGTTGATGAATCAAGGATATCAACAGTCTCATTTAAAGTCGTCATTTTGCAAGTTCTGTTCATGTGAATACAGTAAGGCAAACGCTGAATGACTTTTTTATATACTAATTGTTATTCCATATTTTCACTTAAGATTTGGAGCATACGGCTGGTGTGACAGGTCGGCAGGGGATGTGGCACCTGATGGTAGCCTATCAACCTTTGCTCTGCTCTTAATTTGTTATCTTTGGATAGACTTTTGATCTAGAATACTGTTCCTTATTTCCATATACACATGTATTCCATACATGTATCTATAGATTAAAAATATAAAAGTACTGGATGGAATAAAATTTTCTCAGGTGTGTGAATATAAAATGCTAACCTTCAAATGAGAATAGCATAACCATAATGTCTCTGAAGTCGTCTTATCTGTTCTCTAGTTGAGTTTTCGTGAATATTTTTTTTTAGTAAAGCAACCAAATGTGAAGCAGATTTTGCAGATTCTGTTGTGTCGTTATTTCATGTTCACTAGATTTATCGAACCCCCAAAAAATCAATTGATAAGGCATCGTTGATATATCTAATAAATTACCGAATTGAAGGCATCAGCAAGAGGCTTTATCTGATCCTATAGATTTTTTTGTGAAAATTTTCTACTTCATATGACTACAATAACAAGTTGGTTAATAAAGGGGGGGGGGGGGGGCGGCTAGTGTTTGTGTCCATGAAAATTCAAGCAGATTGTTGGAAGACTACAATACCTCAGTAATTTCACTGAGGAACTGTTGCTTCTTTTGCCATCAACTTCAATTCTCTTTATTTTGTAAGAAAAATATTTTATGTATACCTCAGAGTACTTTTATAAAGAATCAAAATCATTTTTAAAGGGGCATGGACACAGTTTAAGCTTAACGTTTTAAGATGTATTTTTCCTTTTTTATCCTTAGAAAGGTATTTTAATGATTATCAAAAATTTGAACTTCAGTTGTCGAGACAGATTTAGATCTCCAAATCTTTGTTACGTAAACAAGCCCCGTTCCATGTTTTTTTGTTTACATAGGTAAATGCTGATTTATATTCTTTCAAAGCAGATTTTTTTAATAGAGAAGTTAAATCTAAATACGATTAGACAGTTTGTAGTGATTTGCTGAATATTGTTTTTTTTTTTTTTAATATGAATATCATTTTTTTTTTTATAAACAAGAACAAGACACGAGCATTGTTTACATTATGATGAATTTTTAGTTCTGCGTCCCCTTTATAAATCAACGAACGATGTTCAAATTTTGGTGATCATTTGATTTGCTTTAAGTAGGAATTGTAAACATTAAAACTGTTTGTTTGTTTTAAATCAGTTGAAACTTTAAAATGTCCATGTCCCTGTAAAGGTGCATATAGACACAGATTTGAAGTTCATATTTTCTCAAATTTTCTGTACCATAATTTTACGACTTATGTATTGCAATAGCATTTCACAAGAAAATATGATAAATATCTTTTTCATTTTGAAGTTATTGAAACTTTAAATTTCTGGTCGTGTTTGATTTACTCGTCCTTGCACTTTCGCAAACTTCAAAAATTAGCTCAGTGGGCTTTTGTAGGAACAACCCCAACCTTTTTAATAAAATAATTACCTTTTAAGATAATTAAAGAATGATAGGGTAAGGCATAATAAGAGAATTGAAAATTGGAACTATCTTAACCCCCCCCCCACCACCACCACGTTTTTTTTTCTTATTGAAGCTTAAGATTATCAAGGCCACTGGAAGGGAAAGGTGCATTGGGTGCAAATGCCACCACACCCCCTTCTACAAAATCTAATAAATTCTTGAATAAATAAATATATTTATGTGTTTCAAGAAATTTCTACAGATTTTATTAATTTACTGATATCCAAAAAAAAAATGATTCAATCAAAATGACCAAACCCAGAAAATACCACCCCCCCCCCCCATAATAACAACTACTAGTATCTGTCGGTAGTTTTTACTGGTGTTTTATATATTTAAGGTCAAGATCTAGTAAATAACTTGAGACTAATTTTTTGGTGCTAGATCCATTATGACGTCATAATCAATTTCAATTTTCTTTTTCCCGTACTTTACGGCTTTAGCAGAATTATGTAGAAAATATAGTATTTTCATGTCAATCAATTTGAAATCATTTGAAAAGTAAACCGGATACCTATATTAAATTTGATATTGATTTAAAGAAGATGCCATGAACATACTAATTACCGTTTTCTGAGAGACTGTAGGCAATCTGGATACATTCACTTTGCCGAATACGAAAAAAACTCCCATATTCATGACTGGTTTTCTTAATTTTTCATTGAAAATGACAGTTTAAAATACAGTTTTTCATCTTGTTTACCTACAAATTATGCCCCGAAACACCTTATTTGACCAAGCTAAAGTTGTAAAGTATCAATAAAGGAATTTATTTCTCAAGTTTGATAAATCTGTAGGCACCTTTCATTTACTAGATCTTGACCTTAATCGACGTTTTACGAGGGGCATTTCAAAAGTTCTGGCAACTGGTTAATAAAAAATTAACCGTTTTACGGAAAATATTGAGTTTGATATCATTAGAAAGATCAGGAAAATACATACATATTGTGACTTTTTAATTTTTATGACGTAATAACTCAGAAAATGACGTCACAATATAGATTGTTTAGCATACTGACCATAAAAATGACGTAACAAAAGAACAATTTGATCAAATTAAAATGTTCAAGACAACTTTTGCTCAGTACTCGGACGCAAGCTAACGGAAGCATATACCAGTTGGTGGAATGTTTATATGGACTACAATCTATCATATGGTGTTTTATTTCAGAGATCTTTTTGTTTTGAAATGGTTTTAGCGAGTGTCAAACTTAGCATGTTTTTGTCGAATCTCGCTCAAGCTATTGCGTAAAAAATACCTCACTGTGAGAAAAAGACAAAGTTGACAATGAAAGAGAAATAGACGATCGTGTTACAAAATTTCATGGCATAAATTCGTCAGGCGTTTTAACCACATTTATGGGATCGATGAAGGCTCAAGAGAAGTTAGTGTGCCCTATAATTTCTTGTAAAATCCAAAATGGCGGCAGCGCAGTTGTAGCCCCACCGTACCTCCACATATTCGCAAATTTTAATTCCTGGAAAATAAATAAGATTTTACATGTCTGTGTAACTTATATTCATTTTTTGGATTCAAAAGTCAAAAGCAATAGTGAGTTTTGGGGCGCCAAAGTTGAATTTATATGAAAAAATACGCACAGAATCAAGTCAGGGGCAAGATTTAGTACATTTTATTCGTAAACGGTAAGAGTCCTATTACTCAAAATATATTAGAGGAAAACTGCATTAAACTACTTCAGTTTAATACAAGACTTGTTTTATTTCAAACAATGGAGAGCTATATAAAAGACTGAATATCCAGCCGTATCATGTAAATAAAAATCTTAAATTAATGTCGATGATAGCATAACCGAACATAAACTGTGCTCGTAAACAAACCATACAAAGAATAATGGAATTGCTGATAAATAGTATCATAGTCCTACTCTACTTCTTTGCATATAAAAAATTTCTTTGAATTTTTTTTTCAAATAAGCCTTTGGCAGCACTTTTACGATCGTCTCATTTGGATAAAATCGAGACTTTTCAGTATGCTAAACAGTCTATATTGTGACGTCATTTTCTGAGTTATTACGTCATAAAAATTATAACATGACGTCACAATATGTGTATATTTTTTGATCTTTCCAATGATATAAAACTCAATAATTTTCGTAAAACGGTTAATTTTTTATCAAACAGTTGCCAGAACTTTTGAAATGCCCCTCGTATCAATACCTTCTGATGTAATTAAAGAATGAATTTATGCAAATGTGGTGATTTAAAAAAAAAAGGGGGAATTTTAACAGTTAATAAATATTTCACCCGAAAAATAGTTAGAAAAATAAAATGAATAAAAGATATTAATGAATCTACACCTGTATCTATAGGCTATATAGATAATTTAATTTTTGTAATGTACAGGCTTATTTGTTAGCCTGCGAAGATAGGACATGCTGTTGTATTTAAACTCTTCTAAATTGTACATTTCTTTTGTATGTAAATCGTAATTATTACAATTAATTAAAAAATATTAAATAGCAGACATATCTTATTTTTCATTCATTTGTCGTGCTGACAGATGACAGGGGTGGAAACCTCGTCATGGTCGACTTACCTGTAAATCCGTGTCACCTGAGCGGTTTTTAAGTTTGGTCTATGTCAGAGAGCTGTTTGAGAAAAAAGTATATTGAAAGTTTGGTGACCATTCCACATTCGGGACTTTACTGAAATTTCGTTTATGGAATGGAGTAGTTTTGAACACCAAAACAGAGGTAGGCTTATAAAATAATTCTTAAAAGTATACAGTGATTGATTGCAGTGCATAATCAATGAATAGAGCGCTAGTCCTCTTCCGTCTTTGGGTCTGATGAATTTTCGTGAATGTCAACAAATGGTTCTGGCATTTTGATGCGTCAGAAATGCAGATACTAAATGAGATTTTTTAATAAGATAGTTTGTTTGTAGATATATGGGGTTTTTGTTTGATTCTTTGTGATAGTTTACACAGTTTTAAATGAAAATCGCCAGTCGAGAAACAGGTCTTGTGGGGTCTACCTGTAAATCTATAGTCTGTATCTGGTATGTGGCCATTATTCACACCTGTGTTGACAGCCGACACATTCCATTCCCCTCGTGTATTCCTGATTTCAATCTAGATTCTTTTCAAAAGAAAGTGTATACAAATGGACTGTTCTCCTCAGACAAATTTAGAATAAACTGAAGCTCTTGATTAATAAGAAACGTTCATTACAGTGTTCAATTATTGTTAGTATCATGATGGGTTAATATTATGATGGTTTTTTTTTCAGATTTTATGATTATAGTATATAATTTATTCAGAATTATCTGGAAGAATTATCTTCTATTTATTCTCTATGCAGCATTTCACTTTCGAAAACGCAATAAAAGCAGGAAAATGTAAGGTCAGGTAGTAATTTAACGGTCACAATTTTTTTTTTCTCACCCCAAATAAGTGGTTCAGGTAAGTATGTGAACTCGGTCAGGACAGACTGAGAGAACTATTTAAAGTTTTGCTGAAGCTCTGAATGCTAGACAACTCAGCCAAAAGTCTTCTTTGTTTGCAGCTAGTTGAAAGATAAAATGAGACAAATCGCCAGGAATGTTTTACCTTTAACTTTTAAACTTAAAAATCAATATAATCAATGGTAAACTTTTAAGGAATTTAGGTGCAGGGTGTTTTGAGTAGGAGTTTAAAGTAACAGTAATCTACCTGACTTATTAATAATTAGTCTGTTATTCAGTAATTACTGAATAAAAGTTGATATAGGTTAATGTATTTAGGGTTTCAGAAAAATACTCGTACATTTTATATGGAATCTAGAAGAATAATGAAAGTTTATCCATCATGCAAAAACAGACAACTAGGCCCTTTTTGAATTCATTTTGCCAAAAATGCAAAGAAGTTCTCCCTGTCGGTGTGACGTTACATATTTTTTTATTTTAAATATTTAATTTAAAAAAAATGAAAATAATTGTAAAAAAAAATAATAATATATGTTTATTATAGTTATATATATTATGAGCTCTCAGCTGTCAAGTTGCCTGATTATCATAACGACTTTAAAGCCTGACAGTTCAGCATGCATGGATACCTGGTGGCTACTATTAAAATTTATTCAGAAGCCTAAAATATCAAAGAGACAGACAAAAATATACAATTAAGTTTTGTCTTTCAGTCCATTGTGATATAAATTATTGATAATTATTGTAACAGTTATTGAAAACAGTAAAATAATTGAAACTCAAAAAAAAAAAAAAAATCCACTTTGAGATTGAAGTAGATCCACGATGAATATGTTATTGTCAAGTGGAAAGACAAGAGATAGACTTTTAAATGTCTGTATTGAAATGTTTCACATTGACATGCTATTTGTTGATCTACCATTCATGCCTGTTACACAATTGTAATTGTCACTTAAAAACAATATTTTTTGGACTAATTTCAACTGATTATAGGCATATACACACTGTAGTCCTGTCTATGTTCTCTTGATGGTTTTATTCTGTTTGTGAAGAAGATTATATTCAATCAATGAATGAAAACAAAGAAAAGGAATGTCATTATCCTTATAAACATTACATAACAAAGATCCTTTTTTAAGTCAGCTAGTAAAGAAAAGTTAAGCTAGTTAGATTTTCTGGCTATTACAATAGCATTAGAAGATTCTTGACCAGGACTTGATCCGAGTTTATCTGTAAATTGCCTGTATAGTTTAGAAGGTTTTAACAGGTTAGAAGTGTCATTGTCCAAATCCATTTGTTTGGTGTGTTTATATTGTGGAACAACTTATCTCACCTATGACATTTACACTGGGTGATGAATAAAGGTACAAATATCAATATGGACAGTTATGTAAGTCAAATATATATCTATAGGTGTAGAGGAATTAACACACGGATGGGGGATGTTTATTTTGTATACACACAACACACACAAATGTTGATGATGTATTAAGACTTCAAAGCCTGATGTATATATCAAATATACAGTCACTTATTTGAAACACAAGAAATAAAAATTAGTGTTACTTAGAGGAATGACAGTGTAAGACACAACTATTTCATATTAAAGCAGTTGTTCAAACAGTCAGGTCAGATCAGATAAAATATAGTCTCTCAAATACTTTTTATAACATGCATTTTGAACATTTACTTTACGTAGGTTAATGAAGGCATATGATAAATCAAAGTACTGAAAGTACTGCTACGAGTTGATGGTATTGTTTGTACGTTGTTTAACATCCCTCTCGAGAATTTTTACTCATATGACTAGGCATCACCACTTAGTGCTTCAATTTTTGCCCTATACTCATCACTTTACGGCCATTGATCAGTGATGGTTTTTTTGTGTCAGCACATACTGCCACACAGGACCTCGATTTATTAGGTCTCATCTGAAGGATCGGTCGCCACGTCCAATAGTGGGATTCGAACGCACGATGTAAGGATCAACTACTTACTGTTAAAATGAGTTGAGATCACTGATACATATTTGGGTTATATGTGTTATGTGCTCTGATGAAAAAAATAAATAAAGCAGCTTTTCACACAAATATTTCAAACTAAGAGGACCAACCTTCAACAATATTAGAATAGGGAATTATAACTTAAAAAGAGCGCAAATGAATAAAATCATTAAAATGCACCATAATATGCACATCAAATATTTTCACTATTTTCATAAATTGACATTTTCATTGCACATCAATATGTTTTATTTCTCGTGATTAAGCCACTCTTAAATTTCAAATCCTCTATTTTCATTGATATGCATATTACAAAATTCAAAATTTTGATTTGTTTAATATGGTTATTGAAATTCGGCTCCTCGTCTTTCAAAATTTGCATGTATATTTGATATTTTCTTGATTTAGCCTCTCGTGAAATTCAACTCCTTGTCTTGTATGGTCTTTGATATGCAAAATAAATACTCCAATTCTCCCGATTTAGCTGCTCTTAAAATTCAACGCTTTTTGACTTTTAGTTGAAATGAACATTTTAATTTTTTTTTTTCGTTTGGTTTAGACACTCTTGAAATATATCTACCTGACTTCAATTCATTGATTTGCACGTGTAATATTTCATTTCTTTCAATTGAGCTCTTTTGTAATTCAACTACATGACTTTCATTGATAAATTCATGAAGGATTAATAATTTTATTCTTTTTGGCTTTTTGACTGAAGACTAAAACTTTATCACAATGGCATGGTATATTAATCGTTTACATAATCTATTTACTATTGAATATATTTGAATTTTCAGTCTCTTGATTAACATTTATAAACAAACATTTCTCATTTTATTTATGAATAACACCCGATTTAATCTTTCTGTATATATTTTTTTTTTTGGTTATTTTTTTACTGTCTTCTGTACTTTAAATTAATTCACTGTATCACATTGCCAGCATCTGATGGTAAGACACAGCTGGATATAGTAAAGGAACTCTCTTTCTAAAGTAGCGCAGACAATAAGATAAGAATAACAGGCATGTTAAGTGACCTCTACTGTAATTAAAACTTGCTGTGATGCAGATCTAAATTGTGGAAGACAGTGGTTCTTTTATTGTTTGCACAAGAAGTAATGGCATTTACATAAAAAATATTTTATCAACTGGTACAGTTCATTTCTTCCCTTTCAGGTTAATATTTGATTTCACTTTGACTATCCCTCTTAACTAGGTGTTTCTCGCTTTGTTTACAAACATAAGTAGTGTTCTATATATAAATACTTCATCACTAGTTATCGCGGGAAAATTGCACTGGTCATTAGCATACTAGATCAGCGCAAGGATTAGTTTATTTATATACCACTAACACGTCAGTCTTGTAAAAATAACCTGGTTTGTACAATATTTAATTGTGTAAATTTTCTTTCAAAATCTATTTTCAAATTACTTAAAATAAGTTGAAATAGTTAGAAATACTAGTATTTATTGACTTAAAAATCAAAACTTTGTTTGCACGACATGTCACAATTTTTGACTGCATGCCCCTTGCACTATTTTCTCTCGCGGATTGACACAAATTCCAAAAAAATAAAATAATAAGTATTTAAGTTTATAAACACTTCAAATCATATCAGGAAACATATTCTTATTCTGTAGATCATGAATATTGTAAATAAGCCAATATTATACAAGAATCTGTATGCAAAATACTCAAACGAAAATGTGATTAGTTTCGATACATGGGGAATCCCTTACCAGTAACATAACTTGAGTTGATGCCATCAACTCGTAAAAATGAAACAAATGTTTTCTGAATCAGTGCTTTAATATGTATGATACAATGTATGGACAATCACTATTAAAGTCTACAATAAATGTTGTATGAATTTAGTATTAGTAAGGAGTAATGTAATCAGTAGCCTTATAAGTTTCATTGAAGGGTTTATTGAGTGCACTGCTTATTCAGATGTTTATTTTCATGAGAGGTATAGGCTTTGTGCAAGACACAGAAAATAAAGCCAACATTTGGGAATCTTTAGTGTTAATGGACTGAGCATGCAGGACTCTGTCCTTGTAGAAGAAGTACACCATGTAAGTTCTAGTGGGAAAAAAAAACAGGGAGGAAAGAGGAAAAGATAGCTGGGAGGGTTCCACACAGATACATTATATATAAGATTGCCAGACCAAAGGGTCTGTCTGCATGGCCATACCCCTCAGGCTCTGTTAAATTTAGTGGCAAAGTCTGCATCTTCTCCTGAGAACCAGCCACATAAGAATATTATTTTGACAATTTTAATCATTATTAGATCAATGTATGACAGCTAATTTGAAGAATACTTGTTGTTTTATAGAGGTTATGCACAGAGAGTGCCCCCCTAACCCCCCCCCCCCCCAATGTCCCACTCCCATTATTCTGCAGTTTGGAGTAGAAGTTGTAGGACTAAATCATGTAATATTCACACGTAGATGTAAAGAGGTGTAGGTACCAGGTATATAAAGGGACTGGATCTGTATGTCTGTAGAAAATTACAATTTTATATATCAGATTTTATCCTCTGTAGTTTTTTCAACCCCCCCCCCCCCCCCCCCCCCCAAAAGTAAAGTTATGAAAATGGTCAAATATTAATGGAACGCCAGTAACAATATACGGATAATCTGATAGGACAATATCCTGTTCTAGAAGAATGCACCTGTCAGACTTCTTGGTGAGATAATAATTACAAAACTGCATGCATATCACTAGCTCTGAACAAATTTAACACAAAATCAATGTAACAATATTAGGCCCCAACACTGAAAACAATATGTCATAAATAGTTAATTGTGCTGTAAATTTTACAGATTTCTAAGGTTATAATTGAAACAAAATTAATTCAAAGACATGAGAAATTACATGTAGGTATGATAATGCTACAAATTGAGTATCAGTATCGATGTGTTATGATCGAGATAGTATTTAGCATAAATAGAAAGCTGTATACATGTACTACCTATGACCAATGTGTGATTTTAATATAATGATTACTGTAGATTCCTTATTTGTTGCGAGTACTTCAACGTCAGATCGCGAGAATTATAATTCGCGAATCGACGGTTGATTAATGGAATTTACATAGATTTCAGCACCATGAAAATAAAAGTGAGTAATATTTTTTCGCGAGTGATGCTCCTCGCGTAATTACGTGGAAATTAATTCCTCGCGTATAATTAGGAATCTACAGTAATGCAATATGATGATTCATTTTCCTTCGTTCTGTGATGCATGATAATAAACACTGATTCATAACAATTAAAATACCTCTTATTTATAGACTTCTGCTTGTATAGAATTTCTTCTCTGTCCTTGCTATGATTTACTCTCTCCTGAATTTGTGTAAAATATATCATTCAGTGCGTGTAGAAACCTTATGATCATGTTCTTTGCTAACCTTACTTTTAAATGTTTACTGCAGTGTAAATTTTCCTCTTATTCTTGGATAGAGGACATTAGAATGCATTCCTTGTGGACAATTGAGCCCTATATTCAAGTTAGTCTTTGGAGGGTTTAGGTAATGGAGTAAATTGACAATTGCGACATCATTACCCAGAGCTGTATAATGCAGATTGTAAAGATAAAATTAATCACAGCAATTATCTGTCAGGTAAAAATAAAGTTCATTGAATGTTAATTACTTGTTAAAAGGGGAGGCCTTTTATAGTTTTTGAGTTACATACCTGGTATGTGTACCAAGGTCATTTCTGTAGTCAAAACTGTACACTATTGAGACATTTACTTCTATCATGGTTTATAATTTGAGGACATCTGAGTCATTACTTATTTGCTGATCTGTGAAATATTGTTTGTTCCAAGTTCACAGATGAGAGAGGGGAGCTAGTAGGTATCATATCCTTGATATGAGCATCTTTAAAATCTACATATTAAATTAAATTGTACTGGTAGTGCACTCGATGCTTCTCAAGTGCTAAAATCTGAGTTCAATCTCTGTGATTGGCAGAGGTAAATGCCACTTGAACATGCAGAATTTCTTTGGATGCTGTATAGTAGTTTCCTCCTTTAGGAATGACCCCCCCCATGCCAACATCCATGCAAAGGACCCCCATTGGAAATAAGCTTTTGAGTTTCCATTGGCTATTCTTGGTATCATATACATTGTAGTACATGTACATTATTTGAACTTCAGTAATCAGTATACCAATGGAATAATATATGTCGAAGTGGTTGGGGGATCCATGCAACCATGTATATTTCTCGAGTATTTTACCCTCGATATCTTGAACTTCAGGATTATACAGTAAAACTTGGTTATAATGAAGTCACTGGGACCTATGAAATTACTTTGCTAAATCCATAATTCGTTATAATTGTATAAGAAATTCATTAAATTTATATAGCTTGGGATCAAAAATGACTTCGCTATATCCGTAAATTCGCTCTATCAGTGTTCGTACTAAATGAGTTTTGCTATAGATCTTTTTTTTCTTATGAAGTCCCATTGAATTTGAGATAACGAGGTTTGAATAAATTTATTTCTCAGATTCTTCAATATTGCACTCCTAATGACATAGGATCAAGATAACTAGAATGAGAGTGAACATCAGTCAAAGTTGAAAATTAATGCAATTCAGTACCTTAGTGGCTGAGTTGGTCATATCAAGAGAAACTCATAACAGACATATATACTACTCTTAGGTGGCCTTTAAGGCCCACAGGCCTGTGATGTTTTCAAGCTGTGATATAAATGTTCCATTTGTAATGTCTCAGCTTTCATGTATCAGAATTATTTATCTTTTATTAGATAATAAGAAAAATAAATTGTTATCTAGATCTGTCAGCTACTGAATTAGCAGACTAACAAAGAGTTTAAGAAGACAGAATTTTAAATTGCTTTAGAAAGAAGATCTCACAGCGACTAAACCCCCGATGCTGTCATTTACGAGTGTAGAGGCTAGGGTTTCCCATACATAAAATAGCCGTCTTCAATGGAACGCTACTGGAAATTATCCTTGTCGTGATTACTCAACCTTGAAAATATGCACTATTTAAAAATTTCCCAACCTGTATTTTAAATTCAATGTTGACAGTCTTTGATCAAGGTGTATACTGCAGTGTTATATACATATATATTCACACTGTAGAAGAATCAATTCCTGTACTTGAAACTCTAGAACTGACAATAAAATCCAAGATCATTTATGCAAATACTCTTGTCAAATGCTTTACATTCGTAAAGAACGATATGCACAGTTTAGGTACAAAATGTAAATGATGTCACTGAGAATAGTAAATTGGTTATCAGATATTGTGTCATTAATTTGACGAAAGATTTGTTGAGAATGCATGAATAGCTCAGCGAACTCCATGACTTTAAAGGTAAAAAACAATGAATCAGATTTGATATGATTGGATGCAGGTTACATATTCCCAGTTTGCTTGCTACATTTAATACAGTATTTTCCTTTGCATATCTATTTTCAGAGTGATGGCCTATCAGGGTGGTGTTGCCCCTAACTTGTCACGACAGGGGAGCCACCATTCTCTGCAGGGTCCCCCAGGTTATGACCCTTATTCATCCCATCACAGACTCCAACCCTCCAACCTCACCCAATCAGTTCGCCAGGATCCTAGGAGTCAATCCCAGATCCTAGGCCATTCATCTGGTCAGGCACAGACCCAGAAGTATGTGTCCCAGCCAAATCTCTCCCGTCATGAAATGGAGAAACAGCACTATGGAAGCCAACAGATTTCTCCTAAGCCAACATACCAGCCAATCAGACCACAAGAAAAATCCAGCAAACCAGCATATCGGCCAATCAGAGGTGATGAAAGTCAGTTGAACGAATCACAGTACAGCAGTCAACAAAACTTATCTTCACCAACCAATCAAAAGCCACATTATCAGCCAATCAGACCGAAGACAAATGAAGGGTCAAACTTATCCAGACCTGTCAGTCTCCAGAACTTGAGTCTTGATCAGCAATGGAACTTAGTTCGTAGTGAGAGCCAGAGATCTGTGTCTGGTCCTAGACCAAAAGTTCAAAATTATGCACAGAATCAGCCATCTCCATCCTCACCTCAGGGTCAAAGGTCACTCTACCCTGAGGAAACTAGTCCACAATCAACCTCTCCCAAATACCTACCCAATCAACCCATCCTTCGCCAGGACAGTGAAGGTCCCCCTCCCTATCAGAGGGAGCCAGAACAAATCACAGCCTCCCACCAAAGCCCTCAGTACTCCCCTAAACAGAATGGGTACTCCACACATGATTCTAGAAGATCACTGAGGTCCCAGACCTCACCTTATCCTTCCAGGAAGGACGCCGCGAGTCCACCACACACCACACCCATGATGTCGCGGAAGGGGAGTGAGTACTCACACGCTCAGCGGAGCACTCGAACTCAGCAGAGCACTCAGAGTCAGATGTCCTTGGCCAGCTCGGGGAGTGGTGCTCACCCAATACCTGAAGGTAGGTGTTATGAGGTGGTTACCAATTACTGTGAAAAGAAGCAGAAAATCTCTCTAGTATGATGCTAAGTCTAGGTTGATAGTTCACAACAATACATATGACTTGAAAGCATTCAACAAAACAACCACATTAAATCATGTGGTTTAATGACTGTGTGAAATACATGTATGATGTATCTGTACTTGAATTTCCAAATTCACTGATAAACTGATGACTGACCATGTTTTGTTTAAAAACTGATCAAAGTTAACAGACATTACACTCAGTGTATGTTTATCAGCGGCTGACATTGAAATCAATGGTTTTTGAATAGAAAACATTCCACATTTGATAGAATAAATCATGTCTACTTGACCATTTATGAATTTAATCTATCTTTTGTAAAGCAGAATTAATCCTATTATAAAAGTGAAATATTTTACAAACACAGTATATGAATGACCTTGTTGTCACATTAAGCCAATATGTCACATTATATGTGTAAGGATATAGGATTGGGAACTTGGCAAACGCTGGCATGATCAAAATACAGAGCATGCATAGTGTATTAGCTCTCTTCCTTCAATAAATTCATAGACATGTAATATATAATATTATCATATTCAGAGCCTCTAAATTTTCAGTCAATTTGAAAACCATATTAACTTTTTGAAATTGAAATGCTTTAGGAGTGTTTTTTTCTTTGAATGTTGGAAGTCTCTACAGAGACAAGATTGAATCAATTATATATCAATATATATTTGTAACTTTGAAGTAGGAAAATGGTCTTTTTATGTATGCCAGAAGATATATATTTTACTTGTGACTAAAATTAAGATTATTTTGATCTATACCAAAATTCTTTTTTACTTGACAGCCCGAGGAATGGAGGCCTCTCACATCATTGAAATCCTGAAAACAGAGATTGTCTACCTTACAGGTATATACCCGTTGTGTTGCTCTTAGATTTCAGCCAACCTTATGCATATTACATAGGGTGATAATGCACAGATGAATTTTTTCAACACATTACATTATCAGCATTAAGTGTCATTTCAAAACCTATGCCTGTGCAATTGATACACTTGTATTTGTCAGCAATCCAGAAAACTGTCTCCACGTTGACTGAAATAAATATGCAGCTAGAAATCTGATACATATACATACAGTGACATTATACTTAGCATTATAATTGAATGGAATATTCTCATATGTTAAGAATAGTTAATTTTGTTTTAGACACTAAATGTATTGAATTTGAAATTAAATCTATGACTACCATAATTAGAGAAATATTACGTGCAGTGTAGAACTACACATGTAAATATTTAGAATAATGATTTATGGGTTAACATTGATTTGACCTTGACCTTATATTAAAGGAGGGAGGGACAGACAAGGAGGACCAGTGCTGACCTTTCCCCCTCAACCTGTCAACCCCAGCTTCAACTCACATGACATCACTATCTGCCTCAAGTACCTGTCTCAGATACCCAGGTAAGGTTACCAGCTTACATACAACTCACATGACATCACTATCTGCCTCAAGTACCTGTCTCAGATACCCAGGTAAGGTTACCAGCTTACATACAACTCGCATGACATCACTATCTGCCTCAAGTACCTGTCTCAGATACCCAGGTAAGGTTACCAGCTTACATACAACTCACATGACATCACTATGTGCCTCAAGTACCTGTCTCAGATACCCAGGTAAGGTTACCAGCTTACATACAACTCACATGACATCACTATCTGCCTCAAGTACCTGTCTCAGATACCCAGGTAAGGTTACCAGCTTACATACAACTCACATGACATCACTATCTGCCTCAAGTACCTGTCTCAGATACCCAGGTAAGGTTACCAGCTTACATACAACTCGCATGACATCACTATCTGCCTCAAGTACCTGTCTCAGATACCCAGGTAAGGTAACCAGCTTACATACAACTCACATGACATCACTATGTGCCTCAAGTACCTGTCTCAGATACCCAGGTAAGGTAACCAGCTTACATACAACTCACATGACATCACTATCTGCCTCAAGTACCTGTCTCAGATACCCAGGTAAGGTTACCAGCTTACATACAACTCACATGACATCACTATGTGCCTCAAGTACCTGTCTCAGATACCCAGGTAAGGTTACCAGCTTACATACAACTCACATGACATCACTATGTGCCTCAAGTACCTGTCTCAGATACCCAGGTAAGGTTACCAGCTTACATACAACTCACATGACATCACTATCTGCCTCAAGTACCTGTCTCAGATACCCAGGTAAGGTTACCAGCTTACATACAACTCACATGACATCACTATCTGCCTCAAGTACCTGTCTCAGATACCCAGGTAAGGTTACCAGCTTACATACAACTCGCATGACATCACTATCTGCCTCAAGTACCTGTCTCAGATACCCAGGTAAGGTAACCAGCTTACATACAACTCACATGACATCACTATCTGCCTCAAGTACCTGTCTCAGATACCCAGGTAAGGTTACCAGCTTACATACAACTCACATGACATCACTATCTGCCTCAAGTACCTGTCTCAGATACCCAGATAAGGTTACCAGTTTACATACAACTCACATGACATCACTATCTGCCTCAAGTACCTGTCTCAGATACCCAGGTAAGGTAACCAGCTTACATACAACTCACATGACATCAATATCTGCCTCAAGTACCTGTCTCAGATACCCAGGTAAGGTAACCAGCTCAAATTAACTTCAGTTAAATCATTGAGATATACCAATGCCCATGCTGGTAAATACAGAAAAATTGTCACAAATACATTATTATACCTGTCAAAGTTAATCAAGAATCTTGTATTATGTTGACAAAACAAATCTCTTGGTTTTGAGAGTGCTGGTGCACATGGTTTGCAGTAGAATTGAATTTGTACATTTAAGTTTTTTGCTTGTGACACATAATACAATATATTCTTTATGCCTCTGTTGTTTGGCTTTTGAAAAAGGAATGCTCCCCCCAGCTAGTATTGTCCCAGTAAACCACTGGTCATTTATTTGAGTATATAATCAATTGTCAATACACTGTAGCAAAAAGGGTAGGACATCCTGTAGAAAAGTAAATATTTATTTACAAAATTTACGAGCTCCTACACCTGGTTATAAAACAGCAGGTACTCCGATAAGAGATTGAGTTATTAATGTTTTCTACAATCAGCAGTAAGTAAACAAGATAGAGATCTACACACACAAGTCTAGGTATGTTAGATAATCCCGTGTACCATTGTCCTCAGACCGTGTCTGATGTTTGTCCGTAGATTAGGGACGGTTATTTCATGCTTAACCTGGCTGTAAACAAGCAGCCTCAGGGCAGAACAATGGCCAAGGCACTTTATCTGAACAAGATCATCTAAAAGTCACATTAGTGGAAAAACTTTAAGGACATTTTTTAAGATATCTGAGGAACACCCACACAATATTTAGGAGCTTTATCATTATATATCCAGACTTAGTGGTTGAATTTCAGAGTTAGCTCCCTTTTAACACAATTTGCAAAAGTACTGCAACTTTTTCAAAACCACAATACATCTTTAACTTTTTTTTACCTCACATATTAAAATAATACTTATCGAGGATGAATACCTGAAAGCTATGTTAATATGTCATTGTTTATACATTTTTTTTACACAAATGTTAAAGACTTTTTGCTTGTTTAGGACTAATATTTAAGATTCAATTACAAACTTGTATTGTTGAAGACTAGCAGGGTTCGATACTAACGGTAGCCCGCTGGCCCGGGACAAGTGAATATTGAGGTCAGGATACTAAACATGCCCTGCAGGACTACTGTAAATTTTACCAAACACTCACTCAGAGCAACAAAAATAATTATAATTTACACACAATGTACCTGATCATTGTTAAATTTAATTTCAAACATATGTTTTATCGTCATACTTATTATTTTTGTAAGTCAAAATGTAAAACTTTGAAGGTGATTCGAAATACCCTAAATGATTATAAATATGGAATTTTTTGAACAGAAAAATGTCTTAGGTACAATCATAGAGTGACATAATTTTACCCAAAATACAGCCAGAATGCGGGATTTGGTATCTCTATTTTCAAAATTTCCCGGGGGAGGCCCCCCGTACCCCCACCAGCAGGAGGGGAAAGACCCCTCCCTCACCTACCCCCCTCATCGCTTCGTGACTCGGCCACCAGCCTTTGGCTGCTGGACAACTAATACATAAACAGGGCTAGTGGAAATTAGAAATGGCTATCCCTGCTGGCAACTATGGTTTTAAAGTTAGTGTCGATCCCTGACTAGGGATGTGCTATTTTATCAATATACCTGTATATCGTGATTTTTTTTTGCATGATACATATTGTGATATGGTGTATCACAATATGTAATGTTTTGTAATTATAAATCCAGAAATAATTAACATTTTTTTCAGACTCGATGTTGAATTATAATTACAAGAATTGTAAAAATATTACATGTATAAAACAGTAAAAAAAATAGAATCTTAGCAAACAAACATGCTTTAGTAGCATGTAAAATAAAAATGAAAAGCAAAGTTACATTTTTACACAAAATTTATTGGAAAAAACTTGAAAATTCATTTGAAATCATAGTAAAAATTAGGTGTAATAAAAGTCATGCTATTATATACATTTGGGATATTTCGTGATACAAAATTTTTGGAGATACTCATTCCCATTGAAGACATTGATTAATTGGCAGTTTTGATGAACTTTTCAGTGAGGAGTCTAAGAGGCGGGGCTTCACAGCTATTGTGGACAGTAGAGATGGGTCCTGGCAGAACCTGGTCACAGTGCTGGGCTGTCTCAAAGTAAGGAAACACCCAGGGAATCTTTAGATATCAATTAACAAATTTATTGCTGTGATTTGCTATAAACTGTTTTTGTAAAGATAAATTGAAGATTTTTTTAAAAAGAAATTCTAGTCTAATTAATGACAATAAAATGAAATTTATTACAAATTTCCCAACATTACAACAAAACATTCTTTTTCAGCAATCTCTTGGAGAATACATGAAGCAAGTGCTAGTACTGAAGGCTGACCAACAGATGGACAGACGGTCCAGTAGTAGCAGCTTCAGGAGAGACAGAAACAACCCAAACCTAGAGGTGAGGATAGGACTGAAAGTTAATGTTGAACTTGCTATATTTGAGAAATTATGTAAAAAAATTTCAGAAATTAGAGAAGACTGATATATATGCCTTCTTTCTATTGATATTTCAGCCCCAGTTTGTAAATCTCCAGAGACTGTACACTTACGTAGATAAGAATCAGCTGACTCACAGTTATGGAGGACTGCTGTGGTACAACCATCATGAGTGGCTCCAAAACAGAATTGTAAGTCCTTTTGCTTGTTTAATATGAAATTCAATTAAAATTGGCTCAGTTTGGACCAAAAGCACTAGCCTGATGCCCAAACACTGGTAAACAATTTGGTCCATATCGTAGAATGCAGAATGGCACTAGTTTGAAATCTCAATCCTGTCACTAGATTTGAATATATCCTTTTTGCATTCATAGTAAATTGAAAATCCCCTCTAAATGATATACCTATAAAAATGTTGATAGAGGTGTTGGAATGAATCTGGTCTTTTTGTAGGACCTGGAGAAGTTTATCCGTGAGTCGCGCGCGGCCTCGTCACACCTGGACGACTCGGAGACCCAGATACACCAGGTATACTCCCAGAAGGAGACCCTGACCAGTCCCCTGGAGTCCCTCCGTCAGCACCGCTTCTTCCAGGAGTCCATCATGAGTGTCCCCACCCAAGTCATACGCGACGGTATAATCTCATTATTATTTCACATTTGTCTTTTTTTTCTCTCTCATCCCTTTCTCTCTCAATTTATAATTTGAATAGCTTCTTAAGATTTTTTACATTTATGAGACAAAAGCCTCATTACAGAAAAAAATGTTTTCGCCAAGTTAAACATGATTCTAAATATGGTTCACTTGAAAAATGGTTTTGTATGAAATTCTTATCAGTTTCTAGTTTTACTGAGATTCATGTAATTTTCAGACAAATTTGTCCCAATTCCTATCTTGGAAGATCATGGTTTGTATTTGATGAATGTACAGAACATATTTTTTCTTCTTTTTTATTATATTATGTATACATGAGTCAGATATATATGGATGTTAGTGTTTGGAATGATATGGATATCTGGATTTAAATACCTGGTCTGGTCTTTTTAATCCTCAAGACATCCTTAACATCAGGGCAATAAGTTTTGGGAAGATAAGAAAAGTAAAACCCACTTCTTGTAATCTTTTAAGGGCATTCAATGTTATTATATACTCTACACATGTAAATGACTTGATTCAAGCGTTGTAAGCTGAAATTTCGAAGATAGCCATATCACCCAAATAGATAAATATGTCTGTAATGTTTATTCCTATGAGTTTTAGACCATGCAGTGATTTGTTAGCCATTGTCTTTTTACATCATTGTACCAAGTTATATCCAATTTTGAAGCAAAGCAACCTAGAGACTTTGTATAAAGTGAGATGATAGCTTTTGATTTTAGGTTCATTTGAACAGGATGACAGCTGTATTTTTCCCTATTAACAACAGTTATTTGGTCAAATATATCCACACAACAGCTGTTTGGGAGAGGGAGGGGGTGCATTTGTTTCAAAACACATCATATTTGATAAAGTAAAATTTGATAAAGTAGAAGTTCATATGAAATTTATTAACAGGGATGATGTACTAAAGACTGCAGGTTTGGTGCCAGTTTGGAAATGCATTTATTTTTTCATTTTGGAGTTTGTTTGCATGAACAAATAAATTATTTTTTGTACATGTAGTATTCAATTTGGTTGTAATTCATAGTTCAGTGCATAAAATATTGCCAGATTCAGTGTAATATTTTTTTTTCTGATGGAAAGTTGTTTGAAAGTTATAGCTTGAAGTTGTACAAAAGAAGCATTCTTTGTTTATGATTAAATCATTTTTCATCAACTAATACTTAATCAAAAGTACTTTTAATGCTTTTAAAGGAATATTTGCTTATTTAAAAAAAAAATAGCAGACAGCTTATTTTTTACAAGTATAAATCTTTATCTTAAAAATACTATGTATGTCAGTTTTGTGAGATGCATAGCAAAACAGATAAAATAGTAACAGTGACTGAAGTTATACACATACTTTTTGACATTCAATAAAAATCTTTGTAAATTTTCCTGAATTTGTTTTGCAGGTCGTGACCTTTTGACCCGACTTAAGAGGCCGGGGAACTCGGAGGAGGACACAGCGAGTACGCTGGATAACCTTGAGGAACAGAAACAGGTGAAGCGGCTGATCACGTACCTAGAGAACCGCGTAGACAAGTTACAGAACCTACTGGAGGACCGAGATCGCTCACTCAATCTCAACCTACACTACGAGGACTTCCAGAGAAACGTCAAAAATGTGAGTCTTAGTTTTCTAGGGAATTTGGATGGGCTTCAGTTCTATTTTTTGAAGCTTGAAAGAAATTAAGATTGGCCCAAAATTTGTTGGTTTTTCGGGGTTTAACTATGGAAATGTACCAATGCACATACATTTTGTAATATTTTGTGTATTAGAATAAAACGTACAGATGAATTATTTAAAGGCGTCCATCAATAAGGTATCAGAACAATCTCTATTATCGAGATTACTTGATAATTTGGTAGGTGGTGACTTGGATTCTTGGTCCTGGGGAGAAGTTGCTGGCCTCACAGGTGGGGATTGGGGATTCTTACCATGCTGCTGAGGAACTGAGGAAAAGACATGAAGAAATGGAAATCAAATGCACAGTAGGACTTATATCTTATTTCTCTGATATCTTTGTGTTGTTTTCATGGACACACATAAGTGTGTTGTCTACATTATTAAAAAGTAAAATTTCTGTATATATGAATAAAGTAAACTATTAGATAAAGAACCTTGTAAAAATGCAAAGAATTGGCTACCCTTATTGGGTTTCAGAGTTTTCTATGCTTCATTGTCACTTGTTCTTAAGGTGCAAATCACTGGAAATGTTATGTATTGCATTGAAAAATAAAATAACATTATGATAAATCCTTCATGGCTCTTCTACTGATTGAAAAAACATGAGTTAATTTTCAGCAAACACTACACTTAAATACACAACTGTATTTCTTTTGTCATTCAGGACACGTATGGTCAGTACGCAGAACTGCGACACACAGCGGAGGAGCTGATCAGTGAGGAACATCCAGCCACAGCGGACATCAGGTCAACCCGGGACTACATGGACACGGTCTGCCGGAGCTTCGCCAGTCGACTGGAACGTCGACGCACTCTGTTGATCACCTCCGTACGATTCCACAGACTGGCAGAAGAGGTTAGTACAGGACTGGTGGACCATTAAAAACAAATGTCATCCACTGTTTTGATAAAAAAAAACGTGTATTGGCAGAAAACTTTTGAATTCTCCTTAATCACACATCTTTTCTGTAATATATCAGAAAAGATATTTTTTGAGAAAGATTCAACAGTATTAGCTTCCAATCATTGAAAATCTTGTAAGAGGACTATATAAAGAGTGTCTTATTTTTTCCCCAGTTTTCTGTGAAGTTGGATGACCTACTTGAGATGCTGTGTAGTGAGATAGAGGCTGAGGATGTCCCTTCTGCTGAGGCAGCCATTCAGAATCTCAATGACAAATGTGAAAATATAGGTACTGTATACAGAGATTCATAGGTCTTTCTTCAGTATCCCTCAATCAAAAAAAAATTAAGATACATTTACATGTATTTAATAATTAAATTAAAAAAGTATCCTTTTGTTAGAGATGGGTAGTGTATCTCATTTGAAGACTTTTATAAACAGTCCCCTGTTATAAATTAATATGGTACCATATTTCAACTACTGTTGAAATTTTTAAAATAAAATATGTTCAATCATTCTTATAGTGAAAGTTGTCCTAAGAAAATGAAATAAACATTAACTGTACATTTCGTTTATTGTCCTCTCCAGACAATTTGGCTCAGCAGACCTTGGATGATGGCCAGAGCCTGTTGGATGAAATGTCCCGCCCTGTCAAGAATGCCATGGGTAAGGACATCACCCCAGACTACGCCTCACAGATTAAACACGTCCAGAAGAAACTGGAGGACCTCCAGGAGAGAAAATTACGCTGTGACGAACTGTCTGATGTCCGCAAACTCAAACTACAACAGATACTTCAACTACGCACTTGTGAAAGGGACGCTGATCAGGTACAGGAGTGTCATATAAAACTTTGCTATGGAAGGTTGATTTCACTGCTGAATAAGTACTGTCAAGAATCTAAAATTTTCCTGTAATTATGATAACATGTTCAATCAAATCTCATTTACTGAATGGGTTCAAGAAAAATGTGTGAGATATCTGATGTAGGGAATAAGGGTTGGGGACTTCCAAGTCACTTTAACATATCCATGGTATTCGAGGTATCAGTCTTTGGGATTACAAGGATCAACTGTATACTGTATACAGGCTTATTTTCACCCTTTTGCATTTGCAAACTATTTTGCCCCATTTTAAATTTGTCCAGTTGTAGTTTTGTTTATGATATTATGCTGTGTAATTTGAACTCACACCATTTTAAATTCGCCCTGTCAGGAAGAGGGCGAAAGGGGCAAAAATAACATGGGGGCAAAAATTTCCCTGTATACCGAAAGATATGGAGGTTAACAGATTTTTATTTGTCCCCCTAGGCTATAGACTGGATCCTGGAGCTGTGTGAGGTGATGGCAGCCACCCACACCAGTATGGGGAGTACCCAGGAGGAGGCAGAGAACCTCCAGCTTGAGCACAAGAAGTTCGAGACCACAGCTGCTGTAAGGGGATTGTACTCTGTGTAGAACTTAATGCTTTGTCTCTTTTTCTGTGACATTGTACAAAAATATGACCGAATATAGATTTTCAAGACTTATATTACATGTTAACAGCTACAAAATACAATCATTTCAGTTTCCTTTAATCATACCTATGGTAAAAAATTGTATCTTTCAACTACTGTATTTTTAATTCTAAGCTTAAATCTATTTACTGTAGGGAACTTATGAGTATGGGAAGCAGTTGCTACAAGCAGGCTTGGTTCTGCGTCGGTCACTGAGATACGACCTGGCCCCGAATAATGAGAGATCTCACCGACTGGAGGAAGCCTGGAAAAGATTCTCACAGGGGACCAACGAGCGAGCCAACAGACTCACCGTGTCAGCCATGTTCCTCGCATCAGCTGACAAAGTATGGAATTGTTCACATATTTCAGAAAACATTTTTTAGAAACCATTATTTTTTAAAAAAAAAGAGAATTTCTCATATGCAATTATTTATTGTCATTTCTTTTAAGACTTAATTTTGAAAATGTATTTACTAGGGATGTCAAATCGGTCAATTTTCAATACTTGGTTACTCGGACGTTTTTCCATCAGACCCGGGATATGGTAAAAGTGTAAATAAATATGAACAAGTAAATTGAAGACTGTAAAAAATTGTAAACTCTTGTTGAAATAAAACTGATGTGAGGCTTTTCCGTAAATGTATTTCTGTTGTAATAATGATGATGAACACTTCGTGCCCGACTAAATTTAATATAACATTTTTTAAAATTAAATTTATTTATCAAATAAACACAAGAAATAAAATCAAAAGTTGTTCACAGTATTTTTGTTTAAAAAAAATAATCTGCTCCGTAATTGTAATGTAACTCTTTCTCGCGTTTGACGACAAGGCATCAGTCGTCAGAGCTACGTACAGGATCAACTTGAACTTGATAAAGTTTTCCTAACAGAGCGGATTTACGATTTTCGTACACTTTTTCAATCCTAGATTTTATAATATTAAGGGACGGTATTTTGTAGTTTGGTGCAACGATGGTCATCGTTTTTTTTAAAGCCTTTGCCTTCAACCACTTGTATTGGCATATAATCAAACACAGCCATATCAACAATCGCACGTGTAATATCATCCGCTCTTTTCCCGAGAATTTAATTACGGCTTCTCGGAGAATTGACAAAATTATCAAATTTATTTAAACGTAATGGATTTAAACGATGTTCAGTGAAAACAAATAATTAAAGCCAGACAAAAAATAAGGGTGAAAGACAGCCGAAGGTGAGAAAGGTCAGGTACCCCAGGTGCTTGGTCACGATAATTACTGTATAAACACTGCCACAGACGATAACGGTCATTTAGAGTCCTAGTAAACCCTAATTACTGTATGTACAAGTGCAATGAGCATTTTACGTTTTAAAGCAGATTGTTTAATACATTAATAAATAAGCTTAGAAATATTCAAAAATATACATCCGAGAAGCCATTATTTTTTTCAAAATGAGAATTTTTCAGATTTAATTATTTTTTTTGTCATTTTTTTAAGACTTAATTTTGAAAATGTATTTACCAATTTTTGATCCGTTAACAGATTCTGGATCGAGTGGATGACCTTCTGATTCCAATTTCCTGGACAATGTCAGGAGAGGCCACTGTGCCAGACATCCTCAAACAATACACACCGATCAAAGGTCAGGTGGAGAGGGACCACCAGGAGACGGATCGTATGGGGCGGGCCCTGCTAGAGAGGCTGGCCATGCCAATAATACTCACTGAGGGGTAAGTCTCAAAAGCCAGTACAAGGGAAATGTGCAAAGTTGTAACTTTATTATAATTCCAAGACAAATTTAATGATTAAAAGAAGACTTGTAAACATATAACAAAAGGATTTTTATCATTTCTTAATAACTTTGTGTTTTCAAATGTTGGGTTGTCAAAAATTCTGACTTTTTGTGTAATGAAATCCAAATGCTAACCGCAGTATGTTTCCCTCCATGGAAAGACCAATTACCTTTGACCTTATTGTTACAATTTTATAATATAGCATCAATTTGACTTCTGAATATATTTTATTAATCCATTTTTTGGTAATTCAGGAAGGAGAAGACTTTAAGTTTGGATGACCATGAGGCTGTGGAGGTCATTAGCAGTAAACTTACAAAAATGGAACAAAAGACAAAGGATCTGAACCGGTACTGGTCTGAAATGGAGCGGACTAGAAGACCCCCGTCAGCAGTGCAATACGGAGAATCTCGTAAACGGCAGCCATCCCGCACAAAGACGTTCTCAGGGTATGATGCTGGTAGGAACAAACCACAGTCTTCACAAAAAAGACAGAGGCGGTCTACATCAGACCTCGGAAATCAGCCAATAGCCCCAGAGAGGGCGGTCAGAACTCGGGAAAAACCCAGACCTCCGGAGAGATCTGGTTCCCTTCATCACAATGTAAAGCCCCCAGTTAGGGAGGGGCTGGTCACCAGCAGCTATAGTCAACCAGTCAATGCCAAAGCACAGAGTCTCCCAAGGAATTTTAGGCCTTCATCCCCTAATACCCTCAAACAACAGCTGGAAGAGGTAAGAATTGAAAAAAAATGTGGCATCATGTATGTGCTCTGTAATGTTGTATGGACTATCCTAGCTAAATTATAATGGTTGTCAGATGAAATAAAGTAAATTGCATAACATCAGATGATGAACCATTATGTGTTTGCTATGAGCTCATCACAAAAATTCTATCAATTTGCACTTCACTAATGTTGCAACTGCAAGTAATGTAAGAACATGATCATCTGCATGTTACTCAGCGACGAGCATGTAGCTTGAATAGAATATAATTATTTCCATCTAATGATGATAGTTTTTGAGGTTTATTGGCTGGAATAATTATTTTCTATCTGTTAGACCAGTTAATATTTTGACATTTTACCTGCATTCTTATTAGCAGAGAACCTATTGTCTGCATGTGCAGTCAGGGTATTTTAGTTTGCTCTAAAAAATTAAAGTACATTTATCTTAAGTTATAATTTAATTGATAAAGGAAGGGGGTCATTTTGTAAGGGTATTAGAAAATAAAAGAAATACATGTGTGAAAGTGTTTTGAGAGAATGGAAATATTAGAAAATCAGGTTTTGTTCAGTATGATCAGTAGCTCTCTTTATCTGAATCTTTGTCTTTTACTTTATAATTTCTGCACATAGAATACATTCATTTGGTTTACATTTCAATAGTGAAGACCTTGGATAAAGGTTGTTTGCAGTGTTTGCACTTCAATTTCATCAAAGGTCATGGTCAAAACAGATTTTTATTTAAACTCCAACATTCCAAGAAGGTATTAATTAATATGAGCTACAAAATTCTGGATAGAATGAAAAGTTTTTTCTCATTTATGCAATTTTTTCATCTTTAAAAAAATATTAGCACTGCTGGAAATTAATGTTCTCCGGCCTTGTACAAAAACTATTTTACATATGTAAGAAATATCGCAACACTAGCAAGTTCCATTTGCTCTCGTATTTAAGTTTACCAAAACTGGAACTATTCAAAATGATCACCACCTGAATGATATCTAGTTTTAGAATGAAGTAATACTTAATCATTTCAGTAGAGATGAAGATTGATTGGTGATCATCCCACATATAGCATTTTGTAGATTACAAATGGATAGATAAAAAATCATTAATAAAGTTGTTGGCAATTTTAACATTTCAATCTATAGCTGCCCATGTTCTTTTTTTGGTTTAACCTGGCAGAGTTGCCATATTGTATGTAAATTCAAATACATTAATAGATGATATATTCAAAACACATGTGTTCTTGGTATAGGGCATTGTCTTGTCAGAGAGGGTTTACACAGAACACAGTTTATACACGTAGTGATACAACTTGTATACGTATATTATGTGTGTGAGGGAGAGATCAACAAGTGTCGCTAAAAACTCTGGCACAAGTACAAGTACTGCTTAATGGCTGCCAGGATCAGAAAATAACAGTACATCTACAATAAATGTCTAAATCTGAGGTATTATCACTGATATATGGACTCTAGTACATACTGGATGTAGCAGCTCTTGGAGAATCCAGCTTCCTAGCTCTCTTCATATCATAGACTTCTGGAAACATGCCACTCTGACTTTTTTGTATTATGGATATACATATTTTAGTTTAAATACATGCATGTACATTTTGACAGTTATATTTGGAGCAATTAAAAGCCAGAAAAAATGGATTTGCAGGTTGGCATATGCACTCTTATTGCTCCCAATCAAATAATGAAGCTAATTCAAATTCTGAAGTATTTAGCAAAAAAAAAAAGTACCTCCTCTGCCAGATCATGACACAGAAGCCCTATAGGACTGATTGATATAAATGAGTCATAATAAAACAATATTCAATTGAATGTACTTTCATTTTGAGGTCTTGCTAAACCTATCTTGATTCTTAATTTATTCTGCCAGAGATTTCTTCTTGTAGATATCAAAGTAACATTTTCAGAAAATCAAACAGCTTTATCTTGGCTTGTGATGTGTGAGATATTTCAACAACCTTTTTTTTTGAGAAGCTGCTTCTAGAAGTGAATTTCTTTCTGTATTTTGGCACAGGTTCTAAAAGTGTTTAAAATAGAAAATATTTATCTGGAATTTATATACTTTGAAAATATGTTTTTCCTTTAATTGATAAATGTTGGTTTTATGTAAGTTAAAGTTTTTGAAATAGAAAAGTTCTATGCAGATCATCAATAAACGTTTAATTTTGTCTAGTAAAAATAATACAATTAATTCTGTGTATCTGGGTTCTGCAGTTCTTACAATGGAACAAATGTAGGTTTGAGAAACTATATAAGAGAATAATTTAATTTTTATTTTGAAATATCTTATAAATTGATTGTATGATGACTTGTGCCACCCCCCACCCCCCTCCCCCAGCCCTTCACATGTTAATATTTTTGTTCTAAAAATACTGAAAATTATTAAAGCTAATTTATTAAAAATCACATTGCAGTGATTTGAGTTTGACATGTGATTTATGAGGAGAGAGAGAGAATCAGTAGATAAGACGTACATTACATAAGCTCCTACAGACAGAAGGCACAGCTCGGCTGGTTACCCATGTCTGTTTACATCAAGAACCACTTACCATATTGGGGGGATGGAATGTCATGTGACCTCCTGGGTAGAATCACTTAACACAACAGGGGGATCAGTCTGTTTCATAAGCATGAATCTTTAACTTTAGAAGTTTTAAAATACTATTTATCTCAAATACAAGGTTTTTAATCAGGGTTCTTTATGAAAGAAGTATACTAATTAAAATCATGAGTATTGAGAGTGATATTTAAAGAAAGCAAACATTTAACGAAGTAGTGGTGTATGCTGATCCCCCCTAGGGGAGGCTGGAGATGAACTGGTCCAGTAAGCAGTTGTATATAGTGATAGGTATTCTCTTGAAGAGGTTGAGAAGAGCAGAGACTGTGAAGTGATAAAGAGCCATTCCAGTCTTCTGCATGCATGCCTATTGTATGCTATTGTGTAATGCCTAAAAAAAGATACAAAATTTTGGACCCAGTACTTTAGTGAAACCCTTTACAGTGTTTTGCTGCTTTTTTGCTACACATGTGCTTAATCATCCATTGAAAAAACCAAAATGTCAGACAGAGCATCGGACATAACCGATCTTTCGGAATTACCCCCCTCAACTACGACTATCAGTACAGTGGCCGTCCAGTCTGGGCGCTCCAAGGTCATTCTAGCCATTCTACGAGTAAGTAAAAATTCTTAACATATTCCTGGGTTTATTAAACCAAAGATTAAAGTTTGGGGTGGGGGGTAAAACTAAAAAATAGATAATCTCTCCCTCCCCCCTTAATCATAGTGAGTGTGTGTGAAATTAAAATCAATTTTTAAAATGCATGCATGTATGAAAAGAAAATACGCAGATGCTATATATAGGTTTGCCGATGTCCCAATCAAGGTTACACTGGTCAGGTGGCCATTTATTAATGTACCTGAGTATTTGACCCTCAGTAATGTATTCATACCCTCATACCAGACCTGTAATTAACCCAAACATTAATTCTGTCTGAAATCAATAGTTTTACCTTTGTTCAAAGGTGTGGTCTTGTAGATAGCTATTTATATGAGTAAATAAATTCTAAAAGCTTATTTTACACTACCAGGAGAAATTACTAGTGTATGTACATTGAATATCTGCATATTTAAAAACCTGAATTAATTGTCCCTTTACTTATTATGAACTCCTCAAAATCAAATTCTTACCGGAAATGAAATTGCATAAGTGCAAGAGTTTTTAAAGTATTGACCAAATCAAATATTGCAAAAAGTTCAATTCTAATTTACAATCCATTATTGGTAAAAAAAAAAAAAGTCAACAAACAAATATTTTAAGGTCATAAGAAAACTCTGGATTGTTTTAGTAAATATAGAAGTTCTTGAACTCTCAATGAATTGTTATTCTAATCTATGCAGCCATATTAATTTATATTTGTAATTAAATGAAAAGGCTGCTAGTCAAAACCATTTTTTTAACAAAAAAATATGGCAAACAATGCTATAAAAACTCCTCAGATGTAGTGCTATAAGACCCTTATTCTAAGAGAGAAGTCAAAAAGATACTTCCTAAATTGAACTTCTGTGTGAAGGGTTTCCAGTTTTCTTACGTAATGCTATTTCCTGTTTTTGCTTTCGGTAACGAAGAAATTGGGTGATTAACTCTTAAGAGTCTACATCTGTATTGGTTTTACATTATAGATAGAAATAGAAACAGCACTTTCATAAAGATGTATACATATAAAAACAATACATATATAATATTTATGTTGTCTTGGATAGTGCAAAAAATTTTACCAGCTCACTTCCTTGAAATTTTTTTTTAGAAATAACATTTTTGAAAAATATCAAAGACATGAATATATTCTAGAAGTAAATGATCTGAAGAGAAAAACAGTTTAAAATGTTACGTAAAAAAATAAAAAGTAATATCCATCACAGTTTGATGAAGTGAGTGATAAGTAAATGGGATGGTAGGTATCTAATGGTGGCTGTGAGCCAATGTTGGAAACATTCCTGGATTATGCCTCATCTTTACTTATCTTCAGCCTCAGTCAGGAGGTGTATATACTGTAGCTGGCTTATCTTCTCTGCCAACAGATAAATAAAGCACCAAAAAATCTCCAGCTTTTAATCAGCTTGTCTATGAATCTCGTATCACTGATTTTCAGTATTGGCTTAAAATGCTTTTACCAGTGCTAACCAGATTGTGAATCATGAAAGTTTGAAACCGAGTTCAAAGTCTTGCCAATTGTGTTATCTCTGCACACTCAGGGTGGGGTCTAGTCTTTCTCTGCAATTCCAAGGTGAACTTCTTGGACATTTAACCTTACTCAAATGATCCTTGCATACACATGTAACAGGAAATAAAAACATGGCTGGACCCGAAATAAAACCTGAGTCCCCTACATCACTAGTCAGGTGCTCGAATCACAGAGCTACCCAGGTCGATATCCATGGCCCGAACCATTAAACATAAAGGAGCAAAGATCATTGGTACCTTATTTGGAATTGATAAGTTAATTCTTATAATTCAAACTCTTCAACCCTAGGTTTTGGTCCTTATATTATTGCTTAAACCTTTTTTCGCCACATATTTTTTTTTTAACTTTTCAAATATTTTTTATAAGTTTGTGAACTTCAATTCCGATTTATCCTGATAATTTCTTCCAAAACATTCAAAATTTCAAGCATCTTTATGTTTAATGTTTAAAACTGGACACTGCCTGACAATACATTAAAGGACCTTGATGATGCTTTTAGCCATTAGAGTAGACAGCTATAACTTGGCAAATGAACTTGTTCGTTTTAAGTAGAATGTGATAGTCAGAGATAAAACCAATAAACCAATGAACTAACCCTTGATGTACATGTCTTTGATCACCAGTATTACTTCCCTTAACCCTTGAATGAACAAGAGTAGAAGGAAGGTTTGAAGACCTAATGCAGTATATATTTTGATGTTTTGGTCCTAATGATTAAAAAAAAAAAATTTTAATATAGTAGCACATTCTATAGTTTGGATTCCCCTTATTTTTTGTAGTTGCATTTTCATGCCTCTTTCAAAAAATTATTTACCTTTTAATTATTTGTCTAAGCAGTGACCCCTAATAGTGTATTGATTAAAATTAAATAGTTAAAAATAGAAGCTAAAGAATAGATATGTAGTATACATTTGCAATTATGATATATAGCACAGAATATGAATGGATTAATAATTCAGGAGGGAATGAGGATTAAAAGTTATGGATATATTTTTGAAAGTTTGAATGAACGTGAGAGTGTTTGTATAAATGGGATTTTTTTTTTAAACATTAGTGACTCAGACTGTGTCACAAATGTGGGTATATATGTAATAATCATCACAATAAAATTCACTTCTAAAATGGAACATTATTTTTCAGGGAGCAGAATGGATTCGAGTACGAGTCCATCAAATGGAGCCCGATCTCACAGATGTGGGATCTACACTGGAAGAGGCCCTACAACTCAGACAAGAACACAACGAAATGCTCGCCAAGCTCAAGGTGAGTTCTAAACACAATCAAATGCTCGCTTAACTCAAAGTGAGTCCTATATAACTGACAGACAAGAACACAATGAAATGCTTAATGAAATGCTTGCTAAGCTCAATATAACTGAGAGACAAGAATGCAATGAAAGGTTCACATAGCTAAAGATGAGTCTTTTAGGAAGATTCACATAGCAAAACTAAAGATGAGTCTTTATATGCTCAGGAAGAAATGCTCAACAAAGTCGCTGCAAAACACATTGAACTGATAAAACTAAACCAAGGTAAGACATGTGGTATGATTAGGTAAGACTGTGGAAGCAGTTGAAGTTTTATTACAAACATTCACTTATATGCCCAACAAAGTCAAATTACGATCTGTGTATTTATAATAATTGAACAAGCAACACACGATACTTTTACACTTGAGAGTTTTAAACCAACTTACTCATTTTTTTTTACTGCTAACCCTCATTTTAGATGATATAAGATTTTAAATAGAATGTCTTAAATAATACATAAGCAGTACTTACGGTAGCATTTTACCTAGTTTATGAGTGGATATGAAATTTTGATGCAAAAAATAAAATACTTGTGGAAATAAAAAAAATATGACCACTTGTTCAAATAAATCTCATCTCATAAAAAATGAATTCCTGTTGAACTGACACAAGAAAACATTAAAGTCTTTACTTAGGCAAAAACAACTTGTCATGCATGTGAGTGTATAAATTACATAAGTAGCTTAGATAAATGCAAAACAATAGACAATTCAACCATTATCACAGCGTAACTTGGCTTAACCCTATAAATGTCAAATAGCTTATACAAGGGAAATTTTGCTTTAGAAAATAAAAACTGAAGTGAATATTACTGTAAATTCATAAATAAACCTAAGGAATATCTTATCTCCTAATTTTGTGAGAAATACTACTTGCCATTGAGATTACTATAGTTTTTATTTGAACCAGAAAATGTTGCTGAAGCACATGTATATGAGGGGTTAATAAAAAAAAAAAAACATGGACAGATGTGATAAAATTAATGCTATGCATGCTGTGGTTACGAAAATTATAATTATAAAAAATATAAAGCTAAAATTGTAGAGAAGTTGAAAATTTTGCTTCATAAGTTGATTTTTTCCCCAATTTATAAATAAAAATTGACAGCTTAAATCTGTACAGTAGTAGTACAAATGGGCCTATGAAGTTAATGTGTAGGAAAATTAGTAGTAATCTCCACTGTACAAAGTTAATTATATAAAAAAATATGCTTATGTAACTATAAGTAATACCTGTAATTAATTCGTTTTCTGAGAGATAAAGATCCGCATAAATTACATGCATGCATCTTTTTTATTACAAAAGTTACTGAGTCAAGATTAGAAATTTATATAAAGTCATATAAAGAGATTTAATTAAATGGAAATTTCAGGAGTTTTAACAAATATATATATCATGCTAATAAATTACGAATGGAATGTTTAAATCAATTAGCTATATAATAAAATGTATGTATAACTAGTTGGTAAGTTTATAACATGTTATTGTACTATGTATGTAATTGATAAATACAATGTTGTACTTATGATGCTTATGGGATGTACGTCCCACGGAATAAAGAACTGAAAAAAAAACAAAGCAAAAGGCATGTTGAAAACTCTCAGTTAAAGTTAAATCTGGTTTGTATTTTGGTTATCTTTATATGGTGTTTGTGCCAGGCATAAATTATATAGATTAATTATTATTGTGTGATAGAATCCTTGTCAAATTAATGATCAGATCAGGTGATAAATAACAAAGATAAAAAAAAAAACAAATAGGTTTAGATTTTATATATTCTTAGGAATTTAACCTTCACATCCTAAGATCAGAATTAACAGATGGGAAAATGTGTAAATCTGTAGGATTTTGTGAATTGGGATGATGCATCACATGTGTTTCCAATTCAGTGAGGATGTTCTCAATAGGTGTAGATCACAGTAAGCCACATAGCAGCTGTGTGTTAACCAGACTCATTACAGAGCTAAACAGAGGGGAATTTGTCAGTAATCTGTGTGATACATAGATGTTATAATGATAATCATAAATCTTTAAATTGTTAAAAAATATGATTAAATTCATTAAAATGTATTAAGGAAATTGTCTGCACAAGTACCCATGAATTAGAATTTTTTTATAATGAAAACTAAGTTCTAAGTCAAATATAAACAAAATTATTTTTTAGACTACTAAAAGCTTTCCAGAAATTCCTTTAACTTTTAAAAGACGATACATAACCAGGAATTTCATTTTCTGAGCCCAAACCTTTATGATAAGGAGGTGCCAGAAAGGAACTTCTAATGGTAACATGCTGCTTCATCAGATAAATATTTCCATGGCAATACGTCAAACACACAGGGGGTGCAGATCCTGCAGTAGAAATATATTTATAGCTGCCAGAAAACGTCTGCCAGGATTCCCAGTGTCTGATAGATAACTGTTTATCAGTGTTTATAGACTTCTTAGAAAGTTTTTGATTTCTTGATCTTTACAAGTAATGTTCTGGAAGAAATATTATGTAACAAAATGAAGCAAGAAAATCTTGGCATTTCATGTTTTATACAAATTTTTGGGTAAAACGCAATTAACCAATTTACTCTTATAAGAAGAATTTTACAAACAAATTATATACATTATTAAATTATATTGGTTTAAATTAAAAAGTACAAAAGTAGCCAATTTACAGACACATTTATAATAAATCATAAATCTATAGATTAACTGATGCTATGTAAATTTATACAATTGGGACATCTCCAAGATGACATTCTAAAAATTTTTTTTATTAATTTAAGTTGTATATTTATTCTGTACTTGAGCCCACTTTCTTATTATAATCTCTGAACTTGAAAGAATTTAATTTTCAAATCATACTTGTAAATAAATGGTTAAATATTAATTCACTTATCAGGGATTTTCCTTGACCAAGACATAAGCTTTTGAAACAAATCTTGTTTGATGCATTATTAATCTATGCAACTTTTCATCGTTTAATGAAGTTCTTCAATACAAAAATCATTTCTTAGAAAGATTGAACTCATAAATATTTAATCAATTTCCTTCATCTAAAAAGGAGATTGATGAATGATTTGAAATAATTTAATTGAATTTTTATTGATTTTATTTTTCAGAGCAAAGAAGACGAAATCAAGAACATCCTGGCCAGTGCAGATGCTTACGCTGTGGAAAACCGCTCCCAAGCGGACGTGTACGCAGCTATGGCTGAGACTCTGAACGAAGCCTGGAGAGAACTCAACACCAAACTGGAACACCGCTCAATGCTACTGGACCAGAGCATCGCATTCCACCAGAGTGCTCAGGACGTGAGTTTAAACCTTACAAACTATAAATGAGAATAAATAATGTAACATTTGGTTCTGTTTTTTCCCTTTTTTGTCAGTGGAGAGTTAAAATTGCACATTTGTATTTCATATTTTCTAAAATTTTATAGATTGCTTGTAAGTTATTCTTCTGAAAAAAATATAAAACATATATTTAAATTTTACATTTAATATTTATCCTTGGTATTCATAGTTTGCTGCAAAGATGGAGCATGCTCAGGGTAAATTTACCAGCATGCTGCCGACACAGGACGTGAACACAGCACGGCATCTGCTTCAGCAGCACCAGGAGATCAAAAAGAGTGAGTCGCAATACACAACACAAATTGTAAAAAATTGGCTTTATAATTCAGAAACCAGCAGACAAGCTATTGTCACAGATCTGGAATATTCCAACGAGAAAAGATTTACAGTTGCAATAGTAGTAAAAATTGTGATAACTGAATTTTAAAAAAAGAATTTCAGAGGGGATTGTTTATAAATTTTGTGTATTTTTGCAGGTATACTTGAATCATCCCAATCAACCTTGCAACAAGGTCACTCGCTTTTGGAGCGTATTCGTGAAATGGGTATGCATGCGGACCTACAGAACCGGCACGCCACGACAGCGGCTTGTTACGGTATTGAACACCTACTGGAACTACTACAAGACCGAAGACGACGACTCGAAGAAATATGGGAACAGCGTAGAATCCGTCTCGAGCAGTGCCTACAACTGTGCCAGCTCGACCAGGAAACCAACAAGGTCTGTTTATATGCTTCAAAATTATGAAAATTATAGGAAGCAGTTATACCTTGTTTACATTCTTAGTCTTTAAATTTAGTCAAACTTTGTTCATTTTGGTAATGGAAAAAATTAGATATTTGCTTTATAGATATAAAAATCAGATGTGAATTGAAAGAAAATTGATCTGTTTTAGATTAACATGTGTTAGAGGCTTTAAGTTTCAACAGAACTTTGATGATAAAGGTGAAATTGTGGGACATCAAAAGAAATATGACATGTATACATAACCCTAACTTTACTGTACAGGTGCTTGACTGGTATAGAACGACGGGTTCTGCCTACCTACATAGGACTGATCTGGGAGATTCCTACCATCACTCCCAACTCATACAAGAGGAACACTACAGATTTGAAGCCCAAGCAAGGGTAAGTTCATTAGCTTAAAAAATGTAATGGAACAGAACTGACCTTTGCTTGATAATTATATAATGTTAATAACATTTATTTATCCCCAGTAACACATATTAAGACTGAGCTAGTTATTTAAGATTCTTAAAAAAATGCACAAAGAGTAATCGGTAAACCATTTTATAATTTTTGATGACATTATTATTCCAGCATGTCCAAGAGAATGTTCTGCGGCTGGTCCGTAAAGCGGATCAACTTCTCCGCCGCACCAACTTGGACGCCGAGGGCGTAAGACAAAGACTACAGACTGTGGACCGTGAATGTGAAAACTTCATGGTCCGCTTGGACAACAAGAGAAAGAACATTTCGATGGCTCTATCGTTTTTCGATCTGGCCGAGAAGGCTCTGATGACCCTCGACCAGATCGAGGTCCAACTGAACACCATGGACCTCCCACGGAACAGCGCAGAGCTTGCAGACCGTCATGCTCAGTTGTCTAACGTCATCGTGGAATCCTCCACTCCAGCTCTCAGAGAGGGTCGAATCCTACTAGAAAGGGTCAGTAGGGACGACCCTGGGGCTGATGGCGTCAGACGCAAGGTAAATCGATCGTAAATTATATTTGTTACAGCAATCAATGATTCAGGTCAGCAAGATAATGTGACATTTTTTAAAGAGTTATGTTTGGTTAGATTTTTCTGGAGATTTTGCTAGTCTCTGATTGTAACTTTGTTGGTTTAGATGACTCAGCTGCAAGATCGCTGCTCAGGACTTGAGTCCTTGTGTAAGGCTCGGCGTGCTGAGGCCTGGGAGAGGAGCAAGACTTACCTTATATTTGAAGAGAAATACACAGAAGTAAGTCAAACGTCTCAAAATTATAGAAAAATTCCCCCACATGACAAATTTATCCTTACTTCATAAAACACAGAATCTAGTATCTCTCATTGTTAAGGATATTTAAAATTCAAAATTTTGTTTATTTCCAATAGAAATCATGCAAGCAAACATTTTGCTTCAACAAGGGAAGAGTAGTTATCTCATACATTGATCTTATTTTTACAGATTCACACTTGGGTGACAAAGATTTGTCAATCCACCCTCGCCAGGCACAACAGCATGGGAACTAGTCTTACCAATGCCGAGGACTTCCTGGAAATACACGAACAATTGGAACAAGACATAAGAGTAAGAACATTTTATCAATGAAAATGTTGAAACTCTAATAAAAACTGGGTAAAGTCCTGTGTCTTCCTGTATTTTCATTTTCTGAACATTTGGTATACTTTCAGGACAAGAATGCGGATGTAGAGAGTTTGTCGGAGGCAAGGGCAAACCTGGTCAAGTCAGGGGACCCGGAGGCCCAGACTGCCACCGAGAAGGTCGACACGCTGTGTAAGCAGATCCACCGTCTGCACCGCATAGTGGAAGTCCGCATTCAAATCTCCATCGTCTATGTCACATTTCACAAACTCGTGCAACAGGTAAGAACCAGAACTCTGGAAGGAGGTACACATTGGTGATAAAAACTTTGAAATTATTAGCTTTCATGCAAATTTTAGATCTGTTGCATGTATATAAGACATTAAAAATATGTAAATCCTTGAAATTACTGGTAAATGTGAAGTTTTTAGGTTAAATTTGATTTATAGCTAATATATAATTTGTCCTTTTAGCTTACCAACAACATGAATGGGTTGGAACACATCATAAAATCAGAAACCGAGAATTTACAAGACTTGACAGAAGATGCAGTAAGACACACAGAAGAACTGTGGACAAAGGTTACAGAAACCTACAACCAAATGCAGGACAGAGGACATGATTTCCTACAGAACTCATCCACAGTATGTGGTTAAGAATTGTACTATTGAATGTTGTGTGAAAGATTAAGTGTTTGGCAAAACAGTGAAATTAACATAGTAATGAAACAAATAATTGATAAATAATGAACCCATTGCAATAACTGATGTACATGTAGGTCACAAACACACACACACACAAATATAATCAAGATTGAAAACATAGGATTTTCAGCAAAAGAGTTTTATTTCATCAATATGCAGGGGAAGTAACTTTTGTTGCAAGCATATTCAAACTGTTACATTTAACATGAATTATTTCGGGAATTTTTATCAAAACTGATTTTCTTTTTTATATCAGCATTAACAAATCTCCATGCATCTCTTTATAGATTCAGGATGACTCTACAATAGATATCAGAAGCTCCACCAACACAGTGGAGAGAATTACCTCAGAATACAAAGAGAGGATGACAATACTGAGCACCACCTACGAGTCGTGGACCACCCACGTCAACTCAAGTCGCCAGTTCAAAACTCAGTGGCACCAGTTTGTACAGGATGCCAGAAAGGTCAGTGAGCATGCTCATTTAATATTGTTTGACCATTTTTATATTAATTTAAGTTTTTCATAAACTTTAACATTAATTCTGATTGATGGTTAATATCTGTCATTTTAATATTTTATAGAATTGTACCATGTTTATGTATTAAGATTAAATCTATACAATGGTTTTGAAAATTGCATGCTAAGCCTTTTTATTGTAACATTTTCCAAACAATGAGATGGGGAAAGACTTGTTCTCAATTTTCAACAAGAATCTGAAGTCATGCAATTTTCAAAAGCCATTTGTAATTCAAATCATGAATAAAAAATTGGGCAAAATCAGTACACAGGTGAATGTATATTTTGCAGACAATTGATTGGGTCCTGAAAATTGAGAACGACTTTTTCCCCGTCATTGCTGGTGATCTGGGTAGCTCAGTAGAAACAGCTCATCGCTATCAGAACCAGTTAGAAGAGTTCTCACCCGTGTTCAAGGTTGGTTTCCTTTTGCTCTCTTTTAGACTATTGATTGGGTTATGAAGATAGAAAGGGAATTTTTCTACCCTAATTTGGCTGGTTACTTGGGCAACAGTACACAAACTGTTGAGGAAATGCAGAAAAAAGTTGAAATTTTTACACCTATATACAAGGTAAAAGAGTGTTGAATTATTGTATTCAGTGTTAAATTGCTCAACTTTATAGTGTAGATTTGATTCAACTTTATGGCATGGATTTGACAACATTCTTTAAATTGAAATTGTTAATCAAATTTGAACCTCAAAGTCAAACATTATATTTATTAAGGCCAAATAGCTTAACTTGGAGGTTTTTAATGCATTATTTTTGTCTTGTAAACAGAAAGCTCAAGAAGAGATTGAGCGCCACTTGAGCACAGCAGAGTTACTGTCCCTGAAGGGTAATACAAAGGGACAGAAAGACCAGATAATTAACGAGCTGATCAAAGTCAGACAGCGATTTACTGCACGAATCCACGAGTACCAAATACTGCTCAAGATGACCATACAGTTCTTCAAAAATTTGGATCAGGTAAGGGTAGTCTCCCTTTAATAGTATTTTTAGCAAAATGTTTAAAATCTGTAATGCACAGAAAAATCAGTATTTGATATCGAAACAAATAAAACAGGGATACATAGGCAGTTTATTTTTCTGTGCTTTCAGTATGCATTGGAAATAGGTATATTTTAATTTTCTCTGTATTGTAACTCTCTCTGTGTTTGTAGCTTGACCGTCTGATCGAGAGAACAGAAAAGGAGTACATGGAATCTGATTTACCGTCAGAACTTTCGCAGGCGGAGAGTCTGCTGGAGGAACACAAACGCAAAAAGCAGGAAGTCTCCAGCCTGATCAATTACACTGCCGACGAAGGCGAGAAAATCGTCGTACGCGTCCGACAAACGGTAAGTCTTAAGTGGAAATTTGTTTAAGATGAGAGACTCGGAATAGCCATTAGGCATTCTTTTAATGATGCACTCTCTGGAAAATAAAATGTAAATGATAAATTGTGGGGTATTTTTTGTTAGAGATCATTAGGAACTGTACATAGATATGTACAACATCTGATGAAGGAAGAGGAAGAGGTATAGGAAATTCATTTACCCAAAAATAGCTTCATAATTGTGTATTTCAGTGTACACGGATGATATTTAATCATTCTCCATGCACTCTGCTTTTATCTATTGAAGTATTCATCACAGCATATACCAAGACACTGAGGCAGACCAATGTATGGTGTCACGAAATGCTTCAATTATAAAAGGTTGAATTTTTTTCAAAAACATTAATTTGGATTTATCTGATACCAGGATGCAGAAGCTGCCGCCCAGGATGACGTAGAGCGAGTCCTGAAGGTGACGGCAGAATATAAACAGAGATGGAACCAGGCGTGGGAAGATCAGGAGAAACGCCTGAAACAGAACCTACAGATCTGTCAGTTCAACTACGACCTCAGACAGGTAAAACTAGTATAGGAAATCAGTCATTTCCATACACTACGGCATCATTATTTTAGAACCTAACTAATATTGTATTTTTTGTTTAAGTACATGGAGATGTTATCTGTATTACTTTATTTATATTTCAGATCCATTCAGAGATAGATGAGCTACACCAACATTTACAGGCCAGGCGAGGAAGCTACGGCAACTCACTGCCAGCAGCTAAGATGAACTCGCAGGCCTTCAAACAGTTTGAAATGACTGTTGAGGTAAGCAATCAATCATATTTATCTTTCTTCTGATAATTGGGAAAATAAGTTTCGTGAAACTTGTAATACAAAGTATTGTAACATTACCAGGAGAGTTTTATATGCATAAATTATTCAACTTTTACTTAATAATGATGGAATAAAATGTGAAAACGTTTCATTTTCAGATGATTGAAAAGAAAATTCAGAATTTTTCAAGCACCGCTGAGCTGATGGTCCAGGAGCGCCATGATGACGCAGTTCATATTGACCGAGAACTTGACCTGCTGAAGACGAAATGGACGACATTCCACACCAGTGTCCGCGATTATCGTCAGCTCCTGGAATGCTCAGTGGAATATTTTAACCTTTATGAGGAGGTCAGTAGGTCAAAGGTCATGTTGCAGATATTGAAAAGTACTAAAGCTTTTACATCAGTTTTGCTATGTGAGAAATAGTTTAAACTTTTCTAATTAATTATGTTTTCATTTTAGTCCGAAATATGGATAAAAGAAGGAATCACATTGTTGAATGAAATACAGCGACACATGAACGAGTGCCGCTCTCCCAGAGATGCTGAGCACCTCGTGTCTACATTGGAAAAATTCATAGAAAACGGACGTCCATTGCAGGAATCCAGACTGCAAAGGATGTCAGAATTAGTCATAGAATTATATGGTAAGATTTGTTCTCCTGATTTATTGTTATATCTACAGTATTTGATGAATTTGGAATTATGACATAAGTTGAATTGTTTACATCTCTTTCTAAGCATGCCTTATATGTGATATTTTATTTTTCAGGTGAAGAGGGACCTAGTCGTTTACATAATTTATTTGTGCAAAATCAGGAAATGATGCAATCATTCCAACAAGCTGAAAATCACATCACACAAGTCAAAGCACAGCTGAGAGACAGAGAGGTAGGGAAAAGTCAGTACAAGAAGTGACATTGTAGTGTATTGTTATATTTTCTTGTTATTAAATATACATGTACATGCTTTCTGTGTTTAGGCAGGACAAGCTGTGACTGAGGAAATTCAGCCAATGGAAGTCACTGTTACTGCCTCTATGCCAAAAGCTGCACCCCCTAAAATCATCATGCCACTCAAAGATGCTGAAGTTATGGAAGGAGAAAAGTACATAATTATTTTTAAAACATCATTCATTTTCTCAAATCTGAGGTTATAAATCTTTTCAAAAACCCAACAAATGCAATGCTGCATAAAAAGCCAGGTATTTAATTTTAAGTCTATCTTCTTTCTCAGGGTGACACTGGAGTGCCATGTTGACTCGGCCTCCGAGCCGCAGGTCATGTGGTACAAAGACAACCTACCTCTGAACAGCCCGGATTATGAGACCAGATACAACAGAGGCGTGGCCACGCTCACTATCGAGGAGACATTCTCTGAGGACACGGCTAGATACACCATCAGACTGACTAACGAAGCAGGAACAGCGGAATCATCCGCTTACTTACATGTCAGAGGTCAGTCAAGTTCAAAAGTTCATCAATGACTAATGAATATTCTAGAAACATTTCACTTATATATATTATATAATACTACTGAAGAATATTGGGCAATGGGTAGCTTTAATCAATTAATTTGCAGCTTAAGTAAATTGTTTAACAATTATTATTCTTTTTATTAATGTGTATTTCTAAATGTAGGTACAGTACATGTATATAATATATGAGTTTGGAAATGATAGTTATTAACAATCTCTGGAAAATCCCTTATTTCAGAAACACATCAGCAAATTTTGCCCCCAGACTTCACAAAAAATCTGAAGTCTGTAGATGTTTTGGAGAATTCTCCTTTAACCATGGAATGCCATGTCACAGGAATTCCGTCCCCTACAATATCTTGGTACAGGGATGATCAGAGCTTAGATAGTTCACCTGAATTTATCATCACAAAAATAAATGGCACTTGTTGCCTCAAAATTCGGCAAGCCGCACGTCACCACAGTGCTAGGTACACGTGCCGTGCAAATAATCCCGGAGGGGAAGCGGCATCATCCGCCAGGATTACCGTCGTCCGTAAGATCATGTTTCCTTCTAGGCTTGATCCTAATCCTCGGAATGTTTTGCTATTGTGTTCCCTGTGTACACACTGCTGTGTTTGTAGATGAATGGCATGAGGGAAAAGTTGATTTTCAATTTAAAAAAAATTTGGGATAAGAGATTTTCCTCCCAGTATATTTAGAAGGGATGGGGGTCAGAATTATCAAAGAAGGGTGCATGAATAATGAAACTCTGAAACATTCAAATTGATGTAGTACTAAGTAGTAAATAAATTATGACCTTGTTAATATTACTAAAATTTGTGTCATTTTGTAGAGTACTTATATCGTATACATGTGTCATTATTTTAGTCTACATAACACCAGTGGATGTTCAAACATTAAGAAACCTGTTGGTTTTATTTTTTGCAATGTTGTGCTTGAATGATCTCCCTTAGTTGTTTGTTCTCATCAAAGTGCATGATATTTTGTTCCCTTCATATGAAATGAATTATACAGTACATTGTGTCTGGGAATGCCTTACTTAAACAATGACTCCACCATAGGGGGGGTTACAGTAAGAACTGTCAGCTTTCAGAATTCCTACAATATAGAGGCATGACTTCAATAGTTATCTGAGCTAAGTAACTTCACAGCTTAAACTCATTAGAAACTCATACAGAGAGTGACATCTTTGTCTTAGTGTGTTCTGTACAATGATCTGCAATGTCAGCTGGCAGGTAGCCAACTGAAGCAGATGTGTTTGAATCCTTGTTAAGGTAGAGAGCAAACAGAACTGAGTTGTGGAGCTGTGCAGATTACAGAGACTTTGAGAATGGAGAAATTTTGTTTGCATGAATTGATTTGGAATTCATTCATTGTCTGACATTTCATACTGGATGTGTTTTTTTCCTGAATTTAATAGTGAAAGTGTCATACATTCCATTGTAAACTGCAAGTCTTGAACGAGAGACTTTAACAGAGAAATCAAACATTTATTGAAGATTACTTCTTGATTTCAGCCATGGAGAAACCAGTCATTCACAAAATGACTGAGGATACTGCTATCCCAGAAGGCAAAGGGGTCAGACTAGAGGTCAACTTCACAGGGTCACCGACCCCTGATGTCACCTGGTTCAGAGGTCAAAACAGAATTGTACCCTCAGCTGTTTACAAGGTATTTTTATCTTTATGTTATCAAATAATCATTGCATTTGTCATTCTTTTCTCATTCAGGAAGTGATTAAATATGAATTATTTGAATGAAATTATCTATATCCATATAATTTTGATAGATCACAATTGATATCAACCGATGCACACTGGAAATCAAGGAGGCCTACCCAGAGGATTCTGGGATATACACAGTGGTTTTACAGAATGCAGCAGGAGAGGTCAGAAGGTCATGTCAGGTCACAGTGGAAAGCTTCTACTCCAGCACAGCGTAAGTATTCACACTATCAAAGCAAGGGATATCATTCAATTGGGATCATTCAAATCGAAATTTTGAAAATATTTCATGAAATAGTTTTTTCATTGATTATTTTCTGTTTCACAGTGAGTCAGCTTCCTTGGCCTCAACAGAAATTGAAGCAACCCCACCAAACTTTCTCCAGCACCTGTCCCCAGCCAAAGAGGTCATGGAGGGGTCAAGGGTGCGTTTGGACTGCATTCTGGTGGGTCACCCAGAACCAGAGGTCATCTGGTACAAGAATGATAAACCGATAAAAGAGTCTAAGGACATCCAGCTCCTGTTTGAGGGAGACCGCTGCACACTGTGTATCAGGGAGGCCTACCTAGAGGACTCTGGAACCTACAGAATCGTTGCCAACAATATTCATGGCCAAGCTGAAAGTCTCTGTAAACTGCATGTAGAACGTAAGTGTTCATATGTCTATGATCTGTTGGTAGAAATTTCCATGTATAATGGGATTTGAAAATTAGCATATGAATTCTTTTCTTATCCTATTTGTTCAAAAACAATAGAAATTGTTTTGGTCTTTGAGGAATTAACAATCAAAGAGATTTTTGCTATATTGTTTAACCTTTTTTTTTTCCAGCGCTGAGTGAACTGAGTGATGCGTCTATCGGTGAGATGACATCACCTCGCTTCTCTCAGCCGTTGAGGGACTTCAGTGTCCAGTCTGGACACAGGGTCTGTCTGCAGTGCAGAATTACAGGACACCCAGTACCAGAGGCCAAGTGGTACAAAGACAACAAACCCATTGACAACAGCCCAGATTTTGAGGTAAAGAGATATAAACAAAATGAATCCATGAAATTTTAAAAAAGAAGCACATGTACATTTAGTTCAGAATTAATCTGTTTATTTCATTGAATTGAGCAAAGACTGTTAGAAAAATGGTGGCAACAGCTTTCTCAGAATTTATATTTATTTACAGATCACAGCTTTTGCTGATGTCCACAACTTGACAATCCCAGAAGCCTTTGAAGAAGACAGTGGCACGTACATGGTGAGGGCCATTAATATGGCTGGAGAAGCCAAGTGTTACTGTAAACTGACTGTTAAGTCTGTCTCAGAGCCCATGGAACAGGAGGAAGTGATGAGAATGAAGCGTGTGGTGGAAACCAAGGAGACCAAGGTCAACGTCCGCCGCGAGGATGTGGAGCATTCACCACCAGAATTCCAGAGACTGTTTCAGGATCTCAATGTCAATGCTGGGGATTCTGTTACATTTGAGTGCAGCATAACCGGAGCACCAAAACCAAAGGTCTGTATTAGCTGTATTAGGAATGCAAGATCTTCATGTGTAAATTGTTTTGGAATTTGCAAACTTTCTAATGCTGGATTTATGTTATTGAATTATCTTCCACTTTTTCGTAACATACTTGAGGAATGTTTTATCTTGAATACAGGTGACCTGGTTCTTCAATGGACAGCCTGTTGTCTCCAGAGACTACCAGATTACTATGGAGGGCAACATCCACCGACTACACATACCTGAAGTGTTTGATGAAGATGCTGGACGATTCTCCATCACAGCAGAAAACCCTTCAGGCAAGGCCACTTGCTCTGCTGTCCTCAATGTGGATGAGGAGGAAGCTCCTAAAACCAGGATATTTGGCTCCACTGAATAGTAAGATATTACTCCTGTTTAATTGGAATGTTCAATATGATGATGGAGTTCATGTTTATTTCAGTAGCACTTAACTGTCTACCAATTCAAAGCATTTAAATGAAAGAAATTTTAAAGCAAAAAAATTCTTAAAATACAACATTTATACAAACATGTACTTAATATGTATCCCAAAAGACTTTTTTTCTTGACTGTACTGTAAGTGGATGCTATTCTTTGTATTGTAGCACCAGTAGAAGAGTGTCACACACAGAGAGGGTTACCTCCATGGAGACCAGGATGAGCCGTACCATCATGTCTGCTCAGCAGGAGCAGCGCTCCTATATACCGTCCACTGAACAGCACGCCACCACCATCATCACTGACGTTAAACCGAAGTACGAGCAGCCTCAACTCACTGCTCAGGAACACTATGCTACCACAATTACGACAGACTTACAACCAAAATATCAGCCTGTGGACCTCACCATCGCAGTGCCAGTCCCACCAAAGTTTGCCCAGGCTCTGAAAAATATCCAGGCCCTGGAAGGATCAAAGGTTACGTTTGAGGGAGTTGTAACAGGTAAGACACCTCAGACAGTAGAATAATTCTAATAATATTTTGTAGGCAAATTTTAAGTTCAAAGTAAATAATTTGTTGAGGTCAGTATATTTTAACTTATCATATCTTGCAGGCAAACCAGAGCCTACCATCAAATGGTTCAGAGAAAATAGAGAATTGACAGATCAAGCCGACTTTGAGATTTCCTACAAAGATGGTCGTGTCAGCCTGACTATCCCTGAAGTCTTCCAGGAGGATGCTGGACAGTTTACCTGTACAGCAAAGAATGTGGCAGGAAGTGCTACCAGCTCAGCCGAGCTCGTTATCAGAGGTGGGTATCAGTGGACTGGAAATAGTTCTAATAGTAATTTCATATGGAGAGGATTGCTTCTTTACATGGACAGGAGAAATGATGATTTTTTTACTTATATCTTTGAAGGAGCTCTCCTTTTGTTTCTAAGCTCTCAGTTGATCTATGGAATTGAAGCTTCAATACATGCATTAGCATTAGAATTACCACAGTAGTGCAAGGAAAATGCACCTAAACTGATTAAATGAGCAATTTGTGGTTTCAGTGTACAGTCTTGTAAGCAGTAAAGCACAGTCATGTATTTTAAACTACTTAAGATTTGAATTCATTGGCTTGGTATCCAGTGGTCTGGAGACTGCCCTGTTTAACCTCTTGACCTTTAGTGACTGACTGGATACTCTTAGCTCTGTGTCACATACTGATAATACTTAATATAATTAGAAACAAAGAGGATTACAAATTTAATCTCTTTTAAATTTTAAATAGTTGATGCCTTTATTTGAATTTAAATTAAGTCTTGAGTAATAATCTGTTAATCCTGGGAAAACACTTCCTTTGGAGTGAATTAGTACTACAAGTATTTTGACTAGCAGTGTGTGGATCAGGAGTCTGTGTGATTAGGAAAATGAAAGTAAGGGATAGGACAGTGTTATCCTTCCTAGATGTTGTCTAGGATTGTAAGTTTTGTGGGAGGATGAATTGTGGTAGCCCATTTGTGAGTAGGAAATATAAAGGCCTACTAGCTCACCAGCTGATTCAGATCTGGAATAACAATGAACTAGGTAAAGGTCATATCTGATTGTACTCCAACCGGAAGTGTACCATAGCTCCTTGTAACAATTACATTCAGAAATGCAAATTTTTAAAAGGGTATTGCCCTGATAATGTGATTAATGCCAAAACTTTATTTTTACCTTTCATCTACGAAGTCTGTTAAGGAGTTTTATAAAGGAATGCCATATGAATTTTGGACTTGGGACATGCATTTTTTATACTGAATAAGAAATAAGGGGTAAAAAAAAAATTAAGAAAGTTTGGCTGTGGAGTTGATAGCAATTTCAAAGTGCTCCTATTAAATGATTTTGTGCTTTTATTTATTGGTCACCACTTCTATTATCAAAATAATTTATCTCATTATATATTTGGTTATCCTGCAATTGCTTATTTATTTATTAATTTTATAATTCACAGCTTCTGTGATCCCAGCCGCATTTACACAAAGACTTCAGAGCCAGGATGTCAGTGAAGGATCTCCTGTCCGGTTTACAGTCCGAGTGGCCGGTCAGCCTGGTCCAGAGGTCACCTGGTACAAGGACGGTACCAAACTGACCAGTTCCAGAGACTTCGAGATAGTACAAGAGGGAGACATCCACTCCCTCTACATACCAGAAGTGTTCTATGAAGATGCTGGTAAAATATCAGTCACCGCCCAAAATCCTGCTGGTAAGACCCAGTGCCAGGCTGAACTCAGAATCCAAGCACCAATGGAGGAAACCGTTTCTCCTGTGCAGAAACCACCTACACAGATGCCCTATGGAGAACCAACTGCATCACCAAAATTACAGAGACCATCAGACTTCATGAAGAAAGACATAGCCCCTAAAACTCGAGCCCCTGCTGAGCCCCAGAGGTTCACCGAGCAGATGGAGATGGAAGTGGCCGGGGATAAACAACTCCCAATGTTTGAACAGAGATTTAAACTTTTCCAGAAACCAGAGGAGACAGCTCCACCCAAGAAGGTGTCCGAGGTCTCCTACAAACCTGCAGTGACTCACAAGCAACCACCTAAATTTACCAAAGTAAGCTTTCATATTCTATAGTTTATATACATGTAAATGAACAAAGATGATTCATAATTGTTTTGACTACTGAAGTGTTGAATGGTACCAAGGTCTTTCTTATGATGACATTCAAATCCTTCAGTTTAGTGGAATTAAATTCAAGTTTTAAACTTAAATAATACTAAAGTCTTAAATTTTTTATAGAGACTACAAGACAAGACAATAAAGGAGGGAGAGAGACTGATCTTAGAGGTCCATGTGGAATACAAGGGACCTGAGCCCATTGTGAAGTGGTACAGGGAGGGTTTGATCATCAGAAACTCCCCCGACTACCAGATTACATTTGAGAATGGCACCTCCAGACTATCAGTGGCTGAAGTCTTCCCAGAGGACACTGGGGTGTACAAGTGTGTGGCCACAAACGCTGATGGATCAGACGCCACAGAAGCCATGCTTAGGGTTATTGGTAGGTCTATCAGGGCAAAATATTCTTTCAAAACTTCTGCCAAAAGAATCCATAGGAAGAAAGAAAGAAGTTTCAAATGCAAGTCTGCTCTAACATTTGGTCAGTAGAATTTACATGTTCTTTTACTTACTATGAGATGTTAAATTTTGTTTCTATTTTTCAGCCCCATCACCATCTCAGTATGAAAAGATGCCAGTGGATGAACGCCCAGACATTGCCACACATGTACCAATGGAGGAGGAAAGAGTACCTTCTCCAGTGGAACCACAGCAGCCAGTGTTCCTGGAATCTCCACAGGATTTCAGACTTGTTGAGGGAACCAATGCAATCTTTGAGTGCCGCCTCTCAGGGAAGCCATTCCCAGAAATCACCTGGAGAAAACGAGGATTCCCCATCAGAAATGATGCCAGGTATGAAAGGAGAAGTTTACAGCTACATATATTTATGATTTTATCTACATATGGTCAGTGTTTAAAATTTTTTTATTGGTTAAGTTCAGAACTTACTAAACAGTGGATTTGAATGTTTCAGACACAGAATCAGTATTGATGAGTACAATGGCCGCTGCTCCCTGGTCATATCTAACTGTAAGCCTGATGATGCTGGTGACTACACATGTACAGCAATCAATTTTGCAGGAGAGGCCAACTCTACTGCTGTGCTTCTGCCTGCAGAAGGTAAAACTACATCTAAAACATTAATTTTTACCTTTGTAAATGAATTTCTAGGTCTTTAATTAATAGGTATGATTTAAAATATGTAGATTAGCATATTGTTAACTTTAGTAATTAGTATTTAATTAAACTTTAGTAAAAGCACCACCTCCACCACCAGCACCAGAACTTCCCAAAACCCAACCACCAACATGGCAACAGAAACCATGGCAACAGAAGACTGAACCAGCAGCTAAGTTACCATGGCAACAGAAGGAGACCCAGCCATCTTGGGCTGCTGTTACAGAGCAGTTAGCTGAGGTACCTCACAGACCAGACAAAGGATTCGTGACCACCAGGTCAGAGAGAATCCTGGAGAGTAACCTGGAATACAGACGATCTCAGGAACCCGAGGAGAGACCAGTCACCTCCACAGCAGTAAGTTAACTTCTGGGTTTATGTTAGTGGTGTATGTGATAAAGAAAACAATTCTTGACTTTAATTCACTTAAAGGATTGTTAAACTAATAGAAAACTCGAAAGTTATTTTAATTCTTATCTTTTTTTTCTGAAAATTGGATTGTCACTGTGGGTGAATCAAGCTAAAAATACCTATGATAATATTTGACTTTTAAACAATTTGCTGATATTGCATTCTATATTTTGAATTATTTTGGTGATTCTGAAGGACTTCCAGCCTGCTGGTTTTGAGGATAGACTGAGACAACAGAACTACATCAAAGATGGAAGAATCAAATTCTCCAGTGAGACGGAGACATCTCAGTCCGAGTATGAGTCTGAGATTGACCGCTCACCCGTGGCTCAGCCCTGTCCCCCCCAGATTACTCAGAGGCTGAAGGACTTCCGATTGATGGAGGGATCTGATGCCACCTTTGTCTGCCGCATCTCAGGACGACCAAGACCTAAGGTATTCTGTTACATTTAGTCTTGTTTTTACTGTACAAAATTTGTTCCCCAGAGTCTGAACTAGGTTGTGTCAGAACATCATTGTCTTATATTTATATAATGTATAGCTGAATATTATCCATCTTTTTGCAAGTGTGTATAATGAAACATTGTTTTCCTAACCTATTATAAATTTGCTTTTTAGGTTGCCTGGTACTTGAATGGACACAGAATCAAGAGATCAAACCGATATGAAATGAAATTCACCAAAGATGGCTACTGCACTTTACGTATCCGAATGGCCCTGCCTGAGGATGCGGGACATTACACAGTGTTAGCTGTCAATAACCTAGGAAAAGACACCTGCTCCAGTAAACTTTACGTGGACAGACTCGGAAATATTGATGCCACTTCATTTGTGGCACCTGAAACCCTGGATAAGATACTAAACCAGTAAGAACCATTATTTAAAATCAAACACATTGATTTTTATAGAGAAATTACACGGTCTAATAAGATGGTCAATTGTGTCTTTGTTTCTGTACTGAAATTGATAATCTTTTGCAGAGATAAGAAAGATAGAGCCCCGGAGGATGAGGGTGGAATCCTGGAGGCCCTGTCCAGACCTGTGTTTAAGAAGAAGCCTGAGGATAGGGAGGTACATGAGGGGAACACTGTTCGTCTGGATACCCTGGTGTCTGGACGACCCGTACCAGAACTGTCCTGGTTCCTCAATGGCCGCCCAGTCCACAATGATGACCATCACAAGGTAATGCTTCCATTCTCTGAGACGAAGCAATATACCTGTACCTGTACAACTTTCATAACTTTTCAGTACAATATTTTAAGTGCTTGTAAGAAAATTTTAGCCATCAGTTAGATTTGAATATTGATATTGTAGATTGTGGTCAATGAAGATGGAGTGAACTCTTTGATAATTCTGGGAGCTTCACGATATGACAGTGGTACATACAAATGTGTGGCCAAGAACAAAGCTGGAGAAAACAGCTTCTCTGTCACCCTCAAGGTCATGGGTAGGTCATATATTAAGAATTACTATTTTTTTTTATATCTGTTCAGTGGAGTATTTTAAGTTCTCTGATTTTCATCAATTGATTTTAATGGGGAACTTTTTTGTATCTTGCAGAGAAAGAACAAATGCAGCCACCTAAGTTTGTGGAGAGAATGCAGAACTTCACTGTGAATGAGGGTCAGCCAGTGACCTTGACCTGCAATGTCACTGGAGTACCTGTCCCCATGATCAGCTGGCAGAAGGATGGCAAGATGTTGACACACACCAGCCCATACCAGTAAGTTTTCTGTCTTTATAATAATTTTCAGATGTTGATTATCATATACAGTTGCATTTGTAATTGTGTAAATATTTGAATTAATATTTGTTACTTGACATGCTAGAAAATTGAAATTTGTTGTTATATGAAATATAGTTTATTATAGTTTACAGCTCTTTACTGGAGCTGTATAGCATTCTCAAAGTACGAGCATACAGAACATCTTATTTTGTGAAGGTTTTTAGAATAATATTTAAATTGGAACTCCCCTTTTTGTAGGATAAACACTGAGGGTGGTAGAACCAGCCTGACGATCCCCGCAGCTCATGTAGGAGACTCTTCGTGGTTCCAGTGCTCTGCAGCTAATGTTGCTGGCACCGCCTCCACCCGAGCCAAACTGACCGTACAGGCCCTGCCAAAGAAGGTAGAACCACCCAAGAAAAAGATCAGCATCACTAAAGCTCCCAGAAAGGTGCCTTCACCACCGGTGGTTCCTCAGACTGAGCCCAGAGTGAGCAGGACCGATTCACCACCGTAAGTATAGAATCAAAGAAAGCAGGGATAGGATCCCAGTGGATCTGGATTTGTTTTAGTCTCATTTCTTAGTTTATGGTTTGTAAGGCCCTTACTCAGTAGAACTTTTTCTCCTTTTAGTCACTATGAGATACAACCAGAAGGTCTGGTTCAACAAATCTCATACTCAACTGAGCGTGAGAGTGCAACCCTCAAGTTTGTCAAAGAGGAAGACATCTCCAGGTTAATAGAGTTTATTTTCAGCATGGCATTCTCCCTATTGGCATGGTTATTTACCCTGTTATATAGAGTGTTTGCAAGTGGAAAATATGTTTTACCAGCATTTATAAAGGTTGAACAGAAATATTATTTGCTGTGGTAATTTTATCATATTTGAATTGGATTTAGTTTAACTAACGTGTGTGATATTTTACTTAGCATAGTATATTTGTATGAAAGTGTTTTTAAAGATTAAGGTTTGTCTTTTTAGTCTCAACATGTTTGTGTGAATGCATTTCTTTGTCTTGTTTTTGCAACTTGTGCCTGTGTAAGGTACTTGTACAGCAAAACTCGTTTAGTATGAACACGGATATAGCGAATTCACGGATATAGCGAATTTATTTTGGATCCCGAGCTAAATAAATTTAAAGAATTTCTTATGTGGATATAACGAATTACGGATATAATGAAGTAATTTCATAGGTCCCAGTGACTTCGCTATAACCGAGTTTTACTGTATATGCCATTGTATTACATTGGTAATAATGAATGAACCCTTGTATCTTTATTAGTACATTTGTACATAGACCCCTCCATTACCTAGAAGTTCCTGAAATATTCCTTATAATTAATTTTACTAACAAGTGGAAGGCACTGCTTTGTCCAAGTAGGTTAGGTCATAATTAATCTGATTCAACATTTTGGTGTTGTAAGAAATACTGATAAATGTAAGCTTCAATATAGTACATTTGGCATGGGCATTTTTATGTAGACTTCAGTAGTATCTGTATTCCTTTCAATGAAAAAAGTCAAATATATAGCATAGTTAAAAATAAACATTTTTTTTTAAATCTTGTTAAAAATTAAGCTTAGTTAAAAGTAAACGCTTTTTTAAAAATCTTGTTAAAAATTAAGCATATGATAAAAAAGAAATCTTGCCAAATTTTGACTAGGTACAATGGTCATAAGAGTAATATAATGCAAGTTTTATTTCACTAACAAAATTAATCCATTTTACAAAGAACACTACTATAAATTGTTTCATCAGTTACAAACCCTTTGGACTGGAGTCCCCTGAGGAAGTGCCTAAGACTCAGGTCACCCCCCGAGTTCCCCCACCCACCCCTGTATCTACCTCTGTTGAATCCTCCCCCATACCAAAACGACGAAGGTTAGATTCTTACCTGTGTTTCTAAAATTATATTTTGCCTGAAATTTTCAATGCATTCATTTGATGTGTGAATTATCTTTCATGGTTGTATTTTGAAAACTTTGATGTGCATGAGGTTCATTAATAAGAAAAACAATTTTTTAGATTTTTTTCTTAAGATAAGATTTTAGAGTTCATATTAATCTCTTGTAAAATTGAAGCATATGAAAAGGAAATTAAAGTTGTAAATACTTGTAAAATACCAAGCACAGTACATAGAAATTTGTTGTACCTTAGACTTGGACAAAGACCAATTGATCAAGCCACACCTAAAAAGACATTTACACCACAAGCACCAGCTGTTCAGCCAGTGCAGGAACTCATGGAAGAACAGCCAATGGAAGTGGAGGAAGAGGTGCTTCCTAAATCAGTATCTGAGGCCAAGGCCAGATTTGAGCAAGGACAAGAAATCCCACAAGCTAGACAGCCAAAACACAAAAAGCCAACCAAGCCGGCTCAACCAGCTGCACAGGCCTATAGACCAGTGGCACCACCTCTAGAAATGAGACCAACCACTGAGGTCTCCACCTACAAACATGTCCCAGCACCAAAGGAGGTTCCCAAACCAGTGGTACCTCCTCAAGAAAAGCCAAAACAGGTGGCTCCAGTGGCAGCCCCTGTACCTACACCAGCTATGGCACCAAAAATGCAATCTAAAAAGAAAGTCCAGATATCTGACAAAACTCGAGTCAAGCCACCATCACCTCCTGGGTATGATGAGTGCATGATGTATTATTAAGATGCATGAGATGAAAGTTATTGAGAAAATGGTTTAAAATTGTCTAGATCTCTCTAGATCTTGCATATAAATGATCAGAAAATGGTTGGTCAAGCTCTATGGAATTGACAATTCTGCATGCCATTTGCTGCTGATATTGAAGTTAGGATTTTGTTTTGTCTAGCTATGAAATACAGACAGAAGGATTTGTACAGCAGATAAGTTATGCCTCGGACACTGAGACCGGGTATCTACGTCTGGTATCAGAGGATGAAATGGATGCTCCAAGGTTTGTCTGCATGAACAAATGCATGACAGTTCACTTACTCTTGATAATGCAGATAAATTAAATAATGTTACGAAAATGTATGGGATGATTGTATACATCAGATGTTATTTTATGAACAGACATGAACCTCTTGAGAGGGCTGCACCTCCAATGCAACAGGAGGAGGAAGAAAGGTCTATATATAATATTTAGATGATTGTAGTTCGGCATTGGCTCAGTTTACACTGCAGAAAATGACTGAGTATTAAACTGTAGCAGCTTGCTTAAAGCAGAATGAAATGTTACTTGTACATAATGACATGAAGTTAAGAATAACATCCTAGGCTATTACATGTTGGACTGAAGCATGATACGCTCAATGGATAGCAATGTTAAAAGATTCAGGATGTAATGCTGTAGCATATTATCTGGATGTCAGAACTATATGTGTATTACCTATATTATTGCCATGATTGTTTATATACATGTAGCATGACATTAGCTAGAGATGTTGTTTGTTATTTCAGAGCATCTCCAGCATGCAAAGTGCCTCCATTAGTTCCACCAAAGCCATCAAAACAGGCCTCACCTATACCAGAGCAGGCCCCTAAAATGGCCTCCCCCTCCCCAATTCATGTTATCTCACATGTGTCTGCTCCAGTTTGGCAGCCAAGGAGTGCTTCCCCCTCACCAGTGAGACCCCAGAAAGGGGCCTCTCCATCTCCTGTGAGATTTGTGCCTAAATTGGCATCCCCTGCCCCCATATGGCAACCTCCAAGTCCCTCACCATCACCTGTGAGGGTAGTTAAGAGGGCTTCACCTTCGCCCTCTCCAGTGAGGTCTGTCTCACCGTCACCAGTGCGCTTCGTACCTAGACTGGCTTCGCCTGCACCACCTGCAATATGGCAGCCATCTAGGGCCTCGTCATCCCCTTCTCCTGCAAGGTCACTGAAGGGTATGTCTCCTGTTCCCATACAGTTTGTCCCTAAGGTGGCCCCTTCACCACCACCTACAACACCCATGTCAATATCACTGACTACGAAGTCCAAGGTGTCCACAAAGAAACATGTGACAATAAAACCGCCAAGTCCAATCTCTGAGAGGCAGGAGATTGATTTCAATATCATGGGCTTTGAATCAGCCCCAGAAAGGTGTGTTCAGAGTGAATTACAAGCCTTCTCAATGAGTGAATTCCTCCCTCTATTATTTGAAAAATGGATTGGCCATTCTTTATTTTTACCCCTCTGATATATCCAATCTCTTTTTTCTTATAGGATTTGACTATCATTTCCTGACTCTATACTCTTATGCTTGCATTGCTTATTACATTGCGTGTTGTAACATATATTTCTCCTTTAAAAAAAAAAAAAGCTCTTAAATTCTATCTACCCATCAGCTTGTTCAACCTCCATCCCCATCCACCCCCTCTTTCTGTGAATTGATGCTTTTTGAGCATGCTCTGTATTGTATGAGCTATTCTTTGTAGAAAGTGATTTTCAGATACAATTAAAGTAAAATTATAGTTTATGTTAACAAGTTACTTTATTCATATCTTTTCAAGAAATTTGATGTTTGGGATTAATAGGTGTTGTCAAACTATATGGTATATATGTAGTAAGTAGAACCTAATTTGTTAAAGTATATATGCAAGTTAAAAAAGTGTACCTCCATGCTTACAGCCACTATGAGATTCGGGAGGTTGGACCTGTTCAGGAAATACACTATGTCTCTGATACAGAGGCAGCCACACTGAGACTTGTGGGATATTCCACAGAGGAAGAACCTGACAGGTAACAGCATGAGGAGTGATGCATGCTGGGAAAAACCAAGGGATTGTGGGAACAAAGAATAACTTTTCAAAATGTTTTTAACTTGAAGCAATTGTAAACTGATGTTGAGGTTTTGCTTTGTAGTGGACTACCACATTCCTACAGTCAACCAGAGATTTCTCTTGCTCAACAAGTGAAGCATCAACAGTACAGGTGATTGATTGAAGCATGTTTCTATACAGAGAATCAGCAGGCCAGATATAGCATCATGTTCAACAATCATATGGACATATTCTTAACAAAGATGTTAACAGATACTTCAACAAATAGAAATCTAATTTCACAAATAAATTCTTAATATTTTAATTTTAGAAATATATTGGATTAACCTTTACTGAAATATGTTCACACAATAATTTTCTCAGTCTATATAACAAGTTTTAACTTTTAGATTTACAGATTAATTCTAACATTTGCCAATGAGGTATTCAATAACACTAGGTAATCAATATGTTAACAAACATTTTAACATAGATCTGTCAAGCCTCCCTCACCAAGGGAGCGCAAGAAGACAAGGAAGCAGAAAACACCATCACCACCCAAGGAGACTTTCAAACCTGTACCGGCTCCCCCGGTATTTGCACCAAAGCCTGCACCAGTACCGGCACCAGAGAGGCAGGTGCCACCATCACTGCCTCAGAACATGAAAGTTAAGGCACCAGGGGTATTCAAGCCAAGGTGTGGATCAACAGCATGGTTTTCCTCCCCACATACAAATAAAGCTTAATGTTACTGAAAATGTAGTAGAAGTAGATTTAACTATAGTTTAATTGTAATAATTAATACTTTCTGTTGTATATGCTTGGTTATGTTCCATTTTTTAACATTTTCTGTACCCAAATGTTGTGTTTTATCCATTTTAACCTTAATACATGTGTCTGTGTTTAATTATAGTAAACCAGAAATTAAACCAAAACCATCCCCCAAACCTACCATTTCTAAAATGGATACTAGTGTGATACCAAAACCCAGCCCAGATTTTGTGAGTGCTGAGGCCAAATTCTTTCAAAGAAAGCCAGTTGAGGTTGATGATGTTCAGGAATCTAATCTTAAGCCATCAGAGATAGCCAGGTATCAGAAGTCAGGAGTAACAAAACCTGAAGATGAAACAGATTTTAGACAACAGGGCATTGTTGTCACAGAAAGTGATATGATACAAAGTCCATTCTATTTGAAAGACCAAGACCAAATAGGATCTGTACAAGTCACAAAAATGACTAGAACCCAGATGATTTCTACACAATATCAAACAGAATTTGAGGGAAGGTTTGTTCCAGAACAGCAACCTGATTACATTTCTTCTGATGTCATTCCTAAAGAGAAACAGCCATTTGAGGTGGATCTTGGAGTATATGGTTCAGAGCCATCAGAGGTTACCAAGAAAACTACAACTGAGGCTTCCAAGAAATTTCAGACAGGAATTACAGAACAAAGGCCATCTATCCAGCAACCAAGCTTTGTTTCAGCTCAGTACCAACCAGGACAACCGACTCCGGTGGAGGTAGACCTCGGTGTGGACCAATCTGGTTTGGAACCGTCTGATGTCACAAGAGTGACATTTGATCAAGTGTCCAGAAAATTTCAGACTGAAGTAACTGGAGATGTACAACCCCCACAAAAACCTATGTATAGAGCAGTGGAGTTTAAACCAATGCAACCAAAACCCACAGCTGTTGATCTTCAAGGTAGTAAACCTCAACAAATAAAGGAAACTCAGGTGAAAACAACAGAGGTTACAAAGTATGACAGTGGAATGAGTTGGAAAGCACCAGCTACTCCACAACCAGATTATGTGTCTGCTGAAGCCAAGTACTTCCAAAGAGGACCTGGGCCTGTAGATATTGAAGTTGATGAGGAGGCAAACCTAAAACCATCCGAGATTGCTCAGTTAAAGAAACAGCAGACTCTTGCCAAACGTTATCCACCAGAAGTTCCCCCAAAACCTAAAACACCAAAACCATCTGCTGCAGGAAAACCTCATCAGAAGATGGAATTCTACACTGCTGTCTCATCCCCAACTCAAGTCCATACATTTGAAGAAACTTTCAAGTTACCTTCTAAACCTGCAGGATTTGCTTCTGTCAAACCTCCTACACCAATACAGAAGACACCCCCTGTTGAGAAGACGGTGTACTTTCCAGACGATAAGCTGTCTGTCACCTCTGTGACATTAGACACAAAACCACCACCACCAGCAACTCTACCCAAACCAAAGAAACCTACAGAGGCAAAGAAGTCAGAAGCCAAAATCCAAATGACAACTCAGAAACCAAAGCATGTGAAGCCAGAAAGACCCAAACCAAAGTTTTCACCGAAAACAAAAAGAGTGGAACACAAAGTAAAAAGTGAGAAAAGGGTTACTTTTACTAGTACATCAGATGAAGGACCTCGTATAAAGTACAGATCAGAGTCAGATACACTCTTCACAGAGTCTGATTCAGAGGCCCCAAGCTGGGCTTATGTAGGACCCAAAATCCACAAAAAGAAACCTACCGACAAACCCAAAAAATTGATTATAGATATTGAACCCCTGAAGTTACAGCCAGATTTGGTTGATTCCTGGGAGCCAATTCGAGCTCCTGAACCTCCCAGACAACATTACACTGATACAGAGTCTGAAGATGTCTCCTGGACCCCACAACATGTCATTATCCCCCAGGTGGCCTCTGACATAGAAAAGAGGGAGGAGGAACTCAGGTTAGCCTGTGTGGGAATTTAATGAGTGGCTATTACCATTGGATGAAAGCTTACAGCAGTTTTTTGTCTGTTTTTAGTGTTCTTTATTCTTGATCTTTCTTGAGTGAAATTCTCATATGCAAGTTAATTGATTCAGTCCCTAAAGGATTCATTTCGCTGGCTGGATATGCATACTAGTAAACCTAAATTTACAGGATGACTGTTTCATTGCTTCTGCTTCAAACTTTGAAACTTATTTCATCTTAGTGATGAAGTATGGGCTGTCAGTTTTGCTTCTGCTTTTTCCTTGATACTGTTGTTCTTTTTCGATTTAATTCTTTCTTTTTTTCAGACCTTAAACCCAAGTTTTCCTGTAATTTGTTTTTTATTACTGAAATATTCAATTTAATGAAGCATGTCATCTCTTAGAAATTTTTTAGAAGTTTTTATGCATTTTTGATTGTGACAGTGTTTGAAATAATGTGTAACATGTGTATTTGTTTAATCAAGCAATTTATTGATGTCATTTTGAAATTAGTTGATGTCATTTTTTCACAGACCATATTCAACATCTTTGGATATAATGACCATGCCAATCCACGTCAAACAGTGAGAGCTGTGTGCATGAATGAGTGGCCCTCAGAATTGTCTCTCCACTTTACTTTGTTTCACAGTCCCCACTATTTAAAGATAAACATGAATATCAGAGACTATACATACTGAAAAAGAAAACCTTTTCCCCAAGTTGTTCTTTTAGCATGTTCACTGTTGAAAAACCCTGTCATTATTTCTACCAGCCAAACTTTACCTACACAAGAATCTTATTTGGTGAAATTCGTTGTTCCATATTTGATCCATGCTGCAACTGAAGATATTCCTCCCCAACCAGAAATCAAGCCTTATTTATCTTCCATGTCATTTCTACAAGTCCATGAGTTTACTAGTAATTTATGGGGTCAATTATAAGTACTCTAATTGACTGATAAATAAAACAAGATCTTTGATTGGTTTAAAGTATTCTTACTTAAAGTTGTACACTAAAATTGGGCACAAGTTTTTTACACTTTCTGAAGTACATTCTCTCATAACATTATTCCTTTAAATTCTGAATCATGTACTTATTGAATGTTATTAAATTATGCCTTGCCGTTTTTGTAGGGACCTTTACCGTGAGTCTGCCGTGCGTGAATTCATTCGGAGGGAAGGCCAGGCCCCTGCGGAGGAGGATCTGTACCACAAGGACAAGAAACGCCCGCCCAAGTTCAAAACACAAATCAAGAACTTGACAAACCTGAAGGAAAATGACTCGGCCCACTTTGAGTGTAAACTTATGCCATATGGTGATCCTACCATGAAGGTCGAGTGGTACAAGGACAACCAACCACTTCATCATGGTAATAATTTTTTTTTGAGGAATTTCATATAATTTTGGTTTGTTTTATTGATTGTTGTTTTATATACAAATTTCATATTATGAATAATAGAACCATGCATTTTTAAAAAATAAATTTGAAGTTTTTCTGATACTGAGTTTTTCATTTTCAGGACACCGATTTAAGCCAATGTTTGAGTTTGGCTTTGTTACACTGGACATTCTGTACACCTACCCAGAGGACTCTGGTGTGTACGAGTGTAGAGCCACCAACAACTTTGGAACAGATGTCACTCAGGCCACAATCAAATGCAGAGGACAACAAGCCATCATTGCTGAGACACAGCTACCAGGAGAAGGGGCTCTGCGTCTCCAGGAAATGGAAGAAAACTGGAGAAGGTGAGGAGCATGACCCTAGTCTGTCTTAGTTTACTGACCTATTTCTTTTATACATTTATTTTGATTTGATGATTATTCACTATTTATTAATTACTTTCTGATTGACAGACCGTCCCATCTGGATGAGAGAGAAATGGAGGAACCAAAGATGAAATATCCCCCCTCTATTGATATGAAGCCGGAGCCTGTTGCCGTGGCTGAAGGAGAACCAGCCAAATTCATGGTCAAAGTCAGCGGCTATCCCCGACCACGAGTCACATGGTGGGTCAATGGAACCATGATCATGACTGTAAGTATTTCATTGTAATTTAATCCATTTTTGTAAAGTATTCTTTCATGTCAACATTTGCTCCAATTTAGAATAGAGGTGTAGCATTAAAAATGAATGGATGAAAAATTTCAAAATACTTCGATTGTTGAGGAAATAAGTTTGATAATGGATGAGATAATGGGTACTGTATTTAATTTAAAACTTGTTTACTGTTGGTTTACAGAGTAGCAGATTTAAGATCCGCTATGATGGAATGATGAACTACATGGACATACCCAGAGTTAGGGAGTATGATAGTGGACAGATCAGGGTAGTTGCCAAGAACACTGAGGGTGAGGCAGAGGCCAGCACGGTCCTCAATGTCCTACCCAAAGAGGACTTCCGCTCCCAGCTCAGACAAGCTCCAAAGGGTGAGCTACAAATCGAGCTAGACCACAGACGCAAGATCGAGCTCAAGAATGTGGAGTTCAAACGTCCGTTTGAAATTCCCAAAGCTGCTGACTATGAACTTAAACAGATTGAAAGAGGTTAGGAATATGTGTTACTTTGATCTTCTGTTTACATGTTAAACAATTTATGGCTAATATGAAATAGGAATAAATTTATGCAAATGTATTGTTTGTTAATCATGGTTTATCTTTTTTTAAACAGCACACGAAACCAGAATCAAGATGAAACATGACAAAGAACAATACATGAAAACTGACAGTAAATTCATGGCTCAACCCAAACCTGACCAGCCGGCTCGCGTGGTGAGACCGGACCGACCAGAAATCCAGATGGAGATCCAGAAGGCCCGGATGGTTCCGGTTATTCCAGATCAGATAGTTCCCACAGAGGACAGCAAAGTGTCAGAGACACAGATCATGTTGGAGAGAAGAGAGCCACCAGTGTTCATCAAACCCATCAGACCTCTCAGGGTCACTGAGGGAACACCTATCACGTGTGTTGAGAATATTTTTGTCATTCTTTACTTTTAAAAGGAATATTTGGAAATATTTCTCTATTTTCATTCAGACAAAGCAGTTTAGGAAAGCAGGATTTTTAAAAAAATTATTGATGCTGAACTTTTAAGAATAATGACGTCATGTATGATTAATGCAAGCCCTTTTAAAAATGTGTTTGTTTCTTTGTAGAATTGAGGTTCAGTTCAAGGGTTACCCACCACCCATCATTTCCTGGTACAGAGACAACTTTGAGATCCACCCCTCTCATGATTTCCAGGTAATATATACAGTAGCTAACATTTAACATGTTTTAACCAATAGATTGTAGGTTTAAAACAAGTCATTATGCATAGTTTGAAATTTTCATTATTCCATTACATTATATTCATTTGATTAAAAATGTTAATTAAATTCTCAAGTTTTATACTTTATCATCTTGTAGGCCTATTTATTATTTCCTAACTTTTCTCCCAAGGTAAAAGGGGGTCACAAATTTTTTGGGTACAAAATTGATTTACTTAATGCTTTAATTATAATTTTATTCTAATCATTGTATACATTAAGTCATATACAATCAATTGTAACAGTAGTACATGTACCAATAGTCTTAATTTTGTAGAAGCCTTCTATAGTGAATTAATATTTAACTACCTTCAACAATTTCTCTTTCATTTTGCTTTCACAGTTGAAAGTAAGTATCTAAAGTGAATATTCAGTGTCCAGTTGTAACATACTTATTCACCCACAGCAAACTAGTACACATTATATACCAATTCCAAAGTTAATAACTAGTACACATTATACCAGTTCCAAAGTTACTATAGAAAATTGTACAAATAAATGCTGTTATTTAATTTCCATAAATTTCAAATTAATTACAATCTCAATGAATTTCCTCAAAGAAAAAGATTAATTTTTTTTCTATGAAAATTTAAAATGACAGAAAAATATTGCCACAGCAGGGACAGTCACTTAGTTCATTGTTTAGCAAACAGCACAGTTTTGTTGATAATACAATTCTGTAGCACTGTGAAATCTTTTTGCACAACTGAAATAAATGTGCAGTAATCTCTGTCTGAAGTATATAATTCATTTACAGAATATTTACATGTATCAGGCATGCTTTTTTTCAAAACTTTCAGCCAAATATTTATTTTATATGAACATAAACCTTTCAAAAATATCAGCACTGCTTTTGAGTGGTTTTTTCAATAAATGACAAGCTATTAGAAAAGTAGTTAAAAGAAATTTTCGCAGAATCTAATTTCAAGAGAGAAATTAATGTCAAAATAAAGATTCCATTGATGAGAAATACTCAGGTATAATAACTAATGTAAAACATTGGTACTTCATTGTCTTAGTCTACTGTAGATCACTTAATTTTCGCGATACCTTATTTTCGCGAGATAGTCATTGACTCTTTATTAGCGAGAGAAATTTTTCACGAATAATGGTCATTGCTCTATATAATCTTAAGTGATACTATTAAACGCGAGAATGAAATTTTCGCGATCATATCTTCTCGCGTAATTACGCGAAAATAAAGTTCTCGCGAATAAATAGTGATTTACAGTATTTTCCTTTGTTAGATCCACACTACTGAATCCACCTTTCTATTTTACTTTTGCTAGATCCACACCACAGAATCCACCAGCAGTCTCCACATCCCTGAGGTCTTCCCAGAAGACACGGGAATGTTCATGGTCAAGGCGTACAACATGTACGGGACGGTCCAGTGTAAGGCCAAACTGACTGTGGTGGAGGAAGAGGAGACAACTGAGAGAGTTAACTCGCCGGAGTTCAGGAACCTGATACATGACCTTAACACCGTACAGGGAGAACCCGCGACATTCGACTGTCAAGTGACCGGCCGCCCTAAACCTAAAGTCCAGTGGACAAAGGTATGTACTCATAATCTGTAAGAGAAGTGGAGGTTTCAGGAAGTGTAGAGAATTAAATAGACATTTGCTCCATATATTTTTTCTTCAAATGCTTCCAGAATATTGTGTACAGGGTAATCTTTACACCAGGTTATTTCACCCTTCCAATCTTTGGGAAAAAAATTGCCTCATAAATGTAACATAAGGATTTCACAGTTTCTTTGATGTAAAAAAGATATAAACTTTTTAATAGTGAATGAAAATTTTAAATTTGTAGGATGGAAAGCCACTGGAGGAGTCTCCTCATATGAAGTTCATTGAGGAGGATGATAATTATACACTACTGATCTACGAGGTCCAGCCAGAGGACGCCGGTCAGTATGACTGTGTGGCCATCAACACAGTGGGAAAGGCCACCTGTACAGCCAGACTCAACGTGGAAAGTAAGTCACATACATCAGTGTAAAAGAAAAGCATTTTAGAATGATGTAGTCAATTTAAAATGGAGAAATCCTGAAAACCTAGAGCTGTTGATTCAGTTGCATGGCACAGTAGACTTAGTATAAAATATATGTTGGTTTCATAAAAACTGATGTACACAATGTACATTTAAATTCTTACAGTGCCAGTGAAGCCACCAGAGCCAATGGAACCTCCCACTGAGGTCCCTGATGAGGCCCCAACTGTAGCCTCTGAACCTCAAAATCTGATTGTGGATGAAGGAGAACCTGCCACCTTTACATGCAAAATCAAAGGATCACCAGGTATCTATAAGAAATTCTTTGTGTATGGAATAGGATTAAAAAAAAAAAAAATTTTGTTAATACATGTATCACTGTCTCTAACTTAATGTGAAAAGGCCTCCTGATGAAATGGATATCATAAAGTTTGTATTTTGTTCCAGCTTCTATTGTCAGTTGGTACAGAAATAATCAGCTCATCAAGCCCTCTAAGTACTTCAGAATGGAGTCTTCACCAGACGGAGTACACAGCCTCAGTATTCTGGAGGCCTTCCCAGAAGACAGTGGTAACTACCGCTGTGTGGCCCGCAACAAAGCCGGGGAAACCACCTGTGGTGCACTGCTCAAAGTTCAAGGTCAGTAAATTAAATACTCTAATTTTAGCCTTGCTTGTTGCGTTAATGTGGATTCTGTTGTTTTTAAATTGAATGATGAATTAATTTATACATCTGGTGTAGTGTTTAATTAAGATTTTTTTTCTAAAGATAATTTTATCATGTCTTCCAGGATTGGAGAGTGATGCTGAACCACCTTCAATTGAGTCCAGAACTCAACCACCGAGCTTCAACCAGCCCATCACTAACACACTGGTGGTGGAGGGCAGCCCTGCTAGATTCGAGGCCAGATTCTCAGGTGTGCCACCTCCAGAGATTACCTGGCTGAGGAACGGTCTACAGGTCATCCAAAACTCCAAGAACTACCAGGTATTTTACAAAGAACAAGTTCTCTACATATGTACATTAATGTTGCTCTGACAGTTAAAAGGTAGGTCATTTTGAGATTTTTGAATAATTGAACTATATTTATATGCACCTTTTAATGTTTATTTTGAATTATTTATACTGTGAGTTTAAGGTTAATAGAGTTTACATTTTAATTTTTCTACAGATTGAGAAGAATCCTACATCCACTGTGTTGACAATCAAGCAGGCATTCCCTGAAGACAGTGGACTGATCACATGTAGAATCAAGAACATATCCGGCACCACTGAGTGTTCGGCTGAGCTTTATGTTCAAGGTAAGTGGACCATCTTACATCTGCTAAACAAAAAACGAACAATTGAACACTAAACAAAGATCAGATAGCAAGGTGAAATCTGACCAAACATAGGGTGATGTCCAAGGCACAGGTGAGTGTTTTGTTTAAAAAGTACATGTATCTTGAAAGCATGAATAAATCCTACTTTCTGAAATAAGATGGATAAAATAATATGATGATGAATGCTTTAATGGCATGTTGTTTGTTCCATGTGTTTTTCAGATTCATTACAGAGGCATGCTCAGAGTCAACATCTTCAATATTCTGTTTTATTCTGATTTATGTTTTTGTTTTATTGTCACAAACAAAAATAAGATTTCTAAGTTGAACCTTATTTCAGTTTGTGCACGTTTGATAAGACATAGTTATAGCATGACAGTTAATTAATCATTAATGAATGTTTTCCTTTCAGGTTATTTATGGGATGTATTACATATATTTTTGTGTGTATTACTATTTAAAACTGATATTTTTTTTCCAGCATGATTTTGATGTTTATTTTTTATGTGATACTAACATTAAAACATTTAAACTTGATCAATCCCTTTGCATATCCCTCCACTAAAAATTGTCAATCTACTAACCAAAGTTTGATCTCCAGAGCAGAGCAGTTTGAGTTTAGATAGGTCTGTGCATGAACAGTAAACATCAGCTGCATGATGAGAGAAATTTGTCTTCTGTGAGGATAGCATGGCAGAGCTGTCAAAGGTATGGACATAATATGTAATAAGTATAAACAAAAATTATAGTGTAATGTCTTGATCACAAATGACAACACGAATCACTCAAGGAGTGAATACTCTATAAGTTAAATTAAATTTTCTAGACTCAGAGGAAGCCAGACTTTTGGAAGAGAAATATATCACAACAATACGAACAAACCCACCTGAATTCATCAAAGCATTGACACCTGTGAAGGATTTGAGACCAGGTGAAGATGCACGACTGGAGGCCCAGATCTCGGCCTATCCCCCACCCAAGTACAACTGGTACTTCAGTGGTAAGGAAATAGTTCCCTCGGACCGGAGAGAGATAGAGCAGGATAAGGACACCATTATTCTGATAATCCGACAAGTGAAGCCAGAGGACCAGGGAGATTACACACTCAGAGTACAGAACGAGATGGGAGAGATCACCTGCCGGACAACACTTAATGTTCAAGGTAGGTCAAGGTGTTTTGTAGTTTTAGCCTATTTTATCCTATGTATATTTCTGATCTGGAGTTTTTCTTTGGTTTGTTTTCATGATATATGTATGTAACTTATGATACAAAGAAAAAAAACTTGATTTCTTTAAATTCCTACCTCAACCCCCTAATTTTTTGCAAGAAATGTTTGGTAACTAGCTTTCCTTTCAAATTCCTCTTTAGGAGAACATTTCATTTCATTGTATATTTATGTAAAATATTTCCTCAGTCATAAAAATTTAGTCTTAACTTAATTCGTTACAAATGATTATTGGTTGACCATTCATCTTTTTTTTTTTCAGGCAAGGAAAAGGAGGTAGCCTTGCCCTTCAGTGACACAAGACAACAAACAATGACAGTCACCCAGACTACAACTACCATCACAAGAGAGGAACACACTGTGTCTCAACTGATGAAGCCAGTGTTTAAAGAACCCCTAGAACCAGAGATCTACGTCAGGGAAAGGGGAATCGCAAGGTATGAAAAAAAAATAAGTACATTGATTTACAGTAGAGTGCAGGAAACAGGTTTATAATGAATTATAATGATATTATGCTTATAGTAATTTTAAATCCCTTTGGTTTTAAGACATTGAAAATATATTAGGTTTAAAACAAATCAAAATGTTTTTCACTGGTAAATTGCATGTTTGTATTTTACATGTACATATTTTTCATGACTGACATTTTAATTTTGGATAATTTAGCCATTGTTCACTTGATGTACTTTACAGACTAGAATGTAAACTGGATGCCTACCCACCTCCTCTTGTCACTTGGTTCATCAACGGAATGGAGGTCCATCCTTCTCCTCATTACGAGGTTCTCTATGAAGACGGCAAATCTGTACTTCTCATTATTGAAGTTGGACCTGAGGATGTTGGTGAATATACATGCAAAGCTGTATCAGAACTTGGAGAGGTTGTGTCTAGCACCACTCTTTATGTACAAGGTAAAAATTGTTGATTTTTATTTAGAATAGAGCAATGTCTAGAATTACAGTGATAAAGTAATTTACAATCCACTACGTAATCTAAAGGAAATATATCACCTCATTTTTAAACTTAATAACAAACTCTTTTTAAACAGAACCAGCCACAGAGGAGATGCCTCCTGTTCCTCATCGTCCTGAGGACACAGCCTTTGTACAGCCCTCACCTTCCACCTCACTCCAGCCACCACGCTTTTCTGAACCACTACAGAGCGTTGAAGTTGTGGATGGGGAAGAACTGAATGTTCCTTGCAAAGTCATAGGAAAACCACCTCCTCAAATTTCTTTCTTCCACAATGGCAAGAACATTGACCATGATGAGGAATATGTCATCACATACAATCCTGAGACAGGGGATGTCACTCTACTCATTGTGGAGGTCTTCCCAGAAGACGAGGGAGAGTATGTGTGTGTGGCCCACAACCCAGCGGGAGAGGCCAGCACTAGGATGTACCTCAGTGTTCTTGACTCTGGACCAGCAGAGGATGTTTATGAGGAGGCTCCAATGGATGTAGAACAGACTGAAGTGAAATTCACCATGCAGCTACCTCAAGAAGGAATGGAGGTCACGGAAGAGGATCTTGTGCCACAGGTAATGGCTTCATCTACGTTACTGAAATTACTTTTTTTTGGTTGGGTGAAAGAAATGTCAGTCAGTGCTTTATGTAAGGTTAAAAATGTGAAATTGTAAAGTTGAAATCAAGTGTTTAGCAACAAGCATTTTTGTCTAACAAGTTGCTAACAAGTTATTTTTTTAAAAGATTGTTTTACAACTTATCAATAAACTGTTTATTTGAATACAGGTTATTGAGAGACCTAAAGCTGTGGCATTGCAACAGGAGGTCCCCAGATCTCCATCCCCTGAAGTTGTTTACCAGGCCACTGTTCCAGTTCCCAAATCACCAGAGGAACCAATGGATGAAGTCCAGGAGGAAATTTTGGAACAGGAAGTAAAACCCAAGGTCATTGAAAGGCCAAAACAAAAACCACTTGTAGAGGAAAAGGTGAGGGATGAATCACCAGTCAGAGAAGTTGTGACTGTAGCTCCCGAAACTACAAAGCCAAAGGAAGACAAACCTGAAGTTTCTGAAGAATCAGTTGTACCAGAAATTGTGACAAAGAAAATTAAGCTACCAGGTGAAAAACCTATTGATGAAAGACTTGGCAAAGAAGATTCATTTCCGGGAGAGGAACCACCAAAGAAGAAACCAGAGGTGACTGCTCAGTATGAAACAGTTCTTGTACCAGAGGCAGCTGAGGAAGTACCACCAGAGTTTACAGAGGAACTCCAACCTCAGATTCTGCCTGATGGAGAAGAGGTGACCATGACTTGCAGAGTTGTTGGTAGCCCAATTCCTGTTATCAGATGGTACAAGGATGGACAGGAACTGATGCCAAGTACTGACTTCCATATCAGCTATGATGAAAACACTGGATTATCTACACTGACAATACCAGAGGTATTCCCTGAAGATGCGGGAGAATATTCCTGCTCAGCAGAAAATATGTTTGGTGATGCCACAACATCAGCCAGCCTTGTTGTGGACAGTAAGTTTTTTTTATTGTGAATGAGAGGAAAGATAAACATTTTTTTTGAAAAGATGTCTGAATAAAAATCAAAATTCTAAACCTATCTATGTGGAATTGCAAAGCACAATGTAGACTGTGAATCTAGGGTTTTTTTTAAGTCTGTTTATCCTACCAATCTTGGTTTGGGTGAATAAAATGAACTTGAATCTTCATTATTAATTTTGGTTGCTTAAAATTGTTATTAAAATTGTGATTTATCATTATTTTCTAGCAATGCCAGATGAAGAGGTTCACAGAAGGACCCAAATGGACACCAGCACCTACCAGACATTTACACTGACACAAGATGTCCCTGACTCTGCTGTGTTGGAGACACAGGATCAGTACAAAACCACACTTGATATTCCACCTCAATTTATTAAACCACTGGAAAATGAAGTGACAGCAAAAGAGGGAGGAAGCACTACGTAAGCTCAATAGTCCTCACATTATACATCAAGTGATGTAGTATAATTATTATACCCCAGTAAATGAAGTTTCATTGGGTATCATTTTGTGAGTTTGTTCACAGTACCTCTAGTCTTCTCTAATCAAGGGCATCTGAAACACTTCTCTACTCGTAAATTTTGGGTCAATTTTAAATTTTTTTTTTACTTTAAGAAATTATAAATTTTCAATAAAACATATTAATGTCATGAATGTGCAAGACCATTTGCTTGCAAAAAGATCTTTCCTTCTCAAATATATGTTTTGTACATGTCATTAGTACCACATTGAAATAATTGCATTCATATTCACAATTTAAGGCTTGAGGTCATAGTAGCAGGAGAGCCACAACCCAAAGTGACGTGGTACAGGAATGAGGTTCAGATTGTTCCAGACAACAGAACAATGATTGTCCCAGAGAGAAATGTCACCAAGCTCATCATTGATCACCTCCGACCCGAGGATGATGCCGAGTACATTTGTGTGGCAGAAAATGATAGGGGAGTGGTCACATGCAAGAGCAAACTCCATGTCATCCGTAAGTGTAGGGCCTCAATTGTGGCCAATATTTGATTCCTTGTTCAAATAATGCATCAAAGGTTTTTTTTAAAAATTATATTCAATTTTACAATTTTTCAATATTTCTGAAAGTGGAATGAAACCAGATCTCCCAGCTTTAATTATGATTATTTGATTTTAATTAGCAACAAGAAGAGTGGAGTTTGAAATACCAGAGGAAAAAGTAGAGAGGGTAAGAGATACAACTATTCCTAAGTATGCCATCTCTGAAGACGAGACTGCTCCTAGTGCAAGTGAGGATGAATTACCAGAGGACAAAATAGTACCTCCTGAATTCACGGAGCTTCTACAACCAGTTACCATACGAGATGGTGAACGCATTGAATTGAGAGTAAGCTTCCGTGGATTCCCTGCACCAAGAATCCGCTGGTACCACGAAGGCAAAGAAATCATGAATAGTGCCGACTTCCAGATTACTATTGACTTCAACAGAGGCCAGAGTACACTCGTTATTGTAGAGGTGTTTCCTGAGGACCAGGGTGAATACACTTGTACAGCCAAAAACAAGTACGGGGAAACCATCACCACCTGCCGGCTAAATGTCATTTGTAAGTATTTTATAGGTTTGCTGAATTGATGATTTAGAGTGAATGTTAAGTCATCTTTTGATGAATTAGTTTCTCTTTTTTGAATTATTCTGTTTATTTTGAATAGAAATCCTTTTCTGAATTTAGATTTTAGATAATTCTGTCTCTCTTTTATTATGTATGTAGTTTCTCCTCCCATGCATACTAGTTAAGTTTATTCTTGCACATTTTCTGTGTGATTTTTCATGAATATTCTTCAATCCAACACTTCACAGGAAGTTCCACATATAAAACACTGAATAATAATATGTTTGAGAAACATTTATTTGAATACAAATTTGATCTTTGGTACTTGTGCACATTCTCCTTGAGCACTTTAGCAATAGCACTTTATCACTATCAAGCTTGCAACATAATCACTTTCCTTACACTCCCGTCCTTCTTTTCAGCACCAGAAGAAACTATCCCAACTAAAGAGTTCTCAAGAACACATATTGAAGTGCAAAAAATGACCCAACCTGAACCTGTTCATGAAATCCATACCTCCCAAATGAAAATTACCGAACTCACAGATGAAGAAATTCCAGAAATACCAGAAACTACCAAATACAGTGAAATGATTGAGGTGGATCATAAACCAAAAGTCACTGAGCCATTTGAGATTATCCCTATACAACAGGAGAGACAACCACAAGGTCCAATCCAAGTTGAAATCCAGCTTGGAGCCCCAGGAACTCCTCAGACCACTACCTCAGTTGTAACAGAAACCACAACATACACACAAGTCATTTCAGAGTTAAAGGAGGAACCTGAGGTATACCCTAAAATCAAGGAAGGAGATGGTGTTCACAAAACTACGGTGACCATGAAAAAGGAGGAAGCAGAGGGACCTATGGAGTTCAAATTAAAACTGCCTGAACAAGAGAAAACCGAAGTAATTACCAGCACTCGTCAACTTGTGACTGAAGAGAGAAAGGTCACTGAATTACGAGAATCACCAACTGAAAGACATACAGAGACTATAGAAATTGTTCAAGATCAAGGTCCTGAAGAAGTAGAATTCCAAGTTGTTTTGCCAACACAAGAAACGATCAAAACTGAAACCCTGAAAACCACCGTAGATGAGAGACGACAGTCTGTTCAAAAAATGGAGGTAGACATCAAGGAAGGTTTCATGAAACAGAAACCTAAGCAAACAGAAATACTTATTCCATTGCAAGATCAATCAATGGATGTTTCAGAATTACGAGATATGCCTCGACCTACTGAAGAACAGATTGAGGAAGTAAGACCTACTATTGAAATAATTGACAAGATGGAAAAGGTCCCATCTCAAGTTAAAGAATCTGTAACTTTGGAACAGACCCCAGTTTCAGAGACTGAAATGCAGACTACTGATTCAACTGATGCCTCCTTTACAATGGTAATTGATGATACACAAGCTCCAGCAGTAGCTCAACCAGAGGACAGTAAAACTGAAGAAATTTCATTAGTTTTCACTCCTCAGGTTACTGAAGAAACAGAGGAGACCTTCACTTTACAACCTGAAAAAGTTGTCAGTGAAGTGTCAGAATCACTACCTGAAAAACAAGAGGTTATTCCCGAATCAGAGACACAAGCACCAGAGGATGAAATTCATATCACTGAACGTGGTACAGTAGAAATTGTTAAAGAACCAGAAGAATCAGAGAGTATTGAAATTGATATTGACATCTCTGATAGGCTTCCAGAGGTTACAGAAGTGAAATCAGTAGAAAAAGTGACTGAAACAGAAAGGACAGAAACCACTCTTCAAATTCCAGACTCTCAAGAGACACACAGAGAGGAGGTAACTCTTGATTTACAAGAGAAACCTTTAGAAGAAATGCAGATTGACATTCAGTTAATGAAACCAGAAAAGCATGTGCCTATTCAGGAGGAGATAACTGATATTGAAACTTATAAAACCACAGAAAAAGAAGCAATTGTTTTGCCAGAAACATCTGAAATTCAACTCAAGGAAACACTAACTGAAACTGAAGAAAGGCCACAAGAGGACACTTCCTTTACTATTCAGATAGATGAAAGAACAACAACTGAAACAACAGATCAGGCTTCAACAGAGACTGTAGACTCAATTGAAAGTGCCTTTACCTTTCAGATTCCTCAAACTGAAGAAACCCATATTGATAAAGTAACATATGAAATTGGTGAAAGGCCAACAGAGGCTGTAGAAAGGACCATTCAATTACCAGGAGAGGAAGCAATAGCTGAAAAAGAAACGAGTGTTTACACAGAACAAGTTACCAAAGAGGACCAGGAAGTAATTGCAGTGCCAGAAACAGAGCAAGTCGAATCAGAGGAGGTTGTGATCAATGTTCAACAACAACCACCAGAATCAGTAGAGATGACAATGCAGTTTGATACTGAACAAACTGTTCCAATTAAATCAGATACAATATTTACAGAACAAGTCACAAAATCTCAGGAAGAGGAGGTATCTCTTCCAGAAATTGCAGACACATACAAAGATGAATACACGTTACAGATTTCACAAGAAAAGCCTTCAGAATCTGTAGAGATGACCATTCCAATTGACACAGCATTGCATGCACCAGTTCAAGAGGATACAGCTGTTACTGAAACAACAGCAAAAATAGCTGAGGTGAATGTGGAGATGCCAGATGAGACTGACACCATCACTGAGGAAGTTTCTTTGAAAACCAAGGATCAGCCCACTGAATCTGCTGAATTATCAATACAACTCGAAACTGGAGAAAGATCGCAAATACCTGAAGAAACTGTAGAATTACCAATCAGTATTGGGACGTCAAGTGACCAATTTACAATTGATGTTGAGAATCAGTCAGAGGATAGAGCCGATTTCACCATACAGCTTCAAGAGAATCAGACCCCAGAAATGACCCAGACTCTTATGATAGAAAGACCAGGTGATATAAGCATTGGGGATCAGATAGTATCAGACAACCTACAACATGAAGAAATAACATACAAGATTGGTGAACAACCCACTGAGGGATTTGAAATGACTTTTCAGCTAGACCAGGATGAACAGTATGCAACTCCAGATGATAGCTCAACTACTACTACAGAAACAGTTAAAGAGTCATTTACTTTCCAAGTACCAGAATCATCAGAGAGTATGAAAATTGAAGAGATGACGTTTCAATTACCTAACAAACTAGATGAAGCTGAAGCTAGTCAGGTAGTTGACACAACCACTCAAATGGAAACAGTGTCTGATTCTTTTACATTCCACGTTCCAGAGTCTGAAGAAAAACAAACAGAAGAGATAACTCTACAGCTGGAAGAAGAGCCTTTAAAAGAGGTTGAATTAGTTGAAGAAAGCCAAGAAGGAAAAGTTGAAAGTATGACAGAATCTTTCACTTTTCAAGTCCCAGAATCAGAATTTGAGACAACTGAACTCGATTTGCAGCCATCTCAAGATACCGAAATGACCATCCATCTTGAAGCATCTCCAGAGGATGTTGAAATGAAAGAGACTACTACAAGCGCTATAGAAACAGTCACAGATGAAATTTTTTATGATGCACCGGAATCACAAATGGAAGAAATAACTCTTGAAATTGACAAAACACCTAAAAAAGAAGTGAATCTGACTTTGAAAATTCCAGAAAAGGAAAAGCAAACTATTGTAACTGAAGAGCAAACAACTATGAAAGAAAGTTTGACAACAAGAGAAGTATTCAATGTAGAAATCCCAGAAGGTCACAGTGCCCCGATGTTTACATGGGGCTTAACCTCACTGAAGGTAATGGATGGTGAGGAGGCAAAGTTCAGATGCGAAGTCACAGCAGAACCAATGCCAGAAATATCTTGGTTCCATGATGACAAACCACTCGCAGAAACCCAGGATTTCAAATTGACTTTTGATGCGGAAAGTGGAGCCTGTACTTTATTGATTGTGGAGGTTTTTCCACAGGATGCAGGGGAATATCGTTGTGAAGCAGTAAATCCTTATGGAAAGGCAATCACTAGAGGGTATTTGGAGGTAGAAGGTAAGAACACGTCCTATTGTATTCATTTGTCTTTTCTGTATCTCAACAAGCACAAAAAGTCTTGTCTATCATGTCTTTCATACCATTTTGTAAGCATGTACCGTCCTTGTGCCTTATTTTGTTCTCGTCTTTTTGTTTGAGAAGCTATAATTTAGATTTTAATGTGCATGAAATCTACAAATATTGTACTCTTTTATTTACTATTTTATTTATGCCAATATATTTTTATACTTTGAGGTGATAGTTCAGTGATTAAGATCTATATCATTACTAAATAAAAAGTCATGCAATAAACTAGTATTCTAAAAATGTATTTTCTTTTGTAGCTTATGAATATGTACCAGACACAGAAGAAGCCTCTGACTCTGTGATGTCTTCACTAGACACTGCTTCACCCAGACCTCTGACAGAATCTGACTCGGAAATGTCAACATTGCCAAAGGAAATTCTGGAAGAGATGAGAAAAATGCAGGAAAAAATGGAAATTGACATTGACGAGGTATTTTGATAAACAGAAGTATTGAATTAAATGCAGAAAATAATATTTTATGATGCAATTGAGAATAAAAATGTCTTACTATGCTTTTGCAGGAAGAAGCTGGAGAACTTACTCCAACAGAAACTGAATATCTTAAACCTGATGAAACTGAATTGAACCTTCAGAAGCCAGGTGTTGAGACCTCTGAGTTCAAATCCCAGCCAATTACAGAGACGACTTTGGAGACGTCAACAGAAATACCAGAAGTTTCAAAGCTATCAAGTTCCGTAACAGATATTCCTGAACAAAAAACCCAAGCTGACATATCTGAAGAAAAGGAATCCTTAGCTACACCATCTCGATTAAAGAGTGACAAAACTGACATTTCTGAAATTGAGGCACCAGAGAGCAAAGAATCAACCGTAACAGAGGTTGAGGTTAATCTAAACAAAGTGTCAAAGGAGACTGTAGAATCCAAAGCAATTTCTCAAGATCTTCTGGAAAAAACAGATGATGTGTCACCAGTTGTCTCAGAAAGCTCAAAGGAGATTGTTATTGACACAAAACTTGAGATGCCTTCAAAAGAGAGCTTAACAATGAAAACAGAAATTCAATCTGAAAAATTAGATGAATCAGAATTATCAACTGTTGCAGATGTTAAAAGTGATCTGATCACTTCTTCTGAAGTACCTCATGAATTGCAAGTTACAGATTCTGGGAAGCCAGTAGAGTCCAAGGTTGAAATTGAGGCAGCAGAAACTGGTCCCACACTCACAGATGTTGCTGAAATTCAACTTGTCAAGACAAAGCTTGCAGAGGAAGCTTTCCCAGAGGTAGAAAAACCAGAAGAACAAATTACAGAAGTCAAGGAAGCACCAACCACAGAGGTAAAGGAGAAAGCATCACCAGAGGAAACAAAACCTGCCGAGTCTTCAAAAGAAGAGATTACAATTACTGTAACACCTGTTGAAGGAAAGGAGACACCAATTTTTGTATCAACAGCTGAGCATGAGCCACCAAAATTTCTACTTCCACTTAGGGATGTTACAGTTATGGAGAGCACCACACTTAGACTTGAGGTGACATTTACAGGTTCAGCAGAGATTGTTGTTAAGTGGTACCTTGATGGGGAGGAAATAATACCATCAGAGGACATTGATATTATTGTGGAGAGCTATAGAAGTGTGCTAGTCATCCACCAAGTCTTTCCCGAAGATGAGGGTGAATATTGGGTAGAATGCATTAATAACGAAGGGAAGGCCAAGTCAACTGCATATCTTACAGTTCTACGTAAGTATCTGTTTTTCAGATTTATGCTTAACTATAATTAAATTTTTTAATTGTTTATTTACCATATTGAGAGACATACATTTTTTAAAATTATTTATTCTATTTGCTGTTTGAAAGGAGATGCATTTTAAACTATCTTTTTTGGAGTTATTCTTGTGATGCATTAAAATTTTTTACCCTGAAATTTTGTGCCATATTCCTTAGTACCTCATCAAAGCACACACACACCCCAAAAATAACCAACTCACCAGGTCATGCATACCCTAATTAGAATAGATATAAAGCATCAATGTAGGTTAGGTCTTTCAGTATATTTTATATTATAAAGAGTAAAATTGTTAAACTTATGTTATTGATTTTTAGAAGCAAGTCCCAACAATTTTTTTTAAAAAAGAATTGTTTGAAAGACCAACAAGAATATTATAGAATATGAGCCTATAATTAAAAATATAATGTATCAATGTTCAAAAAATTTTTAATTGAGCACTTACAGATAAAGTTAGGTTAAATTTTATGTATTTAGTAAATAAAATAAGAGTTTTCTTTAATCCTTCCCATACACTCCTATCCTATGCATTGTGATATCTCCCATTGTAGCATCAAGTGCACCATCTAGTGCTGTTCCATCTGATGATGAGTCTGCAAGGGAGGCATATTCCCAGCCATCTGAAATTGAAAAGGAAATACCAGCTCCTAGAGATGAAAAGAAAGTGACTTTTAGAGAGACCGTTGATGTTTGTGAAACTTATATGGATGAATTCTCAACAACCGAAGAAGAGTCCCAGATGGAAGAGGTGTCATCAGAGGAAGAACCTTTCCCAGAGGAAGAGGATTGGTTTAAAGAAAAGGCTCAGGAAGTTGTACCTCATGTGAAAGAAAGCAAAATAGATGAAAACGAGGATCAGACAACTTTATCCAAAGAAACCTTCGAACAGTCAAATATAGAATTTATACCAGAGAAAAAACCTTCTGTCAATCTTCTTCCTGAAGTAGCTATCTCAGAGGTTGAAGCACCCTTGGAAGAAACAATAATTGAAGAGAGGGAAACAGTTGAAAAAACATCAGATAAATCAAGTGAAATTGAATCATTGGAGAAGGTAAAACAGGACACGGAAAAAGAATCAGTGGATATTGTTAGGGAAGAGACTAAACCTCTTGAACCTTCTTATGCGGAAACTGCCGAAATTTTCCCAAAGGAAGAAGAAAAACCAACAACAGAATTGACTACAAAGAGCATTGAGATAAAGCCTGAAGCTGGCCCTGTGACTGTTGAGATCGATATATCTGTTCCTAAAGAAAAAGCAGAAGTTTCCACAATTAAAACAACTACAAAAGAAGATGTTGTTGAAACAGAGGAAATTACAGAGGAGGTTGAAGAAATGAAGGAGGATATCACTTCATCAACTGAAACTTACAAACAATCTGTTGAATTAGTTCCCGAGAAACAACCTTCGGCTGATATTTTTCCTGAAGATGTCTCAGAGGTTAGAGCACCCTTGGAGGAAACAATAATGGAAGAAAGAGAAACAGTCGAAAAAACACCAGAGGAATCAAGCCAAATTGAAACCACAGAGAAGGTGAAAGAGGTCCCAGAAGAAGAATCCATGGAAGTTGTGAAGGAAGAGACTAAACCTGTTGAACCTTCTTATGCGGAAACTGTTGAAATTTTACCAAAGGAAGAAAAACCAATAACTAAATTGACTACAAAGAGTATTGAGATAAAGCCTGAAGCTGGCCCTGTGGCTGTGGAGATCGATATTTCAGTACCTAAAGAAAAAGCAGAAGTTTCCACAATTGAAACAACTACAAAAGAAGAGGTTGTTGAAACAGAGGAAATCACAGAAGAGGTTGAAGAAGTGAAGGAGGATATCACTTCATCAACTGAAACTTACAAACAATCTGTTGAATTAGTTCCCGAGAAACAACCTTCGGCTGATATTCTTCCTGAAGAAGCTGTCTCAGAGGTTGAAGCACCCTTGGAGGAAACAATAACGGAAGAAAGAGAAACAGTCGAAAAAATGCCAGAGGAATCAAGCCAAATTGAAACCACAGAGAAGGTGAAAGAGGCCCCAGAAGAAGAATCCATGGATGTTGTGAAGGAAGAGACTAAACCTGTTGAACCTTCTTATGCGGAAACTGTTGAAATTTTACCAAAGGAAGAAGAAAAACCAATAACTGAATTGACTACAAAGAGTATTGAGATAAAGCCTGAAGCTGGCCCTGTGGCTGTGGAGATCGATATTTCTGTTCCTAAAGAAAAAGCAGAAGTTTCCACAATTGAAACAACTACAAAAGAAGAGGTTGTTGAAACAGAGGAAATCACTGAAGAAGTGAAGGAGGATATCACTTCATCAACTGAAACTTACAAGGTTGAATTAGATATTCGGCTGATATTCTTCCTGACTTCATCAACTGAAACTTACAAGAGGAATCAATTGAAACTGTTGAATTAACCTTCTTATGTGTTGAAATTTTACCAAAGAAAGAAGAAAAACCAATAACAGAATTGACTACAAAGAGTATTGACATAAAGCCTGAAGCTGGCCCTGTGGCTGTGGAGATCGATATTTCTGTTCCTAAAGAAAAAGCAGAAGTTTCCACAATTGAAACAACTACAAAAGAAGAGGTTGTTGAAACAGAGGAAATCACTGAAGAAGTGTATCACTCATCAACTTGAAACTTACCCAATCTGTTGAATTAGGAAACAATAATTCTACCTGAAGAAGCTGTCTCAGAGAAGCACCAGGAGGAAACAATAACGAAAAAAGAGAAACAGTCGAAAAAATGCCAGAGGAATCAAGCCAAATTGAAACCACAGAGAAGGTGAAAGAGGCCCCAGAAGAAGAATCCATGGATGTTGTGAAGGAAGAGACTAAACCTGTTGAACCTTCTTATGCGGAAACTGTTGAAATTTTACCAAAGGAAGAAGAAAAACCAATAACTGAATTGACTACAAAGAGTATTGAGATAAAGCCTGAAGCTGGCCCTGTGGCTGTGGAGATCGATATTTCTGTACCTAAAGAAAAAGCAGAAGTTTCCACAATTGAAACAACTACAAAAGAAGAGGTTGTTGAAACAGAGGAAATCACAGAAGAGGTTGAAGAAGTGAAGGAGGATATCACTTCATCAACTGAAACTTACAAGCAATCTGTTGAATTAGTTCCGGAGAAACAACCTTCGGCTGATATTCTTCCTGAAGAAGCTGTCTCAGAGGTTGAAGCACCCTTGGAGGAAACAATAACGGAAGAAAGAGAAACAGTCGAAAAAATGCCAGAGGAATCAAGCCAAATTGAAACCACAGAGAAGGTGAAAGAGGCCCCAGAAGAAGAATCCATGGATGTTGTGAAGGAAGAGACTAAACCTGTTGAACCTTCTTATGCGGAAACTGTTGAAATTTTACCAAAGGAAGAAGAAAAACCAATAACTGAATTGACTACAAAGAGTATTGAGATAAAGCCTGAAGCTGGCCCTGTGGCTGTGGAGATCGATATTTCAGTACCTAAAGAAAAAGCAGAAGTTTCCACAATTGAAACAACTACAAAAGAAGAGGTTGTTGAAACAGAGGAAATCACAGAAGAGGTTGAAGAAGTGAAGGAGGATATCACTTCATCAACTGAAACTTACAAACAATCTGTTGAATTAGAAGCTGTCTCAGAGGTTGAAGCACCCTTGGAGGAGAAACAACCTTCGGCCATGGAAGTTGTGAAGGAAGAGACTATATTCTTCCTGAAGAAGCTAACTCTCAGAGGTTGAAGCACCCTTGGACAATTGAAACAATAAACAGAGGAAATCACAGAAGAAAGAGAAACAGTCGAAAAAAACAATCTGTTGAATTAGTTCCAGAGGAATCAAGCCAAATTGAAACCACAGAGAAGGAAACAGTGAAAAAACACCAGGAATCAAGCCCAGAAGAAGAATCCATGGATGTTGTGAAGGAAGAGACTAAACCTGTTGAACCTTCTTATGCGGAAACTGTTGAAATTTTACCAAAGGAAGAAGAAAAACCAATAACTGAATTGACTACAAAGAGTATTGAGATAAAGCCTGAAGCTGGCCCTGTGGCTGTGGAGATCGATATTTCAGTACCTAAAGAAAAAGCAGAAGTTTCCACAATTGAAACAACTACAAAAGAAGAGGTTGTTGAAACAGAGGAAATCACAGAAGAGGTTGAAGAAGTGAAGGAGGATATCACTTCATCAACTGAAACTTACAAACAATCTGTTGAATTAGTTCCCGAGAAACAACCTTCGGCTGATATTCTTCCTGAAGAAGCTGTCTCAGAGGTTGAAGCACCCTTGGAGGAAACAATAATGGAAGAAAGAGAAACAGTCGAAAAAACACCAGAGGAATCAAGCCAAATTGAAACCACAGAGAAGGTGAAAGAGGTCCCAGAAGAAGAATCCATGGATGTTGTGAAGGAAGAGACTAAACCTGTTGAACCTTCTTATGCGGAAACTGTTGAAATTTTACCAAAGGAAGAAGAAAAACCAATAACTGAATTGACTACAAAGAGTATTGAGATAAAGCCTGAAGCTGGCCCTGTGGCTGTGGAGATCGATATTTCTGTTCCTAAAGAAAAAGCAGAAGTTTCCACAATTGAAACAACTACAAAAGAAGAGGTTGTTGAAACAGAGGAAATCACAGAAGAGGTTGAAGAAATGAAGGAGGATATCACTTCATCAACTGAAACTTACAAACAATCTGTTGAATTAGTTCCTTCGGCTGATATTCTTCCTGAAGAAGCTGTCTCAGAGGTTGAAGCACCCTTGGAGGAAACAATAGTGGAAGAAAGAGAAACAGTCAAAAGAATGCCAGAGGAATCAAGTCAAACTGAAACCACAGAGAAGGTGAAAGAGGTCCCAGAAGAGGAATCCATGGATGTTGTGAAGGAAGAGACTAAACCTGTTGAAATTTTTTTACCAAAGGAAGAAGAAAAACCTATAACTGAATTTACTACGAAGAGTATTGAGATAAAGCCTGAAGCTGGCCCTGTGGCTGTGGAGATCGATATTTCTGTACCTAAAGAAAAAGCAGAAGTTTCCACAATTGAAACAACTACAAAAGAAGAGGTTGTTGAAACAGAGGAAATCACAGAAGAGGTTGAAGAAGTGAAGGAGGATATCACTTCATCAACTGAAACTTACAAACAATCTGTTGAATTAGTTCCAGAGAAACAACCTTCGGCTGATATTCTTCCTGAAGAAGCTGTCTCAGAGGTTGAAGCACCCTTGGAGGAAACAATAATGGAAGAAAGAGAAACAGTCGAAAAAACACTAGAGGAATCAAGCCAAATTGAAATCACAGAGAAGGTGAAAGAGGTCCCAGAAGAAGAATCCATGGATGTTGTGAAGGAAGAGACTAAACCTGTTGAACCTTCTTATGCGGAAACTGTTGAAATTTTACCAAAGGAAGAAGAAAAACCAATAACTGAATTGACTACAAAGAGTATTGAGATAAAGCCTGAAGCTGGCCCTGTGGCTGTGGAGATCGATATTTCAGTACCTAAAGAAAAAGCAGAAGTTTCCACAATTGAAACAACTACAAAAGAAGAGGTTGTTGAAACAGAGGAAATCACAGAAGAGGTTGAAGAAGTGAAGGAGGATATCACTTCATCAACTGAAACTTACAAACAATCTGTTGAATTAGTTCCGGAGAAACAACCTTCGACAGAGAAGGTGAAAGAGGCCCCAGAAAAAGAATCCATGGATGTTGTGAAGGAAGAAACTAAACCTGTTGAACCTTCTTATGCAGAAACTGTTGAAATTTTACCAAAGGAAGAAGAAAAACTGATATTCTTCCTGAAGAAGCTGTCTCAGAGGTTGAAGCACCCTTGGAGGAAACAATAATGGAAGAAAGAGAAGACAGTCGAAAAAAGGTTGAAGCACCAGAGGAATCAAGCCAAATTGAAACCACAGAGAAGGTGAAAGAGGCCCAGAAGAAGAATCCATGGATGTTGTGAAGAAAGAGACTAAACCTGTTGAACCTTCTTATGCGGAAACTGTTGAAATTTTACCAAAGGAAGAAGAAAAACCAATAACTGAATTGACTACAAAGAGTATTGAGATAAAGCCTGAAGCTGGCCCTGTGGCTGTGGAGATCGATATTTCAGTACCTAAAGAAAAAGCAGAAGTTTCCACAATTGAAACAACTACAAAAGAAGAGGTTGTTGAAACAGAGGAAATCACAGAAGAGGTTGAAGAAGTGAAGGAGGATATCACTTCATCAACTGAAACTTACAAACAATCTGTTGAATTAGTTCCCGAGAAACAACCTTCGGCTGATATTCTTCCTGAAGAAGCTGTCTCAGAGGTTGAAGCACCCTTGGAGGAAACAATAACGGAAGAAAGAGAAACAGTCGAAAAAACACCAGAGGAATCAAGCCAAATTGAAACCACAGAGAAGGTGAAAGAGGCCCCAGAAGAAGAATCCATGGATGTTGTGAAGGAAGAGACTAAACCTGTTGAACCTTCTTATGCAGAAACTGTTGAAATTTTACCAAAGGAAGAAGAAAAACCAATAACTGAATTGACTACAAAGAGTATTGAGATAAAGCCTGAAGCTGGCCCTGTGGCTGTGGAGATCGATATTTCTGTTCCTAAAGAAAAAGCAGAAGTTTCCACAATTGAAACAACTACAAAAGAAGAGGTTGTTGAAACAGAGGAAATCACAGAAGAAGTTGAAGAAGTGAAGGAGGATATCACTTCATCAACTGAAACTTATTAGTTCACAACCTTCATATCAAGAAGCTGAAACTTACAAAAACAATCTGTTGAAATCAAGCCAAATTGAAACCACAGAGAAGGTGAAAGAGAAAAGAATCCATGGAAGTTGTGAAGGAAGAGACCTGTTGAACCTTCTTATGCAGAAACTGTTGAAATTTTACCAAAGAAAGAAGAAAAACCAATAACAGAATTGACTACAAAGAGTATTGAGATAAAGCTGAAGCTGGCCCTGTGGCAATAATGGAAGAAAGAGAAACAGTCCTAAAGAAAAAGCAAAAGTTTCAACAATTGAAACCTATGTTGAAACAGAGGAAATCATGAAGAAAGAAGGAGGATATCACTTCATCAACTGAAACTTACAAACAATCTGTTGAATTAGTTCCCGAGAAACAACCTTCGGCTGATATTCTTCCTGAAGAAGCTGTCTCAGGGGTTGAAGCGCCCTTGGAGGAAACAATAATGGAAGAAAGAGAAACAGTCCACAAAGTACCAGTGGAATCAAGCCTATTTGAAACCACAGAGTATGTGAAAGAGGCCCCAGAAGAAGAATCCAAGGAAATTGTCAGGGAACAGCCTAAGCCTGTAGAACCTTCTTATGCAGAAACTGTTGAAATTTTACCAAAGGAAGAAGAAAAACCATTAACAGCAGATGTGCAAAACAGGGCAGATATTCTAGATAGTGATACTGTCTATTCTTTTGCTGAAGTGTTTTCAAAAGATGTTATCAAGACTGTTTTGATGCAGGAAAGAGAAATTTCAAAACTCATCCCTGAAGACCTGCAACAAGATTTAAATACAGCCGAGTTTAAAATCACTGCACCATATGATACATTAGAACAAACTGATGATGAAAAAGAGAAATTGAATGCTGAAGAAACTACCGAGAAAGTTTTAACTTTTAAATCATATGAAGAAGAGAAAAAAGTGACAAAAGTGACTTCAGAAGATGATAGTGATGAATTGAAAGTAACTGAAGACTTACAAGAAGAAACTGTCGCAGTTGCAACCAGTGATATTAATAAACCAATTTTAGAGACAACAGTTTCAGAAGTGAGTGTACCATATGACACAAGTGAAGAAACAAAAGTTCAGTTATCATCAGAAGTAAAAGAAACACCTGAGTTGGAAATAACAGAGGTACCTAAAAAGGTTACTGAATTTGAGACCATTGTTTCTCCTTTCACTCAAACAGATCTTACCAAAGAAATTCAAGAAATTGGTGAAAAAGAATGGGATATTGCAAAAGAAACAGTCGTAGGTGAAGTTACTGAAAAAACATCACAAGAAATTCAGACTTCTGAAATTCTTCCAGTCCAAGAATATGTGGGAGAAATGAGTCCAAAAGACCTGGAAGAAAAGAAAAAATCTTCTGCAATAACAGTAACTGAAGAAACAAGCACAAAATCTCCAGTTACAGAAGTCACTGTTCCATGTGACACAATAGATAACTTTAAACAGTCAAAAGAACTTGCTAAAGAGAACATTGAACAAGGTGTTTCTGCATACACTGTGGAACAAGGAAAGGAAGAATCTAGAATAGCCCCAGGTAAAGAACTCAGAGACCTTGAAGATTCTGAAAACATTGAAGAAAAACTTAGTAATAAAATAGAATTTGAGGTAACCCAACCAATCCGACAGGTACTGGTCAAGAAGGAGGATATCTCTCATGAAATACCAGAGACATTTGAAGAAGAAACGCTCTCTGCAGCAGATGAAAAGGTTGTTGAAAAAACAGAAAAAGAAATAACTGAAATCAGTGAAGTTTCTCAAGTTTTACCAACAGAAGAATCTTTAAGCTATGGAGACAGTAAATCTATTGAAGAGATCCCCATCTCTACAACATCTGTAGATACTGTTATGAGTACTCTTGACACAGCTGTATCTGAGGTTAATGTACTCAGGGATGATGTAGCAGAGCTAGAGGAAGAAAGAAAACACATGGCTGAGAAAGAAATCTTAAATGTTGAAATAGGAACTGTCTCAGAGGAAAAAGAGAAAGAAACACAGGTTTCTATATCTGATGAGTCACTGACTCAAACTCAAAAAGACTTAGATTCTATTGAGGAAAATATTGTTACTCATGCAGTTATTGATACAGAAAAACCAACTCAAGAAACACCAATTTCAGAAGTAATTCTGCCTTGTGACATTGCTGGTGGAAGTGTAGATGAAATAAAAAGTCTTAAAGTTCAAAGAATGGTTGAAGAAGATATTGAAGAAAAAACCACAGAATCTAGACCAGAATCACTGGCAGTTTTATCTGAGGAATTTGTGGAGGCAGATGAATCAGAATCAAGGAACGGCAAACCTACAGCTGAAGCAAATGTTGAACTAACAAAACCAAATCTTGAAACAGCCGTTACTGAAGTAAGTGTTGCATTTGACACATTGGAGACATCTGAAGATAAAGAAGAAGGAGTCAGTACTTTAGAAAGAACTGAGAAGTATGTTTTGCAAAGTACAGCTGAAGAGGATGAAAAAGAATCCTTTGTAGTGCAATCAAAAGAAGATGTCGGCACCGAAGGATCCTCATTATTAGAAGAAGTAGCACCTACTGAAGCAAAATATGTCAAAGAACAAAGGGAAGTAGATGCAATTCTTACTGAAGAAATCCTTCCTGTTGATGTTACTTCTGAAAAAGAGGAAGAAAGTTCAGTATCAGTAGATGAATCTATTACAGAAAAGGCCACCATAGAAAAAGCTGTGAAGGAACAAGAAGAAACCATTCCTGTTACTGAAGAGATGTATAATGAACTAGGTGAATTTGATTCTATTCAGAGTGAAGTAACATCAGCAACTGAAAAGGTAGTCGATGTTTCATCTGAAGTACAAACAGCTGTAGAATCTAAAATGAGCAGTGAAGTATCAACAATGGAAGAAGAAGTAATTGAAGACACCACAGTTCCACTGGATGAGTACAACAATGAAGAAATAATTGAAAAACAAGAACAAGAAACAAAGGAAAAAACCGAAGTGCATCCTGAAGTTCCATCAATGTCTTCTTTTGAAGAGGAAGTCTTATCTGATGAAATACTAGAGAAAACAGATATGAATGAGATAAAGAAACTTGCAGAAAATTTTGTTGAGCAAATTTTCCTTGATGCTGTCAAGGAATTAAATGAACCCACAAAGGTTACTGAAGGAACTCTTCAAGAAACAACACAAAACGTACAAGAGACAAGCTTAGAAGTAACTGCTACTGGTGTAGAAATGACAGAAGAAGACAAGATTATTGAAAGTAAAGAATTAAAATTTACTGATAAACAAGAAATAGTTGAACAGGAAATTCCTGAAGAAATTCTATCTGAGGAAACTACGCAAGAACAGATGAAACCTGAGGAAAAGCAAGAACAAGAAAAAGTTGAAATGAACCTGACTGTCGATACCAGTGATAACAAATTTGTCGAAAGCACTGAAATTCCACTACCCAGATTCATTAGCAAGCTGGAAAACATCACTACTACCGAAGGTTCTTCGTTGTCACTACGTGTTGAGTTCGAACAATCTGATGATATTATAGCTGAATGGTTCTTGGATAATTCACCGCTCACAAATTCTGAGGACATTGAAATAGTGACAGAAAATAATTCAACGACTTTGTTAATACATGATGTTTTACCAGAAGATGAAGGAGAGTACAAAGTCATTCTTCAGAACCGAGCTGGTATCTCTCAATCTTATTGCTACATCACAGTTCTCAGTAAGTACTAAGAATACATTTAGAAAATAGGCATTCATAAAGATTAAGATGTGAACAGATATTGGAATGTAATTGAAATTTTTGTGAAAAAAAGCCTTTACTCATGCTCAATATTTCTGTCTTTTCAGATGCAGATGCACTGCATTACAATTTTAATGTTTGAAAGTGTGATTTTTTATTTTCCATCCATGCACTGTTCACTCTGTCCTTTTCTGACCCACAACACACCAATTACTTTGTAGCTTTTATCAGTGTATTTAAAAACAAATTCAGTGTAATGTACTTTTTTGTACAATATGCAGGCCCTGATGAAGAGAAACCAAAAGAGAGACCCCAGCCTGTAGTACGTGAAGTAGCTAAGGCAGAAGAAATCAGCCAGGCTACAGCTGAGGTGACAGAGAAACCTGAATCTGTGACTGTTGAGATGGACATCGCAGAAGTACCTGAGACAAGCACAGCTGAGGTTTTGCTCACAAAACCAGAACAGATAGTTAGCTCTGACCAGTCATCCATTGAGATAACTCTAGGCAGTACCCAAAAACCTGGTATGAGATACATTTTTTTGATAACAATTTCAAAACAAATTTTCAACATTGTCTAAATTAAATGTATCTTAAACATTAACAAATAGTCATCATGTGATATATTCACTTCATTATTTCAGAAGTGGAAAAAACAACCGAGGAAGATCTAGCCTTGAATGAGGTTGAATATGACATTACAGTGAAAGACAAGGGGGTTGCTGAAGCTCCCCGTTTCAAAAAGACCCTCCATCAACAGTTTGAGGCTGTTGAAGGATCATCAATAGCAATTGAATGTGAAGTAGCTGGAGAGGAGACACCAGTTGTAACATGGTACCAGGTAAACATAGTACTAGCCAGTATATTATTTCACACTTGAAATTTCTTATAAGTTCTGCTCTAGCAAAAAATTATCAGTATTAAATAGTAATTGATGAAATAGTAAGTTGCTTTTTTATATTTGAAGGATGAAGAGCCTATCACTCCAGATGAGCACTTTGTTACAGAATTTGAACACGGTGTGTGCCGCCTGACTATTCGCAACGTGTTCCTTGAGGATGAAGCAGAGTACAAGTGTGAGGCTCGTACTAGTCATGGTGTCATCAGTACTGTTACAGAACTTTTCGTGGAAAGTAAGAATCACCACTTGATATGGCAACTTGCACTCCTACAGTTGCTTTTTTCCACACACATTAGAACAAATAGTGTTGGATTCAGCAATATCCCACAGGCTTTTATTTGTCTAAATTAACAGAAAATAATATAATAGTTTTTTTGGATTGTTTCTCAAATAACACTTTTTAAAACGGAACTTCTTATTAATGGAATACTGTGAGTGTTTTGCTGGTCCAAATTCCTTATGCAGTTTTCTTCAAATCTGACCTCATACTGCACATAACAATCTTTGTGTGATGTTTTACAACAGAAACCCTGATAATTGGTTTTATAACCTACCTTCTCTAGACCTGTTCTTGTCTAAATTTGTCAGATTTTAAAGAAAACATGCCTATATAGTTGCTTTGTAGTTAGGTATAGTTTCTACACTGTAGTTTTGTAGCAGGCTTGCTTTGACTTGAGTCATAGAAGTAAACATCGTTAAATTCAGTATATGAACCTTCAGCATCAAATTTCATGGCATTTAACTGTAGCTATGAATGTGTATTATGTGCAATGAATGACAACATTTGACTGAAGAAATTCTAAAGCCACATTGTCCAAAATTGTGTCATCATAACTTGTTTTGGGTTTTTTACACGTTTTAAATTTTGTATTTATTTTTTTTTAAATGGGTGACCCTTAAATGACGAGAAAATTGAAGTAATGAAAGTTAATAATAAAGAAAATATGTCTGGAAAGATTACCAAACTTGAAAGTTATTTTTTAAAAAAAAGGTAATATTTCATGAAAACTTCTTTACCTAAAATAGTCATGACCCTACTTTTAGTTTTCAAGTATTTAATATTGAAATCAGAATAATTAAGGTGTAGGCATATTATACAATGTTTTACTTTGAAATAAGATTTGGGACAAAACTTATCCAAAAAATGAAATTTTCTTTTTAACGCATTTCTTTAAATACTTGAATGGGAGCTTTTTGTATTTTTGATGATTTTTCAGAATAAAATTATTTTGAATAATCTTAGTTGTTTTTTTTATTTTTGCATGGTGTGAGGGAATGTGGGTAATTAAGGTGTGTGCTGCCCCTGACAATGTGGCTTAGTATTTTATTAAAATCAAAATCATGTCATTCATTGCATCATAATTTTTTTCATGCAAACAATATTTCATTTGTTTCTTTGCATGGTGTTAGAATATAGCTAAAATTTTGTCTTCTCCCAAATATAATTTAAGTAAGAGATCTGCTTTGCCCACTAAAATTATTTTAATATTTTTCTTTATGACATTACATTGAAAAAATTATTTTTTCATCCATCTGTGTAAAGTATGTATATCTCATTGTCATATTGCAGTGGCATATTTCATGAAATAGATAACCCATTTACTCTGTTCCGTTTGTCTAGAGTCGAATGCTGGTGCTTGTGTCTTACTGCATGAAGAAGTCTACAAACTTGAAGTTTATGTCGAAATGCACTGGAAAAAAGTTCCAATCCGGACACTACCCCAAAAGTGACCACTGCTTAGTTTTGTTTTGTTGACTATTTTACCAAATAATGGACTATTGTTTTTAGGATTGCTTGCAGCTCCTTGTTAACCCCTTTTGATCTCACAAACATATCAGACAGAGGAATACTTTCATCTGTACTGGTTGCACTTGGTTACAAATTTTCGAAGAGAGTAATATATATCAAAAGATAACCAAATTGTCAGCCATTTACAGAAAAAAAAATGTTTCAAAGTTGAATTTGGTTCTTTGTTGGTAGATGTCACGTTAGCCAATATAAGTTATCCAAGTTAAATTCCTGATTGGTTAGATCTCACTCCTAGCAACCCCATAGCTGTAGAAAAAGTAGAATTATAGATGCACATAGCAATCATTCCAGTATATTTAGATTGAGCATTGTTAGCTGTTGTGGTGTCCCTAATTGTACGGGTAATTCTGATTTTTAACAAAGAATTAAGAAATTGTATTAAACATTCAAATTATATTTTTTATATTCATTATTTTGTTCAAATATATTTTTTAGCATTAAAATATTTTATAATATAATCTTGAAACAATACAAAAATAAAATACTAGTAATGCAATTTTCAGAAAATCCTGAAAAATACTAGAAAAAAATAATTTCCTTTATAGTGTTTCAGTCTGGTGCTGAGAGTGAATCTGACCAATCAGGTGCTTTATTACAAGATCATGTGACTTGTCCCACTGAAAATATGCCAGTTTTAGATTGGCAACCCAATTTAGCCGACGATGAAAGCATGAATTTACTGCTTTTAATATTACTTTTTATTTTCATAATTTGGAAAATTGCCAATTGGATTTACAGTTTTGGTAGCTGTTTCTTGTACTGTATTCTCTTTAGTTTTGGACTCTAATTCAGCAATTATGAAACATATTTTGTTTTGAAAAAATCTGTATGATGAATTACAGGACGTATATCTATTAGGTTTAGATTTTGGTTATCAGTTAAGTTTAGATTTTGATCATTATTTAATATATTGCATGGTCAGCAATATGAATTTCAATTATTACCTTATTTTTGGTTTTATTTTGTTTGTGCATTTTAATTTATTTTGTAAACATTTGTTTTACAAGCAAGTTACTTTAATTTATCAAGAAATGCTATATTCATAGCTTGATGTTTGTCAAAATCAATTGTATCCACTGTCAGGAAAACTCAGGGATCAGAGAATGAATGATGCATATAATGATCTTGCTTTTAAAACATATGTAAAACATAACGCAGGTGAGCTTATATGATAAGCACACATATTTATAATACCTGCATATGGAGTTTAAATGACTCATGATTCTGGATAGTGCAGTTGCATAAGGACAAATTTAAAAATTTGTTTATGAAATTGTAAAGACTAAGGACTTCTTATCCTCTACCTGTAAAGGACCAAATAAAATTCTCAGTGAAAGCAGTTGTCTCGTCTAATTTCTTGTGCATGTTTTTGTGCATTCCTGTGTTGTAATTTCCTGTCAGTTATCTGCATGATCCAGAATCTGTTTTATGCTTTCAATCATACCTTTGGTCTACAGTATTATAGAAAAGAAACAGATCCAGATCTTTCCCTAATGTTGTCAACATTCTGACAATCATAAAATTGTTAATACTCTTGAGAAATTAAAAGGGATGTACTACTCTGTACAAACTAAGCTCACCTGCATTTCAGAAGTAAACTATTTAAATATGTTTTATTTCACTGTTTGTAGTGTCTTTTGCAAGCTGTAATGTTTTAGTTTTCTGTTCCTGCTCTTTTTAACAGGTTGTGCACGTACAAAAAATAGTTTTCCCAGAAGAGTTTGAATTTCCTTATATTTTCCTGTTACATTCTTCTTGTAAAACAAGATTTATTTTTATATGTTTATTGTCTGCAGAATGTTACTTGGTAATTTTAATATGTTATTTTTGGTGTGCATATTTGATTTGCACTAGATGTGCACTACATGTTGTTTTCACTTCACCACCCAAGATTAGATGCTGTGGAATTATCATTGTTCATGGGATACCAGTATTTACGGATTTCAGTGTCAACTTAACCAAACAAATTTATACCATTACAAACGAAAACTTCTGTTATTGTTTTACTTTATTGAATCCTATTTATAAACAAGTTATCCATGAAATAATGTCTTCATGAACTAGTGAAACTTTGACCTCCCTGAATTAAAATGATTCCACAGTTATGTCTAAACATAAAAAAAACCCAATATTAATTGTTATGCATTGATTGTAATTTTTATAAGAATTCAGGAATGATGTTAAGTAAAATTGGAAGTCTGAACTAAGATTAATTTCAGTCATTGCTATTGTATGGATATAAAACAATTTCCTGAATTCTTTATCATGTACTAATGCATGTATTAAGTTTTTATAGATGATACTCTGCAAAGCATGCCTCTGGAATGAAAATGGAAAACAAAAAAGGGAAGAATTGATTAAAGGAAACAACAACAAAATCTGTCCCACTTTTGCTGCCAGATGTACTTTCCTACTTACAAACTTTATATATAAGATATGTTTGAGCCATTACCTTTGCTACAAACTTTGTTTGCTACCACTAGGAATGTCAGTGGTAATCATTCAATGGTATTGGTTCAAATAATATGATATCATATGATTTCTTAGTTTGAAGCTTGAGTAAAAAAGTACTTTTGACAGAAGGGGTCAGAAAGGTAATAAAAAGGATGTTTGATAAAAACCAATAGAGAAAGGTCTAATTTCTTTACCAAGAATTGTGAATATGAAGTGGTACTTTCTCGTCAGTTTGAAATGAACAGTTGCTAGAAGTGATCATTTGCATTTGAATTTAAATTTATTTGCACAATGATTAAAATTTTGTAAATTTCTTTAATGGAGTTCTTATGATTTATTAAAATTTAAAATCGTACCATAATTAATCATTTTGGACCATTCTTCTATATACTAGTTATACATGGAATACCTTATGAAAGTAATTCTTGCACTTTGTTTACAACCACTTTCATCCTTTCATCATGTTTCTATTTTTTCTCCTAATTTGGCAATTCATTACATTATATAAGAAGCAATACAAATACAAGGTAAATATTAAGTAAAAGTCTGATTTAAACTATCATTGAATTAGTAACCCAAGAAAGATTGGATACCAATTCTAAAAATTAAAATATTTTCCTGCAATGTCTGATTATACAAGTCTTTCCATAATGTCCAGTATATTCTCATTGAACAATAAGTAAAATTGACTTGAAGAGAACAAATGGATAGATACCTAGTATTTGAGATAAATCATGAACACTTTATAACTTCAATTTTCTTCTAATAGAAGAGCTTCCCAAGAGTGAAGAGGAAGCTCAGCCCTTGCCAGAGGTCAAAGAAAAACCAGATTTATTGGAGGGTCTAGATGTACAGGCCACAGAAAAGTTGGCCCCAGAAAAATCTGAAATCACACCAATTGAATCCACAGGAAGTGATGTTATCACTTCTGAGACGGAGGAAGTTTCTTTCGAGATTGTGTCTGCGGAGTCGGCTGAAACTGCTCCGCTGGAAATCACAGTTCAGACTGAGTCAGCTCATCCTGAGAAGACAGGGGTCCCTCTGAAGGCAGCAGTTCCAGAGGTCTCTGAGGTCGTTGCCAAGGAGACTGAGGAAATGATTAGTGAGGATGTAAATCAAGAGACACCTAGGGAGGAAGTCATTACAGAAAAGGAACTGCTCAGGCCTGAAGAGGAACTCCCTGTATCACAGAAAAAGGAATTGGAGATAAGTTTCGATGAAAAGGATGAAGCTGCACCTGAAATCCCCAAAGGGGAAGCACCTGTTTTTACTTCAGTGTTAAGAAAAATAGCTGTTCCAGAAGGGAAACCTGCCCAATTTAGGTGTGTTGTCACTGGAATCCCACGACCAAATATTGTTTGGCTGTTGGATGATGCAGTGATAGAAGATTCAACAACATACCAGGTACGTGTATTTAAATTCTATGGTCAATAATCCTTAAATGCCTTCTAAATACGTTCAGTATATAACAAAAATATGACACAATATTTAAGTTTTAGGGTAATATGTAATTGTTATCCATTTAAAGCTGACTGTGCCTTAATGGTCAACAGTAGTTATTGCAGGATTAGATTTTCACATGTTATACATAAAAAGTAGAATTTTATAAAGTCTTTATAATAAACAGTCAATAATTGTATTTTAGCAAACATTCCTTATTTCATGACATTTAACAAAGCAAAGTATGTGCACATTGGCAATCCTTTCAAGATCTGAATGGAATGTCAATCATATGTTGTTGTTTTTTTAAATATTATTTTTTTAAAATCTTGATTAATCTTGATCATCTAATTATAAGAAACAAGCTTCATACAATCTTAATAATAAATGTATATTCCTCACCAACTGTTGGACATTTTTGTTTCTGGAGTCCCAGGAAAGGCTGGCCATGTTAGGTATAGCCTGAAAAAAATTCATGATACTCACGTGACTATTAAATTCCATGAGGCTTTCACTGTTATTTGATCTAATTAAATGCTTGTACATAGACTCTGGAATTAAATAAGTGCATGTATAATGTATTGCTTTTAGACTGAGTATAACTCAGATGGAACATGTACACTGACTATAGACAAAACAATCAAAGAGGATGAAGGTGAATATGTTTGCCAAGCCACAAACCAGGAGGGTGCTGCATCCACTATGGCTGAGCTGGTTTTAATAGGTACATATTAAAATCATTTTTATGTAATTCTTTTCTTTTTTTGTAAAGTACTTTAAATAAAATTTGACTGAACTGATAGTTTATAATACCTTTTAACAAATTCAAAGGATAATATTACAGATTTATTTTATTTACCTATTCAAGGCAAATGAAATCTAAGTGTACTGCAATAAAATAGTTATGTACATGTATGCGTAAATTACAATTGCATGTACTATTGTGTAATCATGCATTTAGTCCAAATAATAAATCAGTTAACCTTGTACAATTAACATTTGTATGGATATTAAGAATCTTAGTATAAAAAATCAACCCAGCCCCACTCCCCCGACATCATTATGACAAATACTTTCTAAATAATCAAAAAAAAAAGCACTATTTAACCCTATTTTAAAATGCAAAGAATAATGAATAATAAACATCTCATCTTTCTTTTTTTATGTCCTGCCATTATTGTGGCTAAGAAATATTTCCATGTCCCTTTTTTGTCTTTCAGTCCTTTCATCTTTCCATTTGTTAAACTGCATTAAGCTCAGTATCAATAAAAAGAAAATCAATATATTTTATAAACCTTACATGCTCATACATGTATATATATTGCTGAGATTCATTTAATTCGATAACTTTAAACTTTGACCTTTCTGTATTCCTCAACCTCAATTTTTCTTGAACTTATCTTATTGTCAGTTTCAAAGAAACCATTAAAAATTTGTTCTTATGTTGGAATATGTTTATGAAATCAATAGGATTGGACCCTGGTGTGTTTGTGTCTTATATACACATGATAAGTTGTTAAATAAAATTGAGTGGGTTTTTTTAAAAAAATATACTTTTATGAAGGGTTCATTTAAATGGGTCTTTCCTATGCTGATTGAAAGAAAAGCACAGGTTTGATTTCATCCATTAAAGAAATTTCCCAAAGAGGAAACAAAACTTAAACCTTAAAATGCAAGACTTTCACCTTACAGTTTTGATAGAAAAGGAAATCATTGCATTTTATGGGATTTAAAGACATAATTTTCATTTGGAAATCCTTTATTCAGATGCAGAGAACCTTAAATCTTATAAATCCCTCTGAGGAAGTCAAAGCAGAACTGGGTGTGGAAGAAGCCCCTGAAGTCGTTGAGGAGGAAGCCGAGGCCGAATTCGCTCCCTCTGAAAAGAGGGCAGAGGAAGTGGGTGTTGAACTCACAGCTGAGCAAGCTGCTGAGATGGCCAAGACCGAAATCACTGAGGAAGTGAAACCCACTGAAGCACCCAAAGAGAAAGTGGGCATAGAAATCACCGCTGCTGAGACAGTCGAGGCGGTGGAAGAGAAACCCACTGCTGAAATCCCGGCGCCTGAAGAACAGGCTGTACAAATAGCAGTCAGCGCCGAGGAGATAGCAAAGGAAGAAGTCTCACTCGAAATCGAAACCAAAGAACAACCCGAAACTGAAATGATTGTAGAAATTCCAGAGGAGAAACCCTCTGAGGAAGTCAAAGCAGAACTGGGTGTGGAAGAAGCCCCTGAAGTCGTTGAGGAGGAAGCCGAGGCCGAATTCGCTCCCTCTGAAAAGAGGGCAGAGGAAGTGGGTGTTGAACTCACAGCTGAGCAAGCTGCTGAGATCGCCAAGACCGAAATCACTGAGGAAGTGAAACCCACTGAAGCACCCAAAGAGAAAGTGGGCATAGAAATCACCGCTGCTGAGACAGTCGAGGCGGTGGAAGAGAAACCCACTGCTGAAATCCCGGCGCCTGAAGAACAGGCTGTACAAATAGCAGTCAGCGCCGAGGAGAGGCCAAAGGAAGAAGTCTCACTCGAAATCGAAACCAAAGAACAACCCGAAACTGAAATGATTGTAGAAATTCCAGAGGAGAAACCCTCTGAGGAAGTCAAAGCAGAACTGGGTGTGGAAGAAGCCCCTGAAGTCGTTGAGGAGGAAGCCGAGGCCGAATTCGCTCCCTCTGAAAAGAGGGCAGAGGAAGTGGGTGTTGAACTCACAGCTGAGCAAGCTGCTGAGATCGCCAAGACCGAAATCACTGAGGAAGTGAAACCCACTGAAGCACCCAAAGAGAAAGTGGGCATAGAAATCACCGCTGCTGAGACAGTCGAGGCGGTGGAAGAGAAACCCACTGCTGAAATCCCGGCGCCTGAAGAACAGGCTGTACAAATAGCAGTCAGCGCCGAGGAGAGGCCAAAGGAAGAAGTCTCACTCGAAATCGAAACCAAAGAACAACCCGAAACTGAAATGATTGTAGAAATTCCAGAGGAGAAACCCTCTGAGGAAGTCAAAGCAGAACTGGGTGTGGAAGAAGCCCCTGAAGTCGTTGAGGAGGAAGCCGAGGCCGAATTCGCTCCCTCTGAAAAGAGGGCAGAGGAAGTGGGTGTTGAACTCACAGCTGAGCAAGCTGCTGAGATCGCCAAGACCGAAATCACTGAGGAAGTGAAACCCACTGAAGCACCCAAAGAGAAAGTGGGCATAGAAATCACCGCTGCTGAGACAGTCGAGGCGGTGGAAGAGAAACCCACTGCTGAAATCCCGGCGCCTGAAGAACAGGCTGTACAAATAGCAGTCAGCGCCGAGGAGAGGCCAAAGGAAGAAGTCTCACTCGAAATCGAAACCAAAGAACAACCCGAAACTGAAATGATTGTAGAAATTCCAGAGGAGAAACCCTCTGAGGAAGTCAAAGCAGAACTGGGTGTGGAAGAAGCCCCTGAAGTCGTTGAGGAGGAAGCCGAGGCCGAATTCGCTCCCTCTGAAAAGAGGGCAGAGGAAGTGGGTGTTGAACTCACAGCTGAGCAAGCTGCTGAGATCGCCAAGACCGAAATCACTGAGGAAGTGAAACCCACTGAAGCACCCAAAGAGAAAGTGGGCATAGAAATCACCGCTGCTGAGACAGTCGAGGCGGTGGAAGAGAAACCCACTGCTGAAATCCCGGCGCCTGAAGAACAGGCTGTACAAATAGCAGTCAGCGCCGAGGAGAGGCCAAAGGAAGAAGTCTCACTCGAAATCGAAACCAAAGAACAACCCGAAACTGAAATGATTGTAGAAATTCCAGAGGAGAAACCCTCTGAGGAAGTCAAAGCAGAACTGGGTGTGGAAGAAGCCCCTGAAGTCGTTGAGGAGGAAGCCGAGGCCGAATTCGCTCCCTCTGAAAAGAGGGCAGAGGAAGTGGGTGTTGAACTCACAGCTGAGCAAGCTGCTGAGATCGCCAAGACCGAAATCACTGAGGAAGTGAAACCCACTGAAGCACCCAAAGAGAAAGTGGGCATAGAAATCACCGCTGCTGAGACAGTCGAGGCGGTGGAAGAGAAACCCACTGCTGAAATCCCGGCGCCTGAAGAACAGGCTGTACAAATAGCAGTCAGCGCCGAGGAGAGGCCAAAGGAAGAAGTCTCACTCGAAATCGAAACCAAAGAACAACCCGAAACTGAAATGATTGTAGAAATTCCAGAGGAGAAACCCTCTGAGGAAGTCAAAGCAGAACTGGGTGTGGAAGAAGCCCCTGAAGTCGTTGAGGAGGAAGCCGAGGCCGAATTCGCTCCCTCTGAAAAGAGGGCAGAGGAAGTGGGTGTTGAACTCACAGCTGAGCAAGCTGCTGAGATCGCCAAGACCGAAATCACTGAGGAAGTGAAACCCACTGAAGCACCCAAAGAGAAAGTGGGCATAGAAATCACCGCTGCTGAGACAGTCGAGGCGGTGGAAGAGAAACCCACTGCTGAAATCCCGGCGCCTGAAGAACAGGCTGTACAAATAGCAGTCAGCGCCGAGGAGAGGCCAAAGGAAGAAGTCTCACTCGAAATCGAAACCAAAGAACAACCCGAAACTGAAATGATTGTAGAAATTCCAGAGGAGAAACCCTCTGAGGAAGTCAAAGCAGAACTGGGTGTGGAAGAAGCCCCTGAAGTCGTTGAGGAGGAAGCCGAGGCCGAATTCGCTCCCTCTGAAAAGAGGGCAGAGGAAGTGGGTGTTGAACTCACAGCTGAGCAAGCTGCTGAGATCGCCAAGACCGAAATCACTGAGGAAGTGAAACCCACTGAAGCACCCAAAGAGAAAGTGGGCATAGAAATCACCGCTGCTGAGACAGTCGAGGCGGTGGAAGAGAAACCCACTGCTGAAATCCCGGCGCCTGAAGAACAGGCTGTACAAATAGCAGTCAGCGCGGAGGAGTGGCTAAAGGAAGAAGTCTCACTCGAAATCGAAACCAAAGAACAACCCGAAACTGAAATGATTGTAGAAATTCCAGAGGAGAAACCCTCTGAGGAAGTCAAAGCAGAACTGGGTGTGGAAGAAGCCCCTGAAGTCGTTGAGGAGGAAGCCGAGGCCGAATTCGCTCCCTCTGAAAAGAGGGCAGAGGAAGTGGGTGTTGAACTCACAGCTGAGCAAGCTGCTGAGATCGCCAAGACCGAAATCACTGAGGAAGTGAAACCCACTGAAGCACCCAAAGAGAAAGTGGGCATAGAAATCACCGCTGCTGAGACAGTCGAGGCGGTGGAAGAGAAACCCACTGCTGAAATCCCGGCGCCTGAAGAACAGGCTGTACAAATAGCAGTCAGCGCCGAGGAGAGGCCAAAGGAAGAAGTCTCACTCGAAATCGAAACCAAAGAACAACCCGAAACTGAAATGATTGTAGAAATTCCAGAGGAGAAACCCTCTGAGGAAGTCAAAGCAGAACTGGGTGTGGAAGAAGCCCCTGAAGTCGTTGAGGAGGAAGCCGAGGCCGAATTCGCTCCCTCTGAAAAGAGGGCAGAGGAAGTGGGTGTTGAACTCACAGCTGAGCAAGCTGCTGAGATCGCCAAGACCGAAATCACTGAGGAAGTGAAACCCACTGAAGCACCCAAAGAGAAAGTGGGCATAGAAATCACCGCTGCTGAGACAGTCGAGGCGGTGGAAGAGAAACCCACTGCTGAAATCCCGGCGCCTGAAGAACAGGCTGTACAAATAGCAGTCAGCGCCGAGGAGAGGCCAAAGGAAGAAGTCTCACTCGAAATCGAAACCAAAGAACAACCCGAAACTGAAATGATTGTAGAAATTCCAGAGGAGAAACCCTCTGAGGAAGTCAAAGCAGAACTGGGTGTGGAAGAAGCCCCTGAAGTCGTTGAGGAGGAAGCCGAGGCCGAATTCGCTCCCTCTGAAAAGAGGGCAGAGGAAGTGGGTGTTGAACTCACAGCTGAGCAAGCTGCTGAGATCGCCAAGACCGAAATCACTGAGGAAGTGAAACCCACTGAAGCACCCAAAGAGAAAGTGGGCATAGAAATCACCGCTGCTGAGACAGTCGAGGCGGTGGAAGAGAAACCCACTGCTGAAATCCCGGCGCCTGAAGAACAGGCTGTACAAATAGCAGTCAGCGCCGAGGAGAGGCCAAAGGAAGAAGTCTCACTCGAAATCGAAACCAAAGAACAACCCGAAACTGAAATGATTGTAGAAATTCCAGAGGAGAAACCCTCTGAGGAAGTCAAAGCAGAACTGGGTGTGGAAGAAGCCCCTGAAGTCGTTGAGGAGGAAGCCGAGGCCGAATTCGCTCCCTCTGAAAAGAGGGCAGAGGAAGTGGGTGTTGAACTCACAGCTGAGCAAGCTGCTGAGATCGCCAAGACCGAAATCACTGAGGAAGTGAAACCCACTGAAGCACCCAAAGAGAAAGTGGGCATAGAAATCACCGCTGCTGAGACAGTCGAGGCGGTGGAAGAGAAACCCACTGCTGAAATCCCGGCGCCTGAAGAACAGGCTGTACAAATAGCAGTCAGCGCCGAGGAGAGGCCAAAGGAAGAAGTCTCACTCGAAATCGAAACCAAAGAACAACCCGAAACTGAAATGATTGTAGAAATTCCAGAGGAGAAACCCTCTGAGGAAGTCAAAGCAGAACTGGGTGTGGAAGAAGCCCCTGAAGTCGTTGAGGAGGAAGCCGAGGCCGAATTCGCTCCCTCTGAAAAGAGGGCAGAGGAAGTGGGTGTTGAACTCACAGCTGAGCAAGCTGCTGAGATCGCCAAGACCGAAATCACTGAGGAAGTGAAACCCACTGAAGCACCCAAAGAGAAAGTGGGCATAGAAATCACCGCTGCTGAGACAGTCGAGGCGGTGGAAGAGAAACCCACTGCTGAAATCCCGGCGCCTGAAGAACAGGCTGTACAAATAGCAGTCAGCGCCGAGGAGAGGCCAAAGGAAGAAGTCTCACTCGAAATCGAAACCAAAGAACAACCCGAAACTGAAATGATTGTAGAAATTCCAGAGGAGAAACCCTCTGAGGAAGTCAAAGCAGAACTGGGTGTGGAAGAAGCCCCTGAAGTCGTTGAGGAGGAAGCCGAGGCCGAATTCGCTCCCTCTGAAAAGAGGGCAGAGGAAGTGGGTGTTGAACTCACAGCTGAGCAAGCTGCTGAGATCGCCAAGACCGAAATCACTGAGGAAGTGAAACCCACTGAAGCACCCAAAGAGAAAGTGGGCATAGAAATCACCGCTGCTGAGACAGTCGAGGCGGTGGAAGAGAAACCCACTGCTGAAATCCCGGCGCCTGAAGAACAGGCTGTACAAATAGCAGTCAGCGCCGAGGAGAGGCCAAAGGACGAAGTCTCACTCGAAATCGAAACCAAAGAACAACCCGAAACTGAAATGATTGTAGAAATTCCAGAGGAGAAACCCTCTGAGGAAGTCAAAGCAGAACTGGGTGTGGAAGAAGCCCCTGAAGTCGTTGAGGAGGAAGCCGAGGCCGAATTCGCTCCCTCTGAAAAGAGGGCAGAGGAAGTGGGTGTTGAACTCACAGCTGAGCAAGCTGCTGAGATCGCCAAGACCGAAATCACTGAGGAAGTGAAACCCACTGAAGCACCCAAAGAGAAAGTGGGCATAGAAATCACCGCTGCTGAGACAGTCGAGGCGGTGGAAGAGAAACCCACTGCTGAAATCCCGGCGCCTGAAGAACAGGCTGTACAAATAGCAGTCAGCGCCGAGGAGAGGCCAAAGGAAGAAGTCTCACTCGAAATCGAAACCAAAGAACAACCCGAAACTGAAATGATTGTAGAAATTCCAGAGGAGAAACCCTCTGAGGAAGTCAAAGCAGAACTGGGTGTGGAAGAAGCCCCTGAAGTCGTTGAGGAGGAAGCCGAGGCCGAATTCGCTCCCTCTGAAAAGAGGGCAGAGGAAGTGGGTGTTGAACTCACAGCTGAGCAAGCTGCTGAGATCGCCAAGACCGAAATCACTGAGGAAGTGAAACCCACTGAAGCACCCAAAGAGAAAGTGGGCATAGAAATCACCGCTGCTGAGACAGTCGAGGCGGTGGAAGAGAAACCCACTGCTGAAATCCCGGCGCCTGAAGAACAGGCTGTACAAATAGCAGTCAGCGCCGAGGAGAGGCTAAAGGAAGAAGTCTCACTCGAAATCGAAACCAAAGAACAACCCGAAACTGAAATGATTGTAGAAATTCCAGAGGAGAAACCCTCTGAGGAAGTCAAAGCAGAACTGGGTGTGGAAGAAGCCCCTGAAGTCGTTGAGGAGGAAGCCGAGGCCGAATTCGCTCCCTCTGAAAAGAGGGCAGAGGAAGTGGGTGTTGAACTCACAGCTGAGCAAGCTGCTGAGATCGCCAAGACCGAAATCACTGAGGAAGTGAAACCCACTGAAGCACCCAAAGAGAAAGTGGGCATAGAAATCACCGCTGCTGAGACAGTCGAGGCGGTGGAAGAGAAACCCACTGCTGAAATCCCGGCGCCTGAAGAACAGGCTGTACAAATAGCAGTCAGCGCCGAGGAGAGGCCAAAGGAAGAAGTCTCACTCGAAATCGAAACCAAAGAACAACCCGAAATGAAATGATTGTAGAAATTCACCCTCTGAGGAAGTCAAAGCAGAACTGGGTGTGGAAGAAGCCCCTGAAGTCGTTGAGGAGGAAGCCGAGGCACTCCCTCTGAAAAGAGGGCAGAGGAAGTGGGTGTTGAACTCACAGCTGAGCAAGCTGCTGAGATGGCCAAGACCGAAATCACTGAGGAAGTGAAACCCACTGAAGCACCCAAAGAGAAAGTGGGCATAGAAATCACCGCTGCTGAGACAGTCGAGGCGGTGGAAGAGAAACCCACTGCTGAAATCCCGGCGCCTGAAGAACAGGCTGTACAAATAGCAGTCAGCGCCGAGGAGAGGCCAAAGGAAGAAGTCTCACTCGAAATCGAAACCAAAGAACAACCCGAAACTGAAATGAAAGTCGTTGAGGAGGAAGCCGAGGCCGAATTCGCTCCCTCTGAAAAGAGGGCAGAGGAAGTGGGTGTTGAACTCACAGCTGAGCAAGCTGCTGAGATCGCCAAGACCGAAATCACTAAGGAAGTGAAACCCACTGAAGCACCCAAAGAGAAAGTGGGCATAGAAATTGCTGAGAGGAGGCGGTGGAAACCCTCTGAGGAAGTCAAAGCAGAACTGGGTGTGGAAGTCAAGCAGAACTGGGTGTGGAAGAAGCCTGAAGTCGTTGAGGAGGAAGCCGAGGCCGAATTCGCTCCCTCTGAAAAGAGGGCAGAGGAAGTGGGTGTTGAACTCACAGCTGAGCAAGCTGCTGAGATCGCCAAGACCGAAATCACTGAGGAAGTGAAACCCACTGAAGCACCCAAAGAGAAAGTGGGCATAGAAATCACCGCTGCTGAGACAGTCGAGGCGGTGGAAGAGAAACCCACTGCTGAAATCCCGGCGCCTGAAGAACAGGCTGTACAAATAGCAGTCAGCGCCGAGGAGATAGCAAAGGAAGAAGTCTCACTCGAAATCGAAACCAAAGAACAACCCGAAACTGAAATGATTGTAGAAATTCCAGAGGAGAAACCCTCTGAGGAAGTCAAAGCAGAACTGGGTGTGGAAGAAGCCCCTGAAGTCGTTGAGGAGGAAGCCGAGGCCGAATTCGCTCCCTCTGAAAAGAGGGCAGAGGAAGTGGGTGTTGAACTCACAGCTGAGCAAGCTGCTGAGATCGCCAAGACCGAAATCACTGAGGAAGTGAAACCCACTGAAGCACCCAAAGAGAAAGTGGGCATAGAAATCACCGCTGCTGAGACAGTCGAGGCGGTGGAAGAGAAACCCACTGCTGAAATCCCGGCGCCTGAAGAACAGGCTGTACAAATAGCAGTCAGCGCCGAGGAGATAGCAAAGGAAGAAGTCTCACTCGAAATCGAAACCAAAGAACAACCCGAAACTGAAATGATTGTAGAAATTCCAGAGGAGAAACCCTCTGAGGAAGTCAAAGCAGAACTGGGTGTGGAAGAAGCCCCTGAAGTCGTTGAGGAGGAAGCCGAGGCCGAATTCGCTCCCTCTGAAAAGAGGGCAGAGGAAGTGGGTGTTGAACTCACAGCTGAGCAAGCTGCTGAGATCGCCAAGACCGAAATCACTGAGGAAGTGAAACCCACTGAAGCACCCAAAGAGAAAGTGGGCATAGAAATCACCGCTGCTGAGACAGTCGAGGCGGTGGAAGAGAAACCCACTGCTGAAATCCCGGCGCCTGAAGAACAGGCTGTACAAATAGCAGTCAGCGCCGAGGAGAGGCCAAAGGAAGAAGTCTCACTCGAAATCGAAACCAAAGAACAACCCGAAACTGAAATGATTGTAGAAATTCCAGAGGAGAAACCCTCTGAGGAAGTCAAAGCAGAACTGGGTGTGGAAGAAGCCCCTGAAGTCGTTGAGGAGGAAGCCGAGGCCGAATTCGCTCCCTCTGAAAAGAGGGCAGAGGAAGTGGGTGTTGAACTCACAGCTGAGCAAGCTGCTGAGATCGCCAAGACCGAAATCACTGAGGAAGTGAAACCCACTGAAGCACCCAAAGAGAAAGTGGGCATAGAAATCACCGCTGCTGAGACAGTCGAGGCGGTGGAAGAGAAACCCACTGCTGAAATCCCGGCGCCTGAAGAACAGGCTGTACAAATAGCAGTCAGCGCCGAGGAGATAGCAAAGGAAGAAGTCTCACTCGAAATCGAAACCAAAGAACAACCCGAAACTGAAATGATTGTAGAAATTCCAGAGGAGAAACCCTCTGAGGAAGTCAAAGCAGAACTGGGTGTGGAAGAAGCCCCTGAAGTCGTTGAGGAGGAAGCCGAGGCCGAATTCGCTCCCTCTGAAAAGAGGGCAGAGGAAGTGGGTGTTGAACTCACAGCTGAGCAAGCTGCTGAGATCGCCAAGACCGAAATCACTGAGGAAGTGAAACCCACTGAAGCACCCAAAGAGAAAGTGGGCATAGAAATCACCGCTGCTGAGACAGTCGAGGCGACAGTCGAGGCGGTGGAAGAGAAACCCACTGCTGAAATCCCGGCGCCTGAAGAACAGGCTGTACAAATAGCAGTCAGCGCCGAGGAGAGGCCAAAGGAAGAAGTCTCACTCGAAATCGAAACCAAAGAACAACCCGAAACTGAAATGATTGTAGAAATTCCAGAGGAGAAACCCTCTGAGGAAGTCAAAGCAGAACTGGGTGTGGAAGAAGCCCCTGAAGTCGTTGAGGAGGAAGCCGAGGCCGAATTCGCTCCCTCTGAAAAGAGGGCAGAGGAAGTGGGTGTTGAACTCACAGCTGAGCAAGCTGCTGAGATGGCCAAGACCGAAATCACTGAGGAAGTGAAACCCACTGAAGCACCCAAAGAGAAAGTGGGCATAGAAATCACCGCTGCTGAGACAGTCGAGGCGGTGGAAGAGAAACCCACTGCTGAAATCCCGGCGCCTGAAGAACAGGCTGTACAAATAGCAGTCAGCGCCGAGGAGAGGCGAAAAGAAGAAGTCTCACTCGAAATCGAAACCAAAGAACAACCCGAAAGTGAAATGATTGTAGAAATTCCAGAGGAGAAACCCTCTGAGGAAGTCAAAGCAGAACTGGGTGTGGAAGAAGCCCCTGAAGTCGTTGAGGAGGAAGCCGAGGCCGAATTCGCTCCCTCTGAAAAGAGGGCAGAGGAAGTGGGTGTTGAACTCACAGCTGAGCAAGCTGCTGAGATCGCCAAGACCGAAATCACTGAGGAAGTGAAACCCACTGAAGCACCCAAAGAGAAAGTGGGCATAGAAATCACCGCTGCTGAGACAGTCGAGGCGGTGGAAGAGAAACCCACTGCTGAAATCCCGGCGCCTGAAGAACAGGCTGTACAAATAGCAGTCAGCGCCGAGGAGAGGCCAAAGGAAGAAGTCTCACTCGAAATCGAAACCAAAGAACAACCCGAAACTGAAATGATTGTAGAAATTCCAGAGGAGAAACCCTCTGAAGATCAAAGCAGAACTGGGTGTGGAAGAAGCCCCTGAAGAGGAGGAAGTGGGAGGGCAGAGGAAGTGGGTGTTGAACTCACAGCTGAGCAAGCTGCTGAGATCGCCAAGACCGAAATCACTGAGGAAGTGAAACCCACTGAAGCACCCAAAGAGAAAGTGGGCATAGAAATCACCGCTGCTGAGACAGTCGAGGCGGTGGAAGAGAAACCCACTGCTGAAATCCCGGCGCCTGAAGAACAGGCTGTACAAATAGCAGTCAGCGCCGAGGAGATAGCAAAGGAAGAAGTCTCACTCGAAATCGAAACCAAAGAACAACCCGAAACTGAAATGATTGTAGAAATTCCAGAGGAGAAACCCTCTGAGGAAGTCAAAGCAGAACTGGGTGTGGAAGAAGCCCCTGAAGTCGTTGAGGAGGAAGCCGAGGCCGAATTCGCTCCCTCTGAAAAGAGGGCAGAGGAAGTGGGTGTTGAACTCACAGCTGAGCAAGCTGCTGAGATGGCCAAGACCGAAATCACTGAGGAAGTGAAACCCACTGAAGCACCCAAAGAGAAAGTGGGCATAGAAATCACCGCTGCTGAGACAGTCGAGGCGGTGGAAGAGAAACCCACTGCTGAAATCCCGGCGCCTGAAGAACAGGCTGTACAAATAGCAGTCAGCGCCGAGGAGAGGCCAAAGGAAGAAGTCTCACTCGAAATCGAAACCAAAGAACAACCCGAAACTGAAATGATTGTAGAAATTCCAGAGGAGAAACCCTCTGAGGAAGTCAAAGCAGAACTGGGTGTGGAAGAAGCCCCTGAAGTCGTTGAGGAGGAAGCCGAGGCCGAATTCGCTCCCTCTGAAAAGAGGGCAGAGGAAGTGGGTGTTGAACTCACAGCTGAGCAAGCTGCTGAGATTGCCAAGACCGAAATCACTGAGGAAGTGAAACCCACTGAAGCACCCAAAGAGAAAGTGGGCATAGAAATCACCGCTGCTGAGACAGTCGAGGCGGTGGAAGAGAAACCCACTGCTGAAATCCCGGCGCCTGAAGAATTAAAATCTATATTTTTGAGTTTGGAAGAACTGCAGCACTATGCTGTATGTTGATGTACTCAAACTGAATGCTTGTCATTTTATTTCTGTCAGATAAGCAAATAGTTTCCTTTTTAATTAAATTTAATTCTAATCAGTAACATATAAATAGTTGATTTTCAGTGTCTCAAAACAGTGATATTTCAAAAATCATGAGGTCTGACTATATACTCACATGATAATTTTTTTTTTCTAGATGGACTTGTTGTTTTGATGGGACCATACATAAGTAACTTATTAAGGGGGGGGGGATGGAGGGAGTCTGAACTTCTTTAAAAATGTCTTTATTTGTTTGATTATTTTGTTCAATACTAATACTCATCTTTAAGATTTTTGTAAGGTAAAAAAAAAAAAAAAAAAATGTACTCTAAATATATTAAATTTATTTATAGATTGCAATGATGTAGATAGGATACTTTTATTTCAAGTGTATCAATGTATGCAAAGATGATTTTTCAGTTTTCCCCAACTAAAGTTTTTATTTTATTTCAGAAAAACAAGTTGAGCATATCGATACCGAGTTTACTTTGAAAGACACTTTATCTGAGAAAGAAAAACAATATGGTAGGTATCATTTCTGTTTCTTTGGTCATATTCAAACCTTAATGCACTCCATTAAATTTCATTTAATGCATATTCAAACGTTTTATAGAAGAAGAGAAGGAAGCAACTTCTGAAGAAGAGAAGCCCGAATCACCTATTTCTATTGGTAAATTTAATAATTGATTTTATCCAGGGGAAAGAAGTTTTATTTTATGTGGCATAAATTGTCTCAATGATTGTGTAATTACTGGTAGCAGACAGTCGTAGCTATATATTGATATCACAGCATTTTTATTATCAGTTGTGGAAGAGAAGGTGGAAAAAGAAGCACCTTTGGTGGTCTCTCCCTTGAAGAGTGTTCAAGCATCAGATGGTGGACAAGCTCGCTTGGAATGCCAGATTCAGGGAAAACCCAAACCAACTGTCACATGGTACAAAGAGGATCAGGTTCTGGTGAACTCAGAGGAGTTCAAAATCTTCTATGATGAGGACAATCTGTGCTCTCTATTCATATCAGATGTTTACCCGGAGGATGCTGGGAAATACACCGTGGTGGCTCAGAATGAACTTGGTACTGCTGAAACAACTGCTGAACTCTTTGTTGCAGGTATATACCATTAAAGACCGCTTGTTAACCTTTATGACAGCATTTTTCAAACTTACTGCATAAAACGATAATATTTGGATGTATCATATGGTAAATGAACAGAATAAATCTTGCATTTTTTTTTTACTTCAAAGCTCCAGATGAAGCTGAGGATGACTTCATTGCTCCAGCTTTCACTCAAAAACCGAAGTTCCAGACTGCTGCTATCAGTGAGGAGGTGACTTTTGAGGCCACAGTGGTGGCAAACCCACAACCACAGATTCTGTGGTCCAAAGAAAACACTGAAATTACTCCAAGTGACAAAGTCAAGATTTCAGTTGACCAAGATGGCAATATCTATCACTCAACACTGACCTTATCAGAGCTGGAAGCAGAGGATGCTGGGACGTACAAGGTCCTTGCCCAGAATGACCAGGGTGAAGCCAGTATCTCAGTCTCTCTGCTTGTCAAAAGTAAGATTTTGTAAAGGATTCACACAACAAAAATAGATTTATAGTTTATTAGATGTGTGACTTTCATGACTGATTTTTTTTTATTCTATTGTTTTTAGAACCAGAAGGACCCCAGAAGACAGATTTCAGGGATTCATTAACAACAGAAGTGTAAGTAGAATTGAAATTATTCCTATATATACATACCAAGAGCAAAATGTGTCCCTTTGATAAACTTGCATTCTAACAAAGTATTATTCATAAGAATAAAAAGATATTGTATATCATTTAATATGTATACCTGAACAAGTTTTTGGGATTCACATGTTGATTTAAAAACTTGCATGTTAAGGACAGATGATACAAACAAAAAATGGATGCCTGGATCGGTATATATTTTTTGACCTAATTTCATTGCAAATGTTGCAAATAATAAATTTCTAGAATATACAGAAATTGTAAACCACCTGTGACGTTCAAAATTCTACCCTTCTGAAACAATCCCTATTATTCTATACAAATATTTCTCACTTTAAATTCCATTTCTGTCCAACTTTGAATAAAAAATTAAAAACTACACAGTTAAAGTTAATCATTTTAGTTATTAAAACATGACCCAAATGGTTATTTTCAAAATTTTTGACAAAAGTTTGTTTGTATCATCTGTCCTTAATTATGAACTTTAAAGTACCGGTATATATTTTTTTCTCAGTGTGAATTTCTTCCTTGCAAGCAATAACTGTCCTTATCTAGACTTCTTATGCATGGCTTTGAATCTCTCTCAAGATTTCAGTACAGATTACTTTTATGTAAAGATTTTGAAACTTTCGTATTTTTTTAACATTTGATGATAAAACCTTGCTGTCTACTAATAAGATTTGACCAGTGTTAATTCTTTCTTTGCTGACAACCTCTGCATGATCTTGTTACCTTGCTTCCCCTGTAAACAGGAAAACTAAAGTTGGCATTAAACATCAGCCTGAACAGATGGACTTTAGAACCCTCTTAAAATCTACCTCAACCAAATCCAAGTAAGTCAGATCCAAAATGTAATCAAAATTTATTCATTAAGAAAGGAAGTTTTATACATGTATTTAAGGAAAGTTCTAAAGTTAGCTAGACAAAGATGTTGAGTTTATTATCTAAAAAACATAATGTTTAAAGTTGGAACTGTCCGAACATTTGATTATTTTTTATCCCTTAGCAGATTCTCTCTTTGCATGTCAATGTTGATTTGGCATGGTCAGTGTGAAAGCATGTTTCTCCCTCCTCTCAACACAAATGTTTATAAGCATGATCTTATGGTTCCTTTGTGTATACAGGAAATTTGCACAAGATGTTACAGAAGAGGAAACTACTCAAGAGCTTGAGGAAAGTGAACAAGTTGATTTCAGACAGGTTCTCAAAAAGGTGAGTACAGGAAATCTGTCTTTTAATCCCCCTACAACATTCTATATGCATAATCTAAAAATTTATGTCTAACATTTTTGTAAGCATACTTTATTAACATTCTTGCAGACTGTCACTTCTCCACAGTTTGTGGTTGCCATTGAAGACCAGAAAGCTGAGGAAGGTGATGAGGCCAAATTCCTTGTCAAGGTCAGAGGTGAACCAACTCCAGAGGTCATGTGGTTCCATGAGAATGAACCAATCAAAGACGATGACATATACAAGATCATGGCGGGTCAGCCAGGGGAGGTAATCCTCCATCTGCCTGAGGTGTTCCCTGAGGATGCTGGTGTGTACACTGTGAAGGCAGTCAACGAGGCAGGGGAGGTCTCCTGTTCAGCTGTGCTCACAGTTCTCCAAGGTAATAAGATCATCCAAGCCTTGTTAAGCTCATATTCTAGTTGGAAGTTACAGAAAAGACTTAGGAGTCAAGGAATTCAAGAACACACCACCTTTTCACATTTGTAATGGCTGAATTAATCCAGTGAAAAATTTTACTTTTTCTGACTACTTTTGCAGAGGAACTTGAAGGAACTGAAGAACTTAAGGAGGCACCAAAACCAGAAGCAGTGGAAGAAGCACCTGCTAAACCATTCATAATGCCAGAGGCTGAACAGTTAGACTTCAGAGCTGCTCTCAAAACTAAAGTGTAAGTGTGTGTTGTGTTTTCAAGGATTTATACCCAGTCAAATATTATTCAAGAAAAATAATCTGAATATAGTAATTAGTTTCAAATATGCATACCTCCTATATTTTATCAGAAATTTAATTTTGCATTGCATTTTTGTATAAACTTTTTTTTACCATATAGCATGCTTCCCTTGTATGAATATTTTGATGATTTTCTTTGCATGCAATATATAGCAAAACCAAATCAAATGAGACCTTTGAAACTGAACAACTGGACTTCAGAAGTGCTCTTAAAACTAAAGTGTAAGTTAAGAAAATTACTGAAATGGGTGATGGGCTTTCTTGAATAAATGGATATTTATTTTGACCTTAAAATGAAAGTTGACATCTTGGTTCTTTGTTCCTCAAAAGGAAAACAAAGGTGAATGAACAGTTTCAATCAGAACAACTAGACTTCAGGGGTGCTCTTAAATCCGAGCATGTGTGAGTTACTGTACATTCTTTTTTAATTAAAGATTGAATTTTCAGAAAACATGCATTTATGGGTGTAATCATAAACCATAATATAATAATTTTCTTGTTTTGTATTTATGCAATTTTAACAAACCTGCACGAAAAATTTAATCACCTTGCAATCATATTCATTACAATTAACAGTGTTTAAGTTTAGCTAACAAGAGCAAAGACCAATAATCGCATGCTTATATGTATTCTGACAGACAAACCAAAGTTAATCAACAGTTTGCTCATCAACAGTTGGACTTCAGGGATGCAATAAAAACTCACCATGTGTAAGTCAGGGACTATCATCAAAATGCTGCTCTTTTACAGTTTATCATAATATGATAAATTCTTGGTTTTCATAATATGATAAGTTCTTAGTTTGTAATGATATTGTAATTTTTTTACTTTGTAATCATACAGATATAGAAATAAAAGTACTAATATCTTATTACATGTAATACAGTAATTCTGTGGTAATCAAATCTATTGAACAATCCTAAACTATGCATATTTCTTTGGAAAAAAATTAATTTTATTCACAGAAAAATTGTTATTAATAATAAAAAAAATGCATGAAATTTAAAAATGCAACTTGAGAGATTTGCCTTTGCATGGTATGATATGCATGTTTTTCAGGGAAACCAAAGTGAACCAACAATTCAAGCATGAACAGTTAGATTTTAGAGATGCCTTGAAAAATGAGAGAATGTAAGTACCACTAGCTCCCTGTAAGATCACTTCAAACTCATAATTCATATAAACTGCTTATGCATGCTGTTTGAATTTGCATGTTTACAGAGAAACAAAAGTCAGCCAACAATTTCCGCATGAGCAGCTGGACTTCAGATCAGTGTTGAAGACGGACCGGTAAGATACATGGAGAGGGAACTATGAATAAAACATAAATGTATTAAGTTTAAGTTAAGTGTGAAATAAAGGAAGCTACATTGCATTCTTTTCATCCTTTTTCCAGGGATTCCAGCGAAGAAATTACTCAGGAGGAGACCGTTATCGAGGTTCCACAGAAACCAAAGGAGGAGGCGCCTCAGGTGTCAGAAGTAGAAGAAGAGGAAATTGTGGCACCTAAATTCGTAACCAGAATTGAGGACCAGAAAGTCCAGGAGGGAGAGGAAGTCAAATTTGTTGTCAAGGTGACAGGCACGCCCACTCCTGAGGTCACATGGCACCATGACAACGAGGTCATCAAAGAGGACAGTGACATCTACAGAATGGAGCAGGGAGAAGAAGGGGAGGTCACTCTACTGTTGACTGAGGCTTTCCCTGAGGACTCTGGTGTTTATACAGTCACAGCCTCCAATGTCGCGGGACAGGCTGAGTGTACCGCCATGCTGAATGTCACTGGTAATATAGGACTCACATTGTCATCATTATAAACCGTCAACTTTGTCATTATTTTGCAATTTGGGGGGATAATATTTTGAGACATGCTATGAGAGTTTCTCTTTTCTTTTTCAGAATTAGTCGAGGAAGAAGAAAAGGAAGAACAAGTTGAGGTGATTGAAAGCAAAGAAGTTATCAAAGAGGAGGCTGCACTGAAAATACAGTCAGTGTTCAGGGGATTTAAGGTTAGCAGATAATATTAATACTGATGAAAGGCTACCTTATTTTGTAAACTAAATTTTACATAGGAAAACAAAAAAACTAATATATTCACAATATAATAAGTATATTATTCTTAATAATAGCGTACAATTTGTCTTATTAAAGCAACTCAAATGCATTCAAATATATTAAAGAAAATAGTTTTAAATACTGGTAATGATATTTACAAAATGAAAAAGTCATTCTAATGGTTATAATAACTCAACTACAAATATTATGTACTGGTGTGTAATCCTAGTCATTGAGTACACTATTTAGCCTCAGATAAGTTGACCAATTTAAACACACTACATTTCTAACCAAAGTTAAAACACTTTTAGGCCAGAGAAGAAGTGAAACACATGAAAGAGGCTAAGGAACACCAAGAAGTTCCCACATTTGAAGCTGATACGACCTTTGACATTAGTGACATCAGCACTGATACCGAGGTCACAGGTCAGCTTCCAAAGGATGAGCAACCACAGGAAACTCAGGTAGGTCATGTCCTCTGTCCTAAATATAGTCCTTTGGTGCATTTTATCAATGCTGAAAAATTATATACATTGTTTAATATCTAATGTTTATTTAATATAAAATGTAAATTTAATACTTCAGAAATATAATTTTATTCAACTGAAATAAATAAATAATTAACAACTGGGGGCATTTCTTAATGAAAATCTAAAAGCACTTAGAATTTAGAAAAATGTAGAGTAGGTGACACACACATTACTAACTAAATGAATAATTAAAGTAGATAGGTCATATTTCAGTAAATACTAGTATAGCTAAACATAATAAATAATGAAGTTTCAATGCATTGCTAATTTCTATGGCTGATGCACTTTTAAGATCTTTGTATTAAGTGGTTTAATAATTTTTCAGCTAGCGTAACACATTAAAATTTTGAAATAACTTTTCTAACTTGGTCAGTTCACCAGGGCTCAATAATCAGAATTATTAATTATTAATTAACTGCTAGGGCTGCAAAAAGGTGATGGCAAAACTACTTCTTAATCATGTTAATATAATTTTGTTTGGCAATTTTCTTCTTTATCTATTGAAATATTTTTTTTATTTCCTGAGCATGCATTGCAAATTTTCCCATTTTCTTTACATTATGGTCAATGAAATTTTGTATGTTGCAAGCAAATTTAAAAAACTTCAGCATGAACATTTTTGGCATGAATTTATTTTTTCAAATTATTCAACCACAATGTATTGTAAATTTGCAAAAAATTTGCCAACAAAGCAATTATGTGTGAGCAAGAACGCAAAAGGAAAGGTTAAAAAATGGGTTTTTCATTTCAGTAATATTGCCTTCTTGCTCATTGTTTCCAATTGTCTGCATGTATAGCCAGAATTGTTTATTAGTGTTTGTTTACCACCTCACAGCAGCATATGCATGCACTCAGCAGCAATGACTACGACATAGGCACTAAAGTTTATACCTGGAGAATAGGGAGCACCCCACAAGACAGCTCCCCTCAATATGAAACTTATTTGTTCAAGGAGGAAGTTGTTGTAACTGGCCCAGAGAGTGAGGACAGAGGATATCTTCCATCTGATGAGGAGGCTGAAAGGACCAAGACTGTGGAGGATGAGACTTCCACCTGGCACATCACAGGGGAAGAGGAGGAGGCACCTGCACTGCCCTCAACGTCTGCTCCTGAACTAACCACTGACTCAACCTTACTCTCCAGCAGACCTGATAGGACTTCTGATGACTTTACATCCATACCAAGCTCCACTCCTCTAGAAGGCACAGAGGAAACATTCACTTTTGTTACAGCTGAAGATCTTCCTGAGAAAAGTGTGGAGGAAGAGTTCACTATACTTAACAAGGAAGATATTCCTCCTCTTCAACTGGGAATCTCATCTGATGAGAAAGAAGGATCTGAAAAATCCTATCCTGAGGATTTCACCAGTTCTGATGAAGATGACAGCTCTGCTGAAAAACGTTTGGCAAGTGAGGAAGAAAAGAAAAAACTTGCAAAACAACAGGAATTAGACCAAGACAAAATTCCTCAAAAGGAAGAAGACATCGGTGAGAGAATACCACTCAAAGAGAAATCAGAGGAGTCTTCAACTTCAGAGGAATCTGAAGAAGAAGACTTTGTGAAACCTTCAATGCCAGATGTAGTTCCTAAAGTCTCTGATGAAAAAGAACTTAAAGGTGTTCCAATAACTGATGCTGACAAAGTGCCAAAAGAATCTCCACAAAAGGAAATTGAATTCCCTGAAAAAGAAAAGCAACTTACAGAGGAAGAAATTATCCTCCCTTCAGAGGACAAACCAGAATTTGCAGATAAAACAACATCAGAAAAAGATGTAATTCCACAAAGAGATGAAGCTGAAAAAGACAAATTTGAAAGCCTCATTGAGGAAGAAAAAGAACAAAGACAAACATCTATGGTAGACAAGGTGAGCCTGTGGGATGAGGAAAGTGAGGATGAGGAAAGAAAACTGATGAGAAAGTTCTCTCCTCTAGAAAAATCAGTGGATGAACAACAAGAGAGTGAGGTCATTGTGGAATATGAGGAGGACCTTGCTAAACCTGATTTCAAACAACAGATTTCCCTTGAGGAAAGACAACCACCAGAAACTAAGAAAGATCTAAAAGACAGTGAAAAACAGACAAAGAAGGATCTTGTTGACTTTTCCTTTGACAAGCTATTGCAGTCACCCACTGAGATGCCAGAAGAAGAAAGAGAAATTCAGGAAGAAATGGAACAGCCAGTGTTGTACCAGAAAGACAATTTTGGTCCAGACTTTGAAGTTCAACCTAAGGACATTTTCCATGCTGAACGGAGATATGATCAGTTTGAAGGTTTGTCTGATAAAGAAGAAGAGTTTGAGGAGGCCAGCATTGAGGAGGAAGAAATCTTGGAGGAGGAGGATGCCCATGATGAATTCTTTGGTAGGGAATACATACTAGAAAATATTCCCGAGGAGGAGTCGTTTGAGGCTTCAGAGACTGAGGGGTATGGAGTAGAGGACCAGCAACTGAGTCCAGAGGAGTCAGTAAGAAAACCCAGCAAAGATAAAACTTCAGAGGTAGGCCATTATCATAGACGTGTAGCTTAGGCAAATCAGAGGGTGGTTAGAGGAAAAAGACACTGTGAACAAACAATGAAACAAACACCAACTATATAACTATTACATATTAAGATTTAGATTTTTCTGTTGGTAAGTATACACGTAGTACATGTATCGCTATGTATTCCAGACATATGTACAAAAATATATACATGTATTTCTTCACAAGGCTTTTGGCTTTTATCACTGTTTGTGTCTTTAACCTTCAAACTTACATCCCAGAAGCACTCGCATATCATTTGTCTTCCATGTACATGTACATATATACACATCAAGATATTTATATGTAAACTTTGTGTTTTATTCTTTGGATTTCAGGTGTGTTCAGAACATATAGCATGATATAGCCCTCCGTTTTGAAATGAAACTTTGAATAGGAGAGGGTGGTTTGATCTTTTTGCAGTGTACCCCTTTGGAGATATTTTTATTCTGCATGAATTTTTTCCTTATGAGTAAAAAAAGTTTTGGGGTTGATTTTTTTTCTCCTCTCTTTTTGTTATCTTTTATCTGATGCATGAAGCAAATAAACATTGTATGGTGTTCTTATCAGGGTATTGCTTTAAATTTCTCAGGATGTTGAGGCAGATTTGACCTTGACAGAGGGTGACCTTGAGAAGCCATCCTTCCTGCGAGAACTCTCAGACCAGGAAGTAACTGAGGATGACACAGTGACTTTTATTGTACAAGTCAGCGGCACTCCTTTCCCAGAAATCACTTGGTAGGGATATTTCCAAATACCTACATTATTTTATGACAAACATTAATGAAAGTATTATATTTCCTTTCTGTTTTTCATAAAGGTAATAAGATCATCCTCAATTTAGAGGAAATTAATTTATTGCTGAGAAAAAAATATAAATATTTTCTCATACTAGTACATTTTTATACAAAACAGGTACAAGGATGCTGTTGAAATTGTACCTGATGACCATTTCATCACTGAAGTTAGAGGAAACTTTGCCTCACTCATCATCAAAGATGTTGTCATCGATGATGATGCAGAGTATGTAGTAAAAGCCAGCAACAAGGCAGGCACAGCGACCAGTAAAGGAGAACTCTTTGTTAATCCCTCTGGTAAGTTTTCCAAGATGGCTAACTAACTTTGATGATGAAATTGGTGGAGTTCATGACTTTTCAGATCCTGTGGATTGATGGCATTGAGGAATTATGATTTTCGTTATAGGTGAGGCTCCATCCATCATCTCAAGAATTGAGGACATTGAGATAGAACCAAGTGCTCCAATTGTCCTTGAATGCCAGGTCAGAGGTCATCCCAAACCAAAGGTCACCTGGTTGAAAGACGGAGAAGAAATCTCAGGACCTCGCTACAGGTAACCAATTTAATCAACTTGTCAAACCTAGTAAACAATAAAATAATACAAGAACACAAAAGAATTGTGAAACTTATTTTTAGCTCACCTCAACGAAGTTGGGGGGAGCTTATGTGATACCCTCGGCGTCGGCATCGGCGTCGGTGTCGGCGTCAGCGTCCCAGGTTAAGGTTAAGTTTTTTGGAGCAGTTTTCTTTTTAATTACTTCTGTGTCCTATACTGATTAGACATGCATGGAAGATGGTTTTAGTGTGTTTTATTGTACCAGACAAAGTTTCAGATGCTGCAATTTCAGCAAAGGAATTACGAGGTTAATGTTTTTGGAGCAGGTTATCATTTTTGTGCATGGTGATGGTACAGCTATAAGCCCTATCTTGACAAACTTGTGGATGATACATCTATCCTCTGGGCTTGCTGACGTGACGGTGTCAGGTTAAAGTTTTTTGTGTACACTGCCAGACTCTCCTGTGAAATTATTGGTAAGCCAACACCTGAGGTTGTATGGCTAGCCAATCAGACCGTGATTGAAGAAAGCCCCAAATACCACATGAGCTATGATGGTACCACTGCCATATTGGAAATACAAGACACAGGATTTAATGACGCTGAAGTGACATACACGTGCAGAGCTCAGAACCTTGCTGGAGAATGTGAAACCACTGCTCATGTTGAACTTCAAGGTATTTTATAATAACCAGAATCTAACAGACAGATTAGTGTGGCATTATACATATTATGATGTGAGTCTTTTCTAAATGAAGGCTTTTGATGTAGGATTGAAACACACTTTTGCAAACCAGTGATACATAAATTGCAATCAAATCATCATTACAAATTTTTGTCATGCAGACTTTGTTTCATATGTACCATTTGGCCGTAATTTCATTTTAAATCAGATGTGTGTTTCATATCCATATTTGCAATAAATCCCCATCTTCTGCTAAACCCTGCATGGTATTTCAATCTGTTCTCTATTGTGATATATGTATGCAGATTTTGTCTTACTGTTCTGTGGCAAAGATTTACATAGATTCAGAGTGATCTGCCCCTGATAAAGAATGCTTGGATGAAACATCAAGAAGGATAACTCTGGATTGAATTTTGTTTTTAATAGATTTTTTTGTAAAGTTGATTGATGCTGCAATTGTTGAACATTGTTTTTCATTTTTTATTATATTCTGCATGCTATATTTATTTTGCTTATGTTGTACAATGACATATACGATATTAACAATCAACACATCATTCTTTTTGAATTTTTATTTTTTTCCCATGTTTTCATTACTGATCAAATATATATATGCATAGTACTCAAGTTTGACTAACACATCTTCAATAAGCGTATTAAGCAAAAATATATCCATCAAATTCATTTTTGATGAAAGTACAATCATTTAGTGTGCATGAAGTCATTAAGTAATGAGAGATGATGAGAATAGTGCATTTATATAGCAACTTTTCTTTATACTGACATTCCAGAATTTAACTATTATATACATTTCTGTTTTTTTGTAACAATTTTCTTTTGACAAAATATCTTTACAAACTTTCCATTTCAACTAATGTTTAAGAAAGCTCTAAACACTGCACACTAAAGAGCACTATTTGTAGGGTAGTTTTATGTCATTAGAGTGATCTGCCCTTAGTTGTACAATGACATATACGATATTAACAAAACACATGGTTATTTTTACAGTTTTCACTGTAGATATATATATGCATTTTTACGCGTGGTATTAATATATCCGCTATTTTTGTGGTCACAAATTTAGTGTGCGGAAATTTGAGAGATGTACTTAATATAAATGTATAGGCATTCTGTTTAACATTATATACATTTCTGTTTTTTTGTAAAATCTTTTGACATAATTTTCAAACTTTCCCAACAATTTTAAGAACAGAAATTGAAAGAGCACTATTTGTAGGGTAGTTTTATGTCATTAGAGTGATCTGCCCTTAGAAGTAAGATAGAAAAAATGGTTATATACAGTTATTTACGTAATTCATGTTGGATTAAAATATTTTTAACATTATATTAGGCCAAGAATATTAGTTACTGAATTCATTATTTCCAATAATTTTCCCTATGTAAGTAAACAACAGTGATTTCTGTTCGCAAATAGTCCATTGTCTTTGAATATTTTTGCTGCAGAAATAACACAGGTACCCTATGTTGAAAATGAACAAAAATTTCTCAATATGCACACCCTTTTATTATATATTTTTCTCTTAGTCCAAAAAAAATTTTTTTGTTAGTGTTTAGAGCTTCCTTAAATTAGTTATGTTCCAAATAAAAGATTCCAGTCTTAGTATGATATTATGTCAATTTAATGGATGATTTGTTTAAACACATGCGACAACTGTAAGAATTGATCAAACTTCATTGCCATGTAAAACTGTCTTTTTTCGATTTTTTTTTTCATTTTTAATTTTAAAAACTTGATTTTTTCCCCGAGTGTTATTGACAAAAGTGCATTCCAAAGATAATTTGTTGGTTTACTAATTCAGTCTGAATGAACTGACTCTACCTCTTTTGTTACATAGATGTGATAGTGTGTAGCTGTTTGCATGAAAGAATTGTCATCTAAAGATATTGACAAATAAATAATTTTTAAATGTTTCTGTAGTGCATGTTGTTTCTTTTAAACCAGGCATTTGAGTGTTTTCACAACAAATGTCGTGGCACCTTTAATGCGTGGAGTATGGGGCCTTCAGAAAGCACAATGATAGCTATAGTGAATAAAGGGATAAAAAGTTTATATAATTTTTTTTTTCAAAAAGAGAAATTCAGCAAAATCTTTTATGGTTGAAGCTTCAAATTGTAGCTTGGTTATTTGCAAATTCAGTGTTTATTTTGCTTTTTTGCAAATTTTCTTTTAAGGCTAAACTTTTATTTGTATCAATTCATTTTGTTTCTTTCGAATCGCTTGAATGAAGTTATGCTTTTCATTTGCTTTCATGTGAATCGCCTTTTGTCAAAGTGCATTCATTTTGTTTGAATCAAAGGTCGGATCCACCCTTAGGTTTTCCAGGTGATTCGCCTCACCTCAGGTTACATTGATGATACACAAGATTAATTTTCAATTTATCAGTCTGGGTCATCCTTCCAATTTCCTGTTTATAATTCAATAGAAGAGTTTATGAATTGAAATTTCAGTACTCTTCAAAAAAATTTATCAGATAATAAATCCATTTGAAAGTTTATATCTTCATGGTTTTCTGTGCAAATATAATATTGTCCCTGCACACCTGAACGATGGTTTATTGTGATTAAGCTCTGAGGCCTAGACCATTATGTGTACTATTTATGTACATATCTGCCTTTAAGTGATTTGGGGATATTTAGAATTGCTGGTTGGCCAATGAAACATCAGAGGGGTCCCCACATCTAAAAATATTTTGAGGCTCTGGGGGACTGGATCTTTCTCGTGAATTTCTTGTGAGGTTCAATATGGGGTAATTATTAGCCTTAATTGCAAAATGGGAACAATTATTTTACAGAAAGAGTATTTCCTATAATAATAAGCATGCATGCCTTGTATGGAATGCTTATTTTCAAATTACCTCCAAATATTGTGCATGTTTTCGGACTTCAAAATTTGAAAATCTCCTTTAGAAGCCTCAAGAGAGTCAACTCATTAGAAAGTAAATGGCTTTGATGTACAGTCAACAGATTAAGACAATTCAAGTATGGAGACATATTGTAATATCTTTATAAATACCAGGGCTGACATACTCTTATTACAAAAACAATGCTTGGACGCCCAAGAATTTAAGCCTGAGATAATGCAACGTAATGTTCTACAGCTGAGCAGATTAGCCCGGGATAAAGAAATGCAGAGAGAGAGAGTATTTGAAGAGACCCAGAGAACCTGAACATTATGAATGAGCTGTGACAGTTTCTTGCTATACAAACAATAATGTATTAGTGTGAATAGGTATTTTAGAGTTTAACAGGAATACAGATTATCTGATAAAGAAAGAATGTAGAAACTACACAAAGGGCAATTTGTTATAAGCCTTTTAATTTGGCATATCAATTAATATATGGGTCATAAGTTTATATTTGTCTTTGTACTTAATAATGATCTTGCATTGTTATTGAGACTTCATAAGCTTTCAACACTAAAATGCGACTGAGGCTCTAGAGGTGGTAATTTGCATGAAAATAAAATTCTTGGTGTTTGTTTCAATAACATTAATAATACTCTCCCAAACGGAAAAGATTTTTAACAAACTACTATTAAACTATCAACAAACTACCAACAAACTATATTTTTGTGGTTTGTTAAAGTAGTTTGATAGTATAGCATTTAATGAACCACTAACCCACTTTTTTCTAAAAATAGCTGCAGTGGTTTGTTAGTCTTTCATTTCTGGTGATTGTGATTTCTTTATAGTTTGTTAGACTTGGTATCTTGCAACAGTGTTTTATTAGTATAGCATTTGCATCTAACCACATGGGAAATTACTTTACAGATGTGTTTAGGGTTGAATTATCTAGAATTGTTGAAGTTTCCAAGAACAGCTTAATCTTCACATCCGGTGTTAGCTATTTGCGCCAATTTTCAAACCACCAAGCAGGTCGGAAACAAAGGAACTGGTGAAGGGACATTCAAATTGTTAATTAGTATCATTCTATAAGATCCCTGACTGGAAAAAGCAGCAATTAACATTATTAAAGAAGGATCTGGATACAGAAGAGGTATTTAATGCATGTCATCAAGTTCCTTTTTACCTAAAATAAGGCTGGACTACAGTAACCTTCTGTGAATGTGGATGCATATGCTTTTTACTAGCTTTGGGTTTTTATTTTCAGATTGACCTAATTAATTCCTACACTAGTTTAGATCAGTTATGCATTGGATTATGGGAAGTTTACTTGAAAATAAGACAAAAAGATATCTTTCAAAGTTGCAATGAGGCCAGAAAAAGGAAATATTGCAGCATTTTCCATGCCAGATGAAGCAGGGAATATTTAAATGTCAGCTTGATCAAGAACATTTTTTGGTGAAAAATACTATGAAGATGTACACAACATGAAGGAGAATATATGTGATAAGGACATGGACATTGACTTGGAATTGCATCTCCTAAACAAAAGGGAACATATTGGAATGTTGCACTTGCATTGGCTAAACTTGTGAATCCTGGAATTTAAATACTCTGAAACAAGACTTGTTGAATATTTCAAAATGTGATTGTTTTAGGTGTTTTCAAAGACTTGTGGATTTGTAAAGGAAAATTCAAATGTAGTGTTTTGCTGATGGATTTGTTACCAGTGATTTGTTAGTAGTTTGTTAGAGTGGTTTGATAGTAGTTTATTAGCGTGGTTTGAGTGGTTTGATAGTAGTTTGTTAGCGTGGTTTGATAGTAGTTTGTTTGAATGGTTTGATAGTAGTTTGTAAGAGTGGTTTGATAGTAGTTTGTTAGAGTGGTTTGATAGTAGTTTGTTAGAGTATAGTTTGTTAGCTCATTTGCATGTGATTTGCTATACTATTAAACTACTTTCAAACCATAGTGGTTTGTTAGTAATTTGTTATAGTAGTTTGTTTGCCCTTTTTTTCCGTATGGGCTGATATGGATTTTGGAATACAATTCCTTTTTTTTTTCACTGACAATTTTTATCAAACAAAATGTTTTTTTTTTCTGTACAGTACTTAATTGTAAACACTTTTTTCTCCACTCAATATTCTACTGCACTTTAATGTAAGCTTTTTTTTACCCTCTTTTAAAATTATTTTTATTTTACTCTTAGCATGCATGGAATGCAATATACTTTTGTTTGTGAACATCTGAATCACATGACTAATGCATTAAGCTTTGGTTCAAATGGTTGTAGAATGAAGTCTTACAGAGTTATGTACCTTTTAGTGTGTTAATTCTTTGGTGTTTTATGCCTTAAATATTGTTTTAACCACTTGATATTTTGCATACAAGACAAAAAATAATGAATCATGCATGAAATTTTAAATAATTCAATGAGCATGGACTTTTTAAAAATATTTTACATCTACATGTTTGTATATATCTTTTTTGCTCTGTAATATAAATCTGACAGGAGATAGAAAACAAGAATATTTATTATCATATGATGTATGTTGATTAAGGTTAATATTTGATAATGTGGAACATAATTCTATTAATTGTACTACAATAGATGCTAATAAAAAAGATCTTATGAAAATGTTAGTCATACAAATTTTGTGTTGCTCTTAAAGTAATTTTAATTTCATCTAATGTCAAAAAAGAAAACAAGAATATAAAACTATTAATTTTGAAAATTTTCCCATCTTCTAGCACCCCCAGCTATCATCAGTTTCCCAGAGAAGATCAGCATCTTAGAGGGGGAGGAGGTGTGCATCACCTGTAAGGTAGAGGGGGTGCCACGCCCCACCCTCTCCTGGACAGTCGAGGACAAGGAACTGGTACCCGACCAGCACCACCTAGTGGAGGTCCTCAAGGACACCGTGGTCCTCAGAATCCCACAATGCACTGCTGATGATGAGGCTGTTTATGTCCTAAAGGTTGAGAATCCAGCAGGCACTGACACTGTGGCCATACCTGTAAAAGTTGAGGGTAGGCATTCAATATTTTAATTGGTCTAATCATATAAATATAGGAAAATATTGATACTTGATTTTGAGGTAAGAAATACTGCAAAGATTACAGGGTTATTAGCTGCTCTTGATCGTCAGATGATGAAATAACTACTGTAAATGTATTATATTTAGCGTGTACAATATTTGGCGGAAATTGATTTTAGATCAAGTTAGCGTAGATTTGATTTAGTGCATTCCTCAATGTTCCTATTTATTTGTATATGTGTAAGACATTTAGCGTTGTTCTTGAATTAGCGGAAGTTTCTCTTCACCAAAAGCACTAAAAAGAATACACAGCCAAATGTAATATGTTTACAGTATAGGATGAAAGTTTTTTGTTAGCTCACTGCAGCTTTAATTTGATTTACAAGTACATTCTTTTAAAATTTCAGATGAATTCAGTTTCTTTTCTTACAATCTGGTCTGCAGTAAGTTTTAATAATGAGCAGTTTATAGATTCATTTGTACCAATTTTGAAGATTTTAAGCAGGACTAATTTATAAACAAGTATATATAATTCAAGGAAAAAAAGATTTTTTTTTTTCAGTTTAGCATTGGATTTTCTAATCAGAATAATTTCAAAAAATGCACTTAATAACACAGAGAATCTTTCCATAGTGCAGAAGAATTTTAGCATATAATACATCAAAATGAGGGTGAAAGATTAATGAGATGTATCATGTATAATAAAAGAGACAAGGAAAGGAAATAGCAGACAGTGTATTTAAAGCTTTGGAAAATTTAAATACTAAAATAGATTTTAGTAAACTTTTACTATTACAGTAAAGACAGTGCTCTGTGGTCTTTGTTTAAATTGACAAGGTTAACAAGTGAGTGTCAGTTGTATTTTTTTAAAACAAAACATGAACTTTTTAATAGCCCAAACATGTTACACAGCACTATGTAATTCAGTGCTTTCTTGAGACAGGGCTCTGAAAAAATTAAACCAAATTTTTTTGATCTGTGTTTACAAGCAGGAGGGGAGTTTAAGATTAGACAATATTTCCTTAGATTCTCTGGGAGTTTAAAAGATAATAGAAGACAACATATAGTTTGTTATATCATGTGCTTACATGAAAACGTTAAAATCAATGCCTGCCAGGAGAATTTGAAGATGCCCACTGTGAGAGGAGCATTACACCTTAGAACCTTAAAAATGGATTATTTACAACTCCAAGTACATTTAACGCAAGAAAACGGAAGAATGATTAGCAGAATTTAGACTTTGCAGAGGGAAATTGACAGTTATCTGTTTGAAGTAATTGTAAACAAAAGAATTGTTTTTATTGAGATTTTGCCAAAGATAAGGTGAAGAAGTTACAACCCATCAAACCAAAGGTTATCTTAGGAGATTTACAACACCTATGCATATAGGAGGATGCATTAACATGTTTATTCAATATTAACTGGATTTATTGCATCTTGACATCAATTTATAGGACTTTAAAATTGCATCACGTAATTTATTCAGATGAAGAATTTTAAACCTATTGTTACGTGGTGTTAGATCTTCCACAGAATTTTTTTAAATCAATTCTTTTTCACAATAATATATTGTGATGAGAAAAGATTTCAGAGAAGTTTTTGATAACAGTGTTGACTTTGAGTCAATTTTCATGATCAGGAATCGATCAAATTTGGATGAACAATGTTACATGTCCTATGTTTTAGCCATAATGATGCTTTTACCTATGTCCGTGCAATTATCTGTGGTGTAAGAATGATTTACCTTTGACAGTTATTACATTAACCATTACTTCTTGAGTTATGATGCACATGGATGTTAAATGATTTAAGCATTCGGTGTTCAAAAAAGAGCTACCCACCCACCCTTTCTATCTAAAGAGAGGAATAAACTTTGAAGTACAGGGAAGTGTCAAGCTCCACTGAAAGTGATTTATGGTCATAGGAAATCAAAATGACAATATTAGGAGAAGCTTATATTCTAATAATAAGCAGTCTAAAAATAGAGGATTTAGTTTTGGAATACATCAAATATGGTAAGGTTTGTCCAGGAAGAAAACTGCAAAATGATGATTTGCCTACTGTGAAAGATATGTTAGCCAAGGAGTTCTGCTTTTCTCAAACTTTTATAATAATTTTGTTTTCTTTGAGAGAATTTATGATTAACTGGTGAACTCAAGATATAGATATCTATTTTTAAAAGAAACTTGTAAATATATCATTGAACTTCTAAAAATTATTGTGTTTTGATAACATCAAGCATTAAGTTGGGCATGCTGTATTGGTTATGATGAGATACTGCCAGAGACTGCCTATAATTTCATGTTTCGTTGCTTATCAGCATGGAATCAGTTCGGCAGAATTTAGTGATAACATATGATATAGATCTCCTGTGTATTCTTTATAATACCCTGTCTACACTTCATCAAGTTCATTAGGGAGAATATAGCTATCTATCAGCTTCTGTAATTAAACACCCCAAAATAAGGCTTAGCTAGAGTCGCCAGTGAAAGTTCACTAACCAGCAGAGTTTTTATTCTTTGAAATTAAGCCACTTTTTGAGAAGAAACATGATTGAAATTCATGTTTGCAAAATTTTTAAAGCAAATTCATGCTCAACAAGTTTTGTCTAGTATGTAATTATTTGGTAATAAAGATTTTTTTTTTTTTGGAAAATCGCTTTTTTAGTCAGCATATCAGACTGCCTCATTTCAAAACAGAGTATTAAGTTAATCTTTTAAAGGTTTATTTATGTCTTATTACAAGGTTTTTATCAGGTATGAATACCTTGGTTACTGTGAAAGCAACTTAATTTATGAATAAATTAGATGCATCAAATCCTCTAACAATATATGTTGCATAAATATTATGGCAAATTAAAAGTAGATTGTGAAATTATCTGTTAAATAACTTCAGGAACAGAGAAAGTTGTCAAAACAGAAGACACCGCTGTTATCTCTCCAGAAGGAAAAGCTCCAGAATTTGTGCTGCGTATCAAGACAGAGAAGGTAAGGGGGATAATAGAGAAGTCAGGGGAAGTAATTCTACATAGGTAGGGGAGTAAACCAGGAAAAATGAAATCAAGGGAGGCAATTAAAAATACTGAAGTTGGAAGAAATTTTGGTAAAACATTGAATTTAAGTCACTAGATTCTCTAAACAAATTAATTGAATTGAATTTATGAGAAATATTTATCAGTGATATAACTTACAATGTAATTGTTTAGTATCTAAACTTTTTCCCACAGCTTTTGTTGCTTAAATGTCATATCATGTTTAAAACAATACTATTGTAAAATTTTAGGTAGAGGAGGGTGATCTTGCTGACTTCACATGTGAGGTGGTGGGAACACCTAAACCCCAGCTTAACTGGATCTACAATGGCCGCACACTGGTGGATGATGGGAAATATGTCATCTTTGAGGATGAGGGTGTCAACCATTTACAGATTTATGACATCAAACCCGAGGATGCAGGGGAGTACACAGTACAGGCTGAGAATGCCCAAGGCAAAGTCAGCTGTACTGCTGATCTACAGGTGGAAGGTAAGAAGAGAATAGTGATTTTGGAGCACTGGGAGACTTTGGAATATACTATGTTGAAATTTCTTTAAAAAAAAAGAATTGTTTAAATTGGATGACTTCATTACTTTGCTTTTGTAAAAAAAAAAAAAAAAAGAACTTTGAGTGGTGTTTTCATCATCTGTTTCATCGCGACATACTAATTATTTCATTTCGTGTGCCCTAATATTTGGAATTGAATTATACTTTAGCTCTGCCTGTCCATGAAGAAGTGACAGAATTGGAAGCTCCTAAATTTGTGGTTGAGATTCAGACCTTAGAAGCTAGTATCCATGACAAAGCCAAATTCACCTGTAAAGCTACAGGCAAACCCACCCCAGAAATCCTCTGGTATAAAAATGACAAAGAAATCTCGAGAACTGACAACAGGTTCACGATTCAGTTTGAAGACAAAGGAGAGTCCTCACTACTGATAGTGGATGTCCTCCCTGAACATGATGGAACATACACTGCTGAGGCTAAAAACCCTGCAGGCACCGCCAGATGTAAAGCCGAGCTCTTCGTGGAAGGTATGGATAAGATCATTTTTAGTATGGATACTTAAAAAAATATTTTTCTATTAGAAAAAATCATTTAAAAACTCTGAAGAACTATTTATACATATGTTTTAATCTTTTTAGAACCCAAAGAAGACAAACCATCCATTCCTGAATTTATCAAAGTTCCAGAACAGGTTGTTGCTAGGGAGCGTGACCTTGCACAATTCATTGTCAAGGTCATTGGAACACCTAAACCCACAGGTGAGTGTTGTTTATTTTGAAACCCATTAATTTCTATTGTCAGCAAAAGTAGAATTTTTTTTTAAATATATACCAGTTAATGTATAGATTCTGTCATTGTTGATTGTTGATAATTTTTGTTTATCAGTCGAGTGGAAGAAGGATAACATGGTGCTAAAAGACCTTGAACTTTACCACTTTGAGAAATATGAAGACACCTACTGTTTTGAGATTAAGACTGTGGAGACAGAAGATGCTGGAGTGTATACCTGTGTGGCCAGAAACTCAGAGGGGCAGGCCACCTGTGACATCCCACTCATTGTTAATGGTGAGATAAAAAAAAATCTGAGTTATTTAACATTATATGCTTTGCTATATTTTGTAGTTTTCACTAATTTCTTTGACCAATCTTTCATAATGTTGATTGTGAGCAAAAATATTAATGGTGAGGCAAAAAAATCTGAGTTACTTATTTGTATATTTTGCTTTATTTAGTAGTTTTCACTAATTTCTTTGTCTGATTCATCTTTCATTTTAGAAAATGTCACATTTTTAATACATAAATGTTGTAGATCTCTATCGTAATTGGTGTTATTTTCCTGACAGTAAGTGGCCATTATACACAGAAAAGAAAACCTAATCACGCTTTGTTATGGGGACAGCTATTTTAACAATGGTGTATGCGAAATTATACTTGTAATTTTAATATTTCCAGGTACACATGTAAACAGATGACAAAGTATTGTGCTTGGGATTCTATTTTTATTAAGTTATAAATATAAACTGCTTGTTGTCTTATTACAGAGATCAGAAGAGACCAGAGACTCTCCGAGTCTCCACTGGTCCTCCGGCATCAGGACTCGTCACAAGCTCCCGAGTTCACAGAAATGTTCGATGGTTGTGTAAGTCATGATATTGGTTTATCAAGAGATTTTTCAACTAAAAAAATCCTTTCCTGGAAAATAATACATTTGTATTACAAATTGTCAGTAAAAGAATCTTTCAGAATAGAATTAGTTTGGATTATAAACACGTTAAGTTTTTGTCCAATCAGATTCTAAATACAATTAAATGGATAATAATATCTTGTAGACTGTTATGGAAGACAAGCCGCTGTCTCTGATGGCCAAAGTGACCGGTACCCCTCGACCAGAGGTCACCTGGTACCGCAATAATAAGGAACTAGTGACCACACCCAATGTCAAGGTCTCCTACGAGGACGACACATGCTCTCTGAAGATCAAGAAAATGACCATGGATTTGGAGGGAGAATACAAATGTGTGGCCAGAAATCCCGCTGGTACCTCGGACATCGCTGCCAAGGTCATTGTGGAAGGTAAGGTCACGACCTATGTCCTAACCTGTGATGTCATGGTTAAAATCAATGTTAAATTCCTCTTTTTCACTTGATTATGCAGGAAAATATTCCAAAGCATGTTTTGAAAAATCTCATTCATACATGTATGTGCATTATGAAAATTGTTCTGTATTATTAATGATTGCATTTGATACTCCATGAGCTTTTCTAACAGTAGAATGTACATATTTAAGATAATATTTCTTTAAATTTTGATGCCATTCTTCTTCTGCATATAGCAAAATAGTACCTATGTCATGAAGTCTGCAAAAAAAGAAATCTAATTTCCTACTTTACTCTCATTTCTTGCACCTTCCTATGTGTGAATTAATTTCTGTAGGATTGCATTGTGACACTTTTGCAGGACTAAAGGGCCAGAATTCTTGGCTCTGTATTTATAGAGTGTTGTTACCATTTTTTGTCCTACATATTTCAGATGAATACACGTGGTTCAGTTATTTCACCTCTGATAGTAAGTCAAACACAAGTTCTCTGGAGAATTTGAAAAAAAATTACAAATATTTTTGAATTATTTGGATTTCCTTAAAAAGCAATAAAAATAAATTAAGTACATGTACATGTACTGCCAAAATTTAATTAAATAAATTTGCAAAAGCTTAAAATTTATAAGACGTCTTTATACACCTTACCTTGTATGAATTGCATACTATGTAACAATCCTTTTCTGGTTACAGAAAAACCATTTTGGTATATTTCACCTGTTTACTGTAAGTTATCCAAAGGTTTATTTTTAATTAAGAAATAGAAAAACAAAAGATTTGAGTTCCACTCTCCCTCTTTGCTTAACACAGAGTGGCTTATGCCTCCAGTATGCATTCTGTGATATTATTTTGTATTACTGTAAGCAATAAAACAATCTCTGCTTTATTTAAATTATTCATATAGCTTAATTGTTAAATATATAAAGAGATATTACACATATAGTTAATATATTGAATCTGAAGTGTAGCCATATACTAAACGTCTCTGAGAGCTAAAAATCAACACACTTCTCCAGATTATACCTGTGAACTAGATGTGTATTCAGAGTACCTTACAACTTCACTATATTGGCTGGACAAAAAACTGCATGCTTATCTCTCTAAATGTTATGATTATTTTCAATGAAAGAGAATTGGGTTTTCCGATGTGCATGCACCAATCTTTGCTAAGGGCAATAACTCTTGCATTGTGACAGTTGTAAGGCATATATTTTTTTGTTTTAATTGACCACACATATATATGTATGTTGTGATTTGCATGAGTGATTTAGTTTGTAGACAGGTGATAATAACAGGTCTATAGTGGGCAGGTAACAGCATGGGAGGCAGATTATAGATGTACCTTTACCTATAGAATACACAAATGTGTGCTTTATATATTTTTGAGCACATTTATTTTAAATCTCAATGTATGAAGTTGATTGTTTGAAATACTGCAAATGATTAAATGTGTATGGTTCAGACAACTCTTTTCATACTAAAAATTTAGTTGATCTAGTCAATATGAGCCACTGATTTTTTTTTTCTTTTTCATGAAATCATCTTAGCATAGCACACCAGTCTGAAACTACATGTAGATTTTATGCACAAGTAAAATTTACTCATAATGAGTTTTTTTATATTGACAATTTTTGGACTGGATTTTTCAGGCAAAGCAGAGGCCCCTATATTCTCTCGCAAACTCAATAACAGAGAATGCAAAGAAGGACGACCAATCAAATTTGAGTGTGCTGCTAAAGGCATTCCTCAGCCTGATGTCATATGGTATGTCAATCAAAATCTCATCAACCAACAAAAACTGTTGTTAAAGCAAGACCAATCATAGAAGAAACTCTGTATATAAACACATAGGGGGAACCTGAAAGGGGGATAAAGATAGTGTACATAGGTGTAACATGCAGGTGTATTTCTTGTATTTATGTATATACACCATTAGATATACTCTGATTCTTAAACTCTTGTCATTATTTTCATGGAACTTAAGGTAGTATGATTTGTACATTCTTTGCATTACTCCTTGGGTACTCATTGGCTATTTAATTATCATAAGTTGCAAGCTACATGTATATGCAGCTACTAAACACATGCCATTTTTCTAAAGCTGTAATAGTTCGATTTCTAAATTTTCCATATCTCTCTGTATTAAGGTACTTGAATGACCAGCCTATTGAGGCAGGCCTGCGCTTCCATACTGATGTCCGTAGAAGTTACGTTGATGTTGTGTACAGTCTAACCATCGACAACACTGAGGTGGAAGATTCTGGAGAGGTCAAGGCCTTCGCTCATAACAAAGCCGGGGAAGCAGTTACCATTGCTAAACTCATTGTGGAAGGTAACATGCAATAGAAAATATGTGTAATATTGGTATTTTATAGGTAACAGACAATCAAATGTCAGACTTTGAGCATGTATTTTCAAAGAAAACTTTTGTTCTGCAGAGAAAAAAGAGGCCCCTAAATTCATTAGAAAACTGGAGAATGTGGACGTTGTGGAGAAGGATTCTGCTGTATTAGAAGTGGAGGTCTCAGGAAAACCCAAACCACATGTCACATGGCAAGTCCAGTTTTTATTTTAATCAAAGAATTTAGGAATGGTACTTTATTAATCTAAAATAATTTGTTCTTCCTTTATTTTCTTACAAATCTATCTGATTATTTGAAGATATGTACATGATGTATTCATAAGATTCTCATTTTTGAATTTTCTTGCATGTTTTATTATAGGAAAAGAGGTGATAAGGAACTCAAAGAAAGTGAACAAATTAAATTTGAGGTAGAGGACAAGGTGTACCGAATGATTTTGTCCTCTGTGACCCCGTCTGATGCTGCCCTCTATACAGTCAAGGCACATAACACTGCTGGATCTGTCTCATGCAGTGGAAGAGTCAAAATTCAACGTAAGTATTCTTCCAAAGTTTTAAATGTAAATTAGTGATACATAGTATTAATTCTAAAAAGAAGTATTTTACAAGATTGAGAATAAATCCTTTTTTCTAGCTGCGAGACGCCCATCCATTCAGCCCAGGAAGATGTCAAACACCCTGGTACCTGAAGAGGGACAAGTCACATTTGAGTGTAAAGTGGAGGGTCTACCTCTTCCACAAGTCAAATGGTATGGCATTCTATTTCAAATCTGCCATAGAAAATCATTTCCTTTTGTAGTATTGAAGCAGGCAAAGAATTTGATTCTGAAAATTTATGAAATCGCTGAGAGAGTTATTGAGCATTTCTAAAACAAGTTATTGAACTGTTTGTTAACTTAGAACAAAACAATAATTCTCTTCCAGGTATGTCAATGACAAAGAGATTGAAGAGGGAGAAGATATTCACATGACTTTCAATCGTCGTGACAGTACCTACTCTCTGGTCATCGACAAAGCCTCACCTGAACTGCAGGGAACCCTTAAAGCTGTCGCTGTCAGTAACGTAGGAGAGGATCTCGTTACTGCTGAACTAGAGGTCCGTGGTCAAGCACCTGTTTTTACTGCTGTACCAATTAAATGCACCATCTTGGAAGGTATGTCAACCAGGCAGCATCTGAACTAAATAAGAACTGTTCTTTTGGGGTATTCAGAGAAGACTAAAACTGTTTTTATGAAATAACCTAATATTTTGTAATTTTCAGGAAACACTGCCATATTCCGTTGCAAAATCAAAGGAGAACCAACTCCAGAAATCCAATGGTCCAAAGGAAAATGGAACAAGCTCAAAGATGGAGGTCGCTACAAGATCTTCCAGGATGAGACAACTGGCGAACATGTACTGGAGATAGCTGACATCAAGAGAAAGGATGCTGGTACCTATCTGGTGAAGGCAACCAATGAACATGGCAGCTCTGATGCCCCTGCCACACTGATTGTGACAGACAATCCAAAGGAGGCAGAGGACTGGCTGGCTAGACTTAAACACAGGTAACAGTCCAGTGCTTATTATCTATAGGGAGGAAGTCAAAATAGATTGAAGAAACTTTATACACGTACATTTTTGTAAACATAAGGTTCATATTGAGCAATTTCATTTGCAGGGAAATTGAAAAGAAGGAAATCCCTGAAGAAGAACTCATTCTTCCCTCTCTGAAACATGTGGAACAAGAAGAAAAACCAGAGGAGAAAAAGAAATACAAACCAGATGTCAAAGAAATCGCAGAACCATCTGAGTTTGAGATTGTGTTCAAGAGAAGACAATCACAGGTAAAAAAAAAATAAGAATTTATTCATTGTAAAGTCTGTCTAAATAGAGGAACACATGATGTAATAGTGTAGTTACTGTTAAAAGAAGAAAACTAAAGGAACACAAATATTATTTTAATAACAGATGCTAGAGAGAGTCTCAGAGGAGGTTCAAGAACTGGCCAAGAGAGAAAGACCTGAGAAGGAGGAGGTACCCACCAAAAAAGAGGAAACTCCAGAAAAGGCTGGACCAGATGAGGTGGACACAGGATCCTACCAGAGGGCAGCACGTGAGGCCCAGCTGGAGGAGGCTGAGGAGACCATGCTGACCATCCCCAAGGCTCAGTGGAAGGTCCTCAGGCCACTCAAGGATCTAACCGTCACAGAGACAGAGGAGGCCGTGTTTGAGTGTGAATTTAATGTGCCAAAGGTCAAGGTCACTTGGAAGATCAATGGTGAAGAAATTGAACAGTCTCCCAAACACATCATCAAATCTGAGGGCACTGTCCATAAGCTGATTATTACTAAGTGTAGAATGCCTGATCAAGGAACCATCTCTTGTTCTTATGCTAAATTGGAAACAACTGCCAAATTAACTGTCACAGGTATGCATGAAGTAAACTTTCACATTTACTCAAAAAATTAAATAGTCAAACTGAACTCAGCATGTTATTAAAAAAATAATACTCTTTAAACATTTATTGTGTTTGTCTTTTAGAACTAGTCAAAGAATTCACCATGAAGCTGGAGGACACAATGGCAGAGAAAGACAGTGATGTGACTTTCACCTGTAAGGTCAGTGATGAGGACATGGATGTAAACTGGTTGATAGACAGTCAGAATCTGCCAGAGTCAGACAAATACTCTGTGATATCAGAAGATGTGACCCACACTCTCACCATCAAAGACATCCAGCCAGAGGATTCGTGTGATGTCACAGCTACGTACGGAGACCAGTCCACCACTGCCAGACTCTCTGTTGCTGGTGAGTTACTGGAGACAGCTGGGTTTTGTCTGTGGCTATTTGTGGTTTTGATAACAATTTATAGAGCAAAGACTGTAGAGTAAAAATTCCAGTTATATATTATTAGTTAACCATAACTTGATCAATATAGTATCAAAACCTTCTTCATTTTTCAATTTTATTTCTTTCATCAAGAAATGTTGATGTTTTATTGCACATATAGAATTCATGTTAATATCTGGAGAACAGTATTATATAGAGATAAATATTGACTTTAATCTAAATAATTTATAGCATACTAATTCTAGTTTTAATTTTATTACAGATGTCAAAGCTGATTTTGTCCTCCCTCTCAAAGATCAGAAAGCCAAGGAGAACACCTCTGTAGAGTTTGACTGTACATTGACAATCTCCACTGACGATGTCCACTGGTTCCTCAATGATGTAGAGCTCCATCCTGTCGAAAATGTGGAGATTATAAAAGAAGGAACCAAACACAAACTAATCCTGAAAAATATCACCCCACAACAATCTGGACAAGTCACAGTCAAAGTAGGAGAGAAGACCTCCACTGCTTCTCTTATTGTTGAAGGTTTGTAAAAAAAGAAATTGTCATGTGTTTTGAGCAATATAACCCATCAGATTTAGGCTGGGGTGGGTTGGCTGGTCTGTTAAAGAAATATGATCTTTATCTGATACTCAACAGTGGGGAATTGAATTGTTGCTCTAAAAATGAACCTTTTGATATCTATAGGAGATTTTTACTGTTTTGTTTTTAGAAGTACCTGTAGAATTCACAGTCAACTTATCAGAACAGCATGTAGAAGAACACTCTGAATGTCATCTGACCTGTGAACTCAATAAAGAGGATGTACCTGTCACATGGTACAAAGATACCAGTAAAATTACACCCAGTGACAAATACCGCACGGAGGATGTGGGAACCAGTCATACGCTGGTTATCAGTGACGTCAAGAAAGACGACGTAGCGGAATACACTGTGGCTGCAGGTGACTTACGAAGCTCCGCCAAACTACATGTTGATGGTAAGGAAGTTAACTCTGTTCCTGCAGAGAAAATTATTTATTTTCAATACATGATATGAGATATTTTTATTTAAGCAAATACATTATATATTTATATTCATATAAATCAATTAATCGGACAATAAAAAAAATCAAAGGCTCAGTATCAAAAAAGACATTTAGCTGAAAATAAAAGTGTAACAATGTACTCTAATACATGTAAATGCATAAAATTTCATTGCATGGGTGTGATTCTTGATGATGAATAAATTTATTGAAGCATGTTGTTGAATGATCAAGGCAGTTGTGTCTATTGAATTAAATTATTATTTTTCTTATCCACAGCATGGTCAGGTGGTTTGATTGAGGAATTTGTCATTCAAATTTAAAGATACAATAAATTCAAAAACAGATAATGTATTTACTCAGGGCTTTGGTTAAGAATCCAGACACTGGCATGCATGAAGATTTGTGTGAATTTCAATAGAGTTTATGTTTTGTCTTTCACTTTTTGCACTAACCAGAGCATGTTTTTTAATTGCTTTTACAGACAGCCCAATAGAAATTCTAACACCATTACAATTAACTAGATCTCCCATCCTAAGGGAGGTTACATTGTCTTGCCAATTATCCAAACAAATTACCCGCTGTGTGTGGTTAAAGGATGGAGAACCAATCAATTACTGTGATAAATATAGAATGACCTTCAGAGGTCATTGTCACAATCTTGTGATCAATGACCTTGACCAGGAAGATGAAGGAGTATATTCTTTAACTGTGGATGATCTCAACACATCATATTATGTAGTTAGGGAAAGTCGGTAAAGACAGCACAAAAATATGGTGTGATCAATTTATTCCTGTGGAGTCTTAATACTTGCCAGCCACAATGGGAGATTTTTTTTGTGAATTTATGTCATATATGCACTTTGGAGGAATTTTATTCAACACACTTGTATCCAGCAATATATATGTTTAGATTAACTTTGTATGTATTCTGATGTATGTATTCCGACTTATTTCTGCATGTAATATTTATTTTTTTGTTTGTGCTAATGATGATTACAAACAATGTGGTGTTTTTGTGAATGCAAAGAACTTTATATCTCAGCATGGAACAAGAACTAATCAAACTATTATATCCAAGAGAACAATTCATTACTTAAATGAACTGAAGGAAGAGACTGTGAAACAGACCATACATAATTGGTTTAATATAATTGGGGAAAAAATTCATAAAAAAAAAATTGGAAATAACTGAAAACCAACCATGCTTCAATGGTAGTTTAATAGTCACTGAAAAATATTCCTTGTTAATGGAATTGATGAAGTAATGCAAACATTTGGGTGAGTTGAGAGATAATTAAATTCTTTATACAATCAAATGACACAAAAATTCTGTAAATTCTTTTTAATTATGAGTAATTGATATTACAGAATCTGCATTTATTAACAAAAAGCATGACAATATGATTTTTTTTTTATCAATTCTCTGCATGTCAAATATATGGCATGATTTTATTAAAAATGTCACATTCCAATTCATCATCAGATTTTGCTACATAATACTTGATTTATATCCAAACAGACAAGCCACTAGAAATCACTGTGCCTCTGCAAGAAGCCACATGCTCAGAAGGTGAAACTGTGACCTTCACCTGTGAGGTCAGTCAGGATGGGGTCAAGGCCACGTGGATGAAGGATGGTAAAGAATTGGTTCCATCAAAAGATGTCATCATTGAAGATGTTGGAAAAGTTCACAAACTGACCTTGAAAAATGCCACACTGGATGACAGGGCTGAATACACTGTGTGTGCCAAGGACAGAAAGAGCACAGCACCACTCTTTGTGGAAGGTAATTTATTACAGATATATCTAGGCATATTTCATTTTATCCTCAAACAAAAGAAAGTTTTGGTTTAAAGAACTTTTCCTTATTTTCATTTTTACTTGAAATGTTGAAATATTCCCTTTGATTTCCCCTATGTAATAATTTTCCCCATTTTGTAGAATCACCACTGGAGTGGGTGGTACCACTCAGAGAACGCTATGACGTAGCTGAAAGTGACTGTGTGTCCATGATCTGTGAAGTCAACAAACCCGGAGTACCTGCCATGTGGCTGAAGGATGGAGAACAAATCACCGTGGCTGACGGATACGAGATCATCATGGACGGCTGCCGCCACATCCTGCGCATTCCTTCCTGTGAGTTGGAGGATGATGCTGAATATACAGTAATGGTGGGAGATCTAGAGTCTGTCACCAACCTTTATGTGGAAGGTAATAAATTTATTTTCATCATATCCTACAAAAATATCACCATATTATATTTCAAATTTTTGTATCTACATTAAAGTAAATCAACAAATCTTTCTGGAGAAATCTGACCTGATTATTCAGTATCAAAAAAAGCTTAGTTCCCAAGAATTTTCTAACTAAGGATACAAACATAAATCAAAAAAAGAAAAGAAAAATCAATGAAACCTAAAAAATGATATAACTTTGTTGTGTAGAAGTGGTGGTTGAGTTCACTCACAAGCTTACTGATGCTACGTTCAATGAGGGTGAGATGTTTGAGCTGAGCTGTGAGATCAGTAAACCGGACGTCCCAGTGACCTGGATGAAGAATCGTCAGCCCCTAACTCCCAGTGACAGGATCCGAATCCTGTGTGAACGTTACAGACATGTACTCCAGATCATGGAGGCTATACCAGAGGATGAGGGCGAATACACTCTGATGTTGCCCAACAACACTGAAACATCGGCCATCATCAAAGTCAAAGGTCTGTCTGTAAAAACATACATTATTTATTGCATATAGTGAATAAGGTCTATGTTGTAAACTTATATATTATATAGAAAAACATGTAAAAGTTATACTCTTGCCCTAATATTATTGAATTGTATTGCCCCATTAATGAAAGAAAGATTACATGTTGAAAACTCACAATGCTTTAGCCACAATGCTGCTGGTAGCATAGAGTTACTTAATCAGTAATAAAAGTTGAGACATTTTCTGTAATATATTCATGACGAGGATTCAGTTATAATGATCATTAGGATCTTCTGGTTTGCAAGGTTTTATTTTCATGTTATATCATTTAATAAATAAACCTAAATAAGAATATGCTGATCAGTTTTACTCTCCAATCTACAGAAAAACCAGCCAAATTCACCAAACCTCTGGAAGAGACAAAGGCCAAGGAGGGTGACAATGTGACCTTGACCTGTGAACTTGACAAACAGGATGTTTTCTGCACATGGCTCAAGGATGGAAAAGAACTTCAACCAAGTGACCATGTCCAAATTTCTGCTGATGGATACACCCAGCAGCTTGTACTGACCGATGTCACAATTAAAGATGCTGCTAAGTACACTTGTGTGTGTGGTGATGTCTCATCTGAGGCAACACTTCAAGTCATAGGTATGTGTTATGTTGTATATATTTTATGTAATCGATGGAATAACAGTAATCAAATGTTGTAAAGATATTATGTTGTAAATTTTATAATACATAGTTGCTATCTTATCAATATCAAAGATCTTTTTGTTGTGATAACCTTGCTATTGCCTAGTAACATAACCTTTTTGTGCATGTAAAAGTCACTATTCTGCTAATGAAGCCTGTATTTCCTTAATGACTGCTTTCCTCATAACCTAATGTATATCCTAACAGAAACCCCAGAGATCCCAGTAACAGATTTACCAGAAACAGAAACCCCAATAACTGTGACCCCTCAAGAGGCCCCTGAAACTGAGGCCAAAGAAGAGGCTTCAATAACAGAGGTCACAATCGCAGAAGCTACTGAAACTGAGGAGCCAAAAATACAGATTCCATTCAAAGTGACTCCTGAAAAGGAGGTTTTAGCAACAGATGAATTACCAGAAACTGAATTTAAAGAAATGAAAATATCAGTATCTCTGCCCTCTGAAACAGAGGTTGCAGCAACAGAGACTGAAGAGCCAGAAATAGAAACCCCAGTCAGAATGACTCCTGAAACAGAAGTTACAGTGAAAGAGGAGGTCCTTGAAATTGAAATACCAAAATTGGAAACCCCAGAATCTGTGCCATCTGGAAAAGAAGTTGCAGCTGAAGAGACAGAAATGCCAGAAATAGAAACCCCAGTAACTGTGACTCCTGAAACAGAAGTTACAGTTAAGGAAGAGGTCATTGAAACTGAAGTGCCAGAATTGGAAACCCCAGAAACTGTTCCTTCTGAAAAAGAAGTTGAAGCTGAAGAGACAGAAGTGCCAGAGGTTGAAACCCCAGTCAAAGTTACTCCTGAAACAGAAGTTACAGTGAAAGAGGAGGTCCTTGAAACTGAAGTACCAGAATTTGAAACCTCAGACACTGTGCCATCTGAAAAAGAAATTGAAGCAGCAGAAACAGAAGTCCCAGAAATAGAAACCTCAGTAACTGTGACTCCTGAAACAGAAGTTTCAGTTAAGGAAGATGTCCTTGAAACTGCAGTGACAGAATTGGAAACCCCAGAAACTGTGCCATCTGAAAAAGAAGCTGAAGCAGCTAAAGAGACAAAAGTGCCAGAAATAGAAACCCCAGTCAAAGTTACTCCTGAAACAGAAGTTACAGTGAAAGAGGAGGTCCTTGAAACTGAAGTGCCAGAATTGGAAACCCCAGAAACTGTGCCATCTGAAACAGAATTTACAGCTGCAGAGACAGAAGTACCAGAGGTTGAAACACCAGTAACTGCTTCTTCTAAAACAGAAGTTTCAGTTAAGGAAGAGGCACTTGAAACTGAAGTTCCAGAATTAGAAACTGTACTCTCTGAAACAGAAGTAGCAGCTGAAGAGACAGAAGTGCCAGAGGTTGAAACTCAAGTAACTGTTACACACAAAACTGAAGTCACTGTAAAAGAGGAGGTCCTTGAAACTGAAGTTTCAGCATTAGAAACTCCAGTAATTGTGCCCTCTGAAGCAGAAGTTGCAGCAACAGAAACAGAAGTGCCAGAAATGGAAACCCCAGTTACTGTGACACCTGAGACAGAAGTAACTGTGAAAGAGGAAGCACTGGAAAAGGAAGTTCCAGATTTAGAAACCCCTGTAACTTTGGCTTCTGAAAAGGAAGTTGAAGCTGAAGAGACAGAAGTGCCAGAGGTTGAAACCCCAGTCAAAGTGACTCCTGAAACAGAAGTTACAGTGAAAGAGGAGGTCCTTGAAACTGAAGTGCCAGAATTGGAAACCCCAGAAACTGTGCCATCTGAAAAAGAAGTTGCAGCAGCAGAAACAGAAGTGCCAGAAATAGAAATCCCAGTAACTGTGACTCCTGAAACAGAAGTTTCAGTTAAGGAAGAGGTCCTTGAAACTGAAGTGACAGAATTGGAAACCCCAAAAACTGTACCAACTGAAAAAGAAGTTGCAGCAGCAGAAACAGAAGTGCCAGAAATGGAAACCCCAGTTACTGTGACTCCTGAAACAGAAGTTACAGTGAAAGAGGAGGTCCTTGAAACTGAAGTGCCAGAATTGGAAACCCCAGAAACTGTACCAACTGAAAAAGAAGTTGCAGCAGCAGAAACAGAAGTGCCAGAAATGGAAACCCCAGTTACTGTGACTCCTGAAACAGAAGCTACAGTGAAAGAGGAGGTCCTTGAAACTGAAGTACCAAAATTGGAAACCCCAGAAACAGTTCCTTCTGAAAAAGAAGTTGAAGCTGCTGAGACTGAAGTGCCAGAGGTGGAAACCCCAGTCAAAGTGACTCCTGAAACAGGAGTTACAGTGAAAGAGGAGGTCCTTGAAACTGAAGTGCCAGAATTGGAAACCCCAGAAACTGTGCCATCTGAAAAAGAAGTTGCTGCAGCAGAAACAGAAGTGCCAGAAATGGAAACCCCAGTTACTGTGACTCCTGAAATAGAAGTTACAGTGAAAGAGGAGGTCCTTGAAACTGAAGTTCCAGAATTGGAAACCCCAGAAACTGTACCAACTGAAACAGAAGTTGCAGCAGCAGAAACAGAAGTGCCAGAAATGGAAACCCCAGTTACTGTGACTCCTGAAACAGAAGTTACAGTGAAAGAGGAGGCCCTTGAAACTGAAGTACCAAAATTGGAAACCCCAGAAACAGTTCCTTCTGAAAAAGAAGTTGAAGCTGCTGAGACTGAAGTGCCAGAGGTTGAAACCCCAGTCAAAGTGACTCCTGAAACAGAAGTTACAGTGAAAGAGGAGGTCCTTGAAACTGAAGTTCCAGAATTGGAAACCCCAGAAACTGTGCCATCTGAAAAAGAAGTTGCAGCAGCAGAAACAGAAGTGCCAGAAATGGAAACCCCAGTTACTGTGACTCCTGAAATAGAAGTTACAGTGAAAGAGGAGGTACTTGAAACTGAAGTGCAAGAATTGGAAACCCCAGAAACTGTACCAACTGAAAAAGTTGCAGCAGCAGAAACAGAAGTACCAGAAATGGAAACCCCTGTCAAAGTTACTCCTGAAACAGAAGTTATAGTGAAGGAGGATGCCCTTGAAACTGAAGTGCCAAAATTGGAAACCCCAGAAACTGTGCCATCTGAAACAGAAGTTTCAGCTGCTGAGACAGAAGTGCCAGAGGTTGAAACCCCAGTCAAAGTGATTTCTGAAACAGAAGTTACAGTGAAGGAGGAGGCCCTTGAAATTGAAGTTCCAGAATTGGAAACCCCAGAAACAGTTCCTTCTGAAAAAGAAGTTGCAGCAGCAGAAACAGAAGTGCCAGAAATGGAAACCCCAGTTACTGTGACTCCTGAAACAGAAGTTACAGTGAAGGAGGAGGCCCTTGAAATTGAAGTTCCAGAATTGGAAACCCCAGAAACAGTTCCTTCTGAAACAGAAGTTGCAGCAGCAGAGACAGAAGTGCCAGAAGTTGAAACCTCTCTCACAGTAACCATTGAACCAGAAGTAACAGGGCAAGAAGAAGCCATAGAAACAGAAGTCCTCTTAAAAGAAACACCTAAAGCTCCATTAACAGAGGACAAAGAGACAGAAGAAATAGAAACCAGAGAAGAAACCCCAGTTTCTGAAATATTAGTATCAGAGGCATTAGATTCTGATATCACTCTCACACAGGTCTCAGAAACACCTGAGACTGAGGGACCTGTAGTGGAGGAAACAGTAGTAGAGGAAACAGAAACAGAGAAAGAAGAGGCTGCAGATTTTGAAATAATACATGAAATAGCCCCTGTCTCGGAGGAATCACAATTGACAGAAACTCAGGAGGGTCCTATAGAAATTCCAGAAACAGAAACTCCAGCAAGGGAGATTACTGAAGAGGAAGTATTGCTGGTGGAAACACCAGGGGTTCCAATAACTGAGGTCCCAGAAACTGAAGTCACAGTTGTTGAGGTTGCAGAAACAGAGGACCAAGAAAAAGAGACACATGTAACAGAAATTCTTGAAGTTCCAGCAACTGAAGAAGGAGAAACAAGTGCCCATGACGTTGTAACCATCGTTACAGAAGCCCCAGAGGCCCAAGTGACTGAAGTCACAGAATCAGAGGTGGCAGATGTAGTTTTGAAGATGACAGAGTCTCCAGAACTGGAAACCCCAGTTACGGAGGCTTTAACAATTGAAACCACAATCCCAGAAGTTGAAACTCATGCAACCTTCACAATGCCCCTCACTGATCTCTCTGCCAAAGAGAATGATAGTGTAACCTTAACCTGTGAACTTTCCAAACCAAATATTCCATGCAAGTGGTTTAAAGAGGGATCTGAAATCCAACCATCTGATCATATAAAAATTTATCAAGATGGCTATTCACAACAGCTTGTACTAACTGATGTGACTGTGGATGACACAGCTAAATATTGTTGTGTATGTGATGATATGTCTACTGAGGCCATGCTACAAGTAGAGGGTATGTGGCTTTCGATATTTACATCAAGTATCTTATGTCAATGTACTTTAACATTTAACGCATATTAGCCAAGATACCGGTATTCTAATATAACTAATTGAAATTTGTAACAAATAATTCATCATGCTCCATCTTTTACATCCATTTTGTTTCAACTCTCTCTCATTTGTTTATTATGAACATTTTAGAAGCACCTTCTACCTTTACCAAACCCCTCTCTGACCTCACTGCCAAAGAAAATGATACTGTTACCTTGACCTGTGAACTCTCCAAACCAAATATCCCATGCAAATGGTTCAAGAATGGCACTGAAATCAAACCTACTGACCATGCACAGATTTCCTATGATGGGTACACTCAACAACTCACATTAACCAATGTCACTGTTGATGACACAGCCAAATATTCTTGTATGTGTGGTGGTGTGTCAACCGAAGCCACACTTCAAGTGGAGGGTATGTCCTGTTTAAACTGTAGCTATATCTTCATTTATTTGACCTATTTGTGAAAAGGTTTTGATGAATCCACCTGATTCATCAGTATATTAAGGAGAGGTATATTAAGCAGACAATTTTTTTCAAAATATTTTTTTCTATTTTATAGAATCCTTGAAATTCATTAGAGAACTGACAGAAAAGCATGTCGTTGAAGAGCAGACGGTGACCTTAGAATGCGAGGTCAACCAATCTGGCCTGACAGCAACATGGCTGAAGGACAAACAGCCTGTTGTCCTGAGGAACTCAGACTCGATCAGAGTTAAAGATGGTGTACACAGTCTCGTGATCAGCTCAGCCGAGATTGATGATGAGGCCGAGTACTCAGTACAGATAGGAGAGATCGCAAGCTCTGCTCCGCTATTTGTAGAAGGTAAACTACAGTTTTAAATTGTTGTAAGCCTCTCTGATCCATCATTCAAGTTAAACAAAAGTTTACTAGTACTGCAATAATTTTGTTTAATTCATATTTATTATTTTTAAAACAGAGGCTCCGATAGAATTCATCAAACCACTGAAGGATGTTCAGGTCATGGAGAAGACCAAGGTCGTCTTGGAGTGTGAGGTCAACAAACCCAATCTGATTGCCACTTGGTTTGTGGATGGAGAGGAAATCAAATCATCAGACCGTGTGGAGTTTGTGGTGTACGACACTGTACACCAGCTCATCATCGAGTCGACCAAACTAACTGACGAGGGAAAATACACTATAGATGTGGAGGGCCAGAAATCCTCTGCTACTCTGCTGGTAGATGGTAAGTTTTCCTTATGGATTATTTTGTTTGTAAGGGAATTTTCTCTGACATTTAACTGTGTGTAAGCAATGGTACTTCTTCAACTTGTCTAATCATTAATGATTTTGATTGAATTAATGATTGAAGTTCTATTGAATTTGTTGTGTCCTGTGATTTTGAGAACAAGTTTCCTGTGCATGTAAAATAAAATTCAAAACATGATGTGAAGTGATGAACCTGTGTTAATCTATAACTTCATCATAATTAACTAGTGCTATTAACTTTTGTGAAATGAAAATTATCACCTCTTTACTTTTTCCGGAAATTTGAATGTCCTCTCATCTACTTGTATAACTTGAAAAATTCTTAAAATGTTGTCATGTTTCCATTTTACCTTACTATCAGAGTCCCCAGTTGAACTGGTTGCACGTTTGCATGACATTTGTGTCCCAGCAAAAAGCACAGCCGTATTTGAGTGTGAAGTATCACTGCCTGGTGTCAAACCTCAGTGGTACAAAGATGAGGAACCAATCACAATCAGCGATGGTTATGACATCAGATCAGATGGGACCCACCACTATTTGTACCTAGAGAAAGTGGGACCTGATGATGTTGGGGACTACTCAGTCCAGTTTGATGATGTGGAGTGCACTGCCACTCTACAAATTGAAGGTAGCTGCAGGGAATATGACAAAAAGTAGTCTTCACGTAGATGATATTCAACATGTTCAGGGATACTCTTGTGTTTTGTGTTTTGTATTATTTTAACATTTTGATTAAGTTAACCATTGCATGATTTTAGCATGTTTCTACAATTCCTTTGATCAATAAGTACATGTATCATTTATAAGGAATACATATATACATTCTTTACTTCATATTTTATTTGCCTGATTTTGATTTGATAACCATACTTTGATATAATCATGAAATAGTTATCATGCATATTGAGTATATGAATTATATATGTTTTTATAGAACCTCCTTTGAAAATCACTAAACCACTAGAGAAGAAAGAAGTTCCTGAGAAAGAACCACTGACCTTGACCTGTGAGGTCTCCAAACCAGGGGTCATGGGTAAATGGTTCAAGGACAACAAAGAAGTCATTCCCTCAGAACACATCAAGATCATTGATGATGAAAATGTTCACAAACTTGAAATTGCAGATGCAACCTTAGCAGACAGTGGTAGCTACAAATGTAAACTGGAGGACAAAGAAACCACCTGCAGAGTTACTGTTAAAGGTCAGGGTCATCATATAACAAAGCATTCTGCTGTATTAATATCTATAGATGATTGACTTCTTATTTTAAAAATACGGAGAGACAAGTCATTAAAATGTGGTTTATAAACTTTCAGAAAAACCATTGGAATTCACTAAACCCCTGAAGGACATTGAAATTGCAGAAGGTCAGGACATTGAACTCGAGTGTGTAGTGTCCAAAGAAGGCCTCAAGGCAACATGGCTGAAGAATAACAAACCGCTGCCAGTGGACAACAGAATTAAGGTCACTGCAGACAAGGACACACACAAACTGACCATCAAATCAGCACTGGTAGAAGACAAGGCTGAATACACCATTAAGGTTGCAGACAAAACATCAACAGCTAAAGTCTTTGTAGAAGGTATGTAAACAGAGAAGTATAAATCACACTTGATTTTATAGTTTTTTCTTAGAATATATATACTTTCTTGTGTATGTTTACCTGCCTATAATATTTTAAATCTATACTAATTATGTTATGTAAATTTGTAAGTGATTTTAATATTCTTTGCATTTCAGAAGAAGTAGTTGAGTTTGTTCGTAAATTGGCTGATGTTGAGGTCAAAGAAATTCCCTCTACTGTTACCTTCGAATGTGAGCTCTCCAAACCAGACATTGTAGCCAAGTGGTTCAGGGACGGAAAACCACTGGGAGAGAGTGACAAGTACCAGATGATAGTGGATGGAACCATTCACAGACTCATTGTCACTGATGTTGATGGAGAGGATGAAGGTGACTACAGTATTGTGGCCCGAGGGAAGAAGTCCGAGGGAGAACTCATTGTAGAAGGTAATCAACAAAAACAAATAATAATAAAGATATGAAAAAATCATTTTTCTGATTTTTAGGATGTGCTGTTTTGATGTGTAAGTAGCATGTTAAATGTAGTTTACATTTTGCAGTACCTCCACAACTTTTCTTGGACAAAAAATTCGAGGAGGAGGTTGTTCTGAAGGCTGGCCAATCTACTGCTTTCGAGATTCCATTCAAGGGTAACCCTCAGCCCAAGGTGACCTGGACCTACAACAATGAGCCTGTGCCACAGGACAAGAGAATTGAGAGTGAGACCATCTACAACATGACTACACTGAGACTCGCCAAGGTCAAAAGACCAGACACCGGGAATTACACCCTGACTCTGGAGAACAGTGCTGGAAAAGTCTCCATCACCATTAAACTGACTGTACTGGGTAAGTTAATCTACCTTAATAGAAGAGTTAGCAGGTCTTTATTTAAAAAAAATTCCCTAACACATAAACAAAGAGAAGTTTTGGAAATAAAACAACAATTTTATTTGTTTTAATTCTAATTAATGTTATTGTTTAGGAAAATCTTGTGTACATATGAATTTTCTAGCCTTTCAATTTCTAATCTTTTGTATCTCCAGACAAACCCAGTGCACCACAAGAGCTGACAGCCTCAGAAGTGACAGCAGAATCTATCACTCTGACCTGGCAGTCCCCAGCTGACAATGGAGGCAGTGACATCCAGGAGTATATTGTAGAAAAGAAAGAGTTCAACCGCCGAACATGGCAACAAGTAGGCACCACTAAAGACCTGACATTCACCATTCTCAAACTCTTAGAGGGCAATCAGTACTTCTTCAAGGTTGCTGCTAAAAATGACATCGGCATTGGAGAAGCTGCTGAACTGAAAGAGGCCATCACAGCCAAGAATCCATTTGGTAGGAGTTAGTCAGAAAAGAATTCAAAATAATTTGGTAATTGCTCTGAATAAACTTCATAGCAGAATATAATCATTACATTTTATACTGTCTCTTTACAGTTGTGCCAGATGCCCCTGATGCTCCAGTTGTTACAGACGTCACTGCTGAATCAGCAACTGTCACCTGGCAACCACCAGCCAATGACGGAGGATCTCCTGTGGTCGGGTACCGCCTGGAGAGGATGTCAGGTTACAGTGGACGATGGGTGGCTGTCGCTAGGGAGCTCATCCCAGAGACCACCCTCACTCTCACTGACCTCGTGGAGAACAACACTTACGAATTTAGAGTTATTGCTGAAAATAAGGCTGGTCCAAGCAAGCCAAGCAAGCCATCAGAAACTATCAAAGCACTTAACCCATGGAGTAAGTTTGAGAATTTGGTCTTAGTCATTTAACCTTTATTAACAGCCGTTATCAACATGTGTTTTTATTTGTTTAAACTGAATGTTATTTGAATTTATATTTGAATTATGTCAAAATTTCAGCCAAACCAAGTGCACCAGGGACTCCAGAAATTATCAAAACAGACCAAACCTCAGTTGACCTCAAATGGACTCCTCCCACAGAAGATGGAGGGGCACCCATCACTAACTATGTCATGGAGTACCGCCTCGCTGGTGGTGTACACTGGAAGAAAGCCAACACCCAGGCTGTCACAGAGACCACATTTAGTGTGGCCGATCTGAAGGAAGGATCTGAGTATGAATTCAGAGTGTCTGCTGAAAACAAAGCAGGTGTTGGTCCAGCTTCTGAACCTACCAAATCTGTCAAAGTGGAGAAACCATTAGGTATGCATCAGTTAAAATGATTCAGAACTTCTTAAAGTATTCAGATTATCAGACGGTTTAAATATAGCAAAATGATTGCATTTTATCATTTCTAATATTGAACTGTTTAGTGGGAACAGCACCTAAGATTTTGGAGAACTTGAAGGACAGCACCATCGTATCACCAGAAGAGGTCACCTTGAAGTGTGAACTGGAACGTGGAGAACCACTGGCTGAAGTCAAATGGTTCAAGGGACCCAAGGAAATCAAGAAAACACCAAAATATACCATCAAAATAGAGGACAAGGTTGCTGCCCTTGTCGTTCATGAAACAGAGCCTCAAGATGCTGGTGTGTACCAGTGTCTGGCAATCAACCCACTGGGAGAGGTCAAGACAGAGGCAACACTGGCAGTCCACAGTAAGGGCACCTTCTGCATACTAATTAATTTATTTGTTGTCACAAAAAATTCTGATGAGTTCCAAGATAAAAGTTCTGATTCAAGTTAAAGATGCAGAGATGATAATTTCTTTCTATTTAAGATATAATGAACATTCTTTTCATATTATTGCAGCACAACCCAAACTGGAATATGAGAACAAACTGAAGGCTAAACAGTTGATCAAGGTTGGACAATCTATTTCCTTACAAGTGAACATCAGTGGTATACCCAACCCAACTGTCCAATGGACACTGAATGAAGCTGTCATTGAGAAGTCTCCCAAGATAAGCATCGACACAACAGATGACTTCAGTATCCTGACCATAAAGAATGCTACTCTGGATGACACAGGCATTTACTCCATCACCGCCGAAAATGTGGTGGGCAGAGCTCAGGCAGAATTTGATGTAGCCATCAAAGGTAACAAACTCAAAATACCATAAATATTTTCAGGTACAAGGCATAAAAATGCAATAACCCTCCATTAGAATTTAGAAAATTGTTTAACAGATTCTGTTGATCATAAGATTCACAAACGTGATTTGTATTTCAGACAAACCTGGAAAACCCAACAATCTCCAGGCACCCAAGATCATGAAGGACTCTGTTGTATTGTCGTGGCAACCCCCTACAAACACAGGTGGCTCTGACATCACTGGGTATGTCATTGAGAAGCGTGATGCCAAACGTAACACCTGGGCTCCCGTGGAAACTGTAGACAGTGAAACCACAACCTACGCTGTAAAGAAACTGATTGAGGGCAATGAATACTACTTCAGGGTGTCTGCTAAGAATGACATGGGCACTGGAGAGGCAGCTGAGATAGACAGAGGAACAGTTGCCAAGAGTCCATTCGGTAAGGGATATAAACATGAGTTTCAACATGTAATGTAAGTTCTGAAATTTACGTGAATCAATGGCTACTTTCAGAAACTATTTTCAGTTTCATGTTATGTAGATGCTAATTTCATTGTGCTATTTTCAGATGTACCTGGACCTCCAAAGAATCTACAAGTCACAGAGGTGACTAAGTCCAGCATCACTCTGACCTGGGAGGTGCCAGAACAGGACGGTGGTTCACCAGTCACTGGATACATAGTGGAGCGCCGCCAGACCACCTCCACCAGGTGGACCAAGGCCCATAAACAACCCCTGACTGAGACGGTCTTCACAGCCTCAGATCTGATAGAGCTGGCAGAGTACGACTTCAGAGTGTCTGCTGAGAATGCTGCAGGAACTGGTAAACCTTGTGAACCAGTGGGACCAATTCTTACCAAGAGCCCATATGGTAAATAACTCTAATAAATGAACAAAATACTCAATGAAATGTATCCAAGGACTATCATCAAATATTGTAATGACATGCTTTTAGCTTTTCCATATCATAAATATATCTTTTATATGTAATTATCCCATTTTTGTAGATGTGCCAGATGCCCCTGGTAAACCCGAGATAACTGAAGTCACTAAAGATACCGCCACACTGACTTGGACACCACCAGTCAAAGATGGCGGAAGTCCTGTGTTTAACTACGTCATAGAATACAAACCCACCAGAGCCTCTAAATGGATCTCAGCCTCTTACAACATTACAGTGGCTAACACCAACTTCACTGTGAAGGATCTTACAGAGGGAATGGAGTATGAATTCAGGATCCTAGCAGAGAACAAGGCAGGACTAAGTAAACCTTCCTCTCCCACTAGTGCAGTCATCAAAGAGCCAGTCAGTAAGTAGGAAGTTCTCCTCCATACTTCTATGTATTTGTCAAAAGAAGCTGTGTCCACTGAAGCTGTATTTTAAAAATGCTGGATGACCCTGCTTATGTCTTCATTACACATTGTTATAATGAATGTTTCCCGTGTTTAGGTGGCGAGGCCCCATCTGTGTTGGAGGGACTGCCTGATGTCAGCGTACTGCTGGGAGAAGATGCCACCCTGGAATGTCAGATCAGTGGCAAACCTGAACCCTCTGTTACCTGGTAAGTAAACCCACTCAGTATAAAAATCTGTGAAACCAGGTCAAGTAGTGGTTAGCTGAAAATTTGAATGAATTACATTTACAATGCATATTTTTCATCAATAGTTGTTGATTATGTTGAGTTTAGTATAGCCATTAATCAGTAAGTACTTCATTCAAAACAGGAGCAAAGAAAGCCGTACACTTGAAGCAAGTAAGAAGTATGAGATGAGCCAAGATGAAGTCTCAGTCTCACTAACCATCCGAGACGTCTCCGAGAAGGATTCAGGCAGCTACACACTGGAGGCTTCTAATGATTTAGGTTCTGTTTCTACCTCAGGGCAACTGGATGTACAAGGTAGATAAATGAAATCAAATACTTACTGTGTAGTTTTAAGATAAATAATTACTAGTAAGCTATGCATTTCAAGTCTTACTGAATTTCATTAGGTGTTATGATGATATTCGCAATTTTTCAGCCAAACCTGAACTTGAATTTGACAACAAATTCCGAGATGTGATAACACTGAACAGTGGAACGTCACTGAGGATTCCAGTCACCTACAAGGGTCTCCCCAAACCCACCATTGTCTGGGGCAAAGACGAGAAAACACTGAAATCAGGAGGCAGTGTTACCATAGATACTAAAGACACCATAACAACACTACAGGTCAAAAAGGTCACACGAGCAGACGATGGCCTCTACTTCGTCACAGCTGAAAATGAAGCTGGAAAGTGCAAAGCATCATTTGATGTTGAAGTGATCGGTAAGGATTGTTTTTAATTCTGGTTTGAGTGCAAAATACTTTTCAACATTTTTTTTGTTGAGATTAAAATCAATTGTGTGTGTACTGTTATATTTACATTGACTCTTTATAACAGATGTGCCTGACCAACCAGAAGGCCCAATAAAAATCAATGACATAAATCGTGACCGCATCACCCTTTCTTGGGCCCCACCCAAAGATGATGGTGGAAGCAAAATCAAATCCTACATTGTGGAGAGGAGAGAACAGGGCAGATCTATGTGGAGCAAGGTGGACACAGTGGATGCATCTAAAACATCCACAGTGGCTAGTGGACTAACTCAAGGAAAAGAATATTTCTTCCGCATCTTCGCTGAAAATGACATTGGAATTTCCAAACCTCTCGAATCAAAACAAGCCGTGATACCAAAGAGTCCATTTGGTATGTGTGATACAGTGTTCTCCCCTACCAGTGAAGACACTTTCTTCCTGAAGTTCTAATTAACATGTTTTGTTATTAATTATTTGTTGTTTTTGAAATTAACACTTTTTTTCATTGAAAGCAATAATAGCATGTAAAGAATGGCAGCCTGTCTGAATTTAGAAAGTTAATTTGTTAAACTTTAGAGCAGTGAAAAAACACTGAAAATGCATGAGTTGTGATAGAAAATGCCTGTTGAATGATAGATAGGTATATGTATGTTTATTTGAAGAGTGAAGTAACATTTTCTTTTAGAAAGTGCAATTAAAACATATGTCATGTCCAGCACTATACATGTTTTTGTCATCCTTGCACATTGAACAACAATAAATGAGTTGTTTTTTTATGACAAGCAATTCTGCATTCAATTTGACAAGTTATCCAAAAAATTTACAACAAACTTTTGCATTCTAAAATAACATTTTTGATTATCCACCCGAGATTACAGGCAAGAATTTGTGATAGTTTTGTTTTAATTTCCATCAGATGCAGAATAGAGATTAGCCAAACAAATCTGCATTTTTTTTAAACATCAGAATATTATAGTTTTTTTTATACATTTAAATTCTATATTTTTCAGGGAAGAGGGTTGGGATTTAATGTGACTAAATGGCATAAACACTACAATTTGGCATATAACTTTTATTTTTATTTGATTCTATATGTATATTTAATTGTTATGATTTTCAGAGTTTAACTTTTTTGTTGAGAAATCAGAGAGAGATAATCATCCTATTTAAATATTTGCATATATAGGTTGTATGTTTTGTACACTCATATGAACTATACATTATTATATATATTTACAAGGATTTTTTTTACTGCATATCAATGTAAATAGGATTTGTTTTACATATATATCAGGAGCTTAAATTCATGGCAGCTTTGAAAGAGAGCTTTTGATGGGAGCTGTACTTAAAGTGAAAATTTCATTTATTTTTGTCATAACTATATCTTTTCTTGAAGAGATTAGCATAGCAATCAATTTTAAAATAGATGTAGTGCATTTATAGCAAATTTATTTTTCTATTGATTTACTTTTATAAATGTTATATCATGTTATTTTAGGATGTATTTTCATCATTCCATTTTGAGCTTGTATGTGTTATTGTGTGTTTTGACTATCTGCACCTTGATGAACTAATACATGTATGATCAAATTAACATATTATTTAGTATTACAACAAATAAAAGCAATATATTTTACTGTGAGTGCATGTTTTGTTTATTTTCTTAAGAATTTTCATGCATAAGGTCCTTAATATTACAAAAATTTTGAAAGAATCCAATACAGAGTATACAGAGAAAAATATACAAATTGTTTTACCCTGCCAAGTTGTTGTGCCATTAATAATTTCACAGGTTTAAACCTCAAATCCATGAGAATGTCTCACACTAGAGGTAGATATAGAATAAAAAGTGTATGAGCATGGGCAGAGCATTTGTAGGAACACATTCTAGTGTCAATAGAATTTAAAACAGGTTTTATGTGACAGAGAAGTGTATTTATCCAGACTGTTTCTTCACATTGTTGTGAAAGTATCTAATTGCTTAGTGAAAGTATCCAGATTGGTCATTATAGAGATCTTCCTGTAATAATTTTTTTTAAATCTTTGCTTCCTCAGCATCTAGTATAAAAATAATTTTCTACAGAGAGTCAAAAGTAATAATTTGGGAGGGGGAGGGGGGTATTGGTTATGGACATTTATCAACCTTATTTTCATCTTAAATTGGCTGTCAAAAATATGCAGGAATATTGCCCATATCATTGAAAGAATATAAAATATACTGAGCAATTCAACTAAAATTCCAAGAAGTTGATGACAATATGAAAAAGATTATGTATTGTAAAAGACAAAAAAAGTCACAAAACAACAGTAAACATATATTTTAAAAATGCTGCAGAAGGAAGAGATAATCCTAAGCTTATGCCCACTCCCAGATGTAAATTTTACTTCTCTGTTAGAGTGACCTAACAAAAATTTGCATAATACCCAGTATTTCAGTATGTTCAGAAGATGGACTTTAATGACAGACATCTTACTTTCAAGTAGAAATTTGGAAATATACAGCTAAGTAAAAATACCAGTATGCATGACTTAGCATGAACTGAGGAATCTTTCTGCATGACCTATAAAATGGTAAGACACGACCTCTGTCACATCAGACATCATCTTGTTTCTGACTGAATTCATTTTTTCTTCTTTTTTGGATTTGTAACATGTCTTTTACATATTGAAAATTTTATTAATATGGATTATTTCAAAAAGACAATGTATATTCCATTCAAAAGTTAAATATAAACTTTACAAACAAACAAAAAAAATCACAAGAATAGGCAAGTAGTAAGACATTTTATTTTTCTTGTCCATAAAGAAAAACCAGCCAGTCCAAGTGGTCCCTTGGCAGTCAAGGATATCACAGCTGACTCTGTGACCTTGACCTGGCAACCCCCGACCTCAGATGGAGGCTCTGCTATCACAGGATACCTTGTGGAAAAATATGACAACCGTAGAATGTCATGGGTCAAGGTCGCTGATATTGATGAAAAGTCCACATTCTACGTAGTACCAAAACTGATAGAAGGACAGAAATATCAGTTCAGGGTGTCAGCTGTCAATGCTGAAGGTCAAGGACAGCCCCTGGCAACAGAGGGAGATGTTGTACCAAGAAAACCACCATGTATGTAATTGCAGATCAAATTAAAATATTAAGTCTTATCAGTTACAAATTATGAAAATTCTAAATTGAGCTCATTTTAACTTGTCAGTCTAATGGAAAGACAAAATTGTTCAAGAAATAACAGAATTATAAAATCATACAAGTTATGTAAAAAAAAGTTATATACTTTATCAGCTGCACCAGAAAAACCATCTGGACCAATCAAATTCTCTCAAATTTTGGGTGATTCTGTGACCTTGAACTGGTCCCCACCCAAGAAAGATGGAGGATCGACTGTCCAGTCTTATAACCTGGAACTGTCTGAGGACAATGGAAAGACCTGGAAACAGGTGGAAAACATTGGTACCACAGAATACACAGTCACTGATCTGAAACCTGGTGACAAGTACAAATTCAGAGTGGCTGCTGTCAATGAACTCGGTAGGGGAGAACCTCTGGTGTCTGATGCTGTGGTCCCTCAGAGACCCACAGGTAATGTGATTCACTTCAGTATGACCAATTCTATAAGTCTTTATGTGTTTTGTAAACTTCACTTCCATCTGATACTGGCAGTTACATGAGAAATATATATGCATCAGAAGGATATTCATGTATTTCTTTATTCTACACATTTATGGTATTTAATGGGGAAAATTAAAGGCCTTTATTGTTTTCTGTGTAGAAGCCCCATCACAACCCTCACAACTGAAACCCAAGAACATCAGGAAGGATTCCATGACCTTGACCTGGCAGCCTCCTAAAGATGACGGAGGAAGCCCCATCACAGGATACGTCATAGAGAAAAGGGAAAACAAGAAAGGAAAGTGGACTCCAGTCGAAAAGGTGGGCAAAAACGTCACAGAACTGGATGTGAAGAGACTACAGGAAGGAACAGAATATTACTTCAGAGTCAAGGCAGAGAACAAGAAGGGAGTCAGTGAAGCCCTACAGACAGAGACATCTGTTGTTCCAAAGAGTCCATTTGGTAAGATGCAGTAAAAGGGAATTTGATATTTAAAAATTACTGCCATTTGTTAAGCTTATTTAACATGGTGTATAAAGTTAAGTTAAAACAAAACATGCATTTAGATAATGAGTTGATGTCTACAGTCAGTGAAAATTTTTTCAAACATTATCTTTTTTCATAGACAAGCCAGCTGCCCCTGAAGGCCCCATCACTGTATCCAATGTAAATGCCACTTCTGCTGATCTTGAATGGAAACCTCCAACCTCAGATGGAGGCTCACCTATTACCGGCTACATCGTAGAATCCAGACCCAGCACCAGAGCCAGCTGGAGTAAGATGGCTAATGTTGATGCAGGGACCACCAGATATACTCCCAAAGATCTCCGTGAGGGAACAGAGTACCTCTTCCGAGTGTCAGCCATTAATGAAGAGGGTCAAGGATCTCCACTGGAGACAAAGGAAACTGTCAAACCAGAGAAAAAGATTGGTAAGTAAAAATTCATTGTGAAAGTTGAATACTTAAGGGAAACATTTCAAGAAGACACTATGGAAGAAATTGAAAATTTTTATTGCATTCTACATCCTTTCCAGATGCCCCATCCTCACCAAGAGATTTCAAGGTAGCAAAACTTGGTCCTGACTTTGTGACACTGGATTGGAAAACACCATCTTCTGATGGTGGATCTAAGGTTACAGGGTATGTTGTGAAGCAGAAGAGAGGATCTGATGGCATCTGGGAAGACATAGCTACCCTGAAGGCCTTTGACACTTCCTACAAAGTCCCCAAACTGAAGGAAGATAAGGAGTATTTCTTCTCCATCACAGCTCTAAACAAGAAGGGACCAGGAGAAACATGTGAACTGGATACATCTGTTGTTCCCAAGAAACCTCCAGGTAAAGAGAGAGAGAGAGAGAGAGAGAGAGAGAGAGAGAGAGAGAGAGAGAGAGAGAGAGAGAGAGAAAGGAAAGGAAGAGAAGAATACAAGTGATATTTAAAACTCTATGTATCATTTAAACAGGCTATATAGTTTATATTGTCTAGCATTATTTTATTAACACAATGAGAAACTGCATAAAAATATACAGCTCTGCTACATTTAAAGAAAACAGAAATTGAAAACATTTATATCCACCAGGTCCTCCATCAAAACCGATTGGACCAATAGAAATCAGTGACATTAACAAGACATCTGCCAAACTGTCCTGGAAACCCCCATCTTATGATGGAGGCTCCCCGCTGACTGGATACCTGGTAGAGAAGCGTGAAGGTCGTAAACCCTGGGCCAGAGTGGACAAGATCTCCCCTGACCTGACCACCTTCCAGGTGACTGGACTGACCGAGGGCGCTGACCACTCCTTCAGGATCACACCCATTAACAAGCACGGAAATGGAGAGGCTCTGGAAACAGAAGCCACCATCAAACCCAAGAGTCTCTTTGGTAAATGATTTTGTAGATTAACTTATATGTGTTGTATAGTCCAGAATTTGTTGTGAATGGGCAAATCTGTGCTATAAATGAACTTTAATTGATATTTTAGACAAACCAGAGAGACCAGCTGGACCAATTACCTTCTCAGACATTACCAAGGACTCTGTAACCTTGAACTGGAAACCACCAGCCAAGGATGGTGGCACCCCAGTGACCAATTACGTCGTGGAATACAGGGATGCCAAGAGAACCACGTGGTCCAAGGCAGGAGATGTGTCAGCAGACAAAACATTCTTCGTAGCTGACCGACTTCTCACTGGAAATGATTACTACTTCAGGGTCACTGCTGTCAATGAAGAAGGTCAAGGACAACCTCTGGAATCCTTGCAGACAGTCCGACCTGAACAAGCTATCAGTGAGTATTCTCTCTTTTGTCTGTTTATTAATATTAAAGTCATCTTAAGTGTAAATTGTTACTATTTCTTAACTTTGGTATCATTTTAGCACCACCGAAGGCACCAAGCAGTTTAACTGTAAAGAAGGTTGACACTAACAGCGCAACTCTAGACTGGAAGCCTCCTCAAGATGATGGAGGTTCAAAGGTCACAGGATACAAGGTCAGAGTGAGAGAAGAAGGCTCAGACAAATGGAAGGATCTGGCAACTCTCTCTCCATATGACACGGAATACACAGCCAAAAACCTCAAGACTGGAAAGGAATATCACTTTGCTGTTGTTGCTGAGAACAAAGCAGGCCTTGGTGATGCTGTTGAGGCAGATTCATCTGTCATCCCAAGGAAGAAGCCAGGTAATGAGATATTGAAACTTATCAAAGCTTGAAAGCATCTTTCAATAAATACTTAAAATTGTTTATTAGCAAAAGTATTCTCTCTGTTTCAAAGGATTCATTTGTAATCTGATGTTGTTGTTGTTTTTTTTCTCAGAAAAACCATCACCACCAGTTGGTCCCATCAAGTTCTCAGACATTCAGAAGACATCAGTGGTTTTAACATGGCAGCCAAGTAAGAATGATGGTGGATCACCACTGACTGCCTACCACGTGGAAATGAGGGATTCTAAATATGGATCCTGGTCTCCAGTCACCAAAGTAACCCCTGACATAACCAGTTACTGTGTACAGAAGCTCAAGACTGAAAAGGAATACTACTTTAGAGTCATTGCAGAGAACAAGGTTGGAAAATCAGAGCCTCTTACCTCAGATGGAGTCATTCCAAAGAGTCCATACAGTATGTATTGAGCAGATTTTTTTTATTCATTTTATTCCTTGCTATTATTTAGATGCTGTGTTGCACTAATAATCTAAATCTAACTCTTAACTTTTTTCAGCTGCACCATCTGCCCCTCAGGGTCCAATGCAGTTCTCTGATTTAACGGACAAATCTGTGACAATTAGTTGGAAACCACCTAAATCTGATGGAGGCCTGGCTCTAACAGAATACATCCTAGAGAGAAGAGACACCAAACGCACCACCTGGGCCCCAGTAGACAAGGTCAAACCAGACGTTACAAGCTACACTGTGCAGAACTTAGTGGTCGACAACGATTACTACTTCAGAGTGATGGCTGTGAATGACGAAGGAACTAGCCCACCCTTGGAGGGAGAACCAGTAAGACCACTGAAGGGTGCAGAAGTACCAAGTGAGCCTCGAGGTCCTCTTAATGTTAATGATGTGAAAGGCACCTCAGCAGCCTTGTCATGGAAACTCTCAGATAAAGATGGAGGATCTCCCATTACAGAGTACCTCATTGAAGCTTCCACTGACAATGACAACTGGACAAAGCTTGGAACAGTTGACAAACTGTCCAACAAATACAAGGCACAAGATCTGGAAGATGGCAAGGACTACAGATTCAGAGTTTCTGCTGTCAACAAAGTGGGACCAAGTCAACCACTTGTCTCCAAACCAGTATCTATTCAGAAACCAGCAGGTATGTTTGTTACTTAGATACTTTTGGATATCAAAAGTTTAAAAATCTTTTTAAATATTTTTTTTGGTGACTTGTTTATAAAAAAATGTTTTTCTTTGCAGAAGCTCCAAGTAAACCAATCGGACCAATAACAGCCTCAGACATTAACAAGGACTCTGTCACTTTGTCCTGGCAACCACCAGAGAGTGATGGAGGATCACCACTAACTGAATATGTCATTGAAAAACGTGACGCCAAGAGAGCCATGTGGGCACCAGTTGCCAAGGTTCCAGCACGCAAGACATCTTGTGTGGCAGAAAAGCTACAGGAGGGATCTGACTATCTGTTCAGAGTGACAGCTGTGAACAAGAAAGGTCCCAGCAAGCCACTGGAATTGACCACACCAGTCACAATCAAAAGTCCTCATGGTTAGTGTAAATTGTCATTAATTATGAATAAATGATGAAGTATATAATAGATATTATACACTTATTGAAGGTTTTGAAAAATAAATTTATGAGATGCCACAGACCCTGGACTTTGTATTACCTTTCATAATGGAGGTCCCTGAAACAATTGGTTCTGTTTTCAGACAAACCTTCAACACCAGTTGGCCCTCTTGATTTGACTGATATCACTGAAAAGAGTGCTAGCTTGTCCTGGAAACCCTCTGAGAGTGACGGTGGCCTGCCCTTGACAGGGTACCTCCTAGAGGTCAGGGACAATCGCCGCACTGCCTGGAAAAAAGTTGCTGACCTGAAACCAACACAGACATCATACACAGTTCCCGACCTTGACATTGGCAATGAGTACTTCTTCAGAGTCTCAGCCATTAACAAAGAGGGGGCAAGTTCTCCTCTACAGACACAGGAAGCCACAAAGATCACCAAGGCCATCTGTAAGAATTACTTCTTATCTACACTGACTGAAATAAATATACAAGATTTTGAATATTCTCAAATTTGTGCATTTACATAATATTTCAGCACCTCCTGGACCACCTGTCTCAATCAAGGTACCTAAAGTTGGTGAGGACTTTGTGGAACTTGACTGGAAGGCCCCATCAAGAGATGGTGGCTCTAAGGTGAAGGCATACCACATCTACCAATCCACCACCCCAGGGGACTGGCAGGAGGTGGCTACCGTCCAGAGCTTTGACACACATTACTCTGTCTCTAATCTCAAAGAAGGAGTGGCTTACAACTTTGCCATTGCAGCTGAAAATGAAGCTGGTATTGGAAAGCTGTGTGAAACTGACAAAGCTGTTAAACCAGTTAAACCTAAAGGTCAGCTGAAATATAATTTATTTCAATCATATGTTATATGCTCTGTTAGGGAATCCCTATTTAAGAATTTTTCATAATAATTGTGTTTGGTTTTATATTAGGAAAACCATCAATGCCAGAAAAGCCACTTGAAGCCAAGGACATTCAGAAGACAGAGCTGAACTTGACCTGGAAACCCAGTAAATCAGATGGAGGCTCTCCCATCACAGGCTACCTTGTAGAGAAGAGAGAGAGCTGGAAATCCTCCTGGACAGAAGTGGAGAAAACTCTACCCAATGTCTGTGAACTGAGGATCAAACGTCTGAAGGAGGGACAGGAGTACTTCTTCAGGGTGTGTGCCGAGAACAAAGTAGGACAGTCAGACTTCCTGGAGTTAGCCACTGCAGTCACTCCAAAGAGTCCATTCTGTAAGTAGTCTCTATATTTACTGTATATTGTTCAAGTTTTGCTTTATTGTCAGTGATCTCTTAATCAGAATGTTAAAAAAGTTGATTAATCTAACAAAAGCTTTTTGTGAAGATTTCTGGCTTATTTTTGTGCAACAATATGCTTACTGATCTCCTTTTGCTTCTCTCTTACTTATAAATAAGAAGATACATATAGCTTTTCTTTGAGCAAACTCATATAAATGTAGCTTTGCTTTGTGTAGCGTAACCTTGTCAGTTTTTCTGATGGCTTATGTCTGTTTCTGCTAACACTAATCAGCTGTGCCGTCATCTCCTGAGGGTCCAATTCAAGTCAGCGAGATAACTCAAACATCTGTCACCATCTCCTGGAAGGCGTCTCGAGACAACGGTGGTCTGCCAATTACATCTTATGTGATTGAGCGTCGAGACCTCCGATTCTCTTCCTGGCTCCGAGTTGACACCGTCAAACCTAGCATTACCAGCTACTGCATTCAGAATCTTCTGGAGGGAAATGAATATGTGTTTAGGGTTTACGCTGAGAATGATGAAGGCTCGAGCGAGCCATTGGTTTTATCTGAAGCCGTTATACCACACAGAGAGCCAGGTGCTAACTGCTTTTGCTTTGTCTATTGCTATTACTTATATCTAATACTTTCATAAACATATCAGCTTCAGGAAACAGTTTTCACATTTTAGCAATATTACTCACAAATTGCTTAATATACTAAAACAATGCAAATGTTGAAACTGATAATTCTACTTGATATATTCAACTAATATTTTGTTTGTATTTGTATTATTGTATTCTTTCTCTTTTCTAACACAGTTCTAGTCATATACAAAGAATACTGACACTGACTTACATTCAATATTACTAACTGATTGATCTGTTTAATAATCAGCTGCTCCAGAGAAACCAGTAGGTCCTCTGTCTGTGTCAGACCTTGGCTCTGACTCAGTTACACTGGCCTGGCAACCACCAAAAGACGATGGAGGAAATCCAATAACCGGATACAAAATCCAGGTCTCTGAAAACAATTCTGATTGGTCGGACCTCGACACAGTGGATAAATTCAGCAAGAAGTACACTGCTAAGAAACTAAAGGAGGGTAAGGACTACAAGTTTAGAGTGGCTGCCATCAACAAAGTGGGAACTGGACAACCTTTGGAATCAGATGTCATCACACCAAGGAAAGCTAAAGGTCAGATATTTAACCAATGAAAGAACTAACGATATACATCTATGAACGTGTAATAAAAAAGAAAAGACAGATAATATTCAAAGATATAAAAAGTGTCAATGATAAAGAGAAATAGATCTATATTCAATTGATTTTGTAGGCAAACCATCTAAGCCAACTGGACCAATTACAGTAACTGATGTACAGAAAACATCAGCCACCATTGAGTGGAAACCTCCACAGAGTGATGGTGGACTGCCACTCAAGGGATATGTGGTAGAAGTAAGAGATAAGAGGAAGACTACATGGAAGAAGGTGGACTATTTATCACCAGACATTACCTCACTGTGTATCCAGAATCTGAATGAAAATGCTGAATACTTCTTCAGAGTGTTTGCTGAGAACAGCTCTGGTTTTAGTGAACCTCTGGAAATGGACAAAGCAGTACTAATCAAGAGTCCATTTGGTATGTTATCACAATATCCCTAGTACCTTAAAGGATATCTGTGAATTAATTTGAATTCTTAATGCTAATATTTATTTGTATGAACAACAGATAAACCAAGTGCACCTGAGGGACCCCTCACCATCGCAAATGTAACCTTGAACTCTACTGATCTGTCATGGAAACCCCCCAAATCTGATGGAGGATCCAAACTCACTGGCTACCTCATAGAAATGAAGGATGTAAGGAAATCCTTCTGGAGTAAGTGTGGACAAGTGAAAGCAAATGAGACAAACTTTACAGTGGACAAGCTGCTTGAGAACAATGAGTATGTGTTCAGGGTTTCTGCCATTAATGAGGAAGGACAGAGCACCCCGCTTACTTCTGACAAGTCTGCCAAGCCATCAAAGGAAATCAGTAAGTGTCAATTAAACAAACAGTGCATCAAATGATATTTAATTCTCCTATCTTAATTCCTCCATTTTGAGATTTTCTTTAATTCACTCCCCTTCTTCAGGTGCTCCATCCAAACCTGAAAAGGTCAAAGTCAAACAAACTGAGAAGGACTCAGTGACCTTGGAATGGTCCAAACCCTCATCAGATGGTGGATCTAGAATCCGCCGTTACATCATCTACAAGAGGATTGAAATGACAGAAAAATGGGTCAAGGTGACCACAGTAGAACAGTTCCTGACACAGACGATCATAGACAAACTGGAGTATGAGAAGAACTACTTCTTTGCTGTGTCTGCTGAGAATGATATTGGAGAGGGTGACAAGGGAGAAACTACCCAACCCACAAAACTGGACAAACCTAGTGGTAATTGATCAAGCATGATTTATTTTTAAAGATTTGATAAATTTCACATTTCCTAAGAGAATATATTTTGGATCATTAATAGATTTATGATATATTGTCAGTCAATGTACCCAAAATCAAACCTGAATAAAAATGCAAAAATTCTGTAAACATATTAGAATCTTGAAACCTACATCATACTTTTTTGCAGATGTACCATCAGCACCTGAGGGCCCAGTAGAAGTATCCAACATCAACAAGACCTCAGCCACAGTGTCATGGAAACCAAGCAAATCAGATGGTGGCTCACCAATCAAACACTACATTATAGAACTGAAAGATAGCTACAAGTCCTTCACTCAAGTTGGCAAAGTGCCAGCAGACCAACTGAACTTTGAACTTACCAGACTGAAAGAAAATCAGCAATATTATGTACGCATTACTGCAGAGAATGCAGTTGGAAAATCTAAACCTCTAGAGATCGAGAAACCATTTACAGCAACCAGTCAGTTCAGTAAGTATTTGCAAAGTAATACATTGTTTAAAGTTGTAAAGACAGAGATGAATATGTTTTTAGATGCTGTTTGAAAACAATTATTCCATTGCAGAAGCACCAAGTGCTCCTGAAGGACCACTGAACATTTCCAATGTCACCTTGAACTCTGCTGATCTGTCATGGAAACCCCCCAAATCTGATGGTGGATCCAAACTCACTGGCTACCTCATAGAAATGAAGGATGTCCGTAGATCATTCTGGAACAAGTGTCAAGAGGTTAAGCCAAATGTGACCAAATTTACTGTGGGCAACTTGAATCTTGACACAGAATATGTCTTCAGAGTAACAGCCATTAATGCTGAAGGTCAAAGTTCACCTCTGACCTCAGACAAATCTGCCAAGCCAACCAAGGAACTTAGTAAGTATAAGGAAATTCTGTTAGTAGTTTTATATTGCGGGCATCTTGTACACGTGATGGCAAGGACAAAAACTATAACTAATATAATACAATGAAATTTCAGATGTTCCATCTTCACCAGGAAAAGTGAAAGTCACAAAGGTAGAGAAGGACTCAGTCACTCTAGAATGGACAAAGCCAGACTCTGATGGTGGATCTAGAATCAAGCGTTACATCATCTGGAAGAGAGTGGAGATGACAGACAAATGGATGAAGGTCACCACAGTGGAGCAGTTCAATACCAGAGCTGTCATTGAGAAGTTGGAAGCTGACAAGAACTTCTTCTTTGCTGTGTCTGCTGAAAATGATGTTGGAGAAAGTGAAAAGGCAGAAACAAGCAAACCAACTAAACTAGAGAAACCAACAGGTACTTTAATCAACTAACTTAATCCAAACTTTATACATTCCTCTTTTGTTTAAGTTAATTGTATTAGTGGTCGATGAAAGTTATAGTTTTCTTAAACAAAATTGCATTACACGATAAATGATTGTAGGCAAACCATCTAAGCCAACTGGACCAATTACTGTCAGCGATGTACAGAAAACATCAGCCACCATTGAGTGGAAACCTCCACAGAGTGATGGTGGACTGCCACTGAAGGGCTATGTGGTAGAACTCAAAGAAGCCAGAAAAACCACATGGAAGAAAGTGGATAAGTTGACCCCTGACATAACATCACTGTGTATCCAGAATCTGAATGAGAATGCTGAGTATTACTTCCGAGTGTTTGCTGAGAACAGCTCTGGTTTCAGTGAACCTTTGGAAATGGAAACCCCCCAGTACATGATGAGTCCTTTTGGTAAGAAATTTGTTTTTTATTTTATTGGTTTAGCAGATGTCTAAGGTTTTAACCAAAAAATTAATTTTTTTTTGAAGTTCAACTGTATTTTGGTGAATGTGAATTCCATTTAATGCCTTCTTTTACAGGAAAGCCAAGTGCTCCCGAGGGACCTCTTGACATTTCAAATGTGACCTTGAACTCTGCTGATCTGTCATGGAAACCTCCCAAATCTGATGGTGGATCCAAACTTACTGGCTACCTCATTGAAATGAAAGAAAAGAGCAGATCATACTGGAACAAGTGTGGAGAGGTCAAACCAACTGTGACCAAGTTCACAGTGGATAAACTAATTCTGGATAAAGAATACTTCTTCAGAATTTCAGCCATCAATGAAGAGGGACAAAGTCCACCTCTCACCTCAGACAAATCTGCTAAACCCACAAAGGATCTGAGTAAGTTACCAATGAGTCCAAATAGATATCTCAATGATATAAAATTATGAAAATGCATAAAATATTTCTTGATGTTGAATTCTATTACCCTGTTTTTTGATTATAGCTGCTCCATCCAAACCTGAAAAGGTCAAGGTCACAAAATCTGAGAAGAACACAGTGACCTTGGAATGGTCCAAACCCTCATCAGATGGTGGATCTAGAATCCGACGTTACATAATCTACAAAAGGATCAAAATGACAGAAAAGTGGGTCAAGGTGACCACAGTAGAACAGTTCCTGACACAGACAATCATAGACAAACTGGAGTATGAGAAGAACTACTTCTTTGCTGTGTCTGCTGAGAATGATATTGGGGAAGGTGACAAGGGAGAAACTACCCAACCCACAAAACTGGACAAACCTAGTGGTAAGATAAAATACAATGTATGATTTTTGAAACAACTTTTATCATAATATTGCATTCAGGTAACTTTCTTTTACTTGCTTTTCGTCAGTACATATATTAAAATTGGAACATGATATAGCCCCTCCAAGGATGACACGCAAATTCGTGAAGCGTTCCATATTTTTAAAAAAGAAAAAAGAAAAAAAAAACTTTCTTTCCTACAACTGAAATTTCTTTTGATAATTTGCAGAAGTGCCATCTGCACCTGAGGGCCCAGTAGAAGTATCCAACATCAGCAAGACCTCAGCCACAGTGTCATGGAAACCAAGTAAATCAGATGGAGGCTCACCAATCAAACACTACATCATAGAATTGAAAGACAGCTACAAGTCCTTCAGTCAAGTTGGCAAAGTGCCAGCAGACCAACTGAACTTTGAACTTACCAGACTAAAAGAAAATCAAAAGTGTACTGTTCACATCATTGCAGAGAATGCAGTTGGGAAATCTAAACCTCTGGAGTCAGAATCATTCACTCCCACAAGTCAATTCAGTAAGTTACTTTGTAATAAGTTTTGAAATTCTTTTTTGTGTAAAAATTTATAATCCTCCAATACTTTGATATTCTATTTTTATTTTCAGAAGCACCAAGTGCACCAGAAGGACCACTGAAAATTTCTAATGTCACCTTGAACTCTGCTGATCTGTCATGGAAACCCCCCAAATCTGATGGTGGATCCAAACTCACTGGCTACCTCATAGAAATGAAGGATGTCCGTAGATCATTCTGGAACAAATGTCAAGAGGTTAAGCCAAATGTGACCAAATTTACTGTGGGCAACCTGAATCTTGACACAGAATATGTCTTCAGAATAACAGCCATTAATGCTGAAGGTCAAAGTTCACCTCTGACCTCAGACAAATCTGCCAAACCAACCAAAGAACTGAGTAAGTGCCAAAGATCATTTCCAATTTTAAATCCACTTATATATATATATCCATTAGAGGTATCCATTCTGTGTACTATAAGAAAATTTGTGGCCTATTTTAATATTTTAAAGTAAAAAGGTAGTTCAATATATAATTCTCCTTTGTTCCCCTCTCTTTACAGCTGCTCCATCTCCACCAGAGAAGGTTAGAGTTACTGATATAGAGAAAGACTCTGTCACCCTGGAGTGGACAAAGCCAGACTCTGATGGAGGATCTAGAATAAAGCGTTACATCATCTGGAAGAGAGTGGAGATGACAGAAAAATGGATGAAGGTCACCACAGTGGAGCAGTTCAATACCAGAGCAGTCATTGAGAAGTTAGAGATGGACAAGAACTTCTTCTTTGCTGTTTCTGCAGAAAATGATATCGGAGAAAGTGAGAAGGCAGAAACAAGCAAACCAACTAAACTAGAGAAACCAACTGGTAAGAGACTTAACAATTCTTTTGATGTGGTCAAATTTGAAAATGACAGAATGACTCTAAATTTCTAATACATGTATAATGTAATTGTTACAGGACCTCCATCACAACCAACTGGACCAATTATTGTCAGTGATGTACAAAAAACCTCAGTCAGCATTGAGTGGAAACCTCCACAGAGTGATGGTGGACTACCACTTAAAGGTTATGTGGTAGAGATTAAAGATGCTAGAAAAACCACGTGGAGAAAAGTGGATAAAATGACTCCTGACATTACCTCATTGTGTATCCAAAATCTGAATGAAAATGCTGAATACTACTTCAGAGTGTTTGCTGAGAACAGTGCTGGATTTAGTGAAGCATTGGAGATGGACAAATCTGTTCTTCTGAAGAGTCCATTCAGTAAGTTTTCAGCTGTTCATTTTTTTTCATACCAGAAATTGGAAGTATTGATAAAAATGAAAGATAAAACTATCACAGACTTATTGCATTTATCTTAAAATCAATTTCTTCAGATCCACCGAGTGCTCCAGAGGGACCTCTCCAGATTTCTAATGTCACCATGAATTCTGCCGATTTGTCTTGGAAACCTCCCAAAACAGACGGTGGATCCAAACTGACTAAATACCTCATAGAGATGAAAGACACAAGAAGGTCTTACTGGAACAAGGTAGAGGAGGTGAAACCCAACATCACCAGCTACACCGTCAGTAAACTGATGACAGACGTGGAATACGTGTTCAGGGTGTTTGCCATCAACGAGGAGGGCCAGAGTCCACCTCTCACCTCGGACAAGTCCGCTAAACCCAAGAAAGAACTCAGTAAATACATTGAGATATCTTAATTTAATTACTCCAGTAGATAGATGAAAAAGTGAAATTCTGGTATATGATTTTTTAAATTCTGAAATTTTAATTCGGCAGAATGCATATATGGCACAGGTTATTTAAAAAATTCAAATTGTTACATACAACTTATATATTTCAAATGAAAATCTTTTTTTAGCTGCACCATCACGACCTGAAAGAATCGGTGTCATCAAAACAGACAAGGAATCCGTGACATTGGAGTGGAGCAAACCTAAATCTGATGGTGGATCAAGACTCCGTCGATACATCATCTGGCGCAGGGTGGAGATGACCGACAAGTGGGTCAAGGTCACAACAGTGGAACATTACACAACAAAGACAGTTGTGGAAAAGCTGGAGTTTGAGAAGAACTACTTCTTTGCTGTGTCTGCTGAGAATGACATTGGTGAAAGTGATAAAGCAGAAACCACTGAACCAGCCAGACTACCCAAACCAAGTGGTATGTGTTATCATTTTTCATTGAATTCAATTATGAGCATACTGTTAATGATTAATAACCATACAAAGTATAATGTTCTCTTACTTCTAACATTATTTGATTCTACCCTCTCTCAGAAGCACCAGCTGCCCCAGAGGGTCCACTTGTTGTATCAAACATCCACAAGACCTCAGCCTCACTCTCCTGGAAGGCCAGCCCCTCTGATGGAGGTTCCCCAGTCACTGGCTATGTGGTAGAGATGAGGGAAAGCTGGAAGACCTCATTCTCCAGAGTACAAAAGGTCCCAGCTGATCAGCTGACCTTTGACCTGACCCATCTCAAGGAAGGACAGGAGTACTTTGTCAGAGTCCTGGCAGAGAACAAAGTGGGAGTGTCCAAACCTCTAGAGGCAGATAAAGGATTCAAACCAGAGAGTCCATACAGTATGTTTGATAGATTACATTCTTTTCAATAAGTTCTCCTGGTTTAAACTATTATTCAAGCAATTTATTGAAGGTCTCTTTAATCTGCCATTTAGGATTTAAGAAATATTTTATATTTTTATTAGATGCACCATCTGCCCCAAGAAATCTCCAAGCCACAGACATAACCAGTTCAACAGTGACCATTCAGTGGCAGACACCTTCTAATGATGGTGGACTTCCCATCAAGTTCTACACTGTAGAGCGCAGAGACAAGAAATATGGTTCCTTCACTAAGGAGGCTACAGTCAATGCTCCCACAACCCGCTGTGTGGTAGAAAGACTACAACTGGAGAAGGAATACTACTTCAGAGTGACTGCCACCAATGAGGAGGGAACTAGTCCACCAGTAGAGATGTCAGAACCAGTCAAACTGGTCAAAGAACCAGGTACTTTTATGATATGTTTTATATTCCATGTTTTTTTCTCTTTATACACAATAAAGACACATCTTAATGTTATGGAGTTTTGACCTCATAATAATATACATGAATCATGAAATAACAGTGAAAATCTCTTTGAAAAAAAATGAAGTATTATTTAGAAACATAAGGGCATAATAGATTGTAGGTATAGAATTTGGGATGTAAATGTATGTAATAACTGATTATTTCATTGAGCTGATGAGATGCACTTTGTACAAGGTTCTTCTATCTGGGAAGATAAATTCATGAATTGTAACTTTATTTAAAGAAACACCGGAAAAGCCCACTGGACCAATCAAATTCTCTGACGTTCTGGCAACAAGCCTGACAATGGAATGGTCGGCCAGCAGAAGTGATGGTGGATCACCAATACAGAACTACAAGATTGAAATGACAAATGACAAAAAAAGCTGGGTCACGGTCATGACCTGTGACAGATATACAACAAAGGTCAAGGTCAGGGACCTGATCACAGACCAGAAATATTACTTCCGGGTCAGTGCTGTCAATCAAGTGGGCAGCAGTGAACCTCTGATGTCTGATGAAGTAACCCCAATAAAACCACCAGGTATGTGTCCATGGAAAATCTATTACATAGAAAACCTATTTCTTTTAGCTTTTACATATTTCTTCTGCATATATGCCTTACATTCATATTAGCATTTCCGCGTAGAAGGAAGTTAATTAATACCACACGGAAAAAAGTACTTCTACAGTATTTGTTCTGCTTCATCTACAGTTGCATTTAGAGGAAAGTTAGCTCCATGTACAAATCTTTCAGTCTTACATATGTCACAGATTGCCTTGGAAGTTTCTGTATTACAGTTAACTAATGTGATTCTGAAAAAAATGAATTTAAAACATGGTCGGCTTTCAAAAAATAAACCATAATTTTCAAAAAATAATTTACAGAGGTACCTTCACCCCCAACTGGGCCATTAGAGTTCTCAGAAATCACAAAGAAATCCGCTGTGGTGTCCTGGAAACCACCCAAGGACAATGGAGGAAGCCCCATCACTCATTATGTGGTGGAGAAGAAGGAGGCTAGGAAGACCGCATACACCCAGGTGGAAAAACTCGGTCCCAAGGCCCAGACATGTAAACTCCAGTATCTGACAGAAAATACTGAGTACTTCATCCAAGTGAGGGCCCTGAACAAAGTAGGTCTGTCTGAACCACTGAGCTCAGACAAACCACTGGTGCCCAAGCATCCATACAGTAAGTCCAGAATTTTACTCTCTTTGAACTGACTTAAACTTTTGTGCCTGTCTGGTTTTAAATTTTGTACTAAAGCTATCATTTATCAATTACGGTATATTTAAAATCTCAGCTGTACCATCTGCCCCTGTTGGACCACTGAAAGTATCAGACATTACAGCCAACTCTGCCACACTCAGCTGGAAACCACCAAAAGAAGACGGTGGTCAACCTATCAAGCGGTATATTGTGGAGCGCCGTGATACACGCCGCACAGCCTGGGTACAGGCTGAGACACCACGGGCTAGTGTCCTGACACTGACAGTGGATAAACTGATAGAGGATGTGGAGTACATGTTCAGGGTGTCTGCCGAAAACATCGAAGGACAAGGACCATATCTAGAGACAAAAGAACCTGTTACTCCAAGGAGGGTGCCAGGTATGTTCAATAATTATTTTTGACAAATTATCCATGAAGGCAATGATAAGTTTTCTCAATGTGTAATTACATGTAAGTGAACACTGAAAAGAATTACAATATGAATGATGTAGGTGTCACAGTTTATTAAACCTCATTTATTGCAAAATATATTTGTTTAGTCTTCTTCTTTTGAAAATAAAAATAAAAAAAAAATCTAATGAAAAATTGTATATTATTGTATATGTAAGGAACAATTATTGCATTTTGTCATTTCTGTTCTAGTGAAACCTGGTGCTCCCTCTGGAAGAGTCCGTGCAGACAGCATCACACCAGAATCTGTTACACTGACATGGCAGCCTCCAGTAGATGATGGAGGAGCACCCATCAAGAAATACGTCATCGAAGCCAAGGAGGGATCAAAAGACTGGTCTCCACTGGCTGAAGTGTCTCCCAAATCAACTACAAAGACCTTATCTGACCTCAAGGAAGGAAAGGAGTACCAGTTCAGAGTGATTGCTGAAAATGAAGTCGGACGTGGAAAAGACAACAAGCTGGATGAATCTGTTGTTCCAATCAGACTGCCTGGTAAGTACACCCTAGTCAATTAATTATGAAATTCTCTTTATGATTGTTTTTCTAAACAGGAACTATTGTGTAAAAACTTTCTAAAATTGTGATTTCCTTGACTTTTTTCCAGAGGTTCCAAGTGCACCTCAGGGACCACTGAGAGCAGCAAACATCACCAAAGACTCCATCACACTGTCCTGGCAACCACCTAAGGATGATGGTGGCAGTCCACTGACTAGCTACATCCTAGACAAACTTGACTTACAGTGGGGAGGATGGAAGAGGGCCGCCAAGGTCCCACCCACTGCCACTAGCACCAGCCTGACTGGCCTCATCAAAGGACATGACTACAACTTCAGAATCTACGCTGAAAACAAAGTGGGAGTCAGTGAGCCAATCGAACTGATTGATACTGTTACAGCTAAGAGTCTTGTTGGTAGGTGCACCACAACATTTAGGCCATTCTAATCTATTGATGCTCATATATGTACTTCAAATTATGATAACAATTTGTATTTTGTAGCAAGATTTACTCAGAACATAAATGATTACATTTCAGATGTCCCGTCAGCTCCCAGAGACTTTGAGATCACAGAAGTGACTGATGATTCAGCTACCCTAGAGTGGTCTCCTCCTGCCTCAACAGGTGGCGCTGACATCATTGGCTACCCTGTAGAGCGTAGAGAGGCAGGCCGCATGAACTGGGTCCGTGTCAAGCGGGTAGAACCTGATGTCACATGGTTCACGGTGGAAAACCTTCTGGAAGGCAGAGGTTATGTCTTCAGGGTCTTTGCAGAAAATTGTGAAGGACTCAGTGAACCTGCTGTCATTGAAAAAACAGTTGTGCCACAAAGAAAATTAGGTATTTATCAGCTAATGTTAAAGTTGTTTTTAACTGATCATTGAAAAGATCCTTTGTCCTTTAATTTATTGTGAGTAACAAAGTAATTATGATTTATTTTCAGAAAAACCATCTGAACCTCAGAACTTTGAATTAGCCTACACAGAAAAAGACTCAGTTACCCTCCAATGGAAGAAACCCAAATCTGATGGTGGAGCAATGATTTCTAAATACATTTTGGAACAAAGGAGAGGAAGATCTGGATCGTGGACCAAGATCAAGGAGCTGGAGAGCTACCAGCACTCCGCCACCATCAAACACCTGGAACCAGACACTGAGTATGGATTCAGACTCAAAGCCAAGAATTCTGAGGGTCTCAGTGAACCTGTGGAACTGGAGTCCTCTATCAAATCCAGCAAACCACCAGGTATCTTACAGGAATAACTTAAATATATCTCTTATGAGGAATAAAAGAAGGTTCTAGTTCTCATGTGGGTTAGGTACCGGTATACAAGTTTCTTATAGATGATGTTACTTTTTTGCAGTATTTCATATTTTAAAGTGTCCCCCAACCAACACCCAAAATAAGCAAGAAATGAAAATCAATCTTGTTGAATATCAGGAATACAATGTATTACTTCCTATAAATTTACAATGAAGTAAAATTATATTTTGATAATGATGCTTGCCCATTTTACAGAGAAACCCTCCAGACCTGTAGGACCTCTGAGGGTTGAGGACATCACGGAGGACCAGGTTAAGTTGTCATGGAAACCACCAGAGAGTGATGGAGGATCTAACATCACATCCTACATAGTGGAGAAATGCGAGGCCCGCCACCCACGCTGGCTGAGAGTGGCCCGAGTACCCCCAGGTACCCTCGGCGTGGACTGTTACAATCTCATTGAAGGCGTGGACTACTTCTTCAGTGTGGCAGCTGAAAATGAGGCTGGAGTCAGCTCCCCTCTGGAAACAGAGAAACCTGTCACACCTAAGAGCAAATTCAGTAAGTATACTCTAAAAATTTTATTCTGGTAATTAAGAGACGGTTGCTTAACTATAATTACAACCAGATATGAAATGACAATAATATTATGTAATATAGGACCTCCAGCTGCACCAACTGGACCCATTAAGTGTACTCAGATCACCAGAGATTCTGTCACCATTGAATGGAAACCTCCCAAGGAGGATGGAGGGTCAAAGGTCACAGGGTACATTGTGGAGAAGAAGGAGGGACTGAGACACACCTTTGTCCATGTGTCCAAGACAATGTCCGAGGAGACTTCCCTGACCATCCTAGGTCTGAATGAGGGCAAAGACTACTACTTCAGGGTGTATGCTGAGAACAAGTATGGCAAGAGTCCTGCACTGGAGTCTAAAGAGGCTGCAACACCAAAGAGGACTCTTGGTAATTAAAATTAACCTTATTCACATCGCTTAAATACCTACTAGCAATCCAAAGTTTTGCAATAGATATGACTAGAAAAAGAATGCTTGGCAAATTATTTCATGTATTTAACACTTGATAATTCACTCTTACAGAACCCCCAATGTCCCCAGCTTCTCTACATGTCAAGGACATTACTAAGACCTCACTGACCTTGACCTGGGAACCACCACCAAGTGGACCTGAGGGTATCACTGGCTACAACATTGAGCGCCGCCTGTCTAACAGTGACAAGTGGGAGCGAGTGGCCCGTGTACCGGGACAAGTTCTGAGTCACCACCTGACCGGACTTAAAGAGGGCCATGCCTTCTTCTTCAGGGTCACAGCTGAAAACACCGCTGGTCCCAGTAAACCCACTGAACTGAGGTCACCAGTTGAACTCAAGGGCAAAAAAGGTAAATTATAAACAAATCCTGTTGATAGTTATTCTTCATTCAAACATTTTATGGTCAGTATCCTGCCTGCTTCATTCCACTGTTCTATTACACAACTGGATAGACACAAGCTGTGTACATTTTTTAAAAACTATTTATACCTGGAAATTTTACATCTATGACATAAAATTTCCAAATGGATTTTTATTACACAGAACTGAATACATTTTTTGTTGCATACTGGTAATAACCATTTTCTGTGAGTTAAAATAACACTTTTTTATTTAGTATTATTTTAAAATTGTATATTTCAATAAAATTAATTTGTTTAAATAATCTCTTGTGTTTAGACAAACCACCAGCACCAACAAATGCCCCAGAAATCTTGGCCATTGGACCCCGCTTTGTGGAGCTGTCCTGGCAGCCACCTGAACATGACGGTGGCTCCCCCATTACTGGGTACTATCTAGAGAGGGCTGACCTGTCAGGCAGAACATGGGTCCCCATCAACAAAACACCGATCAAAGGAACCAAACACAAGATGGAAAACCTGTACGAGGAACTTAAATACGAAGTCAGGGTCCGAGCAGAAAACAAGGAGGGCATCGGTGAGCCTTCACCCGCCACTGAGCCATTCTACTGCAAGGATGTTATAGGTACGTAGGCAGAATGTGGCATTTGTGATATTTATCATTTCAGTTTTTAAGATATAATCAATTCTGTGAGAATAAGTTTTTGATATTTCTGTGAATTTTTTCCTTATAGTGAATGAACCACCAAAGATTGTCAAACAACTTGAACCACTCACAGTAACAGAAGGTCAAGATGCTGTGTTCACATGTGAAATCTCAGGCATGCCCAGACCTGGTATCACATGGTATGTAGCATAGACTGTTTCATCAATACAAATTTCATCATAAGAATTGTTTTTATAGAAAGGATAAGTAAAGAGTATTTTTGGTTTGACTGTATATGAACATTACAGGTATAAGAATTACCGTGAAGTGTTCAACACCAGACGTACAGAAATCAAGAAAATGGAGGGTGGAAAGTACACTCTTACCATCAAGAATGTCACTGAAGAAGACATCTGCAGCATTGAATGTCATGCTCGCAATTTCTATGGATCAGTATCAACTAGGACCTCACTTGATGTTAATGGTAAGACTTGTCTAATTATCTATGAGTAATAGAAATCAAAGAAGCAAAAATAATGAAAAGAGGAGATAGAACTCCAGCTTATAATGTACTGACAATGTCCTTTCAGTGCCAGCTAAGATTGTGGACCTGCCCCAGAGATACCTGGATGGTCTACAGATCTGTAAGGGAGATGCCATCATGATCCGCATTCCCTACAAAGGTCGACCCGCTCCTAAGATCACCTGGTCAGTAGACGGAGAGATCATCGAACCCTCACGCAGGAAGGTGGAGATCAAGACCCACCCACACCACTCCACTCTGGTCATCCACGATGCGGAGAAGAAAGACAGTGGAGTGTACAAATTCGTGGTGGAGAATTCAGTGGGATCGGACATGGTTAACATTCCTGTACATGTCATTGGTAAGGAGCATTTAGGAGTAAGATTCAATCAAGGAAACAGATTTGATAATTTGATGCATAAAATTCCCAAAATGCATAACATATTGCTGAAAGTTCTTGCATGGGAAGCATAAAAACAAGATACTAGGAAATTGTGCTTTTCTTTACTAAGTACATTAGATTTTTTTTTCCATAAACTTTATTTTTCATTACATTGTGTTAAACAATAGATCGCCCCAGTCCACCTGAAGGTAAACCTGTCATTGAGAGCATCACCAAATTCTCTGTCAAACTGTCATGGCTGCCCCCAGCAGACGACGGTGGCTCTGAAATCACAGGCTACATCGTAGAGAAGCTGGACCTGCAGACCGGAGTCTGGAGACGCGCCCTGACTACAAAGACGCCGTACGCCACCGTGGAGTGTCTGGAGGAATTCAAGGAACACAAATTCAGGGTGTTCGCAGAGAACTTTATTGGAATCAGTGAAGCGGGAGAGGAGTCGGACAAGGTCGTGACCAGAGAGGCCGTGCCTGACGTGGACTATGATGACCTCTGTAAGTCATGTGACTTGTAGGCTTGTCTCTGTCTGAGAACATAGTTAATTGCTAGTGTTTAAATTTAATGCTGTGGTTTACTTCAATTCTTTTTTTTTATTTCAGATGATGCAAGCTTCAGAGGCAACAATGTGAATATTGACAAAATCAAGGGTGATGTGCTCAGCAAGTATATCATCTGTGAAGAACTGGGCAGAGGTGCCTTTGGAGTTGTTCACCGAGCCATTGAGCGAGCCACCAACAAGAACTGGGCTGCCAAGATGATCCGCTGTAAACCTCACGAGAAGGAGGCAGTCCGCCACGAGATTGACATGATGAATGAACTCCACCATTCCAAACTTCTACAGCTTCACGAAGCTTTTGACCAGGCTGGAGAAATGGTCATGATCCTAGAACTGTAAGCATTCATTGAAAGATAACCTCCCAAACAACATGTACTTTTATGAATGTCAAACCTCATTTTAAAAGTGATAAATTATTTCCTAAACTTGACCTTGTGTTATTTAGGCTTACCGGTGGTGAACTTTTTGACCGCTTGGTGGAACAAGAGTATGATCTGACAGAAGCAGGCTGTATCACCTACATGAGACAGATCTGTCAAGGAGTCCGACACATGCACCAACAAAATCTGGTTCACCTTGACCTCAAGGTCAGTTACATATCTACCATGTCTACCTGCACAGGTTTTCTAATGATATTACATTAAATTACTTTTCAGCTACATTTCTACATCTGATAATGCATTGAAGATTTTTCACAGAGCTTATGATTTCTCTCCTATTTTCAGCCTGAAAATGTGATGTGTGTGACCAAGGAGAGTACAGACATTAAGATTATTGACTTTGGTCTGACCCAGAGACTAGAAGAAGGCAAGAATGTCAAGGTTCTATTTGGCACGGCAGAGTTCTGTGCCCCTGAGATCATCAACTTTGAACCTGTCTCCTTCACGACAGACATGTGGTCACTTGGAGTGGTGTCCTATGTGTTGTAAGTAAAGATATTTATAGATATGATGCAACAATTTGATTAAAATTTCAAATTTTGTAAACTTTTTGATTCAATATTTATAAAAAAAGTTAGATAATAGCTCCTGTCAGGGTTGAATATAATACAATTCCATGTTAATTTTACAGGTTGAGTGGATATTCGCCATTTGCTGGAGAAACAGACCACGAGACTTTTGTGAACATTAACCGCTGTGACTACGACTTTGATGATGAAGTCTGGCAGAACATCTCCCCAGAGGCCCAAGACTTCATCAAGAAACTTCTTATCCCCGACAAAAGGTAAAAACAATGGCATTTATGTATGAAGAAAGGTTATCTCTTGTTCCTTCTAATAGAACATGATCAATATAAATTAACACCATGGTGATTTTTTTCCTCTTTTTCAGCAAACGGATGACAATCTTTGAGGCACTGGACCATCCCTGGTTGAATGTAAGTCTATTGTTGTGTATAGAGATTTTCAGCTTTTCTAGCTAAATCTTTGAACCATTAAGCAGCTATAAATGCTGAAATATCTTTTACCCTGCATGGTTGGAGTTTTGGAAAGATGTATTTATATTGTATGCTTATAGTGCTTTTGGGTCTACAGCTATCATAAAATACTGTGTATCCTTTACATCAGATCATAGTACATGCAGCAAATCAAATTAAAATGCAATTTAATAATTTCTTATTTTGGATGAAATTTTGTTAATGTGTATTAAAAACAAGTAAAGCTTCCCAGTATGTAAAACAAATTAAAAACATGATTAATGTTTTCAACTGTGTTGTGAACTAAAACATATGAAAGGCTGCATAACTTGTTTCCCTTAATATTAGGCTACATACATGTATTATAAATTTGTTGTGTCATCCAGTTAAATCAGTATAAAAATCCATATGCCTTTGCTTCTAGTTGTCAGACATTAATGCTTTTTCCCTGCTGCTTTGCTTTTAGCCAAGAGAAAAAGAGAGGAAAACTAAAACTGTGGATGAAGTAAGTAATCCAAAGCGATATGGATTATCTCCTTCTAATTTTATGGTAGTGACGGTTTATTATTTTCTGTTTTTCCAGATGTAATATTATTTGCACCCTGTCATTATTTTTGGGTCATTCTCTTTTGACTTAAGTTGCCATTATTTTAGTTTCTAAATTCCTTATTATTTGTTTAGTATTTAGGTTCCCAGTTTCTATTTCATTGCACAAAATGACAAAGTCTTGCTATTTATTTTTCTAAGTTCATTTGCAGTTTCTGCAGAGAAAATCTCCAAATGATAAAATTAACATAAATTTTAACTTTCTTTTTAATTTATTTAAATATGAGCAGCTTTATGCCTTGTATTATTCTGCCTGATAGTTTAAAACCCATTATTTTTATGATTTATATATACTGTAACAGCTTTACTGCATGTTGTGATGAAAACCAACTTTCCAGTTTTCCTTATCATGAATTCTTAGATGTTCATTCTTCTAACACTTAGATATTATACTATTATCAGGGTACTGTTGAGAAGAAACTAACAGGAAAACCACTGTCTCGTGCCCACCACAAAGAATACCGCGACAGGAAACACCACAAAGAGGATGACCTTGACATTCTACCTATGGGTCGTCTCGCTAGAAACAGCGCCATCTTCAGAAAAGAGGGTGACGAAGGTGTCATGTCCAGGCATCTGTTACTTGGTGGGTATCAAACATTGCTATATTTTTTGAAAATCTTTTATTTTCAATAATTCTTTGTAATACAAATCTGTTTTGTTTTGCTTCGTTTATAACTGTAAAATTTGTACTCTGCAGAGTTGCCTCCCCATGCTCCTGTTGTGGTGGAGCTGTTGACAGATGTCCATGGTTACGAGGGATCACATGTCGAGTTGACCTGTAAAATCAGTGGAAAACCTGTGCCCACCATTCACTGGTGAGTAGAACAGCTAGAGGACTGAATCAGTCATTGTACAACATACAGGTTGAGTGAGTTCTGTAAGGAAAATTGTAGAACAGATGTATTTTGGTATATTGCTGCACAAACAGAACAGGTATATTTTGGTATATTGGAGCTTGTAGAGAACAGATGTAGAATGGAGGAATTTCTGCTGATGCAGGTTCTCTGACCTTGGAATAAATTTAAATTCCGTAAAAAACCTTTATCTAAACAGATACATCTTAAATGATGCACTGGAGATATATTTGACATCTTAAAGCAGATTCCATTGATAAAAAAAATGATTATAATTAGGCAGTTCTAATATCAAGGAACTTCAAAGTATCTTAGCAATATTTAATGTAATCTTCAATAGTTTCAAGAAAGAAAAAATTTGTAAAACTAGCTTGAAATTTAATAACAATTACTTAAGCAGGTAATTCATGGACATTTTATATGTTTATTTATATACTTGAATGCGTAATTGTTTGACACTTGTTCAGAGCAGGCCTGTTTAGAACTAATTTGAACTGTACATTAAAAAAAAAATCCTTTAGCATGCAGCAAATAAAAAAAAAATCTTCAAGAGAACCTCTTTTCCCTTTGAGTGGGCCTCTTTGCATGTGAGATAACAGCACACTTGTACTCATAAATCATTTCTTGCAAAACATAAGATACCAGAGTTCATAAATACATCTCCCAGTCAAACAAAACTGATAAAAAAAAATTCTTGATCTGCAAGCTGTTCTGTGAATAACAGTAACACAGCTGAGCAGACCGGGGTTTGAAATGTTTGTCAGAATTCTTATAAACTAATATGATATGATATTTGTATGGGAAGCAAGTGCTTGTGTCATCACCCCTGAGAGAAATTTAAGTTTAGAATATAATTTTTGGATTTTGTTGATGGGTGTCAGACTCTAACATAAGATAATACAGAATGGCTATGTAACACAGAGTTTATATCAGAATGCACCAGGCCTGCCTCATAAGCAAAGATACAGAGTTCAATTTTTGTGTATTGTGCTCCAGCAGAGAGAGAGAGATTATGTTACTTACCAAGTTATTATACATAAAAAAAATATTTATCTTTGAGATGTTCAGGATGTTACATCTTATAGGGATGTACCTTAAGTTAGATTCTTTGGTGGGGTTTTCTACCTAATGGAATAACTGGTTCTCTGAACTTGTGTGTTAAAATTTTCTATGTGCAATTAAGAAATCATGAATTTTCTGGAGTTTCTGTGGTGAAGTTTATTTATCATGGACAAGGTAGTGTTAGGATTAAATGTGTTACTGACCAGCTCAGAGGAACCAGGTGTTGAGGTGGAATCTGGAATTCCTAGTGAGGTGTAAGGGTAACTTACTGATTATGATATGAATTCAATCGTTCTGTTTTCAGATGCCCTTGCATTGACTCATGCATCGAGGCATCGAGCATGGACAATAGATTTTATTAAGTATGTTAAGGTTTGGCAGGTAATCCCTAGTTGAGTGATATTGTGTTTTATAGGTACCTGGAGGGTGAGGAGTTGACCCATGGCAGGAAGTACCACATGACCTACCATGACCAGTTTGCCTCCCTCTTCATCAGTGAACTGGATGTGGAGGACGCTGGCAAGGTCAAATGTAAAGCTGTCAACGAACATGGTGAAGCCTTCACCACCGCCAGGATATCAGTAGAAGGTAGGTCAAGGTCAAATGTAAAGCAGTCAACGAACACGGTGAAGCCTTCACCACCACCAAGATCTCAGTGGAAGGTAGGTCAAGGTCAAGTGTAAAGCTGTCAATGGACATGGTGAAGCCTTTACCACCGCCAAGATTCCTAAGGTAGGTCAAATGTAAAACTGTTAACGAGCATGATGAATCTCACTGCAAGGTAGGTTAAGGTCAAGATCTGAAAGACTTAAATGATAGGTTTAAATTATTGATTTATAGAGAAAATATATGATTTTTTTTTTCTTTTTCCTCTGTAGACCTGCGCAGAAAGAAGAAAAAGAGAGAAAAACAACCAGCTGAAGTACTGCCTAAACTCAAGTATGTCATGGTTTCAGATTTATATGCATGATCAGATTATTAGTCCTATTGGAAAGGATTATGTGAAGTTGTAACTGAAGTTGTAACTGTGTGTAAAATACTAAATGTTCCATACCTTTGTTTACAGACTTGACAGACATGACTATGACACATCATTGGTGGATACTAACATTGCACCCAAGTTTACACTGCCCCTGATTGATCAGGTCAAAAAGGTCAGGGAAACAGTGGAACTCACCGTCACTGGTAAGTACAGGCCAAACATCAATTCAAATTTTAATTTTTTGAATTTCTATACAGTTTGATTTTTTATTTAGATATATGGAGTACTGTATTTTTGGCTTTATATTTTTAGTAACCTGTCGCCCAGAACCAGAAGTTCAGTGGTTCCATAACAATGTCCGCATCAAGTCGTCTAAACACTACGACCTTGAGCACATCAAGGGTATGTACAGACTGATCATCCACGAGGTCAACCCTGATGACGCTGGAACCTGGAAGTGTGAGGCCACCAATAAATACGGGCAGACCTGGTGCTCGTGTGAACTCAAAGTCATTGGTAAGCTTACAAATATAACAACATGCTCCACATATTAAACTGTGTAGGCAAATCAAGCTCAGAAATGAAATGATCAAAAATAAGTTGAACATAGGATACAGATTCTTTTCTGTTTTACAGAAACTGTGCCAGAGGGATCTATCCAGCCCAAATTTGTTCAGTGCCTGGAGGATAGTACCATTGAAGAGGGAAGCTCAGTCAAACTGGAATGCAAGGTCAAAGGTCAACCAAACCCACAAGTGGAATGGCAAGTTTCTATTAAATTTTATTTCAATAAAAATAGCAAACATTAGAAAAGGTAGAAAAGGTATAAATAAAGATTGTTTCTGATGTTTGATTGTGATTTGAATTTTAATGTCTATAGGTACAAGGACCGTAAGCTTTTGCATTCTGGTCGACACTACCGCATTGCTGTGGATGAAGATGTCCACACACTGACCATTCACGATGCCTTCCCTGATGACACTGGACGATACATGTGTAGGGCTGTCAATGTTGTCGGCTCTACTACCACTGAGGCTTACGTCAAAGTACAAAGTAAGTAAACTTCATACAATGAATAATGAAATGGCAATTCTTATCATCCTTAATTTAATGCATGCTATAGTTATGATATAAATAATAATACATGTACTGGTATGTTACAAACATTTATAAATGTATTTTTGAACAATATTTGATTCCATGATATATTTTGAACACTAACATCTGATATTTCAGGAGCCTCCATCAAAGTGACAGACTTTGCCTTCCCCCGACCTGACACAGCACCGCTGTATGCCGCTGAATCAGCCCGGCTTTCTGAGGCCCCCAGCATGAAATACAAGGTGGAGGAGGCCCCTAACTTCACCGCCAAACTGAGGGACAAGACCGTGCCCGAGTTCAGCCATGTCCGCTTCATGTGTTCTGTGACTGGACTTCCATCTCCCAGGATCACCTGGCAGAAAGACGGCAAAGACATCACCAAAGATACCAACTTCTTCATATCAGTAAGTTTCTGTTTATTGATTACAATGTAACTGTAAAGGGGACACTGAATTCATTTCTCTACGTTTATTCTTTCATTATCTAACACTAAGAAAGCTTATTTTAAGTACTGAAAGGCAATTTTCAAAAAATATGATACAATAATAAATATTGATAATTTACGGTTTTTTTGCCCCTTGTAGAATCAGCATGGTCTGTTGACTCTGGAGATTTTCTCAGTTTCTGAACAATATGCCGGTACATACACCTGTACAGCTGCCAACTCAGAGGGAGAAGTATACTGCTCAGCTCATCTCACTGTACTCGGAACTGAGAGAGAGACAAGCCCCGAGACAGATTTCACTCCAAAGTTCACAACCCCTCTACAAGACATCACAGTTACCGCTGGAGATGAAGTGGTCTTCACATGTGTAGCCAAGGGCAACCCCATGCCTCACTTCAAATGGTTAATATCACTTATTGTAAAAAGAATATTCGTCTCAGCTTATCGTGTCTTGTTTGCTTATTCTGTCAGAGTTCATTCATGTTTTACCACCAGTAGTAAAAATTATGATATTTTTCTTTCAGGCAAAAGGATGGCATGAATGTGACAGACTCTAGACGTGTCTACATGGGATCAGACTCTGATGGCAATGCGGAGCTCATCATACGCAGCGCTCGAACAAGTGACTCAGGCCTGTACTGTGTCATGGCTCAGAACTCAGCGGGCCGCAGCAAATGCTCAGCTTACCTTAGGGTCAAAGGTCAGTATACTGCAGCGAATTAAAAAATTGGTTGCGTAAAAAACTACTATATGATTAAACCAATGAATGGTATTATTTGAAATATGAATTCTAGCATCTACATAAATGAAAAAAAGACATCTTTAAGAATTCCCCCTTTCCCTTTGTAGCCAAATCTAAATCCGCCTCTCCCCCAGAGAGCCCCGAATCAATGGAGGAGGGAGCCATGTGGTCCCAGAGAACAGAACGAGGGTATGAGAAACTCAAACCCCTGGGTGTGCCCGGCGGTCGCATGCCACACTTCTCTCTGGCTCTCCCCAAGGTCATAGAACTTGACGAGGGAGACAAACTTCACCTAGACTGCACAGTGGAGGGATGGCCCAGACCATCTGGTATGCTAACAAACAAAATTGTTCTTGTATTTCATGCTTTCCCAGATCCTTAAATGTTACAAGTCTGTATATGTAGAAGATGGTAGTAATTTAAAATATTGTGCTTTTCCTCAGACCTTGCAGATTTAAAGTTAAAGTTTACAAAATTTTGTTTTCTCATTTCAGTAACCTGGTTCAAAGGTGAACGTGAACTGACCTATGACTTCCGACACAAGATCACTACCTTCCAGAACATGCACACAATGGAAGTAAATGAAGTTCTCTTCTCTGACTCAGGAGAATACACAGCCAGAGCTTCCAACTCTGTGGGGGTCATGGAATCCAAGTGTATTGTCCGAGTCACCAAGAAATCAGCCAGACAAACCGGGTATGTCTGAACACAGAGTAACTAACAAGAGTTATTTCCCTTTACTGCAGAGCTAGGTGGTAATCCAACATTCAGATTGATTAAAAAGAAAATTTTATAATTTTTTTCTTTCTTTTTTCCAGAGAGGACATGTCCACTGCTGATGCCCAAAAGGCAGCAGGTAGCTATCTTATTTTTACCTTTACTTATATAAATAAATGAGGCCAATGATTTTATATAAGGATAAGTCAATTTTTCCCCATAATATTCATATTCTGTGTTATGATGCTATTTCAGACAAAATGGAGAAAGGATTTGGTACTTGCTTATTCATATATTAGATCATATTGATACATGTAGTTATAGTTGGATGTTATTGTATAACTATACTATTTATATACTATATCTAAATAATAAGGGCACTGTTCACTTAGTAATTATAAGAGTATGTGTATGTATGCAACATAATGTCGCATGTAGCTTAATGTTGATAAATATATACATGTAAATGTCCAAAAAAGTTGTACATGTATCAGTTGTATGTCATAGAAAATTGTTCAGTACATGTATGCTTCTGGAAATAGATAAAAAAGATCTCTGATACTTTCAATGCTGCACTTACATAGATAGATCCATCAAGCACTGTCTTTTCTTTAAAGTTATTAAAGATTCTTGCAAATGACAAAAGTCACCATCCATATATATAAGCACAATAGGACAAATAAAGTTTGCATGAGAAACACATCTAGTACAGCCTATACTTAGCTTAATGTAAAATGTACATGTTGATGCACTGAAAATGCATTAATGTCTGTAAATTGTGAACAAAGATAATGCGTACATAAAGAAAGGTTTTACGTTATTATATGCATTTACAAGAATGTTCCTTATAGAAGATATAACATGATTTGATATTATTTGATTTTGAAATTGAATGCAATTAGTTTAACCCAGTGCTATTTTTGTTCCTGTAGCTCCATTCTTCATCAAGCACCTGCCTGCTTCAGTGGATGTCATGGAAGGATTCAACATTCAGTATGACTGTTATGTAGAAGGGGACATTACTCTGATCAAAACAAAACAATCCGAAATGAAACAAGTGAAACAATCCCTGGAAGCCTCAGGCTTTGAAGGGAATTACAAAGACATTCCTACAATGGGAATTCCTCCCGTAGCAACCATCCCTGGCCCCAAGGCTGGAGGTGCTGGGCGGCCAAAAACGGCCAAATCCTCCCCCCGCTTTGTGGAAGGATTAGAAGATAAACAGTTCAGGACTGGAAGTATCGCCATGTTGTCTGTTGTCGTGGAAGCCGTGCCAGATGCTGACATCACATGGTACAAAGACAACACAGAAATCGGACAGAGCGGTAAGTAGTGAAATCAGAAGAGTTATATCCAAATTCTGTTAGTGATGAAAATAATATTATCTCTAAGCTTTCATTCAATCTTTCATTGATATTTTGATGTGACCATTTGCAATCAGATTTGGGATTTATTTTTTTCTTTTTTAGATCGTTATGAAGTGTTCTTTGAGGATGGTGCTTACAATATTGAAATTTATGACACTATTTTATCAGACACTGGAACATACAAATGCGTGGCTACAAATGTCATGGGATCCGCCGAAACTCAGGCCAAAATTACCATACTAGGTAAAGCAAAATATGAGGCCATGAAAGGAACTTTGTAAACAAATGTGTATAACCAAGACAATCATTTACCAACATTACATAGTAACCATAGCAAAACTACCATCAGCAGTGCTTGATTGTTGCATCATTTCTATTTATAATTTTTATTTTAATTTTTATATATACACTGTAGTTAGACATTTTAGTTAATCATGATTTTTAAGTTATTATAGAGAACACTTGCTATTTATTATTTCACAGAAAATTTATGTTTATTTGCATGTTTTGTACAGTTTCAAATTTTATGCAGAAAAGAATGAATTCCATATTTTACCGTTACAGTAATATTTAGCCATTAATTGTACTGAATTGTAGCTCAAGATGAACTGGACGATTTTTTAGCTGGTCTTGAGAAACATGGTATGTTCACTAAAGCTTAGTATATGCTGCTTGTAATTGATCATAAACCAACAATTATGATGCTTTCTACTTGTCAAATATTTTGGTTTCAGCTTTTCCACATGTTTGAAGAACCAACTTCAAATTCCGTCTTCAATAATTTTTTCTTAAATTTTCAAGAGTAATCTATAAAAACAATATCTCTTTAAAAAATTGCTCTTAAAAATGTAAAATAAAATTATTGTAGAAGTTGGAATATTATGATACATTTATTGCTATCTTTATGTTTGCTAGATCTATATATAATATACTTGAGATGCTGGATTTTTGACTGAAATCATACATACATATTAAATTCATTGTCATTCCATTATTATTATTTCTAACCCTTCACATGTTAGAAGAATGCCTCATTTTAGTACTACAAGTGCTTGTTTAATTTAGAGTGCTAGGTTACTACAGTACAATAACAGTGTTATAACAGTGTTATTATATTGTAGTAAACTAGAGTACTGTATGAAACAAGCACCTGTCTATAGTACCATAGATCTGCCTCAATCATTAAACCATATTTCATAGAAGAATGTTGATTTCCTATGTTTATACATGTAGTTATGCCTTTTTGCTATCTCAGCAAATTTATTTCTGTGCAATGAATCTGCTTTTAGTGTTATTATTTTATCCATGAAATCTGCAATGTTTAGCCAATAAATTGTTTGATAAAATACTTCGTTGTTGTTTTGTATTAGTCGCTGCTAGAATGCATGAAATGTATATTAGTGTATTCATATAACGTATATATTTCATAGCAAGGAATGTTAGTTAATTGCAGAAAAAGTGCATATGGATCATGGTCATGCATGAAAGAGGTATATACATGTACATGCATGGCTATTAATAATATAAATTAGGCATCGCTGAATGCACAAGAGTCAACTTTCTTAGTAAACAAAACTGTGTAACATTTCAAGGCAAGCACAAAATGTAAAATCATGTTCTTATTGGTGGCTCCTTCTGAATACAGTTATGTCCAGCAAAAGGGAATGTCAGATTCATTTCTGTATAAAACATATGGACTTGTCCCATAAAAACTGCTTGGAAAGCAAAAGGATAGTGTATGTAATGAACTGCTGAAGTAACATGAGCCAAAATACTTTTGTTCAAATTTGTTCAAAAGTTCTCAGTTTTTGGTGGGCTGGTGTCTGTCAACTTGAACTAGTAAAAAGAAAAATTACTGATCAACTTTGCCCCTAATTCACATTGATCTCGATCCTGTAAATAAAAGTTTTTAATGAAAATGAAAAAGAATACTTTTTTTAAAAGCTGAATTAGCCTTTCACTTACCAACATTTCAAAGCTGTCTCAGAATAACTGAAGGTCATAAAGCAAGTTTAAAATGAAATATATCTTCAGTCAAAATGATTTCTAAAAAATGTCAGAAAGTTCAGTATTGCATATATGGTAATTCTTATTTTTAAACCTATTTATTGGGCTTTTTACTTGATGACATAGTAGGGCAAAGAGGTTCACATATTTGCAAAAAATTCCTTCATTTAGAGTTTTTAAAAATATGCTGAATCTTGACTTTTACCCCCTCCCCCTTTCCCGCTTTTTCATAATAAAAAATAAAATTCAAAACTTTTTTTGCATAAATGTCAACATCAATTATGCAATGCATATAAGCATATTTTAAAATGCTCTTTTAGACTACAAATCAATGTAAGTTACGCAAACAATATACCTATTGATTCGTCCTTCTAGAATTTCGGAACAAAATTTTCTTAGCGTCATCAGTTTTAAGTTTTACAATTTCAACATGGCGGGAAAGAAATAATTTCTAATTACTTACTAACAAAATAATGCCATTTTATCCCGTTTGTGTGCTGATGTTACAGAAACTGAAGACAACAAAGATGTGAGAAATTCAACAGCAATCGGCGAGCTTCCAGAAATTACCCAAAAGTGAGTGGTTTTCGTGTTCATCGTATTCAGCAGCAGCAACCATTTAAAAAAAAATCTTATTTCCAAAAAGTAAGGGCTATTTTGTCTTATGATTTTCTTAATAGTTTACTTTTTGTTTATCTTTTTAAAGGAAATTTGCCCCAAGATTTATAGTAGAACTCGAACCGCAAATTAATGTGAATATTGGTGAGGATGTCAAGTTTGTCTGCTTCATCAATGACGCTGTCGAAAAAATCCACTGGGAGAAAGATGGGAAGAAGGTTTGGAGGAATTTACATGTTTTATATTTTATCATAGTAAAATTAAAAAATGTCATGCTTTTGTTTTTTCAATTTCAGCATGATTGCTGAACTCCAGTGCAGAAATTGTTTTCTTTTATCCTTGTAATATTATGGGAATTCACATGTAATTTTTATATATAATTATTTCAGTTTGCATTTTCTGAATTTAAAGGCTGCAATTATTTTCTTCTTTTTAGATGTACAACAACCTCAGAACAAAGATCAGTTCAGAGTCTGACGGAACACAACAAATGGAGATTTCAGTTGCACAGACAACAGACTCAGGCAAATATGCATGTGTAGCAATAACTCCCACAGGAGACATCAAAACCATCACAGATTTAATCGTGTCAGGTATTGACATCAAAACATAGCAAGTGTTCTGTGTTTTAAAAGTAGGCTTGATTTAGTTAGTTTTAACAACTGTGATTTTTTTTTTCCAGATAAAGAAAAACTTCCCATTTCTGCTGGGTAAGGACTTTAAGATTTTACAAAGTAGACTTTTTCCAAATTTAACAATGTTGAATTAAGACATGATATAAGAAACTTCAGTATAATTTAATGCACTTTAGAAATGATTTTTCTTGAAAAAAAAATCTACATGGAACATTTTTCTTTGAATTTAAAGTATCAACAGCAAACCAAGATTTGAGAAACCCCTGAGAGACCAGTTCTGTAAAGACGGCTCATCTGTGACTCTGGAATGTGTAATCAATGGAAACCCCCGTCCACGTACAGCGTGGTTCAAGGAAGGGGAGGAAATCCTGGACTGCCAAGTAAATCTTCTAGCCTCTGGCATTATATTTTACTTTGTTCAGTGTACAGTGGACCTTCAGATATCCGGACGCTTCAGTATCCGGTCAATTTTTCATCGGAACAGAAAATTTTAACTTTATTTTGTCCTGTTTAACTGGTAATTCAGGTATCCTGACGCTTCATATATTCGAACAAATTGTCTAGGAACCAAACCGTCCAGATAAATAAGGCTCCACTGTACAATTAAATTAAAATAATGAAGTATTAATGGAAAGTATTGTGCTTCTGACATCCATGTACTGATAAAAATAAGAATTTATATTTATTGTAACTTTATTTTGTATAATAAGTAAACATTAGTAACACCAATCTTTGATATTTTCAGGACTTCCAGATCAGCAATATAGGAGACAAGAGCACCTTGACCATTGTAGAGATATTCCCTGAAGACGAGGGGCATTACAGCTGTAAGGCCACCAACAGTGAAGGGGAAGTCACCGCTACCTGTCAGCTCCTCGTAGAAGGTAAGACTGAAAATAAAATTCACATAGATTTCAGCTGATCAGTAAAGTCTGATTGAAACCCATTCTGATTGTCATGGAAATTTACCCTATGTACAATGATTCTCAGAAGTTGCTGAATTCCTGTCAGATCCTTTTGAATCTTTGTCTGTTTAATCAATTAATTTCGACACAGATGCAATAAGTAAGCCAATGTTGAAACATTTTATTACAGAGAGCCATTTTAACAAAGGTAACAAGGAACATATAACTGTAGTAGCTTTATACTCATCATTTATTATCAGTATTACATAGATTTGTATAGAGAAAGTAGGGAAGAACAGCACAGTAACCAAGCCTAATAAACAATGAGATAGAATCAGTAAATATCCAATGTATTTTACATGAATGTTGTATCACATACAGCAAGAAAGGGTAGAGTTAACTTTTAATTGGCATTTATTAATATAGAGTTTTAAATCTCTTCAATAAATTGGTTTAAGCTATATTTTACTTATAATATCTGTTGTAATGACTAGATTACACAGCAGCTTGATGTCCTAGTAATATACTCAGTAGATTTATTACAGAAATTGTAGGATAGAGATATTTAATTTAATATCAGATTCATAAATCCCTTATCATTTTCATTCCTTCCCCAGCACAGTGCAGTTATCCCTATTTTGTTCTCATGTACCCCATTCAGTAAACATTCCTTCATTACATTATTTATGTTATATAGATACATGGGATGATGGATGTTGTTAAATTTTAATTTTGTTTTATAAGGTCCCTGACAATTGTATATCAGATCATGTCAGTATAGAGTTTAGAGGTTGTAGCCACCCATCTTTTCTGTTTTATATGACCTCTCTGTGTTATTTTATATTCCCAGATGCCACCTATTCAGTTGATTCTGCCTCTATCTCCTCCACCTCCTCATTTAGCCGCGGTAAGATCACTGTTGTGCTCAGTAGAAGTAGATCCTCATATCTTACTGCATGTGTAACTGGTAGTCTGAATAGTCTTCTAGTGTCTGTCTGGGTAATGGAAAGGGAGGCAACTCTCTTTACCTTATTACACTTGTATGAAACACTCAAGAGAATTGCTGCAAGTACATAAAAAACTTGAGCAAATAAACTTGGTTTGGAGAGTTTAAAACTTGTAGCAGTTAGAAGACAAGATGGGGTGTGTCCTCATCTGACATGGTTCTATCATTGTCCGTTGATGTATTGTACCTAGACCGTGAATAATACAGGTTGCAAAGAAGCACCCAAATCACGATGTCAAATCATGACACAGCATCCTTACAATATGATTATTATTTACTTGATATTAAGGCAAAATGAAGCCTATTTATAACACTAGCTACATAATGGTGAACTTTTACTGACAAACTTGATGACACCTTTATTGTGAAGATGTTACTCCAAAACTTATCTCTCCTTTCTTTGTCAAGATGTAAATCACATCCATGTCAATAAATCAGGCTTAAATGGGTTTCCATTTTATGAGAAATGCAGGGAGATTTTCATTCCTTTTCTGCATAATTATATGCCTAGTTTGCTAGTTATTATAGGGTCCATAAACCTTGGAATTGAAAGTATGTTTTAATTTGTACAAAAGGTGGTATAATGAAATTGTGTTCCAAGATCCAGTGCAATAGAAGGAAACTTTTAATGTTTCTTCTGAGCTACAATTTTTTGGGAGAAATAGGAATCCACCACTCAAGATGTTTTTTTTTCTTTTTTTGTAAATATATTCTTGACAAGGAAATAATACATAAGGAAAGACTTTTGATAAGAAAAAGTTGATTTTATTTCCTGTTGATTTTACAGTGCAAGAGCTGATCTTAATTATTCCAAGAAATAAAAAATTAGCATGTTGAATAGTACTGAGTAATATGCATTCTCTCATTAGATTATAAATCTCTTATTTTGATTAATGATACAGAAATACCTGTACTTCAGATTGATAAACAGAGCAGTCACATCCCTTACAAGAACCCATGTCTCCTTAATTAAAAAGTTTTTTATATTCATCTGCAAGTCTAAGATTAATGTAACAAGTTCATTTCACTATCTCATACTCTACCGGGGTATTGTGTTGGGGGTCTTTCACGTCAAATAGGAGGAAACAAAGAATCGATGGGGGCCAGGGGCCAATACAGTTAAAAGTTTGATAGAATTTCAGCTACACACCAAGGCTCAGATGTCCGTCATGGAAAGATTATTTATTCCAAAACACAAAAGGCAGGAATATGGGGCACAGTTTTCACTTTGTGGATCACATATCTAAATGAAATCTTATCTTCACAGCAAAGTGACAGTAGGGACAGAAAGGGACATGCACAGAAAATACCAATGAATGAAATATTTTAAGTTTTAGAAAGTTTAAAATAAGATTGTTTAGAAATATTTTTAAAACATTGTTCTGGTGAAATAGCTAAGCAGTTTTATAACAAAGAAGCTTGGACATGTGTGACGATTCTGAGAAGTTGTAGAGGACAAAAACAGTTGCACTTCTTGTCTATTCATGCTTGCTTTTGTTTGTTAGAAGGAAAGAAAATTACAAACTACCTGTTGATCCAGCTTCACCTGCTGTGCGGGCCTAATCTTTAAGCATTTCCTATTTTTTACTGTAGTTTTTGGAGTCAGAAGTCTGTTTATTTTATTAGCTGTGCATTCTTCATGGTTAAGTTTTAAAAATAAAAAATTGTAAAGCTGCTTTTTAGCGTCAGACAGTCTCTGCCTCCATTAAAGTACAATAAAGCCACTCAGGCTAAATTGACTGCCAAATTTCTCTCTCATTGAGGCAGATCAGATTTATTTAAACGCAAACCATTTTTGCATAAAATTTGTGACACTGTGTCACATTTTTACTGAAATGAAAATGCTTATATAGGGAATTTTTGTTGAGACATATATGCTTTAAAGTTTTCACTGTATTAATTTTTTTAATATTTTATCTTGTCTGAATCTCGATCTGCCCTTGATGAACATGATAAGAGCTTTATGTACTAAAAGTATCGAGTGACATATGATACCCGTTTAATACTTAATTGAGCCCTGTCACTTTCTTTACACCCAAAAATTCTTCAAAATATTTTATATACTTTCCCATTTTGTTCAAAATCCCTCATAAAATTTAAAGAATTTGAAAAATTAAAATTGGATACAAAATTTATTAACATAAAAGAGATATTACTAAATAAGACTGGGCTGAAGATTCGGAATTTTGAAGCATCATAGATAATAACCAACTGTTGCTTAGCTAAATAGTTACTGCAGGAAACCTCATTAAGAATCGTTTATTGGACTAATCCAGGAGCTCTCCTGCTGGGTAATGAGGAGGGGAAATGTGTTAGAAATTATGCTTGTGGCAGGTTGTTTGTAAAAGAGAAAACAATATGAAGTCTTACAGCTTAAAATATTTATAATTCTTGACATGTTTTGCAAGTTTGTTGCTGGGGTAGAATGTACCCCTAAAATGAAGTGCGGAGATTTAGAAATCTTTATGATGTCTCAAGTCAACAGGTACTTGTTTGTCTTGACGCAGAATTTGTTTGTTGCTGTTTTACACAAACCAAATTTCCACATTTTTATTTTATCTCTGTAAAGACACAACTATCCTTTTATCTGTGGACATTTCCCAAATTGTTAACGTCTTTGTCAGATAAAAGTTAAGCAGTTGTCAGAAAAAATGTCTTTTTAAATGGGCAAGTTTTGTTTAATCTCTGCTGTTGAGTTTTGATAATTAAGAATTGCTAGAACGTGGTAATTGGCTTTGATGCACTTGTGATAAGGTTTAAGTGAATCACTCCTAATTAACTGGTCTGGTCCTATCTGGTAAGTGTCAAGAGGTCTCGTGTATGTAGTCTGGCAAAACAACTTATCACTGATTTCTATAAATAAATACATGTAAATAGGGTTTCCATTTATATCGGTACACGGTGTGGATTGCATCATATTCATGGAATTAATCACATGTATTGTAGTGAAATAAGTGCAAAAACTACTCATCAATGAACAATGTCCATTCAAATTGTTTGATAATCTTGACCCTTAAATAACCAGGATATGAATTTCCACACCTTAGGTGCTGGTCACTGGGTCAAAGAAGAAGATCTGGCCCTGTCATTACATGTTATAAGATCCTGGTAATAACAGATCCAATGAATGACTTAGAGACAGACAGAACCCATTCATTAGGCGGGTATTTCCTGTAGAGTAAATTCTGTCTGTAAAACTTATATCTGCAGGTGTCATCCCAGAAAACCACAGCTATTAACCTTTTATGTGTTGATTACATAGACAAACAGCAATCTCAATGTCAGCAGAAAGCAAGGAGAGATTTTTTTTATTTATGATAATAAAAGAGATGCACTTGGCTATCATATATTTCTTCAGAGGACATTGTCTCCTAGGCCTTGAGATGTTCACAGTGCACATCTGACCTCTACATTTATAACATGATCAAATGTACAATCTGTGATGAAACCCAGTGTGAAAACAGAAAATAATAAATGAATGAAATGAACAAAGATACTATATCCCCCTGCAGTGTTGTGTCAAACTCCATATGCTTTCTTAATGAAAGTGTTTCCCATGTTTAATTTTTAAAATTGATATTTATTAAAAATTGAACCAAGAAAATGTGTTATGTGTGGTCTAGTAATCTTTGTTTGACTCAGTCTTCACATATTGACCTGAGAAGTAGTTTTAAGTGATGCTTAAAGCGTAATCTCAAGATCTTTTCCATGTCATTGGACTTTGTTGTTTAGGAGCTTTTTCCATTTCAGTTTTCTTTTAAGATGATAATAAGCGGGTTAACTGATTTAAAAAAACCCATGGAGATAACTGGGAAGAGATGAACAATACTGTAGTTAAGTCTTGAAAATTCCTTTTGATGCTGTCATACCCTGATGGTTCAAAATCCAATTATCTTGTCCTCTTCAAATTGTCTCTGATGAAATTAAACATCCCTGTCTCTTTTTGATGTCTGAACATTGTGAGTCTTGGCTGTAAGGGGGGTCTTGTTGACTTTGATTTTCTTGGTGGATTAAATCTTTTTAGTTTTTGCTGTCTCAATACCTAATGTTTGCAGTTTCCACACTTGACCCCTTCTGAAACAACATAAGTGTGATTTACCAATAAGATGATGTAATGTCTGCGATGTCAAAATGTCTCACCACTGTTTTGTTTACATTAGAATTCTATCACTGCAGTTGGGCATTTTTAAATTTCCAAAACTCTGACTGCAAAGAGGATTCGCATGCTTGTACTCAGTTTGAAGATCTTGCAGAAAAGAATTTAGATTGGTAATGACCTGCTAAGTGCCAGATATGCCCCACATGAAGGAATGCCAAACAATAGGGCTGTTTTTTGTTCCGCTTTGCATTTTAATTACCAATTTAAAACATGCTTGTTCCCTATTATGAATACACTTCCCTGGTGCAAAGATTGCAGTCTTTGTACTTTAATATAAGTGAATTATTTTCCAGCAATTAACTTTTTTTTAATTTGGCATAAGGTTAATTTAAGAATTATCTAATATCCATTCTTTAATTTCTTGCAAAATTTGTACATGTACGACCACATGCTGAGAAGTTAAACGAATAATGTGACTTTTTACAAATAATTTGCATCTCATTGACAATTGTGGGTCTGTAAGGTGTGTCGTGTTATTGAGCCTTACTTTAGACAGTGTAATACATGCCCCGTCAGTTGACAGAAGTCACCACCTGTTACAAACTATAGATGCAGGGCCACCAGCTCTGTTTGCATGTTTAGAGGAGGGAGTTTCCGTGCTGCTATCTGTTTTTGTCCTTGTTTTGTTGTGTCAGGTTAATTCTGGACATTCAATACAACCACCAGATGTTGTACACTACAATCAGATCTTCATGTTCAGGAGCGAATTGTGTCCAGAAATACATTCATTGTCAGTCTATCACCTTGCCTGTGAAACATTGGTTTCTGATGAATGGAGGATTGCATAAGAATAAAAGAAGCAAATATTTGGGCCAATTTTTTTTTATCGATAGTGAATTTTGATAGAAGAATTTTAATCTAGAGAGGTAGCAAGTTTTAGACTACATATCTTATCTGGGCTGTAAATTTGAAAAGCTTACATTTCTCTGATAATTAAAGAATAGTGGAAATCATGGGTACACAGATAAAGTGGTCGGGCTCACCTGATGAATGGTCAACTTTAAACACCTGGGGAGCAGGTGAAAATTCTCCAACTAGCAGAAATTGATAGGGGAACTGCCAATGTAAATGGAAATTGGCACCAGTGATCAAAGACCAATCCAACAATTATATAGCAGTTGTTGATACAATTCTGAATACTAGATGAAGTGAGCTTGTGCATGAGTTAATCATATTGCAGCTCAACATGCGAGACTGCCATATATTAAAGGTTGTGCCCTTTGGTAGCAACATAGTGCAGGTTTACACAGTGAAGTAATGATTATATGAAGCATGTTGCACACCACGTCTGCAGAGTCCTGCTAAGCACCTGATTATTTGAGTAGACAAGTAAACCTTTGTGTGTTATGGCAACTATATGATTTCTCAAACCACAGTATTTCCTGTTAAAGGTCGATTAAAGCTTTACCTAATTCCTCTAATTCGTAGGAGACCCATTCAGACAATACAAAGTGAGGCAGGGTAAATATGGTAGTAAAATATGTGGTCATAAATTTGCTCAAAGAGCAGAAAATGTCATTTTAATGCTTTTTTATGTTAACTGCTTGTAAAGTGTGCTAAATTCCACCAATCCCTCACTATAGCCTTTGATGGCCAATCTTCAAGTTTTAGGAGAGATGAAATATTTGGAGTAATTCTTGGAGAATTTGTCATTTAGACCAAAGAGCTCCAAACCATATCAAGTCTTAAATGAAAATAAATTGCCATGATCAGTCTTTTTGTATAATGTTTGCAGATTCATTGCACTTATAACTGAAACTTAGTTACAAGTGGTCAGACTTTGTTGCTAAGTTAACACTAGTCCTATGTAGTCATGATGAAAAAATTCAGACTGTGGTGGCCCCCTTGCTGAGTTTGGGGGGTGAGCCTAGCTCTGTGTGTCTGTCACCCACTGGTCTCGGACCACTGCAGGGGATGTCTGTTTATTGTCCAATCTTAGACACAAGGCCATGGAGGGTCTAACTAGAGGAGATAATACTGTTTATATTGACCACTTGGGGTCAGCAGCAATGAATTGACCACATGCTATGTTTGTTTCTTATGTCATAACAAATATTGACCAGTACCACTGGTGGTCCAGTGGAGAAGACCAGTAACCTTGCTGAAGATAAGCTGACCAAGTAAACAGACCAATGGGTAGATGTCAAATTCTTTAAGACTTGCAGAGACTTTTAGGTATTTCTGCAAAAAAAAGTGTTTCCCCTTGGAAAGACAAAAACTTTTACTAATCAGTTGCATGGAGTATATAGCTTGGAATTTCCCTGGGTGTTTAGATATTTAAAGATTAATAATAGAATTCATTGGTTAAACAGTAACGCTGAGATTGAAAATATCCATGTCCCACATACCCAAAGTTCCCTGGTGATGTGCAGCTTTTGAATTAATTGTAAAGTCTTCCAGAGTAATCATTGCTTGTCACGTAATAATTTTATTAATTATCGATACACAGTGCACTTTAAATGCATAATCATGTTCCTTCTCCTGCATTCTCCAGTGACTAAATATGGCAAAAAAAGCAAGTGGGAATTCTTGTTCATTATTTCCTTATTCTGGAAAATTTCTTTAATATATATTGTGTTGTTTTTGAAATGCTAACAATGTAACATCAACTTTATTGTAGTTTTAAAAGGCTGAGTTAGCAATAACTGTTAACATTAAGTTAAGAACTGACTTTTGCAGCATGAGGGCAAAGTTTTTGCTGTTCACACACAAAAGTAAGAACTTAGTCCAGGATCAGCTAGGATTTTATGTAATGGATTTATGGGGATTTTTATTTTTGAGAGCCTTTTCAAGCAGAGATAAAGGGGAAAAGTAAAAGGACTTAGCCATATATAATATTAAAAATTTTTAGCAAATTGAATTCAAGATTTCTAAATCATGATAGCAGTGAATCACCAAAGAAGCACTTGAGACATTTAAAAATCACAAAGTTCCCTGACTTCCGTATTAGATTCGACGAGACATGATTTAATTTGGCAGGGTTGAGAGTATACACATACACAAATAATGTCTCTCAGTTTGATGTTTATTACAACAGCTTCGTTAGAGGAAACTCCTCCCACCCTACTTCCTGAAGTTGTTAATTTAGATCACCAAAACAAAAATAAAGTTTTAAATACAACAGACACAATGTTCATAGTTTATGCAATGCTGAAAAAATTTTTTAAGTGCATGCATTTTGGCCCAAAATTTCATTGGAAGTGACATTGTGAAAAACGAAAGATAATGTAGCCAAGACATTTTGACCTTTGGTTTCTTAATTCATTCCCAAATGGAATTTGACTGTTTAGCCCTAATAATTTCATCCTTTGTCTTGCTCGAAGCCTGAAGCAATAAACTTCTTCAGTCTTTGTTAAGAGTTAATGAAATTACTTAATCATTTTAGATTAAGTATTGACCTGACACCAGAGAGTGCCCCTCTAATCCTTTGTTTGTCTGTTTGTGGATTCAGATAGAAAGTTTGTGACAAAAACAAATTTGTTCATGTCCTCATCTCCCCAGCCCTTTGTGTGCACACAGATTTATTTTTCTATATGAAGTACACTTTATCAGTTTCTTTACTGCCCCTTAGTGTATACTGTTACACACCTTCATGTGGAATTTAGCACCCAATAAATTGCTGACTTGCCCAATTTTGGAGGACCATCAGAGAACAAACCAAGGGTTTAGAGAGGCTTATCCACTGAGCAGTTGGATCTTTTAGCCAGAGAGAGAGAGGTGTCACTTCACACACACACTAGTTTTGCCCTGTAGGAGAATTTCTAACAAGACAGAAATTAATGCACATTTGGTGCAGCATTTGACGGGCTACAAATTAGGAGCTTCAGAGGAAAATAATGACTTCATTAACACTGGTTGTCAATGGCTCCAGAAAATTTCTCATTTTAATTAATGTAACTGCTGTATCATTATTTTTTCTTCAACATAATCTTGACGATGCCCATGATGAAATTTTTTTTCTTTTTAATTGTTAGAATGTAACAGTATGACTCATTTTTAGGGAAATCTAAGTCAAGTCTTTCTGTTGGAGATTGTTAGAAGTTAATCAATACTTACATTCTTTAAGTAACTTTGTTTATCATTTAAGTGAGCTGATCCTATTAACTTAAGCTTTAGAACATGTAACACTTTGTAATCTTAACTTTTATCTTCCAAAGCTCAGCCTGAGTGGTTTTTACAGATTTCCTAAACACCTGAAGTTGTCTGGATGATTTAAGCTTACATCAGAAACCTCTTACACCTTCTTATCCCACCTGTCCCCACCTGAGGTAAACAGGTAGACCGGGGCCAGGATACAGGGGGTGGGCCCAGACTCTAGGTGACTGTATTCTCACTTTGACCAGGGCATTATGGTGTAGATTTATGACATATTGATGATATGGTTAGGTTAAAGATTCAATTCTAAGTCCAGTTGATAATCCTGATTTTGTGGTCCAAAATGACAGTCATTATGGTAGTCTAACTTTAGGGACATCTGGAAATAATTGATTTTAAATGGCTGCCACTGGAAATATATTGTTTCCTCAGGGGTAAATCTGATAGAAGATTGTGACCTTTGAGCTTCTAAAGTTAATTCTCTTTAATTTCTGTTACCTTACCAGGAGGTCAGACATATTTATTTTACTACTATATATCAGTAGCTGAACTTTTTTGCTTTTCAGCAATGGGGAAAACAGAAATCACAAAAAATGTGATAAAAATACTGAATAACCCATTGTCCCTCTCATTTTCATGAAATTGCAATCAGAGGCAGAAGAAAAAAAGGCTTAATTGCTGCTTAAAGTTATCAATGTTTACAAATCATGTAATTTATCATTTTATGATATTTACAAACCCTTTTAAATTACCATGAATAATTTCTAATTGCAATTTACAAAATTATTCTTGAGCATTTAATTGCAAAATGAAGATTTAGCCAGCTGATAGTTTCTAAGACCCCTAACTAGGAATGTTGACATGAATATTGAGGACACAGTTTGTGTACCTCAGATAAGATAAGACGTACATTATGTAACGGAGAGCAATAATATTTTGATCTGTGTACCTCAGATCAGTCTGTTTAAGTTACAGGTCAAAATGTAACAACATGTTAATTGAGGTGTCTGGAAATTGCTCTATGAATGTCCTATCCCCCCCCCCAAAAAAAAAAAATTGGCATATAAATGGCCTGTATGCAAATACAGATGGAAGGACCCCCTGTGATTCTTGGGCAAAGATGATATAGCATTGCTAATTAGAGCAGGCTGTCCACAGACTAGTGGACATCTGGCCAGACTCTTTTACTGGAAATGACCTGGCATTAATTAAGGTCTTAATATTATCTCATAAGCTAATAATGTCTGAGAAAGATACCCGACTGATTTAATAAGTCTGGGTGTCTAAACTCAGACTATAGATATAATCACAAGTCATTTTTTAAAAAACCTTAATGCATTCATTGGCAGACATTCAGTAAAATGGTTTTGCTTGTGTATGAATTGAATGTCAGTGCAAAGTTGTGTATTTAATAAATAATCCCAAATACAAAAACTAAAATGCTTTTATTTTCAATTGAGAAATGTTTTATTTATGTTTCTGATATTACTTGAAATCGGCAAAATGGTCAATATTGTTAGAAAATCTAGAACTGCGTAAAAAGGTGGCCTGTTCCAGGAGAAACAGCATTTAGAAGTATGTACATGTGTTGTTTTGAATTCCAGTCTCTCTGATGGGAGATGTTGGCTGGATTTTGACAAGATTGTACAAATGTTGACATTACTCCAGAATTGCAACAATTTAGCACAGGTTTATCTTTATACCTTCCATTATCATCAAAATTACATGTCAGTGTTAAAACCCTTGTCATCAACACATTGTAATCAGGGGATTATCATTTTAATCTGTTATGACACAACTGAGTAAATTTATAGAATATATATGACATATATTTAAATTTTAACCCTATAAATTGCTTCAATAGGATGTATACATATTGTCATTCCTTCCTGATTTATTTTCCCTGAGCAAATTCTGGGTTTATGAGCTGGACACAATAGTTATACAGTGGTCTTCAGACAGCAGCCTTGCATCAAATGCTTGGCTTGAGTGACAGTTGATAAGCAGCACATGTTCAGGCCTATAAATTCACAGGCTGAGGATATCTGCAGGCTACAGAGGTTTAGTTAGCTGTAAACATGGTGTTGGGACAGTGCTAGCTGCCCCCTGTTTTTATTTGACAACAATGCAGGGCTGACCTTATTGTGTGTTTAACTGGACATTCTTTTGAATGGGTCAATAATAAGAGGACAAAAGCAAGATAAAGGAGCAGTCAGTGTTTGGCAGTTTGTGCACTGGGACAAGTTTGAATAGAGGAGCTTTCTACAATACTGACTTCTCATTGGCTGATCTGGAACCCCATGCTTTCCTTATCTTTAGACACTGGTTTAGTGAGAGGTAGTCTTCGCAGAATGAATGGAAAACAATCAGATTAGTGAAGGATAGAATGGAGTAATAACTGTACATACAGCACTGAGGATTTGTGTTTTAATATCACTTTCAGTTTGTTAAAGAAGTGATTAATTCTGTAAGTGGCTAGCCAGTTGTAATCTATAGAGGATTTGTTTACAGTTATAGAAGGACATTTCAGGGCACTGATGTATTATAGTGCATTGGGCATTCTCTTATCTGACTCATCCATAGTCACACCTATATAAAGTTTGTATGTACCGGTACAATCATTGATATACTATTTAAATCACATGCGGATTTGCCCAGAGTTTCGTTTTATGAGCTAAGTGCAAGACGGAAACAAACACTCATGTCTGTGTTTCATTTCACACAAGGAACTACAACACATGGAAAGAAAGTTTTTATTTGTGCTGAACTTTGTAAATTCATTGACCGTCTGTTAATTAATTGATATTTGTACTTATTCAGCAGAGGAATTTCAGTATTATCTTTCATTGACTTAGATAGTTTTACACAGCTTGAATCGCCTTTGAAGGTCTGTCGAGAACTTTAAAATTCCTGTGTGGACCGAGTTAAAGAGGTAGTACAGCGTCAATCAAACATTGAGCGCGGAGTCGTAAGGTGGTTACAGCTGAAAGGAAAAGAGAGAGAGAGTCCTACACGTGTCTCCAGCTACTGTCAAGACAGAGGATCACTGACGCGCGTCCGTTACTTCACAGGAAGGAAATCTTAAAACACGCAGCATTCTACTCTAAAACATGGATTAGGAAACTCGTGGGATGAAGAAAAATTTTCAATATCGTTTTGAATGCTATCAAGAAAACTTGAAATTTTCCAGGAAAAATATACATATAAAGGAATTATATAATATTGTGAAAGTTTGAACAGATTGACAGATAGCATGGGTGCTAATAATTCGCAGTTGGAGTCTGATTTGGATCCCCGCTATAATATTGAGAGGAACTCGAAGAACTGTGATACAAACTTTCAGAGGCTACAGTACCACGGTGTTAGATACCCTAAAGGTAAGATGGAAATCTCTCACTATCAGGATTTATGTACTTAATTATCAATAACTGCTAATATTAACAGATCATTAATGGAGCCTCTAGGGACCAGTTAAGCATGATTTTTTTTTTAAGGGGACGGTATTATAACATTAGCCACTTTGATGTTTTTTTTCTCCTGTAGGGCCACATGTTTTAAATCATATCCTCCATTTATTTGACAGTATTATCTGATGTAAACATTTGTAATTTCCTTTTTATATATGAATAAAATAAAATAAAATGTGATAATATTTTTTCAGATCAAAAAATCCAAATTTCTTCCTTTTGGTTTATAAAAAAATCTTCTACTATATTTCATGTTTATTTGATTGAAAAGTGGATTTTAAAAAAAGTGATTAAAAAAATTGTGATCTTCAGGCTCCAAAGGGATATAAGTGTAATTATTAATTAAGATTTATTTTTAAAATGTCACATTAAGTATACTGTTTGACAGCTTTATTTTTAAAACATGTAAATGTATATTTTATCTACTGTAAAATTATCCTAATGCCAGTAATAAACATAAGTGTTTCTATTTAAAAAAAAAAATCATGTCGTTTTAAAAAAAAAAGTAATAACTCAGATAATTTTTTATAGACCTTTGGAAAATTTAAAATTATAATTGGAATAAATATTTTTTTTTTTGTATGGAATATGGTATATAGTTGACATAAGTTGTATATTAATTAACTAAATATTTTGTGTGGAGAGGGCTAAAAATATAGGCACAGTCTGCTACCCAGTCCCTTTCACTTCTGATGTCTTCTGTGAACAAAATTTTATTTTAAAGTAAATTAACAATGAAAATGCATAACTTAATTGATTCAGAAAAATTGAAAAATATATACGTCATGAATGTAATATTGCAGCAGCTATAGTTATTTTTCTGTATTATTGTAGGCAAGCCAGACCCTCCAGAAGGTTATCCAACAGCAACTAACATCACACAGAACTCTGTAACTCTGAAGTGGACCCCTCCCTATGGCTGTCCCTCCAGTACCATACTGGCCTACCAGGTGGAGGTGTGCCGATTACAGGACAAACGCTGGAAAGTCGTCACCAGCTCTTGTCAGGGAAACACGTATGACGTGAAAAACCTTGCACCTGGTGTGGACTACATGTTCCGTGTCCGAACTGAAAATGTGTATGGAAAAAGTAAACCTAGTGCTTCCTCGCAAGTGATCCGGACTTTATCGGAAAATCCCTGGATTAAGCCTAGTCAGGAAAAGGCAGAAGAGGAGAGGAGATCGACTCTAACCCGGAGACATAGTCATTATATTAAAGTAGAAAACAGTGTATCTAATCTTCTGCAGAAGGCAGAACGAGAGGAAATGAGTGATGTGGGAACTATTCCATTCAAAAGGAACAGCAGTATCCGGCATTCCTTACCTGTCCAATGTGTAAGACGCTCCACAACGTTACCCCCCAGTATACTGCCAGGATCCAGGCGGGAAAGCATCTGTAGTCTAAAGGACAAGGAGTCGAGGAAATCCATTGAAGAATCTTCTGTGTTCACCGATGATACTGATGAACTATCATCGTTAAAACTTCATCGCATGTCTATGACTTCTACCGAGGACGATTCCTGTAAATGCTCATCATCGGCAGCTTCTATGACCTCTATACCAGAGGAAGTGAACGATAGTAAAGGAGAAAAAGACTCAGATCTCATCATTGTTAAAACCCCTCCCTCTACCTGGAGATATAATCCCCAGTCCCATCACATTCTCTCTGCCCCGTACTCAGATGATACCAAGATAGCGTGGGTGACGGATCAGAAATCCCCACTCCCCGACTATCAGAACTCGGACGATTCGTCACCTGTCTGGCGCGACAGACAGGAGAACAATAAAAACATGCCAGATTTCCGATCACTTAGAAATGCCCTCCATTCAGATGACCTACTGGTCAAAACTCTTGATGCAGATAATAATGGAAATTACTCAACTCTCAGTTCTAAAGGAAAGCTTTATGATAAAGTTATAGAGGAAGAAGATGAACACAATCTTGCTCTAGATATTGTTTCAGCTGTGTAGGCTATCAGGACTATTTATTATTAACCCCCTATTTTACGGGTAGATTCAGCATAATTTGGGGTTACTGTGTCAGATGAGATAGATTTCTTGATGGCAATGTTCTGTAAAGGATGAAATTTGTTGGAGAGGTATTTCATCTGTCTATTTGTTCTGCTGGTGCTCTATACAATAACTAGCCATCGAAGCTTAAAATCCAAGGTTTGATCACATCAGAACTTCTTTGTTATTTATAAATTTATCTTGTACTTTAATTCTCAAAAATGTTATTGAAGACAATAGCCAGTATATTTAGTGCATAAATATGTGTCATGTTTAATTATTCATATTTGTACAACTGCCCAAAGTTTCACAATAACCAGAAATCTTTTGTTTTTCCTTGAAACAGAAAGGAATTTTGTACATTTCTTGAGAGCTTTGATGTGAACCAAAGTCATGTTGAATGTATTTATTCTTATAAAATTGATAAAAACCACTGAAAACAAGCTTTTTGTATGCTTTCAACATTGGCCTAGTGGCTTGGGGGCTGAAAACATCTGCAGTGTTTCAATTCAGGTTGAAATATGTAAATCTTTATTTTCAGAAGAAATTAAATCATATAGCTTCTTGAGCAGTCTCAATGAAATAGTGAGATTATAGATGATGAGTGATATTTTACCTGCAGGCTATGTTTCTCTTTCTGATTTGAGAACTTGTTTTTTCAATAGAACCAAACATGAGCACCTGTTGTGTTTTTGAGTAAGGTTTATTCTTTAAGATGTCTGTTGATGTAAGAACTTAAGAGTTTTCAAAAGTAGTGATTTAGTCCACATATCATTAACATCCTGTTGACTCTTCTACTTGTTAATTGTGTTAATGACTAAATATTATGTTACACCGGCTCACATTTCAATGGCTCAAAATAATTTTTGTTGGATCGTAATCTGAATTCTGATCTGTAGAATTTAATTACCTTCCCTGTGTAAGGGTAGAACAGACCAACACCTAGAATAATAAGGAAATATTTATTTTATAAATGTTTTAAACAGCAATAAATATCAACTTTGAAAAGAAAAATAACATTAAAAAGTCATTTGAATTTAAAATTTATTTTAGCATTATAATGTGGCTAAATATTTGTAAAAGGGTCGGGACAGGGCTTTCTCAGTGGGTCATACCTGTGAATGACAGGAAATGCTTTAAATGTTTGTAGAAGTACCATCAGGGTGTACAGATTTGTTGTCTGTGATTGGAGGAGAGGGGATAGAATCAGATTTCTCATTTGGACAGCTGTTGTTATTTTGGGGTTACCCAATATGCCAGAGCAAATAGTAAAACTGGTTTGGCTTTATCCTAAAGAGATAAAAAAAATCATTATGTCCAGTGTACATAGGTTGAACTTTCTGAGTTTTTGATGTGAAAACAAGATAGCTTTTGTTGTCAGTTAATTGGTGGAAATATTGCTGTCTGACTGGCCATGTCGCTACCGTACAGACATGTGAGGTGACCACACATTATTGCTGACCATATTCCTTATCAGAAAGTAGATTTTTTTCCTTTTCAATTGCACTTTTGAATTTGAAATATGCATGTGCTCTTGGGAATTTAGCAAATGTAAAAGTCACTGGAAGTCAACTTTAACAATAATAAATTGATATTTGACAATTGATAAAAAAAATCATTTTCTGTGAAATTTAATATTGAAACAAGGGCTTTGCAAAGCAGAGCATCCCTTTGCAAAGAGGATATTAAACAAAAAATTTATATCACTTTTCGTTTCACACAGCATTAACTCACTCACCCACAAACACACTCACAGGATTGCATTCAGTAATTTACTATATCCCTTCCAACTCCATTGCGAGGGAATAAAATAAATAAGGAACATATGGAAAAACAAAGCATAATAAGGGCATTATGTGTGCGTTTTTTCATCAAAGACAGTCTATCTTAGAAATCCACGAGGATTGAAGGGGAAAACATTGATAATATAGTGATATCAATTAGTATAATGACCTTATAATTAATAGGATTTTAAAACATTTAGATAAGATCTCCCTTACACTACAGCTGTGTGGGAATGATTGTTCTGTAGCCAAAAATCTTGACCTTTTCTATTTTTCAACATGGATAGGATTTCAGACTGAATGAAAAAGGTTATATCTTAACTGTAATCCAGTGTGAAAATGTCTCAAGAGGCTAGTGTTTGGTGCAAGTGGAAAACGTGCCAACATGCATGAAAAGGCATAAAAAATAAATGGAAGGGAAAAAAATTGATCAAAATGGATTCATCTACGCTGTTTACTGTGTCAATTTTATGAAAGAGAACATCTGCCTTGTTTTATTTTCTTTTAGGCTGTCCATAAAATGTTTTGTCTACTCGAGAAGTGTGCCAATTCAAACATCAATTTTTATCTGGAAAAACAATATTCTATTTGTCTGGCTTTAAAGAGTAAGAATTAATCAAGTAACATAAAGCAATAGGGGTTTAATTCATGCCTCATTAATTGGTTATGCAAACTGTTAAATGCTCAGTCAATAAGTTATTGGATTTCTTCTGTTTTTATTACATCATTGATATCATTCAATAGGTTTTTTATGCCCAATCAATTGTTTATAGACTCGACAAGGATAAAGAAGAAAAAAAGTTGGTCACACTAGCAAATAATAAACAAGAGTCACCTGCCGTTTTGATGGTGTGAAAAATGGGAAGGTATAACCTTATAAGATCAGAGAAGGCGCCAGTTTAGGAATTATAAGCCATGTCATTTACACAAAAGATCTGGTAAAATAGTACGAAACTTCCAAACACCGAGTGTAAAAGACAACAAATGGGATCTCAAACGGTAAAAAAATTGGCCCTCGGATGGTGGGACCAAAAATCAAATGTAAATGTATGCAGAGCAAAAAGAACGGGATGCTAAATCCAGCACATTATCACATAAAAAACTATTGATTCTCTATAGAAAACTGATCTGTTATGCTAATATTAATTGAATGTTCTTTGTATGTCATTTTTCCTTAATTTATGGAATATATTGATCAGTGACAAAGCAGAATGCATGTATAAAATGTATTTGCAACATCCCTGACTCAGTTATGCTATACATTACATGCACTACACAAAAATGAATAATTCATTACTGTATAATATATAATTTAGCACAGCATCCTTGAACCTAAGGAGAAATGGCTATACTAACTCTGAAGAAGACAAATAATTGCTTATTTAAAAGGAGAAAAAAACATATTCATCACATTTGATGGTAGAGGGGACACATAAGGTGAAGTAATAAAAACAAGGTCAGCTGTTTTCTGGTCGTAAACCTCCGACCAAATTCACCAAGGTCTGATCTGAACAATGATTTCTATTTCTGTCTTAAAATACAACTTCTTAACATTAATGGATGTAATTTTAAAACAGGATAGAAAAAAATGGGCTTTTGTAAATTTATAGATATTTGTCAAAATGTTTTTGATCCAATGCATGAACAAAAATATTCAAGGTCATCTGAAAATACATTATAAGATATAGGGTTAAATCATTTCTTACATAAATGAAATTTGACTTATTCATTTAAATGGGAAACGCAAATAAATACCAGTATAAATTACACTGATAGACTTAATTTCATGTATTTATACGCTTTGACCTTTGTTCTAAAATTGCCAGTTAACCAGATCAGTGAGTTTAGGACAGATACTGACTAATTAGATATATACGTTTTACTCACCCCTCCCTACATGTAAATACAACCATGTGTTCTATCACAACGGGAGAGAAAAGATAATTTGTAAAATGTCCAGACTACCTGTTTGTTACAGATAAACTGCTTCTGTTGATGACAACTAAATTATTTTCAGGTGAAGATGATTTCTGCTTGATTTTTTGGTTATGCTAGGTATTTTGGTTCAGATGTACTGACGTTGTTCTGCTGCACACCAAAATGACTGCAGGATTTCACAGCGTCTTTAATATTTAGTATTTTATACCAGCATGGAGGTTGTCCAAATTGTTGATAGGTTGAGTCATGACAAGGTTATTTTATTTGTGGAATTATAATATTTTATAACTTTTTTCAACCATGCCAGTGACCTCCAAAAGCTTTTCTAATTTTAGATGAGGAAAAAAATCACTATATCTGCACACAACAGTTTGAACACTTGCATATACCTGGTTCTTCCTGCATAATAATGACAAAAAAATTATGTTTATTATGTAATTATATAATCAAAAGACTTCTTCTTGATGTGCTGGAAAATTTATTGGACATGTGATTAATATTTTCAAATTTTGCTGTTAATTTATTCGGAGTACATTGGTTGAGAAGTTGACAACTACTTTACTTTCCGTCTCTGATAATTCAAAAGTTAAATAGTTAGTGCATTTAACACACATCATAAAAGCAATGAAAGACAAAACCTGACATTACAGTTTTTATTTCCTTGTTTAATTAGTTATTTTACATGTGTTGACATAATGAATTAATTAACAAGTAAGAATTAATAATGTTCCATTGATAAAAAAGGGAATTAAACCATGATTCATGCATTTTTCAAGATGTATGTGTACCATGAAACATATTCTGTGAATCGATCCTCCCCCCCTTAAAAGAAAAAGTAATTTTTGCCGGACTGAAATAATTTCTTGCAGGTTATAAAAGCTGTACAACTGCCAAAGATGTGTAGCATATACCCACATGATCATCGGTTTATTTATGATTACAGAAATACAAACTGATGTTATGCAATCTAGAATAAGTCTATTTGTTTACTTCATTTAAGTCAACATAAATGTAACTTTGTCAAAGCCCAAGTGATATATGGTGAAACTTTACTCTAAATATTTATACTGTATCCCAATTTTTTAATGATTGGGATGATACTTTTTAAACTGAAATTTTATTTCTAAAATTGATAATTTTTGTGTTTCATTTTTTATCTCAAAAGTTCTGTTTTTCCTGCAGTGACTTCTTTCCCAAATGAAGTGAAAAACACTTTAATTGGCATAAAAGATATTTTGAATCGGTATAGGTGTCACTAGTTGATATAACATGAATGTAAAACACTCCTTTTAATGATTTTGAAAGTATTTACCAAATTTGTTCTATTGAACAGCAAATTGCTAACTGTTTAAATTTGATATTTTAAAAGTTTACTGAGGTGTTAGAATTGATTTATTTAAGCCTACAATTTTCTGTGGAAAATTCATCATATCTCTCTTCATAAGAGGGGACTTTGAAATGTAATCACCCTGGCTTTGTGCTCTACAAATGAGCCATACTTAAGATCTATGCTGGAAAATTAAAACCATTGATCTTTTGAACAGTTCTACTGATCAAAGAGAGATTCATACATCGTATGAAATTAAAGGGACAAAATTTGTTCAACATAGGGTTTATCATTTTGACTGCGCACTTCTGCATAAATTCTATCTCTAATTCTTTGTTTTACAAGAAATTTCTCTCTTTGTCAAAGTACAAACCAGGTATTTCCCCCCATTTTGAATTAGGTTAATGTCTTGTGGGTTCCTCCTACTAGTTGTGTTCAGAGTTTAAAGTACATTAATGCTAGTCCTGTAAGAAATGAAACATTCCACTGGATATTTGAGACGGGAAAAGTGAAATTTTATCCCAACAACTGTGAAAACTTAGAAGATCTTTACTGGCAAAAAGTTGAAGCTTTGTAACTCACTTGGATCTCTAAAAAATGAGGACCAACCACTTTGACTAGATCCTAATAAGTTTTTTAATCATTTTTTAATGTATTCTTGAATTTGATTTCAATTCTTTCATGCATTCCTCTCAAAGAAGAAAGAAAATTTATGTAACTTTGTATTTAAATAAATGTTTTCACAGATTTAATCACTAAATATAACACATTCTTCATTATTTTTATTTTTTCCTGATATATGATATGTCCTGTAGGCAAGCTAATCAGGCTTGGGACACAGTTTAGATGAATCCTTTGTGATTGCTGGTGAGGGTCTTTCTCACAGAGGCTTGGGTTTCATTCATTGTGTAGAGACAGTTTGGTGACCTTGGGTGATTAGAACACACCTGTCCTCTACAGGTGATGTATGGGGAGGGGGGCTGTACCCTTAATCAGAAAAACCCTCCATATATAATCCAAAATTTACTGCAATAAAACTCAAGATCACAATCGACATGGATAAGTAAACCAAAGGAATTTTTCTTCTGAAAATTCAACTTCTTTAGAAATTAAGGCTGTGATTCATTGATACATGTAGTTTCTCATGCAAAGATTTAATCAGGTATTTAAAAGTTGATTTTTCAATTTCTGAAGAATTAAAAGAATTAATCAGGAATGAGGAGTGTTTTACAGGTATTTAGTCACAGTGGTTTTCTTTGATGAGGTGAGATGTGGGAGTTTGATTATAGCTGTATTAATGCATTGATTGGATTAAGATACTATCTGTAATATGTATTGTATTGGGTATTTATCAATGTTCACTGTGCCAGGAAAACTTGAACTGAGAGAAATGTGAAGTAAGAGTACAAGAGATTTATGACACACCGTAAATTCACAGATTTAACATAGAAAATGGTACAAGAAAGATAACTCATATGTTTTAAAATTATTTTTGAACATCTTAAGCTCTGTTTCTGAAATTTAACAAAATATATTTAGTAGGAAACACCAAACACAGACAGGGGGTCAAAAAGTTAAAGTCTGTGTTTTAATTATTTTAATGTCACAAATGTAAAAAATAAATCACTGTGCAAGTGCAACCTGGTAATGAAAATCAAATTGTAGTACAGAAGCCATTACGTTTGCTCTTCCATTAATGGTCATAACTTACTCAAAGGATAATACAGGGATTTTAAAATAAAAATCTCATTTACATTCCAGGCTAGTATACAAAAATGTTAATATAAGCATTGAATCATTATATTTTGAAAGATAAATTAGTCTCCTAACTGTAAAGGTACTGTGTGCAATCAAATTTTCATGATACACATTACTGCTCAATTTGTATGCACACACTGTTTCTTATGACACTATCTTTCAAAAAATAATGCTTCAATGCTTATTAATTTCTATCAAACTATCAGTGACTTTTAATGTCTTATGTAAAGACAAATGAAAGAAATAAACTTCTTCCAAAATCTTGAAAAAAAGAAAAAAACTTTAAATGTTAGGTTTATCTAATTTAAATTAGTTTAAATGCATAGATTATAGTTTTTCATTTTAAAATTCACAAAAAAATGGGATTTAATTAAATTGTACTGAAAGAAAAGAAAGACAACTCTTTCTGGCTTATATTGTCTAATGATAGATAACTCGAGATGGCTTAACTAAGTAAAAGAGAGAAAAGTAAGCTTACGGCAAATTGTCAACTAAAATGTAGCAAGGAGGACTAATGTAGTTCTAGAAAAAAAGTACTAAACTAGCTCCTCCTAAGTTTTTTACAATATTTGATAAGCAGTATATCTCGCCCAAATTTGTTTTGTTATATCTCTTTAGAATATCTATAGTGATCAGATACCAGAATCATAAAGGAAATTTTGTAAATTGTTTTTGATTTTTATTATATAAACAAAGCACATAAAATATAAAATGCAGTGAAATTTGTTTTTGTTTAGTGTTTTAATTTGAATTTTTAAGAATCATTTTATAGCAAGCTCAGTGAGCAAATCAAAGTGCCACTTGTAATGCAAGCTTAATAGACTAATTAATGTAGAAATTCAGAATGGAATCTGCAAATTTTCCTGTGTATCAAACCTTACCAGAAATCCTTCTCTAACAGGGTTCCATGCTTTCTGCCTAATGGAGAAAGTATAATTCAGTTAAGCTTAAATTTATGCAGGGAGCTTAAAAGAAACCATAAAATTGTTGCATATACTCTATAATGCCTTATGTTAAAATATTACGTTTTGGCCTACCATATTTAGAGTCTGTTCGAGACATGCAGATTCTCACCTCTCACATTACATGTGACATCACACTAAATAGACTGTTTCTCTCTAAATGTGAAGTTTAACAGAGTCGGATCCCAGTACAAAGTTGCAAGTGTAACTTAGCTGTGTAAATCTGCACTTGCCCAAAATATCACATCGTAAAAATATTAATAAATAAATATTCATTTTGTAAATGACTACAATTTTGACTTAAGTCGGAGATTGCTTCATAATCCTTGGACAGATCTTGTGGTGTATTCAACAGCACATTTTGAATACAGCACATTTTCTTACTCCACCATGAAAGAGTTCCGTTGCACTGTTATTATTTTTAACATTTTCAATATAGATGTAATTAGTACTTATATATATACATATTCATTTGAGGTGGAAAAACTTCAAAAATACAGTTCATGATTCATGTTTAATATTTATACATGTATCAAATTAATACTTGATGGCGTGAATACCCGCTACCTAACGGAACCCTCCCATGGTATCACATCAAACATACAACAAAGTGACACAGGCAGAACAAAGTATATGGTTTAAATAAACATTTGACAGATTTATAGGTAGGTTTTAGAATTTGGTGAAAAAGTTCACCTGGGCCCATTTTATCATGAGTGATTGATATGCAATTGATCTGTTTTTAAATATTCATAATGGTGTTTGTTAATTGTTTGAAAATTCATCATTATCAGAGAATAATGATTGATTTTGTGTCAGAAAATGAATATCGTTCTTGTTTTGTCTGTCGCATTGTGTAACTTTTCCCTGTAGCATTTACGAAAACCAGAAAAATGGATGTTAATGATGAAGCCTAAGGCTTATGAATTTTT